TTCCGTGCTCGTCTTTTGATGGAACAATCGAAAACTATTACTGTTGATACTCTCCATTGCGTCACATTTCTAAATCTAATAGAAATCTTTCATGCACGAAGGAGCTTAAAGAAGGTCATCTTGCACATGCATACGTTGTTTCAAATCATGTGCACTATCGTTGCACATGGAACCTTTCAAGACACTCCCATATTCCGTATTTGTGCTGACAGCTTTTTCTATCACTATGGATTAATTTTGATTTGCTCAAGTAATGGTGAATTTGATTGCCTCCCTAATGTGTTCAGTGTCATCGCTATATGGAATGCGCTCTCTCTAAACAAAGTCCACGACTATAATTTGAACCCTGTTCTCGGTGACAAGTTCGGAGCCATTGCCTACGTCAATAGGGCTTGTTTTATTTTTAGATGTGCCCTTGATGAAAAGAAAACTTTGGCGTTCTGCTTGAGGTTGGAGATCGAAAATACGATTCGGTCCGAAAAGAGATCAAGCTACCAGAAGCTTTTACTAGAATCAGCGATGCTCTTACTACTAGAGGTTGCTCAACCAAGTCATGATCAGGTTAGAATTCATTATCATGAGTATACATCACAATGTTTAGCCTATTTGCAGACATCAGTTTTAGATGAGGAAGACTTAACCATCTTCTGGGTTTTTCTCATCTGCGGATTATGCATTGATAGAGAAGTGGACAGGAAAACATTCAGAAGTATTTGTGAGATCAGTGGTACGAAAGATATCCCAAACGGCTTTCGAATCCCTATTCTTGGATTAATGGAGAATGCATGGAAAACGAACGAGGGGCTTCAAATTTTGAATGATACCAAATTCACCACAGAACTTCATGATATTTTAGTAGCACCCTGAGGAGAAGGACATATCGGAGAATGTCGTGTTCAGTTTTTTTCTTTTTTTAGATTTGATGCGTGCAATCTTGTATCCTTTTGCGTGAGGAATGATTTTTCGCAGAAATAGTAGAGTCTCTACACTTTTAATTCACAGCAAGCACTAAAAATCGTTCAAACCAAACAGCTAAGTTATCCGAGGTATTCTTTAGGTTAGTACGAATTCTTGCACATAGCTTGAATGCTGGTCCTATGGTATAAATTTTTCTCGTTTGGTAAGAAAAATAAGTGGTAGGTCTAGCAAGTCTTGTTGTTGCAAACATTTATAGTAATGCCTCTCTTGAGTCTAAATAAGCTATCCTTTGATTTAGCTGTTTTCTTTTTTAAGCTAGTGAACTATTTGGACGATCATGCGTAGTTGATGCAAAGAGTACTCCATATCTCCCACAAGCACGTCGTAATGAACAAAACTAAATAGTATACAATGTAGAGTTCCTACCCATCTTCATTTTCGACTCTTTATTAGTCCAACTTCTGCTTTACAATTACAGAAATCTTCAAATCTCTCGACTAGTTTGTTTAATTCTCTTGAAGTAGAAAGCACTAAATAATCCTTCATTTTTGGTTCAAGTCATTTTCTTGTTTGCCAACGACGACACTGCTTAATATATTCAATTTTTCTAACGATCAAGTGAAATACTGTAATGCTCAGCTACTTGCGTTCATTCAACACTTTATCGATGAGCTCAGCTGCAGCTAACAAACTCTCATCAGTCCCTTTTGGGGACACAATTTGAACACTTGTCAAACCATCTTTGTAATCTTCTGGGACATAATGGGCAAAAATTCCCACAAGATGAGGAGGTAATCTTGGAAACTTGTCATCATCCACAATTTCGGCTTTTTCGTAAGGAACAACGATAGCCGGGTAATCTACGAGGTTCCACATCGCAGTGTATGGAGCAATACCATATGTATCATGTGGTGGCGCAGTTGAAGGAGCAGGAGGGGTAATCAATACATCAAGCTCATTCTCGAGGAAAATATCGTGCCACTTTTGTGAAAACGATTGTGCTTCTCTCAAACAAGCTACTGTTTCACGCAACGTGTCTGGAGGAGTTGGAACATAGTGTTCGATACCAGCCTGAGACAACGACGCGATCAATGGTTCTTCAGCCTCGAATAATGGCTCCAAACTGTCAAATTCGCCTTCAACCTTGATGGTGTAGATGCTTAGTGCTGTCTTCCATGCATTTTCGAAGCAAGGGAAAACAGAAAGAGGAACCACCTTATGGCCAGCTTCCTCTAGCTTCACTGCAGCTGATCTAAGCAGGTGTTTCACAGGAGTATGCACTGGAAGCAGAGGATCTTCGTAAATAATTCCGATCCTTAATTGCTCAGATGGTACTGCCTTTATTGGAGGAAGAAGCGAACAAGTGACATCGTACTTCCATGGCTTCTTCTCTACCATGGTGTCATAAAAAAACTTCAAGTCCTCAAATGAATTAGCTATGGGTCCAGAACTAACATCAATCTGGAAACAAAACGAATCGTCCACGCTGTCCTTAGTGTAGTAAGGTAATCTGTAATTGGACGGCTTAAATCCGTAAGTGTGGCAACATGCACTGGGAATTCTAATAGATCCAGCAATGTCAGTGCCAACGCCTAGGATAGATCCTCTCTGTTTTACGATGGCACCTTCACCTCCAGACAGTCCTCCCGCAGTAAGAGCAGGATTGTTGGGGTTGAGAGTTCTGCCAAAAATGTTGTTCTCCGAGTCTGCCGTCATCATGGTTTGAGGAATGTTTGTTTTAATGTATAACACAGCACCAAGTTCATGAAGCATGTCAACCATAGAAGATTGTTTGAGGCAAACAGCATTGCCGATCCTCTTTGTATATCCGAGGGTAGTATCAATGCCCTCAACATTGAAGCTGTCCTTAATCGAAATAGGAAGGCCATGGAATGGGCCGATTGGCTTCTTGTTTTCTTTGAAATAATCGTCGAGGTATTTTGCTCTTTCCATGCCTCTTTCAAAAAATATTTCTGTTCCACAGTTAGTCAACTGGGTAGCTATAGCGGCGCGGTGCATAAAGGCCTTGGCCACGTCTAAACATTTTAATTCACCATTTGCGAGCTTTTTAGAAAGTTCGGTAGCAGTTGCAATTTCGGTAATAACCAATTCTTCTGGTGTGAGAAGCTTTGCTGGTGCACCTAATATGTCTGCGCGCAACTCTTTGATCTCTTTAGGTCCGAGAACCCACGCTTGGGGAATGTTGCTGAGGACTTCTGCCCTCTTTGCTTCAGCTTTTTCCTGCCAGGTTTCTCTTTTTACTGGTGACATTTTACTTACGGGTTAATACCAGAGAGGGGAGGAGGCTGCCATTTAAACCTACTTTAAATTTGCACCCACATATCGCGCGCTTATCTTGGCGCGCTTTAATCTTAAAACTAGCGCGCTCCTGTACTTATTCTGAGCGGCGTTCAATAAAATAGTTTTGCGCGCTCTGATCTATGATTTAGCGCGCGCCAAAAGTTTATCGCGTTCGTAACCACTCTTATCGCCTTCGAAGCCAAACCAAATCCAGGCTTACATATATAATGATGTTGTTATGTGCACGATTTCATATCACCAAAATTTCGGACTCTGTCCGACATGAAGGTTTGAGTATCCGTTTTTAGAAGATAGTACTTCGTTGCGACAAGCTTATCTCTACGTATGTTCGCTTCACAAGTATTTATACTGCGGCAAAGTTCACAAGCTGTAATCGTAAGAACATTTTGAACCACTTACGATGACTTTCATTAAGTATAAATATGATCTTGATATTCCAGGCACAACAACCTTGGTTGATAGTAATCATGTGCTTACTTCTTCCGCAGAAACAAAGGACGATATTGTTTATGTGCCACAACCTTCAGATAGCCCTGATGACCCTCTTAACTGGTCAATGCGGTGGAAAATGCTCAACTATGCCATTTTGATATTTTTTGTCTTAGTGGCAGCTGCTGCATCAGGCTGGACAGGTGTCGTATACGGGCAATTCACTGCCGAGTTTGGGGTATCCCTTAACCAACTCAATACTGGCTCGGGCTTACAGTTTCTCTTTTTGGCTTTTGGGTGCTGGTTCACCCAATTGATGGCAAGCATCTTCGGAAGGAGACCTACTTACCTATTTTTCTCGTTGATCGTCCTTTTAGGTTCAGTTGTATTTGCTGCTCAAAAGACTTACAAAGGATATTTGGCTTTCAATATTTTAAATGGATTTGGAGTTGGTCCTATGGATACTTTGATTCAAGCATCGTTGTCGGACATTTTCTTTTTGCATCAGCACGGAAGATTGATGGCAATTTACACCATGGCTATGGGTACTGGTTCAAATTGGGGACCAATCCTTGCCGGTTATATGGCCACAAATTCATGGACATGGGCCAACTACAGCGTTATCATCCTTATGGGAATAATTTTTCTTCTCCAACTATTTTTTTTACAAGAGTCTTACTTCGATCGTCTGTCAATTAATTCAGTTCTGGACTATGATTCATCCACCAATAATTCCAAAAAAGAACATACCAAAGTAGTGGTGGAACATGTGATGGTCCTGGGAAATACCTCTTTGTTACTGAAAATGAAATTTATGAAGCCTGTGTACCAACGGAACACTCTTCTTAACGTGGGTATTACTCCATTCCTTACTCTTAGATATCCTGCGGTTGCATGGGTTTCTGTGGGCTATGGAATTCAGATGTGTTGGCTTTCACTTTTATCATTGACTGCTTGGCAATTCTTTGGTGTTCCCCCTTACCTGTTCTCTACTGCTGCTTTGGGTAATATTAACTATGCTGGAATTATCGGTTCTGTGGTCGGCCCAATCTACGTCAGTCTCAGTGATAAATATTGCATCTGGAGGTCCAAGAGGAACAATGGTATCACTGAACCTGAGTACCGTCTCGATTTGATCTGGATCCCTCTTATTTTAAATACGCTCGGATTGTTGATGTACGGTTTGGGGCCAGCATACCAGCTATCATGGGTGGTTGGGGTTGTGGGTCTCGGGCTTATCAACTTTGGAATGTCAGCGATTACCGCATGTATGTTAACTTACGTCATAGAGTGTTATCCAGAAGAAGTCCCACAAACAATGCTGACATTGCTTTTCATTAGGAACATCATTGGGGCTATATTCAATTGGGTGTTTCAAGATTGGCTTGACGCCATGGGAATCAAGAAGTTTACAGCATTAATGGCTGTCTTCTGTGTCGTGTTCAACGGCTTTGGAATTGTCTTCGTGATTTGGGGTAAAGCGTTTAGAAAGTACACCGCAAAATGGAGCACGAGGCTGTTGCCTATCTCTACCGTTACAGTTCCTCCTATTGCTTAAATAATTTTAATTGAAATTTGTTCCCGTTTATACTCATCAGTGTATCTGTGATCCTCTCAAAATAATATGGGGATGAGTAGAACATGCTTTCGCAAAGACTCTTCTTTCTCTTCCAAATTGACTCGGCCTTTCTCTTTTGGATATTCAAACAGTCTCTCTTTCAAAAAGTCAGTATCCGAAGAGGATTCTTGCTCACAAAATTTTGCCTTCTCTTGAATCAAATCTTTTTGCTATTGGCGCTATTTTTCCTGACCATAGTACAAATACCGTAGCGAAAAAAAAAAAAATGCATTGAAGCAGAACTTGCAAACTTAAAGAATAGAGTACTTAATGAGAATAGATGCGTGGCTGATTCATCTATAGGAGAGCAGCCAAAATTGTACTAAATAGAACAAGAAACGAAGTTAGATGTAACTTGAGACCAGAATCAACGCTTGTGGTGGAAACTGCAGGGTGTGGAGAACCTGACGCGACCAGTAATCTAGACGAATGTACGCTGGCCAAAGTAGACATTGTATAAGAGTTTGCCTTCTTCGTGTTAAGCAAGTCAGTTCCGTGATAGTCTTGCAGTTCAGTCGCAATGGACATCGATGGATCAAAAATCGGCTCATTAGTTGTTGAAGAGGTATGAAAATCGACATATGTAGACGCCTTTGTCGAGGTATAAAGAATGGTAATGTTATCTCTTTTACTGGATGTCAAGCTAGCAGTTACTGGACCCCATCCGCTGTCTTCTGACGGCGATAGGTTGTCACTGGTGCAATCACCGCAAGGTAAAGAAAGAGTATCCTGTTGCGAAACATGGGCCAGAGATGCAGCAAAAGTGGAGGTAGAAACAATAGAAAAAGTTTCTCTTTGTGAAGTAGTTTCTGTGAATGCAACACCTTCTGAAGATTCCATTTCAGGCATCAGCTTATGCTGATTCGAAAGCATCAGGCTAAATTCGATAACATCACTCGCTGACTGCTTGGGATCATTATCCGAAGGAACACCGACTGTGTTCGTCAGTGTATGTGACAAAATGAAATGCACAGAAGTCGGCACGGTAACCGACTCTTCAAATAGTGTGGTTTTAGAAGAGAGCTTTCCGGAAGGTATCATAGAAGATGGTAAATCTGTTTCGGAACTTGGCAGATAAGGAAATTGCAACCCTGTTTCTGAAGCCACAGCGGCTGTAGAAGGATCGCCATACTTATGAGATTGAGATGGTGGCAGGATATTCGTGGATGTCGAGACAGATAAGGGGACTTCAGATCTAACATGTGTAGAACTATTAAAATATGCTTTGAAATAGTTACTGCTCGCCACACTTTCAAGGGACAGAGCGGATAGTAAAGTGGACTGCTCTCCATCTATAGTGGTGGCTATTGCAGCAATTGTGTGTTTCTGAACTGTGTTATCTGAAGTGAAAAATACTAAAGTAGAAGTAGGAAGACTATGTTTAACAGCTGAAGAATCTGTAGAGCCACTTCCGTTCAAAGAAAGTGAAGAAGCCACATCAAAAGTTGACAGTAGAGCAAAAGTGTTGGACTTCAATATCAGTGACGGTTTTTGCTTATGATTTGATGACACATTATCAGATGAAAAGTTCAATCCCAGGGATGCGTCAGTTTTAGAGGTATGGCTTGTGCATTCTGGACATTTCTGAACTGCGGTAAAACTTTCAGAAGGTTTAGACGTTACCATGGTGACTTCCCCATCAGAGTCTGCTTTCAGACTTACTTCACTAGGAACATGTGTAGTAGGTGAAATAAAAGATGAAGTTGATGGATCCAGCTTCAGGGCGGCTTTTAAAGAAGACGTTTGGAGAAAAGCAGATGTGCTTGCAGTTAAAGCACCATTGGAATTTGTGGTGACATCCACGATGGCCGAAACTGTCTCCACAGATCCTCCAGATTGGACTTGGGGAAACGTGATGGTGTATCTGGCACATCTTTCACAACCAGTTTCTAACAGGTGGCCGTCTCCAGTATTTGAGTACCTTCCAGACGATACATCTTGCGACATAGATGATTGTTCATGAGATACGTATGCTGAGGCAGATGACTGCGGGAAGATGGAAGCAGAACCGCTTGAATATGTCTGCACGTTAACTGTGTGATATGTGGTCAAAAGGTCGCTCTTAGTAGGTAAATCAAGTTGCAAGCTAGATGAGTGTGCAATGATTGACAAATGACCTGTCATGGTATTCTCAGAAATAGCACCTTCAGAATTCGATACCGACCAAGAAGAGGAGATAACATTAGCACTAGTATGTGTTCTGGAGACAATGTTAGATATTACCTTTGAAATTTCTTCGGAATGGGAAGTATGTAAATCGTTTGTGTGAGCTCTTGTGCTCAGTTCTGCACTCTTTTGAGTTATTGTGGAAGACATGTCTTCTGAAGCCGAAGGAATACTCTCTGAGGAGGCCACATTGGAAAATATAGTCGATTCTGATTCACCACCAGAGCTTTGTGTTAAGTAATTTTGAACATCGGAAGATTTAGCAACCCTAGCAGATTGAACAGTATGGAATGATTATTCAAGCTTGGAAGTGCTCTTCATACTCAGTAATAATTCAGACCTTAAAGTAGCAGAAGCAGAATACGTAGTCGTTGATGGGATCTCAGATCTCAGGGTTCCTTCAGAAACTTGAATATTTGGAGAACCTGATGGGTATATAGAATGAGACTTCTGTTTAGTAACACTTTCAGACCTGGTATTACTCTCGGACGTATACGCAGTGTGAGAACCGGGGACATTTTTAGAACCCAGAATGGCTTTCTAAAGCCGAGACGAGACGAGCCGCAGATGTGCTTTCAGTAAATGATGCATTTTCAGACGTAGAAACTTTGTAAGTTGTACGTACTTCACGTGTAGAAAAACCAGAAGCTTGCCGCATAGTACTGGAAACGTCCCTGATAGCAGATGAGACAATAACGGCACTTGAAGAATCACTGCTGGTAGGAGATATTCTAACAGGACTAGCATATTCGATGTTAGTAGGAGAAATTCTGGTAGTACTCGAAAAATCGTTGCCTATACTGGAGGTGCTTTCAACAAAAGTGATACTTTCCAAAGATGATTTATGTTCTGGGAGTACTGAGCTGGCAAACGACAGTGTCTCAGTAGAATGTGTGAGACTGGAGGTTATTGAAACTTGTTTGGACATGGAAGCACTAGAAGTATGGCTATCATGAAACATGTCCGAAGTCAAGGCAACGGAGATTTTACTTGAAACAATGGCAGATGATAACAGAGACAAGAATTTATCTGTCCTAGAATCAGAATGGGTTGCAAAATCACTGTGAAGTGTTGTTGTGGAATCCTTGGTGCATTCTGGACAAGGGTAGTCTGTCAAGTCAGTAGTAAATGCTTCTGCAGCAAGTGAGGTGGACCTGGTTGATACAGCATTAGATGAAGAGTCCACAAAGTCTAAATCTGACGATTTTAATTGCAGTGAGACCAGTGTGGAAGAAAAACTAAGTCTTGAACTTGAAAATGTACGCTTCTGATCACTCGTCTCAGTACGGAGATCTGTGGGAATAACCAATTGATGGGAACTAGTCGAAATAGATTCAAAAAACGTATTAGACAGTGTATTGGATGGGGAAGACTTGGTGCCTTCTACGTGTTCGGTTGATGAATGGCTGACAGAGAGATGAGAAAGTGCAAAGCTGGAGCCAAAACCTTTGCTTGACGTGTTCATAATCACTTCCCCTGGGCTAAATTTGGAAGACGTACCTTGACTTGCATGAGAACTAAGCCTGGAAGTTGCCAATTGATCATCTGCAGAAGAAGTTATAGTCCGTGATTCGTAACTGTGTACAAGGTGGGAATTGCTGGAGGCAGCTGTTAAACGTGTTTCATGCAATGGTACTTTTTGGTCATTGCTTGAAAACGTAGCTGTATGTGATTCCACAGAAGAGGTATTCGTATCTTTAAAGGACGGATCTTGTCTTGTTTTTGTCGGATCTTTTATATCATACGTATTTGTTGATTGACTCGGTTCAACCTCCAACGCAAGAGAAGAACTGAAGTCCCGATTCAGTACCTCCGTTGACGATGAAAGAATAGAATGGGGATCTTTAGTAATATAGGTGATGGATTTCATTTCTATCAGGCTAGAAGAAGCTTGAGAAGAGCTGTATTTTTTCAGTTGAAGATTGTGGTCGGAGCTTGACATTTGTGTTGAAATGGAGTAGTAAGTGGAACTAGGCTTGTAGATAGTGCCGTTTTCATGCTTAAAAACATGACTAGATCTGGATACTGAGCTGGGATCTGTTCCAGAAAAGACAGGATCAGCGCTAGTATGTGGGTCGATATCGCTGTGTCTAGTTTCGAGGCATTCTATCTCAAGTGTTGTGATAGGTAAGGAGGACTCGTTGGTGATTTCTGTTGCAGTAGTGAGATTCTCATTAAAGTTATTCGAAGTGACACTTGGGTTCATGCTGTTACTAGCTCTAAGCTGAGAACTTAATGAGGCAAATTCGCTGCTAGAGGTAAAAAGAGCATCTTTACTGCTTTTCTGGTCCAAGTATGTGTTAGTAGTGGTACTGGGGTCTATTCTGGCCCTTGTTGGCAAGACATAGCTGCTTGCATAGCCTGTGTTTTTAAGGTAACGACTATCAAGACTGGAAGACGCAACATCGACACTTGGCTTACTTTTTACACTTGAATCATGACTATAAGTTGAAAATGGAAAGGTAGCCAGACCATAAGTCGTTTTCAATTTTCGGCTAGAAGATTGGAAAGTTGAACTCTTCCCCCCAGCTTTATTGATTTCAACAGATGAATATGAGGAACTTGATCCATGAAAAGTAAGTAAGGATTTTCTATATTGTGTAGGAACTGAGGTTGGAGAAATATTGATCTCGTAAGAAGTGGTTGGAAAATCCGAGCTTGAAAATCGTTCATAAGTAGAAGAATCCAATCTAAGATCATCCTTCAGATTTTTTTGGTGGCTGAAGTTTATAGAAGAGCTCAGTTCGATTTTAAGTGCTGACTCGGTTGTAGAGCTAATTGAATGTTCCTCTCCAGAAGAGTATGATGCCTTTTCTGATGAGATTTGTGTGTATTCTGGCTGAAGACTCGTTTTTAAGGAAGCGGAGATGTATACTGGCCTTGACGTATGTTTCGATTTAGAGGTGGATAACTCGTTTGAGCTTTGCGTTTCATAGCTTTTGGCTGGTTGGTCACTATTTGTTTCCGGGAATTTTGATGTTGAACTGAATATTTTACTGGAGCTGCTAGAAGTGACAAAGGGAGGCTCTCTATTTGCTGGTAAAGGTGTATCGTGCGTTTGCGAAACAAGCTTCACATGATGTTGGGAGAAGCATTATCAGGTGGCGGGTGCTTGTACATCACATATGACGTGATAGAAAAACCACCGATCGTATCTCCACCACCTATCTTAATATGTTGCTGTTCATAGCCTTCACCCACATTAAAATAAAAGGTGTTGAAATCAGCAACAACAGTTAAAACACTCCCTGAAATGGTAGCAGAAAAAACAATACCTAAGAAGCCAATCTTGTTCTTGTTACCCCAACCGGCGATGTTAATGTATTCAGATGGAGCCTCCAACCCAAAGCGAACATATGAAGACGAGGAGGCAAGGTAGATGGTTTGGCCAGAGGAAAGTGGCCAAGTGCTAGGAAGATCTTCAATCAAGATGGATTTTTCTCCAACTGTGTAACAACCTGTGCCTTGCACATTAGAATGCTGGTACATGTTCATTTTGTGCAAGCAAATAGTTCCATCATTGGTGACAGTTTGAGAAGCCCGACCAAAATGTGAAATTCCACCGTTGTTTTCCACGTCCTGATGAAAGTGGATAGTGCCATGGTTTTCTGGGGTTACCCACCAATCTGCCCAAATGTTCATATTTGACCCATCTGAATCGCCACGGCCAAGCATAAAAATATCTCCATTATTCACAAAGGTAGGGCCATTGAAGTTGAAATTTGGATCTGAAATTTCATTCCTTGGCATTGAGCACAACTCGGCCATTATTGGTGATGCCTTGGAAAAAGTAAACGGACATTCCCACGTTCATTCCGTCATCGCCGATATACAACTGCCCGTCATTGGTAACTGCATTCTTGAAAGAGTTGTACGTGTCCCCCTCCTCGTTGTTATAGGATAAGTAACTTCCCCCATTTACGAGAAGACTATCCCAAACATCGGCATTTCCAACGATGTCCGTATTCTGGCTAATGGTTATTTGCGAGAATGCAGTACTGACAATCACCGATAAGCTTACAAGCAATACGTGAGTTGAGAGCATCAGCTGGTGGTATCTACAGAATTGTGACAGCCTCGGCTCTATTAATATAGTGAAGAAAAAGTGTTATCCTTCTGTCTCGTTATTGCAAAATGCGCAAGGACAATGACGCTTCTGGAAATTAAGAGCTCGTTTACGTTTATGCATGATGTACACAGCGGTTAATTATGCACGAAGTTGATTATATGTCTGTCTAAAAAAGATTACTGTGAGTTAGTTACACCTAAAGCATCCTTACCTAATCAATTTGAGGATACCGAAAAAGAAAGACGGGCGTTGCGTGAAAAGTTTTCAAACGACAACACCATTAAGAAACTGCAACTTTGTGTCCTGTATTACAGTTTGCTTTTGGTTGCTTTTTATTTTCAAATGAATTTCTTTATTATATCGAAATTGAAATATCCCAATTCACTCTTGCTTCTACTCATCGAAGAAGATTTTGTTCACATGCAATTACACCCTCCAGATATCCTATATTCAATATTGACTACTGCTACTGTTTCGAGGGTAAGCGGTCAGGGGTATTAAAAACTTTGAAGCCTACGAGCTGGTAATAATCACTCAATTCAAGTCTTCAGTAATACTTGAAAAACGGCAGAAGAAATGAAGACGTATAACGTTCGGCATCCTATTGTATGCACCGCGCTTTTAAATTGTACAGATTTGATCTCTTCGTAAGCTGTATTGCATATGTGTATTTTAGCTTCAGGCTTGCATATTTACTAGTTTCGGTTTTAGGGCGTAGCCAAGCGAGATGTTTTCTGCTTTGAAGGCAATTTCCGAGAGCTTCTTAGATTCTGCATTTCTTGAGCTCCTAGAGTTTACTGTGCTTATTAAAAACATCAGTACTACTGTGGCTTTTATAGATATTTCTTCTTCGTTATCAAATTAACGAATGTGTAAGTTGCCATTCTTTTCTTCCTGTTTCTTAGTTGATGCAGACGATGGAATTAGCGTGGACCCATGACACTTCCCTGCACATCTACCTAAAATGCAAACTTCTCGTCAAGTGTATGGTGCCATGCTAACTATGCATTACATCGCTTAAAGATTCCAGTAAGTGGAGCATATCATCGTTAAGAAGCCTCACACATGCAAGTACCTGAAATGATGGTTCTATTATCTCATTGGCTCATAGGTTGCTTCTTAGCGCGTCTAAAATCCTCCTGTCTACTGCGACCCAAATCGACTTAGGCATTTTTTTTAATTATTATTCTTACTATTAGTTAACGTTTAAGATCCTTTTTGATTTCGAGGAGACTGACAATGGATGACAATTCTTTGTTAAATGAATTGCGAGGAAAATAATAACTTTTAAAGTTGCGATAAATGCACCGTAAATCGATGTACGTAGTATACTCATGTCATGGGAACTCGCAATCGTCCCACAATAGACGTATATGGGAAACAAAATCACTAAGTTCCAGCCATGCTACAAGAGATACAAGAAAATAAAATCAACCAAATAGATATTTGCGTGCGCCAAACCATTTTTTCCTTTCGTGTCTAATCAGCGAAGCCTATCATGCTTCAACAAATGTTACTTTTGCTCCTTCTGGTACTGATTTCATTCAAATTTTGCTCTTTTTTTCTTAAAACATAATTTTGCCATAAATAACATACCATAGTAGCAAACATGTAGTTTATTGGATGTTTTCGATTTTTCTTGGTCTATTTCAAGTTTCTTCATCTTTCAATCAATTCTCGCGAATTTTGAAAATGCACCAACATTTGTACAAACTGCAGTTTATAAAGCTCGTTGTCCTCGATTACAGAATGTAAGACTGAAACAAGTTTTTTTACCCACAATGGAGTATAGTTTTTTTATTCTGTCATATTCTCAAAGGCTGTGTCTGCATCGAAAATAAATGAGTTCATAGTAACTGAAGCACTTGGTATCCAAGTTATCGCACAACCATAAAAAGTATAAATAAGATATTAATTAAAAAGAAAGTATGAACAGCACCTATGAAAACTTAGGTTTTCATAGCAGCAGAACCCATGACAATAAAACCATTGACCAACGAACAGACCTTACCACTTACCATATTGGAAACCTATCGAGGGATGGAAGCACCGTGTTTGATCCCTTGAAAGCGCCCGAACAGCCTGTACCCGGAACGCCCAACACCCCTGACAAGCCGGCCATTTCGACCTCTACGCAAGATGTTATAGCCAAAAATATTCGTTCTCTTCCATCTCACCTTGAGTTTCCTTCCGCGTAGAGGTGTTCCATCCATTCGTGCCATGGCTTGAGAAGCCCCTTCCACCAGCGAGAATTCCAAGTAGGCATATCCATTAGGAAGACCAGTAGTTTTGTCTGATAGTATTGTGACTCGCACAACATCTTCGTTCGATGAAAAGCGCAACGCCAATTCAAGCGCAGTAACATCCCTATGCAAATTCCCTATATAGACTGAACGGGAATCCACGTCAGAAGTAGATACTTTATTCATGGTAGAGTTCGAGATGTCATCCAATTGCGAGCTTATATCTCGCAACATGGCTGCTTCCCTCTCTAATTCTGTCAACTGCGACTCAAAGCTCATCTCGTTCCCGATTTGATTGTGGGCTGAGGAAGCTTGTTGGTCAAGTGCCTGCACTGAACCATTATTCGAAGGGAGCATTATTCCTGGGTACGTAGAGCCAAGATTGTTTGTTTCATTTTCGCCGCAAGGTTCTTGGCAAGACTGTAGTATGGGTTTGGAAAGAGACATTTCCGTGACGTTGAGAAAGTGTAGTGCACACAAAACAACTTGTTGCAGTACTACATATTCAAGACCGGAAAGTCGCGATCCCGATTAAGGTTCTTGAGTAACGAGTTTCCTTTAATAGACCGTGGAGCACTAGGAGTTTCTCTAGTGGTCGATGTTGCACCGTAGTAATTTTGTGCTTTCCTTTTTCCTTTACCTCGTGCTAAAATAGGATCTCTTTCATTGCCCATCATGTCATCGTCAGTCTCGTAACCATGATCCTCAAGGAAATCCTCGTCTGAGGTAACGCGCATGAACGAAGGTTCATTTGGCGACAAAGGTTCATTTGCGAACATGAAAGGCTCCGACTTTTTCCGGGAGTTGCCGCTCCCGAGGCAAACTATTAGCGTTGTCATGACAAAACCAAATAATATGACACCGATTATTATGCCAATGCACACACTGATCCACCCAATGTGGATGTGCAAAAAGTTCTTTGGTGCGTCAAACCATTCTGGCTTGAGAGGTTTATCAAGAAGAAACACACAACTAGAGTTTGGGGTCATGACGTTCGTGCATCCATGCGAAACGATTTTCACCTTGTGGTCCGATGATTCAAACCCGCTTACTTCACGGTTCAAATGAAGAAAAGTCTCCCCCGTAGCCTTGTTCTTGATGCACCTGAAGTTTCCATACGTGTGGTTTGTATGGAAGATAAAACTTCCGTTAGAATCGTGGTGCACAGAATTTACACACTGGAGTAAAGTGTCAACGTCAGTATTTGGAACCAAATGCAATTCCAAGAATTCCGAAAGACGGTTGTAGCTTGCACTAATATTAGAATCTTTCAACAGATCAGGCGAGGGAATCAACAAAGAGTATTCAGAGGGCTTTCCTTCCTCATTCAAGTTTAATGTGTCGACAAGTTGCGGTATCTGCTCAACAAGATGCAGAAAAGAATAGTTGGGGTAAGAAGCAATTTCCGTTGTCTTGACCAAATTTAAAAGAGAAACGTGAAAATTGTCAGGAAGTAATATTTTGCTCGTGATGTGAATAACGCCTTGACTGAAGAGAACATCGGAATTTAACGGCATTGAAAAAGATGTGTGGTTAACCGTGATGAGATGATTCACATCACCGCTCCTGTACCTCTCGGAAATGTTAACGTAATCTCCACGGAGTGTTTTCACTTCAGTAAACAGTTCTCTTTCGTCCTGAAGGCCAAAATCGGAGTAAACCAAGTCTTCAAGAAAGAAGCCCTTCAATATATCCTTCAATTCATGCGGATGCGACTCCAAATACTTCATTACTAACCCCAAACTCTTCCATGAACCGTAGTTTTGCTGCGAAGATTTGCCCCTTCCGTCCCATACGGTGTTTCCGCAGGGGAGAAATGCACTATAGCCTTTATGATTTTCCGGAAGAGAAAGCATACTGAACTGACTTAGGTAGTTCAAGGTCGTTAGACACGATTCTTTGTCGATGATAACATGGTCGAGAGTGCCCCTAACCACCTCGTTAGAAATTAGATCCGCTAGCGTATGTTTGAATGAACTAGGTACCAAAAACTCGTCGTCCGCAACGTAGATAATGTTATCAGAGCTAGCATAAATCGGTAATGAACTTACTCTGACGTCATCATTGAACAGTACTTTCTTCCTTCCTTCTGAGACTGTACCATATACTTTCACTTTGAAGCAGGAGTTGATTCCGCTTCCGCAGACATAATTTAGAGAATACCAAATGGCGATAGGAGGCGCTTTTATCTAATTCTTTGTGGACATCAACAGCACCGTCCAAAAAGTGATAGAGCATCGACTGCTTGTTGCTGAATGAGTTCGATGAGACTTTCTTCGCCGCTAAAAAAGCATCATCATCAACATAATCGTCTCTGTCAGATACTTCAACCACAATTGTTTGATTTTTCGTACTTCCGTCGATGAGATATTCCAATTTTCTAAATTTTAGTTCCTTCACAAGATATGAGAAGTGCATAGCGTAAAGAGCCTTTCTTGGTATCATTTCTGCTGCTTCGATATTCAAATCAGAGAAAACATTTGAATCAGAATTGTCCTCGACATCAATAACATGCACTAACCCATCTGCAGCAACTATAGAGGTGCCGTTCACCGCGGTCCTTACTCTTCCATTAAGAATCAATTGTTGGGTATCTTTATCTTTGATTATCTGATAGGAATGATTGCCCAATGCAGTCTTCTGTGTGCTGTTGGAATATCTATTTCCACCAATGACATGAGGAAAAAGTAGGTTCAGTAGAAGTTGCAAAATATCAGCTCTGACTTCACGGATCGCATCTTTACTAGGTTTTAGATGTGCTTGAGTGATGCCGCTGAAAAGAACCGTATAATACTTCTTTTGCAAATCCAGTAGTGAAGCGTCAATGACAGAATCGGAGGGGATCAAAATTGTCGACACATTCGCTGTATATTCTTCGCACGACATTTGGAATCCAGAGCCACGGATATTGGTAAAAGCCAGTTGGAATAATTGTTTGATGAAAGAAATAGAGTGTCCATTAATTGATGTGTGATGCGAATCCATTAGCATAGAGCACAACGTAGGAGGTACAGGTAGTAGTCGATCTATCGTATGAATGTAGGATCTCTGGTGCTTTGCGTAATAATTCGCCTCCACAATGTCGGCAAAATCGTTTACCTGAGCGCCGTTGGGAGTACTGGTGACTTTTAGAGGAAAGCTCGTGTTACCATCGCGGTAGTGCTTAGTGATGTAGAGGGAATCGAGAATCACATCCTCTTTCCCAGAGGGGTCAATAGACAGCCGTTCATCAGCAAAATACCGCTTGAGAGTATCTGTGGTGTCGTTGATGGCAAACTGATCATCCACAAAAGCCAGATTCACGGGAGCAAATAACGTAACGTTCAGGAGCTTGTTCACTACCGGTATGAGATTGTGCTTTTGCAAATGTCGGAGAAAGTAGGAGAATTGTGCGCTTGAAGACAAGTAGTCCACGATTGTAGACGGTTTGGGCACAGGGCTTTCAGAAGGTTTAGCAGTTGGCGAAGCGTCAAGAACATGTGCCACCACTAGCCACAAGAACCAAAAACAGAAGAGCATAGTGCACCGGAGCTAGGGATCCTCTTAACCGGATGAAGCAGGCTTGGAAAAAGGTTGGCAAAATTTAGTCGAAACGGCTCAAATCCCGAAGTGTCGAATCCCTGTACGTTTAAAGGCGTGAATGATTGAAGACGCTAAGATTAATTATGCTACTGCTAAAACGCACTCTGGAGTGCATACAGAAAAAGCCATAACGGCGTACAGAACTACAGCAACGCGGATATTCTAAGTTGCGTGTATATGAGCCCAGCTCTGGTACATAATTAACAAATTAAACAGAAACTTCTTCGACTGAGACTGCTTCAGCCTTGTCGTCGGTATCAGGAAGAACCTCAGTCTCGCGTCTGAAGGCGTGTTCGCTTGGAACGAATCCAGGAGACTTCCAGGCCTTGTCGACCTTTTCGTACAACTCGTCAACTTCCTCCAAGGAAAGACCCTTGGTCTCGTAAATGCTGTACCAAGCAAAGAGGAAGCACAAGAAGTTGCAACCACCCCAGATGAAGAACACCTTAGAGCCCAAGTTACCCTTGTCTGGCTCAACCATGTATGGAGTAGCAAAAGCAATGGCCCAGTTCCACAACCAGTTGGAAGCGGCACACAAAGCAACAGACTTGGCTCTAGTTCTCAATGGGAACAATTCTCCGACGACAACCCAAGCAGTAGGACCCCAAGTAGCTGCGAAGAAGGCAATGAAAATACATGAGAAGGCCACAAGACATTGCTTTGCGGCGTGACCCGATCCAGCAACTCCAACGATAGCGACAACAAATTGCGAGAAGGACATTCCAGCAGCTCCCACCAACAAGATGTTTCTTCTTCCAACGATTTCCATCAAGAGGATACCTGGCACAGTAGAGCCAACATTAACAATGTTAGTTGCCAAAGAAGTCACGAAACCGTTCACACCAGCGCTTTGAAAGAAACTGGTACCAAAGTAAAAAATGAAGTTAACACCGGTCAACTGTTGGAAAGCCTGGCAAAGAACACCTGTAGACAATCTCTTCAACTGATGGTTCTTGTTAGAAAATACCTGAGACCAAGAAGATTTTCCGTACTCAATTTCAAATTCATAGGCAGCCTTGATATCATCTAACTCTTCAACCAAGTCAGGGTGGTCACTAGGAAGCTTTCTCAATATACTCAAAGACTTGCGTGCCTTTTCGTGTTCACCTTTAGAAACATAGAATCTGGGGGTCTCTGGCAAAAAGATCATACCCACACCCAAGATGATGGACCAAATCATTTGAAGACCAAGAGGGATTCTGTAACTGGCACTTGAATCCATTTTGTGAGTTGCCTGGTTAAAAACAGCAGCCAAGAAGATACCAATTGTGATTGCCCATTGGTAACAAGAAACAACAGCACCTCTAATCCACTTTGGAGTTGCCTCAGACTGGTACAAAGGAATTGTAGAGGAAATCAAACCAACTCCAAGACCAGCAATAACTCTTCCAACACAAAGCAAAGGAATACCAGTAGCTGCAGTTTGCAAAGCAGCACCCAAATTAAACACAATCAAAGAAGACAAAATAATACACCAACGTCTACCGAGAGTATCGGTGACAAATGGTGCTGTAATGGCACCAATAAAAGTACCAACAGACAAGATAGAAACAATCAAGGACGATTCAGAAGAACTGAACTTATGTTTGTTGGATGGAAATCTTTCTTTCACATAGTCCATGGCCATAACACCAGAAATTGTACCTGTGTCGTATCCATAAAGAACACCACCAAAAGCAGCGAATGCTCCTACGAGAATTCCCATAGAAGTGGATCCTGCTTTCTTTTCACCGACATTGATAAACCTTCTAACAATTTTGCTGTTTTCCAAACCCATTTTTCCGTAGAGAAGCAAGCAAAGAATATGTTGAAAACACCGTTGGAAGCAGAAAAAATTGGCTACAATTTATAGTCTTTTGTTCCGCTCGTCCCCTCATTTCCCCATGTCGAATTTTTACTAAAAACTAGAAAGAATGGGGAAATATTAGGTCGATTGGTAGAGACGAGGCTGAGACGCAGTCAGTATGCAGACCAATATGTATACGGCTGGGTTTCTCCACAAAATGGAGGGAAAAACTGCATTCAAGATGAAGAATGCAGTACATGCAAGAAAAATATTCCGATCTAGCGCGTTTGGGCCAATGAAAAAGCTTTGGGTACCGAAGCGTGCATATAATGTGATGTTAATCCGCGCATTTGCGCGGCGTAGATGCAGCTTCTGTGCTTCCTCCTCCTCTCATCTGTGGGGTAACACTACAATTTCCCCGTAAACGTACAAAATCGAAGCCCCAGCGGGTAAAACATCTCGTAATGCATGGGGTGAATCCTCTTTTTGACACAACTTTGTTTGCTGCTTTGGGTGAGAGCGGGGAAATGCCTAAATAGTTGCTACTGAAAGCTTTTTGCGTTAGGAAAAACTCCCTCGGGGCAGGAAAATCCTGAGTGGGGTTAATTCTCGGCACTTCGAAAACGCTCAGTAGCAAGATTATCCGATCTGCTATAGGAGACTTTTTTGAAGCATGATGCGACAAACATAGGACTTCGAATTATTGCTAGTGGGTTAGCTAACTTCGTAGCCTTCAGAATAAAATATTAGAGCAACCTTACAATGAAACAAAAGATGGAACTGCAGTGTTACTCCTTTATCGGAGGCAGTCCAAGCACGCTATCTGCAATCCTCGTCCCATGCTGGCGTTTTATTTTTTCCTTTTTCATGCATAGCTCCCTTGATTTTTGAAGTATACCTTCAGAAAAAATTTATTTGGAGACTCAGGACAAAAGACTAAAAACAAAATTCAAATATGGGACTCCGCGATTTACTATGGCACCAGTAATGAGTATCGAGTTTCAGTGTGTTTTTATGAAAACCATCATTCCGACAAGCTTTTACTTCACATCGAAAAGCAGCTGAGGAGAAGTCGAAATAATTGAACCTCCAACATGCATGAATTACTACTGGGGAAGAAAGGAAAATTACGTGCAAATAGGGGTATACTTTATTCCTCGACAACAGATGATCACGGCTGAAGCAACAAAATAAAGACAATCTAATTTGGCCTTCTGCCAGAAAGCAAAAGGAATCTCCCACTATCAGAACGAATATGCTAATATATTTTCTCGAGAGGGATAATAGGATCAAAAAAAAATTTTGTTCATGAACTCGATTTTAACATTAGATGATCTGCAAGATGAAACTGAGAAGTAAATAGACGCATTTTTTTTAGAGAGTAGTGATTATTATCTGACTGAAACCAACTTTTTACATCCAATATCAGCAAGTAAACGCGTCCTTCGTCATAGTAGAAGAAATCAAGTCTATTGGGGGGTTACCGGGGGATTTTCATACTCCCCATTCATGCAGTGTAATTCCTGATTTTAGTGTGTTGTGAAACGCGAGTGTCAATTCTTCCGTCTAATGTACCCCCGGAACTATGCGGGCGGAGAAGAGGAAAATTCAAATGTGCGGCAGAAAATATCGCATACGTCAAGACAAGAGACAATAATTTTTGCTCACTAGGTTGAGCACTGTTTTTAATCAAAAAGAATTTGAATTGTGGTTGATTACAATACTACGACCAGACCGAGAACCTATAAAGAAGCCACGAAAAGTAAACAAAAATTTCAAAACATGCCTCTTTCAGGTGTTTAAAGTTCAAAAGAACAGTGTAGCAAATGTCAAGCTGAGAGTCTCAAACTTCCATCGACTTCAAGTCAATAGTCCCCCTAAGAAGCGCGCGCCAGCACAAGGCTAGCGGCGCTAATTAGAGGTTAAGGTCTCGTTCGTTATCGCAATTAAGCAGACAAATCACTCCACCAACTAAGAACGGCCATGCACCACCACCCACAAAATCAAGAAAGAGCTCTCAATCTGTCAATCCTTATTGTGTCTTTGACTAGGATGAGCATTCGTTAATCGATGTTTTTCATGAAAAAACTTTCACACCCTGCTAACGATCTAAGGACGATGATCTCCACAATTGTGAGTTTACAGAACAACAATGTAGTGTTCTTTTCACTTTTACCTTTGGCGTTGTCTGGCAAAAATGTTGACGGCCCATTATTCTAACCAATAAATCATCACACTCAATCATTGCATTTGAGTGAGCAGTTCATTAAATTGCGATTGTCAGCCCCGCAGCTGTCAGCCCCGCAGCCTTAGTTACAGGTTGTGTATTAGTTACAGGTTGCAGAAATACCTGACTGGATACTCTGAAGGAAGCTCTGCATATTAATATGACAGACTCCGTTTCGTCATTAGGGTATGGACACCTTTACTGAAAGGGATAGTTCAAAAAATATTCCTTTGTGGCAAATTATGTGTGTGTTTATCTTGCTTCTCATTTCCGATGGGATCAGAACCTAAAGAAATCTACAACCGTTTGAAGAAAGAGAGTTGTTTTCCGCTTTTACTGATGTTCTTATGGCATCATGAAAATAGGTGGGGCCCATTTACGATCTTTTTGAGCGATGTCTTAAAAGAGAGTTTTCTTTGGGCTTACTTATTCGCCTCGCATTTGACGCAGGTCCAATGACAGTGAATCGTACTAAATGATCGACAGTGCTCATGCATATCCGAAGTGTGTGTGTGATGGTGTATATAAACTGCGCCTAAGTGTGATGCTGCATATAATAAACATCTTGCAGTTAAGTCGTAGATGCATGTCGCAAATGCACAGAAAACTTTTTTCGCGAGCTTCCATTGGCTTAATGGGGAATAGCCGATTCTGTTCCCGTATACTCTCGTAATGGGAACGAGCGGAAGTAAGAGATAACCGTAGATTGGGTTAAGTTGGATGTGTCACACATCGCTAAGAAAAATATTAGTGTCTTCAACATCTGAGTCTAACAAGTACCACCCCTTTCACCCCTTTTTCTGAACTCTTGCATGAGACGACACACTCGTACGTCTGGCTCCACCGTACTTGAACTATTAACTTTGGTGTGGATACACAAATCCACCCACTACTAGGGACACACATATCCGCCTTCGATGGCACATGACACCGCCTTTATGCATAATGTATTCCAAGCATCTTCTCTGCATGAATGCAGCTACGCCACTTTCCACTTGCACCGTTCTACCGTTCCGCGCAGATTCCTGTTCCTAAGAGCAACATGACATACGCCGTTGATGTCAAGAATAAAGCTATTTTCAAACATAATGAGCGGATAGACTCATAGTTTCATAGGCTAATAAGGCTATAGCAAGCATTATGGTTGCGGTTTTGGCGGTTGTTAAACAATGAAGTCCATTGTTTATACAATGCATCATACAGAAATTTTTTTCCTGCGACAAAACTCGACTGTAGAGTATGCAAACTAAATCACCTAAAAAACGTTTTCGTCGCTTGCAAGTTTTGCTTACCTGATTACAGATATCTAGCCCTGTATATTGAGGTTTGCCGTCATAGCGGTCTGTTCCCCAGAGTCGTAATGTACTAGTTGAATTACTAATTCGAATTTCCGACAAGATACGAATGCCGAAGTGCATGACTGTATCCTGCATGGTCACAACCCAATTTCTTTTTCTGGATTTCTGCCTTCGATTCACACGCAACTTACGACATGTGTTACCATTGGTTGTTCAGAGGTTTTCCTATGTCCCCTATCGAACGAAAGATATTGCAATACATAAGGGAAAAGGGAGAAGAAAAGGTAGACATCTTTCTTGCGATGTCCGCATCAACCTGTTCCTCAAATGACCGACAGTAACACGACAGTCTGAACCGAATCGCCGATGTCGCAAACAAGGTACAAGAAACTTCGGTCGAAGAATCTTGAGCGGATCGGCGGAAAACAAAACGTTTCCGCGGAAAGTCTCACGCCACGTGTGTTAAAGGCTGTGCTGCGCGTATCTGCATTCGGTGTGTAGTATTTTTTACCTTTTTTTACATTTCTTCGACCCCACCTTAAAAATTTTCGGCGTTTCGCGTAATTACCTTTCAACGTAGAAGGGTATGGAAGCCTGAAAGGGAAGTAATTTACCGCAGCATATGTCAACGGGCGACAGAGTACAAAGAATGAAAATTTCACCAGTCTCGTAACCCCACAGCTTTTGTTTATCCAAGGCACGGTTCAAGACTAACCTGCATCTACAGGTTGACACATTACCTCAGCAATTGTGCTCGCATGATGCAACGCCATGTCATTCTATTATCAACCCATCATCTCTCCTTTGCGTAATTGCTGGGTATCTTCAGACAATGATCTGAATCTATTGTTTGTAGATCTATAGTAGCGCACTGCAGATGCGAGAGATTGTTCTCAGTAAAGGTGAGGTATACTGGAACACTTGCATATGCGAGTTTCGCGTAAGTAGCTAGAGCTGTGACCTACGCATGCATCTTGGGCCTGAGATGTACTTTAACACAACATGCATGGGCTTCTAGAAAAAGCTTTCACACCGTCCGCCTATACGGTGCCACTGTTATAAATGAATCAAATTTGCCAATACTTCGTTTTCGGTTTCCGCTTCCGTTTCCGTTACCGTTCCAGTGTTCGATGTTGCGCGGTTTTTTCACGCTTCTAATCTTTGTAGCCTTCACGGCTGCTACCGCTGTGATCAACGCTTGCCCTAACCAAAAGTTCACTTTCCATGCTCAAGTCGTGAACTTTCCACAAGCTACTATCACCGTCACTGATCCATCTGACAATGGCGACGGTACTTGGGATGTGACAATCAACTTCAACGCTGATGCTACCATGTCGTTGAAGTCGTTGTCCGAGTTGAAGATCTTGAGTTTGTCCAAGACTTACTTCTTGTACTCTTACAACCTCAAGGTTGACAACATCAACAACCCAGGCTCCTGGTCTCAGAGAGTGACTGTTACCCCAAGATCTGTTGGCGATTATAAAACTTGTATGCCACAATTCACCATCCAGTACGATTGGTGTAGTGCTGGTGTTACTGACTGGAGCGAATGTCAGAACTGGAAATATCAAGGTTCTTACGACTACATCACTGGATGTGACAACTTTGACCAAAGCACTGGATTTTCACAAAAGGATGCTCCAGACTACTGCTGGGATGCCACCCTTCCACAATCTTCTTCTGCAGTCATTTCCTCTGCTGCTCCATCATCTAGTGCTCCAGTGGTTCCAAGTGCTCCTGCTACCCCTAATACTCCATCCAGTCCAAGTGACCCAAATACCATCAACGCTTGTCCAAACCAAAAGTTCACTTTCCATGCTCAAGTGGTGAACTTCCCACAAGCTACTATTACCGTCACTGATCCATCTGACAACGGCGACGGTACTTGGGATGTGACAATCAACTTTAATGCTGTGGCTACCATGTCTTTGAAGTCGTTGTCCGAATTGAAGATCTTGAGTTTGTCCAAGACTTACTTCTTGTACTCTTACAACCTCAAGGTTGACAACATCAACAACCCAGGCTCCTGGTCTCAGAGAGTGACTGTTACCCCAAGATCTGTTGGTAACTATAAGACTTGTATGCCACAATTCACCATCCAGTTCGATTGGTGTAGTGCTGGTGTTACTGACCAGAGTGAATGTCAGAACTGGAAGTATCAAGGTTCTTACGACTACATCACTGGATGTGACAACTTTGACCAAAGCACTGGATTTTCGCAAAAGGATGCTCCAGACTACTGTTGGGATGTTAATGTACCATCATCATCTTCAGCAATTGTCTCCTCTTCTGCAGCTCCAAGCTCTTCTAGTGTTCCAGCTGCTCCAAGCTCTTCCAGTGTTCCAGTTGCTCCACAATCTTCCAGTGCTCCAGCCGTTCCATCTGCTCCTGCTACCCCAAATACGCCAACTGACCCAGACACCATCAACGCTTGTCCAAACCAAAAGTTTACTTTCCATGCTCAAGTGGTCAACTTCCCACAAGCTACTATCACCGTCACTGATCCATCTGACAACGGCGACGGTACTTGGGATGTGACAATCAACTTTAATGCTGTGGCTACCATGTCTTTGAAGTCGTTGTCCGAATTGAAGATCTTGAGTTTGTCCAAGACTTACTTCTTGTACTCTTACAACCTCAAGGTTGACAACATCAACAACCCAGGCTCCTGGTCTCAGAGAGTGACTGTTACCCCAAGATCTGTTGGTAACTATAAGACTTGTATGCCACAATTCACCATCCAGTACGATTGGTGTAGTGCTGGTGTTACTGATTGGAGTGAATGTCAGAACTGGAAATATCAAGGTTCTTACGACTACATCACTGGATGTGACAACTTTGACCAAAGCACTGGATTCTCACAAAAAGATGCTCCAGATTACTGTTGGAACGAGCCAAAGTCTTCTAGCTCTCAGTCCTCAGCGACTTACTTGACACCACATAACTTCGACGTGACTTCCGGAGACTTTTCTGTTCCAGCTTCTTCCAGCGTGGTTTCTTCTCAGGCTTCCTCAAGCGTGGTTTCTTCTCAGGCATCCTCGAGCGTGGTTTCTTCCAGCAGTTCGGAAGTCACCTCTGAAACCCCAAATGACCCTCAAAATAGACCACCACCACGTACTGTGGGCCCTGAAGTCAGCACAGTGACATTTTCTTCTGACAGTGCATCGTCAGCAATTTCATCTAGAACTGCACGTCTTTCTTCCTCAGCTGCTTCTTCTGGTTTGTCCTCTTCTGAGGTCTCATCTTCTGAGGTCTCTTCGACATTACCATCATCTGATGCTTCCTCAACTGAGGCAAGTTCTGTGGTCTCTTCTGATGCATCGTCTGCGATAACTTCTGAGTTCCACCCACACACGCTTGCACCAAAGTTTTCGTTGGTTTCCTCTTACGACTTTCCTCCACTGAGTGACTCTATTTCTACGGAGTCGTCGTCTCAAGAGTCTTCTGTTGTATCCTCTACTGATGGATCTTCAGTTGTGTCTTCCACCGAAGTTTCAAGTAAAGCCTCTTCTACTGATGGGTCTTCAGCTATTTCCTCTACTGAAGAATCTTCCAAGGTCTCATCTACTGACGTCTCTTCTTCCACTGAGGAATCATCCGTCGTTTCCTCTACTGAAGCTTCTTCTAAGGTTTCTTCCACTGAGGGATCATCCGTTGTATCCTCTACCGAAGTCTCTTCTAAGGCCTCCTCCAAGATCTCTTCCAGAGCTTCTTCCACTGAAGGATCTTCTAAGGTCTCCTCTACTGAAGTTTCTTCCAAGGTTTCCTCTGCTGAAGTCTCGTCTACTGAAGTTTCTTCCAAGGTCTCGTCTACTGAAGGATCATCAGCTGTTTCCTCCACTGAAGGATCATCTGTCGTTTCTTCGGATGTTTCTTCTAAGGTCTCGTCTACCGAGGTCTCGTCAAGGGCTTCTTCTAAGGTTTCGTCTAAGGTATCTTCCACTGAAGAATCTTCTAAGGTCTCCTCTACTGAAGTGTCTTCTAAGGTTTCTTCTACTGACGGTTCTTCTGTCGTGTCCTCCACCGAAGTTTCTTCTAAGGACTCCTCTTCAACAACCTCTGAGTTCCACCCACATACACTTGCGCCCAAGTTTTCGTTGATTTCCTCTTACGACTTTCCTCCACTGAGTGACTCCATTTCTACAGAGTCGTCATCTCAAGAATCTTCAGTTGTATCTTCTACTGATGGATCCTCAGTTGTATCTTCCACTCACGGATCTTCAATTGTGTCGTCCACTGAAGTTTCTTCTAAGGTTTCTTCTACTGAGGGCTCGTCCGTCGTTTCCTCTACTGAAGCTTCTTCTAAGGTTTCTTCTACTGAAGTCTCTTCTAAGGCCTCCTCCAAGACCTCTTCTAGAGTTTCTTCTACTGAGGGATCATCCGTTGTGTCCTCTACCGAAGTTTCTTCTACGGCCTCCTCCTCAACAACCTCTGAGTTCCACCCACATACACTTGCGCCCAAGTTTTCGTTGATTTCCTCTTACGACTTTCCTCCACTGAGTGACTCCATTTCTACAGAGTCGTCATCTCAAGAATCTTCTGTTGTATCCTCTACTGAAGGATCTTCTAAGGTCTCTTCGAAGGTTTCATCCACTGACGGCTCATCTGTTGTGTCCTCTACTGAAGGATCTTCTAAGGTCTCTTCTACTGAGGCTTCTTCTAAGGCTTCTTCTACTGAAGGATCTTCTAAGGTCTCTTCTACTGAGGCTTCTTCTAAGGCTTCTTCTACTGAAGGATCTTCTAAGGTCTCTTCTACTGAGGCTTCTTCTAAGGTTTCGTCTACCAAGGCTTCTTCTAAGGTTTCCTCGTCTAAGGTTTCCTCTACCGAGGCTTCTGTTGTTTCTTCCACTGAGGGATCTTCTAAGGTCTCTTCTACTGAAAGATCTTCTAAAGTTTCTTCTACTGATGCGTCTTCTGTCGTTTCTTCTACTGATGGGTCTTCCGTGGTGGTATCCTCTACTGAAACATCGTCTGTGGCTTATCCTACTGATTCTTCGTCTGTTGTTTCATCCACTGAAGCTTCTGCAACTACATCGGAATTCCACCCACATACAATTGCTCCAAAGTTCTCTTTGATTACCTCCGATGAGGTGTCTTCTACTGACGGATCTTCTGTTGTTTCTTCTACTGAAGGATCTTCTAAGGTCTCTTCTACTGAAGGATCTTCTAAGGCTTCTTCTACTGAAGGATCTTCTAAGGTCTCTTCTACTGAGGGATCTTCTAAGGCTTCTTCTACTGAAGGATCTTCTGTTGTTTCTTCTACTGAAGGATCTTCTAAGGTCTCTTCTACTGAGGCTTCTTCTAAGGTTTCGTCTACTAAGGTTTCCTCTACCGAGGCTTCTGTTGTTTCTTCTACTGAAGGATCTTCCAAGGTTTCCTCTACCGAGGCTTCTGTTGTTTCTTCTACTGAGGCTTCTTCTGTTGTTTCTTCTACCGAGGCTTCTTCCGTTGCTTCTTCTACTGAAGGATCTTCTGTTGTTTCTTCTACTGAGGGATCTTCTGTTGTTTCTTCTACTGAGGCTTCTTCCGTTGCTTCTTCTACTGAAGGATCTTCTGTTGTTTCTTCTACTGAAGGATCTTCTGTTGTTTCTTCTACTGAGGCTTCTTCTGTTGTTTCCTCTACTGAAGGATCTTCTGTTGTTTCTTCTACTGAGGGATCTTCTAAGGTTTCTTCTACTGAGGCTTCTTCCGTTGCTTCTTCTACTGAAGGATCTTCTGTTGTTTCTTCTACTGAGGCTTCTTCCGTTGTTTCTTCTACTGATGACTCTTCTATTGTTTCGTCTACTGAAACTACATCGACTTGGCCACATACGATTGCTCCAAAGTTTTCATTGGTCACTTCTAGTGAACCTTCAACTGAACAGTCTTCTGTAGCCTCATCCACAGAGACTTCTAACTCCTTCACTACCACCTTCCCAGTTGATCCAAGAATCCTCATAGAGTCGAGTACCAGTAGTACTATCTTCTCTTCATCAGAAACACCAATTTCTTCGTTTGCTCGTTATACCAATCTGAGTATTGTTGTTTCTACTCCTCAGCCATCTGAGCCGGCATTCAGCTTGCCACCACCGGGACAACCCGTTGTACCAGCATTTTCTTCTGGATCTTCATTTGATGCTTCTTCTAGCACAAATGTTGATTCCTCATCTGCATCTCCTTCTGGATCTTTCTCCACTGATTCTTCTTCTGGATCTTTGTTTGTTTCATCTTCGGACTTGACTTCTTCATCTACTTTCTCATCTGCATCTTCAACTATTGCATCTTCAGGACTGTCTCCTTCTCCATCTGTTCCAGGCTATTCTTCGACTGATGGATCTTCTTCTGGTGTTCCATCTGGATCTATCCCAGCTGTTCCTTTTGGTGCTTCTTCGACTGACGGATCGTCCTATAGTGTCCCATCTGGATCATCTCCAGCTGTTCCATCCGGATCTTCTTCGACTGACGGATCGTCCTATAGTGTCCCATCTGGATCATCTCCAGCTGTTCCATCCGGATCTTCTTCGACTGACGGATTTTCTTCTGTTGCCTCCGAGTCTTCGCCAGCTGATCCTACTGGATCTCAGTACGCAACAACTTCAGTACCATCTGCTAGTGTCACTTCTGATGTGTCTACGTCTGGTTTCACTTCCGAGCAACCTACTCCATCTGCGCCAGGTACCACCACACTTACCATCACGTCTTGTGACAAGTCTACTTGTACTACTTCTTACAAGACTACGGGTATTACTGTGCGTACCACTACAATCGGCTCATTGGTTACCAAGTTCACTACTTATTGTCCATTGACTGGTGTCTCCTCCACTCCTTCGCCTTCTGAAGGTGTGCAGACTCCTACTACCGGAAGTCCAGATGTTCCATCTCCATCTACTACGACTATCACCGAAACTACTTGTGATGAGACATCCTGTACTACATCCTACAAGACTACCGGTGTGACTGTCATTACGACAACTGTTGGGTCAATTGTCACTAAGTATACCACTTACTGTCCATTGACAGGCACTTCTCCTTCTGAGCCATTGAACGGTGTCAGCACTGGAGTTCCACATGTTCCAGCTCCTTCAACCACAACAATTACTGAAGTTTCGTGCGATGACACTACTTGTGCTACTGCCTACAAGACTACTGGCTTGACAGTTGTTACTACGACTATCGGTTCAGTTGTCACTGAGTACACCACTTACTGTCCATTGTCGGGAACTCATTCTGAGGTGGTTGAAACTGTCAGCACTATAGCTCCAACTGCATCTGCTCCATCAACAACCACAATCACGGAAACGTCTTGTGACGAGAGCTCTTGCACTACTGCTTACAAGACCACCGGTGTTACAGTGATTACTACCACCATTAATGAGATGGTTACAGAGTACACTACTTATTGCCCATTGTCTGGACAATCCACTGCGACTACACCAGTCGGAGAAACCTCTACTACCCCTGCTGGACTGAAGGAGACCACAATCAGCTCGGTCTACCATAGCGGACTGCCTGTTTCAACGGAGAGCGGCGTTGTTTCATCGCCATCTTCTAGTCCTTTAATCACCATTGCCTCCACTAGCGGAGGCGCTTCTAATGTGCGTCTTTCTGTCGCCAGTCTTTTGGTTCTTTTGCCCCTCTTCATCTAATTTCGTGGGCTCAAACACAGTGATGAACATTGTGTTCTTTTACCTTGTGTATATATTCCTTTTTTAATGTCACGGTTTTATTGCATTATGTGCGTAGAAGGTCAACGAGCATGTATAATATAACGCTACACGCATCTACACGCATGAGATTACTGTTGGCAAAACGTTTTTGTCCCGATGGGTCAAGACTTGTGCACGGACGATGTTCCAATTATTTCCGGAAATTAAAAAAAAAAAAAAAAAAAAAAAAAAAAAAAAAAAAAGATTTTTCTACTATCTCCGTGCTACTCTACAGGTGGCATTGTTGCTTCCGCTTAGCAACTTCTCATACCAGCAGAGGTGTAACTTTTGCCCAAATTTTTGAAGAAAAAAATCTTACTCATCAAAGTTCAATGCAACGCTTCACGAAAACTCTGCAGCCCCAACTCTAGAATGTGGGGCTTTAGTAATCTACAATTCTTCTGCAGTACTCCAAAGCCGCTCGGCTTCTATGGATGAACCAATAAACGTAACCATAAATGTCATCACCACAATATGCAATACCTCTTCACAACGCGCATTGTGTAATGAGGGGCGGTATATTGCTTGCCATCTGATATATATGGCTTAAGAGAGCACACGGGAAATCTTCATCCTCAAAAATTTTTTTTTTCACAACTTGCACTAATCTCGATCAGCATCGTGCCCTTCGTGTACTAGTCTATTAGCCCTCATATACCACACATATACAAGTCAGATATGTTGGTCCAAGCCAAAAACATCCTTTCCAAGGTTTTCGTCGCAAAAGACCTGTCGGAACAAGAACTAGCCAGAGCCGAAAGCTTGTTGGAAAACGGACAATCTCCGTATGGCTCGACTGATAGCGCAGACCGCGGACAAGAGGTTGCCGCCGAAGAGGCTGTCATCAATGCTAAAAACTCGAGCGATGACGATGAGGAAGATAACAACACCGGTTTTTTCCTGAAGTTCGATCCACGTGTGATGAGTGACATCATTATTGGTCTTTCGGACGGATTGACTGTTCCATTTGCATTGACGGCCGGATTGTCCTCTTTGGGCTCTTCGAAGCTTGTTATCACCGGTGGTTTGGCAGAGTTGGTTTCCGGTGCTATTTCCATGGGTCTTGGTGGCTACTTGGCCGCGAAGAGTGAATTGGATTACTACAAGAGTGAAGTGAAGAAGGAAAAGTTGGAGTTCTTCAAGAAACCAGAGTTGGTCAACCAAGATGCGGCCCAGATTATGTTTGAGCTCGGCGCGTCCGAAAGTACCATTGTCTCCTTTTTGAAAGACTTGGACTCCAAGCCAAAAAATCTCATTGATTTCGTCATCAGATTCGGGAAGGGTTTGGACGAGCCCGCCGAAGGAAGAGAATTCACCTCTGCATTGACCATCGGTCTGGGTTACTTTCTTGGAGGCTTTGTTCCATTGGTACCATACTTCTTCTGCGACGTTGTGAGGACCGGACTCATCGTTTCCGTGGCAGTAATGATCATCACGTTGTTCGTATTCGGCTATGTGAAAACCATTGTATCTTTGGGCGACGACTGTGGGACGCATCGTAAGGTCCTCGAAGGTTTTCAAATGGTGATCATTGGGTCGGTTGCTGCCGGTTCTGCATGGACTTTGGTGTACCTCATTGATTCGTGATACTTTCTCTCTTTGCATGTCCTCTTCATATTCGTGTACCATACGGCCTTTGCGCCACTAATAGACTCACCAGATTTGATAAACACAGTACCAATGCACTTTTTATATAATTTATTGGAATCATTTCCCGAAGTATACAATAGACCTGAGATCATATTACTCATGCCATCGTTAATAGTAACACCATATTAGGCTTACAAGTGCTTATTTTCCGCCATTCCTTAAGTATTGAAATCCTACGATAAGATAAGCCGTGTCCAAAGGAATGAACAACCCGTCATCCCTTTTGGCAAATAAAAGGAAAGAGTCAAGAGAAGAAACCAAGTTTTGCGTGGATAAATGTAACGGAACAGTATTCGTTGCTCGCACTTTACTTTACTTCGCAACTTGGCCTAACACGGAGATTTTTCGCAATCCATTCCAAAAGTAGGCGGTCGTCCACGATCGACATCAAGTTGAATAATGAATGGGTATATACGCATAAAGAATGAAGAAGACACCCTGTAAGCCAATTTATTCCTATAATCCAACTAATATTGTACTACTTGGTCGTACAAGTCGGCGTCCCCGCACCCGTGCCTCCCGCGTCTTGGTATTTCTCGCCACTATTTGCTACTACTTCAGCACTTACAACTACAATGTCTTTCCGCGTTGCAGACCGTCTTTCCAAAATTGCCATCCCGGCTGGTATTGCTTTCACCTTGGCACAATCGGCCATGTATGATGTTCAGGGCGGACAGCGTGCAGTCATTTTCGACCGTTTGAATGGTGTTCAAACAGCAGTGATTGGAGAAGGCACGCACTTTGTCATTCCGTGGTTGCAAAAGCCCATTCTCTTTGATGTGAGAACAAAACCAAAGACCATTGCTACCACTACAGGGTCGAAGGACTTGCAGAATGTTTCTTTGACGTTGCGTGTTTTGCATCGCCCGGATGTCATGCAACTTCCCCGGATCTACCAGACGCTTGGCCTAGATTACGATGAGCGTGTTTTGCCTGCCATTGGAAACGAAATCTTGAAGAGTATTGTGGCGCAGTTTGATGCAGCCGAGCTTATTACCCAAAGAGAAGTGGTGAGTGCCCGTATCCGCCAGGAACTTTCCCGCAGAGCCAGCGAGTTCAACATCCGTTTGGAGGACGTGTCCATTACACACATGACGTTCGGCAAGGAGTTCACCAAGGCTGTTGAGCAGAAGCAGATTGCGCAGCAAGATGCCGAAAGAGCAAAGTATCTAGTGGAACGTGCAGAACAAGAGAGAAAAGCTGCAGTGATTCGCGCAGAAGGTGAGGCTGAAGCCGCTGACACCGTCTCGAAAGCATTAGCGAAGGCAGGTGACGGCTTGCTCATGATTCGTCGTTTGGAGGCGTCGAAGGAGATTGCGCAGACTTTGGCAAACTCTCCAAGCGTGTCGTACTTGCCATCAGGAAAAGCGGGCGAGGACTCGAAAAACTCATTGTTGTTGAACGTGGGACGCTAACCGTGAATAGAACTTGACTGTAATTGAGACTACGATGAAGTTCTAGTTGTGATATTGTAAATAGGAATGAACTGATGCAACTTAAGAAACCATGTCAAAGCACGAGAAAAATATTCAACATCGGTTCGAGACGACACATAGTTACCGCCTACACACATAAGCACACTCTTGTCTATCTCTCTATGTACACATCACTATATTTCCACCAAAACCTGTTCGTCGCCAACACCTGGTGTGGTGGTCTTTCCCAGCCGCACTAATGCCTCTACATCAGCCACTTCCTTAGCACACAAGCTTGTCAAGTTAAGCACATCCTCCAGGGACCTTCCGATAGCCACGTCATCCTCGACCCGAACACCAATGCCCTGGTAATGCTTGGGGAAGCGCAGGTCGCGCGGCACATACACGCCAGGCTCCACAGTCACAACATGGCCCTTTTCCAAAAGAGAGTGGCGGGACACCAGCGGCACATCGTGCAAGTCCAACCCAAGGTGGTGCCCAATGTAGTGCGGATACAAGTCTCTGGCCACGGTGGAACGATCGAGCGCAGCGAAACCGGGCAAGTTGCGGAGCTCCTGGGCCAAATGTATCACCGAATGCTCGTGAAGATCGTGCAAAGATATGCCTGCCTTTTCGTGGCAGAGGGCAAGACACGATTTATTGGTGCTGAGCACCGCCTCGTACAAGTCTCGCTGCGCGGGCAGAAAACCGTCGGGCGAGTTGGGCCACGCGCGCGAAATGTCTGCGCAGTAGCCTCCGAGTTTGCCGCCCGCGTCGACGAAAACCGTTTCGTCACGGTAAAGTAAGTCGTCGTTGCGCGTGTAATGGATGGTCAAGGCGTTTTCGCCGCTGGCCACTACAGGCACATACGCGGGACGGTCGCAGCCGCCACGGATGAAGGCAAAGTCCAAGTATGCCGCCAAAGTTTTTTCCAGGAGAAATGGCGCCTCCGAGCCGACTCGGGCCATGGCGGTATTGATGGCGCGCGACAGGATTTTCGCTGCTGCGTGCATCACGCGGATTTCTGCCTCCGACTTGCGTGCCCGAAGGCGCGCCACGTACGGCTTGAGGGCGTGAACTTGGGCGCGCGCACTGCGGAGCACGTCGCTGAGAGTGTCGGTGTGCGGCGGCGAGAAAAACAGGGCAAACTTGTCGCTGCTGCCGCCCACGTCGCAGTAAATGTGCGAGTTGCGCCGCACGACGGACCGCAAAAACAGGTCGGCGCGCGTGTTGGCCACGGCGTTGTCGGCGTTGAAGAAATCCTGCGCGCCTTCTTCGCCCAGGCGGGCGCCTTCCCAAAGCTCTGATGCTGGCACACGGGGCGGCACCACCATATGAAACACAACATCGTCATCGTGTCCGCTGTCACCTACTTTTTCAATCACAGCAACCAGGTCGGGCTCTAACCACCCAGTCAAGTAAAAAAGATCGGTGTTTTGCTCAAATGGATAGAACACTGACCCAGAACTGTGTTGCACGCGGTTCCCGACAATAATCGCCGCAGACTGGGGCGGGAGCTGTCTTGCAAGGGCGTGTCGCCGCTCGTAATATTCCAATGCAGTGATTCCGGGCGTTAAACATCCAGGTTCCGGTAAACGGTGTGGGCGTGTTTCGTGTGTGGGCTGGCCAAGCTTATATGGCAACTCCACTTTTGGGCGAGTCGCCAACAATCGGCGCAACATAGGTCAATTTCTCTGTTTGAAATGCACAGGTTCTGGTTTATGACAACTGGTCCTCTTCTGTGGGACACTCGAGGCAGTCGGGTGGATTTGCTCGTCTTAGCTGTTCCAAAGGAGAATAAAATACTTCAAGCGACAAAATAAAGATACAGAGCCGATACGTAGATGGCAATCTATTCAGTCAGCAGACAATCCTTCCCTTGGCAATTCGGTTTGTTCACCGATGTGCTATGCCACTAGTTCCTGGTTATAGTACTCTCGCTTCGCACAATATCTGCACTCTGGCCTTCTTTCTGCGCTCTTCTATTGGCGCTATGCCTGTAGTCATTGACCCACACAAGGGTATTTGTTTTGTGGCAGAGGCAGCCCTGCCGTCGTTCTTTTCTTGCGGACTCGACCAGCTCGATTGGGATAGTCACATTTCGCCTGCGCCAGAACCTTCTCCAGTGGTGGAGAACGTGCCGCAGACTCGCAAGCAGCGCAAACAAGAGAAAAAACAGGCCGTAGCCGCCCGGCGCCGGCGCCAGCGACTTGAAAGTTTGGGTGGAAACGAAGGGAAATCCGAAAGAAAAACACGCCTCAGTGATGCCGCAGCGTCGCAGCGGCTCTCTAATCTCCGCCTGAGTCTTAACAAAAGGGCCATCGACGATGTGGTAGCTACTATTGGCCTGATCAAGCTTTTCCGCTCAGACATTGAGCTTTTGATGCCAGAACAATGGCTCAACGACAACAATATTGCCTTTGTATATGAGGCGCTCTGGACCCATTTTCTTCGGCCCCACGAGTTTGGGTCCCATGTCTATCTCATGTACCCTGCGCTCGTGCAAATCCTCGTGCATTATCCCATTGAAAGTGAAATCAAAGAGATTCTTCCCCTCCAGCCATTGTTGGAACTGAAACTTGTATTTCTACCTTTCAACTTTGTCGACGCAGACACATTTATGGAAGACGCAAATGTTGGAGACCACTGGGCCCTAGCTCTTTTGTGCGTGCCAGAAAAGACTTTGTATATTTATGACTCGATGGCAGTTGACAGCGATGGAGCATTTATCAAGCGTTTCGTCGAACGCATCGAAAAGACCATTTTTAAGAGGGGCACCATTACCGTTCGCCATATGAAATGCGCTCAACAGGACAACTTTGATGATTGTGGTGTCTATGTCATTATGTTCACTTGTCTCTTAGTGTCCCTTTTGCTTTCAGGCGAACCGACGCTGTTTGATTTAGCCAATGTCCGTTTGGATGGGCTACAAGGACGGCTATCAATCATGGAACTCGTGCATCGTATTGCAACCTCTGCAGACGCAAGCAAAGAATGTGAAGTATGATTTGGTGACGAAGCTGTCAAAGTTTACAGGCAAAAAATTATCAGACTGAAAGATGGTAGGGTAAACTTCAACAATACAAACTATTGGTATTTTATACTATGATGGTTCGCTAATACATTGTGGCTTCCATTGTTAGATTTTATCTTGTATTAGCAAAACTATTAACTTACCAGGTGGCTTGCCATTAGGCAACATGTAAACTGTACTTGACTGAAACCAGGAAAACTATAAATACATGGGACATGTCATTCGCTGCAGAGCGTGGCTTAAGTGTATGCCATTTTCGTAGTTGATTCGAAGTTTCTTAAACCTGTTATTTCTGAGATATATGCGCCTGTAACACCATTGAAGTGAACAACTTTGATGCAGACTCAACTTCCAATAAATGCTCTGCTTCATCGAGGTTAACTGAAAGCTGCTGAATCTTTGTTTGTTGCGAGACCGGCTCACGGTAAAAAATATCACGCTCAGGATCATACCCTATACCCAGTTGCCCTAACTGGAGCACCGAGACAAGCAGAACCAAGCGATTTGACATTTTAACTAAATTATCCTCGGTTCCCAAACGAGCAAGAAGCTTTTTCCGAGGGATAGCTCGGGTGACAGACATGATCAATAAGAATGCCTTCGCATCAATCAAGCCAGAAAATGCGGTCCAAAACTTATCGCTTGGGCGTGGAAGGAGATAGTTCGAAAAGTCAGACAACACCACAGAGAGGTCCCGGCAGGTTTTTTTTGCTGCTGCGAAATCTGCTACAGCCAATTGGTCCATATAGAGCGAAAGAACGTCAAGACCACCTGAAAACTGGCTCGTTCCCATGCTAGTAGTGGTCGAATGCAGTTGGAAGGGGCGACATGCTACACACGCGAGCTGATGAAGCGTATGAGCTTCGCGTTGCATGTGCACCTTCTCAAGAATATTCCAATGAGGCTCGAGTGACTCGAAGCGAGCGAGAAACTCGGAGAATGCGCCTTGGCGAAAACATGCTAGGCAAATATACCAACGGAGCAAATAAGCGCAGTCGAATTCAGAAAGTACCGCTGCTGCAAGCAGTGCGGGCTTTTCTTCAAGTGATTTAAAGAGCCATGTCGAGCGCGCAAAATAGTGATCGCATCGTTTTTCAATGGCCGCGAGCGGTGATTCCTCGCTTGTGGAAAACCAAATCTGGTAAACATGGGCCAACGTTTGCAAAAGAAGGAACTCAAAAAGACGATTTCCCACAAATGAATTGTGGTCTGCAGCGTGGTTAGAAAATTGGACTGTGCATTCCACTGTGGCTAGTAGAGCACTGATGGCAGCAAAATCGCTGCGAACGAAGTGCGCGCGAAAAAGCGGCCAGAGGTGGTCGAACATTTCATTCTTGTCGAAAGACTCCGCGCCGTCGCTGAAAAAAGTGTCGTCGGGCGGGTTTTGCTCGATGGTGCGCGCCCAACCTGCACTATAGTAGGCACTTTTGGGGTGCGATTCGGCGCGAAGGTGTGCCATCATTTGGGGCGCCATTGGATGGAGCGCACGGCATGACTCCATTAGCTCCAAAGCTTCGAGCGCCGCAGCGGTCTTCTCGCTGCCTTGGAACCGGCTGGCAAGACTGTGAATCTGGATAAATCCCAAGTCCATCATACGTTTTTTATGACTTAGGTTGCAATTCCGTGCGGTTTCAACAATCAATGCGGACTTGCAGTCAGATATCCTTGTGTTTATAGCGTTCCTAAGACTTCCTGAAGCCCACGACTACTGGTATTGATCTTAATATTTTGCGTCGGAATGGGTTTGAAATATACCCTGCGTGGGCACTGGGAAAGGATGATTTCGTTTGGCAGAACTCTCTAATAAGAGAGGGCTTCAAATCTCGTGGTGGCGGCGATAAATGATGGAGACCTCTGCAAACCGAGGGCTTATCCCTTGTTTATCTAATTGTTAGACTTGCTCTTGTGATTGCAGAGGTATTGCCCCAGAAAGAGTTGACAAAGACATACACCAAACTCGTCTTTGCTGATAGAAAAGCGCGCGCTCCAAATTGCAAGACCAATACATCCCATTAGTTGCACGGATAGAATATATTAATACACGGCATAGGCGGGAATGATAAGTGAAATATGCTATTAAACAAATAATGTATGCAATTAAAGAAAGAATGTATGCAATTAAAGACACGAGTCCGAGTCCGAGTCCGGATGTTCTTCGCTAAAAGTACAGATATTAGAAGAATCGCGGCCAGTATTGTTCATGGCTGGACATCCAGCATGCTCATAGGTCGGAATACGAGAGAAGGGCAACTAGAAGCAAACAGTGTAGATGCTTTCTAAGTCCAATTTTAACCATTGGGAACACAGTCTCGCCCGAAAGTTCAACAGTTTGACTGCACTCAACCACAATAAATGCTGCCCTGTTGACCAAAAGGTTTCGTACTGAGCACAGACGTCTGCTATGCTCACATCAACAACAGACTGGTCAGATATGACGATGCAATATGGTAAAATAGTTGTGCCGCTCCCCAGCAAAAAGGAATCCAAGTGGTCATACTTAACGAGCCTGCTCGATATATAGCCAGCACCATAAGACCGACTAGAGCGCCACTCGAAAACCCATGAAAACAACCGAGAAGCACATACGATATCAAGACCATAAACGGCCGTATACGGAGCTTGCGCAATGTCCCGCCGACAACCTGCCGCTCACGGTATACTCGCCAATACATGTTGAAACATGCACTCAATCCGGCGCAAGTGTACGCCGACACAAAAAAGATGAGCGTCCAATACAAGACGAAACGCCACATATCCACGGAGTAGAAAAGAAACAGGTCCTGGTACTTATCAAAGTCCGGGCCCAACGGCCAGTATAGCGCTGGAAATCGCGGAATGACATAGCCGATGGGCAAGTTGAGGGAGCTGACGTACATCTTCATGACGGAACTAGGCCGACTTGCGGGGTGTTAAGGTGCAAACTTCAACGAAAATAAATCGTTCTCAGCTTTAGAGTTGACAAATCAGCAAAATCAGCGCCACACGAGCAAACAAAGAGCAAAGCTAATTGCTAGGACTGGAAGAAGTTGGAGTAGCAAACACCGTTGATGTAAGTTGTGAATGAGAATCTGCAGCGCCACAATGTAGTGGTAAAGAACGAGCATAATAATTTCTGTAGCAAGATGTAGCGAGTGTGGTGATGCACGTGACTTTGGAGCACGTGCATTGACTGCCCATTATTGGGAATGGCTCAGGGCAAGGAGCGGTAGAATCATTTTGGATCTGCTGAGCTTCGGATTATACTAAGCTCGTGTGTATGCCAATTCTCGTCCGAAGCAGTCGAGACTATCTTGTAGATCCCGGTAGTTAGAAACTAAAGATACACCAGAATATATTTGGGCGCGGTTCTTCTGCAGGACTTGCCACTTCCAACCTTTCTCTTCCTTACCATGTCTAGAAGATACGACTCCAGAACCACAATTTTCTCGCCCGAGGGCCGGCTCTACCAGGTTGAATATGCACAGGAGGCTATATCGAATGCTGGAACTGCCATTGGAATCTTGTCAGCTGAGGGCGTTGTTTTGGCGTGTGAAACAAAAGTTATATCCAAGTTGCTTGACAACGACGGCTCGGCAGAGAAATTGTATGTGATAAACGACCAGATGATGTGTGCCGTTGCCGGAATGACCGCAGATGCCACGATTCTTGTGAACAACGCGCGTGTCACAGCACAGCGGTACTTGAAAACATACAACGAGGAAATTCCTTGTGAGCTCCTCATAAAAAGAGTATGTGACGTGAAACAGGGATATACGCAGCATGGTGGCTTGCGTCCGTTTGGTGTGAGTTTCATTTACGCCGGCTGGGACGACAGATATGGCTTCCAGTTGTATACGTCCAACCCTTCAGGCAACTACAGTGGCTGGAAGGCAACGTCGATCGGTGCGAACAACTCGGCGGCACAGACCTTGTTGAAAAAGGATTACAAAGATGATATGCTGTTGTCAGAGGCGTGTGAGTTGGCAGTCAAGGTGCTTTCCAAAACCATGGATAGTGCAAATTTGAACAGCGATAAGTTGGAGTTTGCCACTTTGAGCAAAGGCGACCACGGTGTGATTAGAAAGGTTTGGGCTGACGCAGAGATTGATGCGTTGGTCAAGAGTCTGGGTGTTTTGGACAAGACTGATGATGCATAGATGAATCTGAGAAACTGCGAATAGAGAATTGATCGATAAGTAGGAGCGGATATGAAGGGCGGATGCATTGCTAAAGTAGATTTTGCTAGCGGAGGTTGTGTTATACTCCTTTCTCTTTTTTTGTGGTTTCCATTAAAAAAGACATGTTAAACAGGGGAAGGAAAGACAGTAGCTTTTTAGAAGTGGGACGCCTACATTTTCTGCATCATGAACTTAGATCAGAGATCCATTATTTTCCTTAGGCGTAAACACTTTTGGGTTGCAAAGTGCTGATTCATGGGCGCTTAAAAGCTCTAAATCTTCAAGGAATAGAGTAAAGATTCAACAAATACAGAACCGTAACTCGAAGCTATTTGAAACCAATACCAGGATTAGCAGATTCATTTTTATTTGATAATGTAGTGGCTGCAACTTTCAATAACCACTTGTCTGCCCATTGAGTCAGGTCATATTTAAGAAGTTTAGCACTCGAAGCAAATAAGTCTTCCCGAATCATCAATTTCATCGAAAGATCCGGGCTACTCGATATATGTAATTAGTAGGTCTATCATGTCTACTCCTACTGTGCAGCATTCATCTCCGTTGCTTTCGCGCGCACTATAATTGCTTCTCCACATTCTTCCTTTTCTTGATTTCCCACATCTTTCCTTACTTAGTGTTTATTCCCAATTCCTTTCCTCGTATTCCCCAGCTCTGAGTATAGAGCATTACCGAACGCTGCTTTACCCCAAGCCGCCACTCGTCTCCCTTTCCCCCACGCCACGATGGACTTGCTAAAACCTGGTTTGTCTAAACTGGCGCTTCTCCAGATCCGCAATACCAACACCATATCGGCCCGTTTGGGCTTGCAGTACCGAGACTTGGTGGAACAGACGAACACTCATTTTTTTTCGGCAAGCTCAGAGAGTTTGGGTGCCGATGTGCCTCCCAATTCGGTCCAGGAGATCTTTCGAGACTTTTACTACACTGCATGTTTGGACAAGCCCAAAAACACCACTGTCCCCGAGGTTTCACTCCAGACCCTCCAGCGGTTCCAGGAACGTTTGGCTCTTTTGAAGGACCCCGATAGTGTGTCCACGTATTCTTTTTCTGAAGCTGAAGCGTCTTTAGTGTCCGTCATTGAAGAGTTTTCGCTTCTCATCGCTTTTTACCACTTGTCCAACGCCATTATTGAGAAGACCATAGCTGCCAAAGGGCAACTGGGCTATTGGTCTGATTTGCGGCTGTCGACATATGGCAAATTGTGCTATGCGGTGCAAACTCTGCCTGCTCGGATATATTCTGTTGGTTGGGCTGCTTTCCAGAGCCTTCCAAAAACCGAAACAGCTGGGTGTTTCGGGCTACTCACCTCGCCACCTTGTTTCGTCAACATTTCTGACATTGTCTGCATTTTTCCGCTCCATTTACAGACTTGCACTTGAGTCCATCGGTCTGCTTAATACAAACTTTATTGTGCGGAGTTCGCGGCTTAGGTGGCTCAAAATGCCTCTCCACTATATTGATCAGGAGGCCAAACACAAGATTAAGGCTGTTGATGCTCAGTTGGAAGAGTTTTACTCGCAATTGGGTCTTATCATTAACAGTATTCCAATGCAGCGCGACATTTTCGCTGAGCTATTGCCTGGGGTCACAACTGATGTTAAGCTGGTTATTGAGGCAGTGGAAGCGTATACTAGAGACAAATCGATGTTGGTGGAAACTGCACCACCCGGGTTTTTAACTCGTTACTGGCCCGCGCTTCTTCTTTTGATCAATTACGGCCCTCTGACTACAGCTTCTGTTTGGAATAGTAGGTACGAAATTGTGTCGTGGGTACGCCATAATATGGTAGACACAGTGGTAGGATTTTGGAAGAATTGGATTGTCAAGCCAATAGGTGACATGTTGGCTATTCTTAGGGATGACGACACTATGACAATTACATCAAAAGAGCTGTTAAGATCTGACCTTGATTCGTTGGAACGCATGGTAGCAGACTTTGCGAAAGACAACAATTTGAATGTTGATCCTCAGCAAGTGCATGCGGCCGTCTCGCGTGGAGATTTGACTTTAATGATGTCACAATATGAAAATGAGATCCGGACGCCTTATAAACTGATCATACAGGGTCTGCTAATCCGGTCCATGTTGATCCAGGTTCAGAAAACCAAAGTGGATGGAGCAATTGCAATCAACGGCATAGACAAGCTTCTCAAATCGCAGCAGCTATTGTTCGGCATTCTTTCGATTCTGCCCTCGCTCTTTATCATTTACCAGGTAAACCGTGCGTTGCTGGCTGACGCATCTATGTCACAAAATGTTGCTGACCGGCGTATCTCGTGTCTCAAGAGCTTGAAGCAGATTGAACGGCTTGTGAATGGAGAAGTGCAGGGAAATAAGTATGTGAGCGACGGAAAACTTTTTGTGGAGGTTGTTAATTTGACGATGATGTCTTCGTCTGTCATTCCTAAGAAATTGCGCAGCGAGTTTCTTCACGACTTGAATGATTTAGCTCTTCGCAATACTGAAAGTGGACAGCAAGCTCTCAGTATCACAAACCGTATTTGGAACATGTACTCGCCATTTTTCCGCCGCTCTTTGGTCTAAGATACTTAGATGACCGAAGCTGATTTTTCATGAGTGGATGCCATAAAAAGGGAGACACAACCATACATGGAAACGTTTTTTGAAAGAAATCAACGTTATACGTGGCTGGAGTTGTGGTGGCGTTGAGCATTCCCCATGGCTTACTGTTTTGGTTCTTGTTGCATGATGGAATATTTTCTGGCAACTATTACCAGATTCTTACCGTCATCAATTGCAGACAATTACGTTGGTGTTTCTTATCCCCAAACGCTGGCGTCGGCTATCAGAAACAGTAAGTTGCTACTCACTCTGATGCTCCTCCCCGCCTACTTTTTCCTGTTTAGTATATATCGACTTAGGCAGCCTTGCTTTGCCCTGGATTTCGCTTTTCACTTCAATCCAGGACCTATCCCCTCCGGCTTCCCCTCATGTGTCATTCTGCCCGTCCTGCAGTCAGAAGAATTGGGTTTAGCCTCACTACTATGCGAATAAAGCCGTATCACAACAAGTCCGTAGCGGAGTACCTGTGCAATTCTTCTCTAGAAGGTTTTTTCGGTTTTAGGTTTCGTCGTGACCTGTATAATGTTCGCTTCCCCTCAAACAAGCCCTGTTATGTCTTGGAAAGTTGGGGCTCGCACTGTAAACCTAGAGTAATCTTGCATTTCGCAATGGGTGTCTCAATGCGGGGAACATAGACTTGTGCAATACTTATAGACAATCAGCATCCTTGTTCTATTTTCACCTATGTCATCGCTTGTGCATTCCCATGAACCTTTTTAAATCCAATAGCTTCGCCATTAGCCTTGTCCGAAACTTTCCCATTTAGAAAGATTACAGCCAGTGTTTCCCTTCTGTTGCCGTTTTGTCCGTTTTTCTAGTGGAACAAATACCGTTGTCGCCTAATCCACCAAAAGCTTCCCGCAGCCAAGGCATTGCCGGCAGCAAAGATGGGATTGGGCACAAGAACACCTCATGGCAATCCCCGTAGCTTCAACTGTGGCAGTTGCAACCGGGCTTTTACACGCGAAGAACACCTTTCTCGCCATGTGCTACTGACACATAATAAACTCAAGCCTTTTGTATGTGGGCTCTGCTCCCGGGCTTTCTCACGCAGAGACTTGCTTCTACGACATGCAAAGAACCTTCACAAGGGGTCGGAGTTGGCAGTCTCGCGCATTCGCAAACTGCACAAGAAGCTGGAGCCAAAGGAGGAGCAGCAAGAAGAGAATACGCTCTCGGGAGAAGAGAAGAAGGACAAGCGCACGAAAATGTCGGTGCACATGCTTGTCAGTTAAGGTTACTTCCGCTGGCGGTTATACTTTCATTTCTTTTTTTTTTATTTCTTTATATAGGTTCAGGGCGGTCGTTTGCTATCCCGGCTGCCGGATATTACGACGTTGGGGAGGAAACCATTGCCATATGGTTGCGTTAGCCGCCCATGTCCCGCATCAAATAAATGTCGCATACTATACCTTGGGTAAAAATGTCGCGTAGTCTACACCAGAAATGTCGCATCACCCACCTCTGTTCCCAGCTCCATACATACCTTTCCCTTTATGGCTCGGCCGCTATTCTTGTATCGAGTGAAACCCACTAGCTGGTGTATTGTGGTGACGGAGAATGCTGGCCACTTTTATTTCAACACAGATACGAAACAGTCTGTATGGCAATTGGATGATACAGATATCGCATCAGACACTCTTGTCGCAAATGTTAATTTCGATGAGCTTGGAGTCTTATTTGCCCGAGCAAATGGGTTACCCATCAAACAACTCCTGAAGGGTACAAAGAGTTATGTGGAAGAATCAGAAGAAAAGGATGAGGAAAGGAAGGAACTCGAAAATATGGAAGTTGCATATGACGACTCAAGCGACATGAGTGACGACGAAGAGGAAGATGCAAATGAACATGAGATGTTACAAAATATTCTAGCAGAAAGCGGACTTCTACAGGAAGAAAGCCATGATACGGACATGGAGGACGATTACAGGAATGAATCTACAGAAGAAAAACAGCAAACGGGACTTGCGCTTGGTTATTCTAGTCTGGACGATTCGGACGACGGTAGCGAAGAACATGCATTAGATTCCGAGAGCGAATCTTCCAAAAAAGATATTCTTGACGAAGGAGAATCTCTCGAGAAAAAGGAGTCTCCAGAGAATGAAGTGTCGGATGAGCAGGAAGAACCTCTGGAAGCTGTTGACGAGGAAGAGTCTAATAATGATCTTGATCTCTCGTTGACAGACATAACGTTACTGTCTAAAGTGATTGAGGATTTCCGAGCACTTTTGGAGTCGAATAAAGATGACATTTCCGTCTACGACCCATGGTTTGTGGTTGAGGAAGAGCTTCTACCGAAATTAGCACAAAATCCAGTGTACTATGCCGTGCCAGAACAATCACGAGAAGAAATATTCAACCAGTGGGTCTTGGAAAGAACAAGTACCGAAGAAAAATCAGCAGGAATTTTCCCCACTGCGGAAATGCGTTTCTTCCACTTCCTCCAGCCCTACAAGAGCGAAGTACGCAAGCGGTATTTTGCGGAATTTCTCCGTGATCATGCCCAAGAATTGAAAAACTCAGACTTCGGGTCACTCAATTTGGAAGATGCATACAGACGACTTCGATTGACTTGATGACTTGCGATACGAGCGGAGGGTCAAAAAACAAGGACTGCAAAGTCCAAATGTCAAGGTAGAGCATGTGCACTGTTTCTCGCAAACATCTCCGCCAGCATCATTGCAGCGAGACCAGCGACATTTTTGCCCCAGAAAGTCTCAGCAGGCATGGCGACTTTTTTGAACAGTGGATCTACATTTGCAATGCGTGTCAGGTGCCACTCAAAGTGGCAAACGATCCCACAAATTTCATTGTTGGCGATGAAAAGCGGATTGCATGTTATATCGCCGTTTTGAAAGCGAAGATAGCCTGATTACGTCTCAATGAAGACTGGCTCGGTTACGAGCATACGTACATCCGACATGGTGCGACAATAGCGTAGGGCAAAACACGGCAGCGACATAACAATGACCCAGCAATGTGCGCCCATTGAAAAATAACTAAACCCCAAGGCCGGGTTAGCATCTGTGATTGTGACGCCTGTCCGGTGACGGTAGTGGCGATCGATCATTTGCTGAAGCTAGAGACGTTTAAATCCGATGCATACGGCTCGTCATTTGCGTGCAGTTCACCGGTAATCTGCATGGCCGCCAGGCCGTTTATGACCACAGGAGATAAGATCCTAATAAGATGATAGGCTACTATACTATTTGTAGTTTGGTTCACCGACATCCGCCGTTCTTGATCGTTGCAGATATTCCGTGACCCTGGAATGGATGAACGGAAATTTGGACGGCGGGTATATCCTGCAGAGTCATTGCCCTAGTAGCTGCACCGAATATGTGAGGGATGGTAAAGAATGCATATACCAAGGATCCCAAGAAAAATCCGCATCGCCGCACCGGGAACTGTTTGCTAGTTGGACCGAGGCATGTGCCGAGCCGACAAAAGATGACAGTTGAACAAAACAGCAAAAGACGAAACTTCACAGTAGAAGCCTGTTCTAAGAAGCAAATAGGACGTCCAGAGATACATGCGTCCATGTGATAAGTGGCGTAACCCCCACGGGATATATTTCCGTTTATCTCCGGAGTTATGGCCGCTCCGCAAAGACCAGTTTTTTTGTAGCGGTAACTTTCTCGCCACGCGGACCATATTTATCTCCGACCCGATCGCAGATGGTTTGTCATCGGCAGCATTTTTCCAGTACATATAGAAAGCGTTCGACCGTTTGAAATTTTCCGGCCATTGATTTTGTATTCCCTATCTCGTTGATCGATCTGCAAGTACGAACGGACTTCGAAACATTTTACGCCTCCTCATAGCCCCGTTTATATTTAGGTCGCAACTTGCATAATTACGCATCATCAGCCACTTGCCAAGGCCATAAGTAACTGGGAACGCTTTTCTTATCTACCATCCACCTTTCTTTTCCCCAGACTAAGACTACAGCTAGACCCTGTTGTCGGAACCTTCATACCCCAATTGCCCCAATTCCTCCCCATTCCCTTTCTTTGCCGCCCACGTTGTTTTGTGAAACTTTTAGCATGCTTTCGAGACTAAATCCGCTCCACCGTTCCAAGCCCAAGAAGCGGCCTGAGCATCACAAACAACCCTCATTCTTCGGCTTGTGGAGACGCTCCAGTACATCGTCTTTGCCCCAGGCTCCTCGCTCGGCGCCCAAAGTGGTCACGCGCGCGCAGCTAATCAAGGTCGATGTGTCGTCCCCTCGCCCCATATCTCATGCGGAATCGCCTCAGCAGAAAATCAGGCCCAAACTGCACCTTCAGCCGCACGCGACCCTTCCGCCCAAAAATACTTTGGACGTTGACCTTCAATTGTCTCACACAGACGCATCTAGCATGATGAGTCGCTTGAGTCACTTCAGTTATCAGTAGCCGAAAATCAAGGGGAAAAAGAAGATGAGTTGCTGTTGTCATACATTTGTGTTTGAGAAAACTTTTTTTCATTTTTCCTCACTGCGGCTATTCCTTACTTCGGCGCATGGGCGCCAGGCGAAACTATTCTACCATTGCAAGCATTGACATACCTGACAAGAAAACAAGAAAAACAAAAGAAAAGAAAAGAAAAGAAAAGAAAAAATTCATTGTCATGATTTACTGTCATCATATTACGATTATTATTATTAATATTATTATTATTCTCCTCTTCTGTCTGGTGGCGGATTCTGCATCGGCGGCTTGCAGGCAAGTCTCTGCCAACTGGAGTTGCCGTTTCTGTCGCAAAGTATACTATTTATTATCGAATTCTATACTCTCATGTATTTACCACTTTATACTAATTAGTATAACCAGAGATTTCATTTGCACTGTACATACACTTATAAACTAACGTAGCATATGCACAAACCTTGGGCGTAGCAATGTGCTCAAAATTCGAACGAGTTGGTGAATTTTCTGCACTCAAAAAATGGATATCATTCAGTTTGGTGTGATATTGAACTGTAGAACCACAACAAAAAAAAAGACATAATATTGACTGCTCTGTCGTGTATGGCTCGGTTGTTCAACAAAACGAAGAAAAGGCCTCAATTGGGCCTGCCATAGAGGTTGTACCTCTTCATGTTTAACCTATGCGCCAACAACTTTTACTGAAAAACTAATAGTCTCGTGCTCTTCTCGATCCAAAACCTTAAACAGGAGGTAAAGGGCAACGACAGACTGGACACTGAAGTTTGTGCACCATCCAGCCTTCTAGACAGCTCGTATGGAAAATGTGATGGCAGGGCGTAACCATCACATTTTTCATCATTGTTTCATAAGTTTTCTTGTTCTTGGCCGTGTCATTACTCAAAACCGGAACTGTGACCGTTGACATGCAAATTGGACAGTCCAAATCACAGAAGGACACGCCACTCTCGCCCAAGTGTGGCTTCATACTTGCTAAGATATCAGAAGCGAATCCATTCTCCAAATCGGCCACGCTCATCACAGGATGATAGTGATATTGCTCCGGCAACCATCTCTCACTGACCCAAAAGCGTGGTCCTAGCGAGCTTTGCAAGTAGAGCATGAATATCTGGAAAAGAAGCCAACCGGAAACTGTAATCACCAACGTAGGATTGTATCCATGCCTGAAAGGGTTGGAGCGGTTCAAACATAAATAAACTATTGGGACGAGCCGCACCATGGACGACCCAAATACGAACTCCCACAGAAAAGTCTTTCTTCTGTTCTTCAAAGTATTACGGAAAAACTGCGGCACCCAGTAGGAATTGATCAACAAACAGCCAATGTACTCGATGACATGACGCACCGACACTCGCCAAAGTGAGGCTGAAAGCATCATATTCAAGAAAATAAGTGATATCATGAAACCGGTCACAATGTAGCGTACCAATACACTTGACTCGTCAAAATAAAGCCAATTGTTCGCATTAACGTTGGGGTTGGCATTTGCGGGCCCGTTTTCATTCGCAGTGCCGTTTACAACATTCGTTTCGCCTGTCTCTGGAGTACCACCAGTTTCATTTGAATTCTCTGTAACAGCATTTTGCCTAGAACCTCGGAGAATCTCCCATAAGGTAGTGCCTCTTTCGTTCGCTTGAGTGTAGCTGATGCTTGTCATGTAACGTACTTCAAGCCCAATGAACAAAATGCCACTGAGTGATCCAAGGCAGGTGCAAACAAGGCTCACTTGTGTATTCCACAAGTACAGTACTGACATAAGACAAACAATGGAGTCATAAAGACTGAGAAGAAAAATGCTGAATTTGGACACATTGGACAAGCGGCTTGGTGTCTGATTGGCGTTAGTTTGCCTGCGAAACAAGTTGAGATTAAGAAACTGGAGCACCACTAAAAGAACGAAAAAACGATAGATTTGGTTCATAGTAACTTCAAGTTTATTACCCACCAATGGTTTCTCTGGAGTCGTTTCTACCAAAATTGCACAGTCTGGCGAATATATCACAGAGTGTGAAATTTCCAACTCAGGCAACCGTTTTGGCAAAGGAACACCCTTTGGATCTTGAAGCTCGTCATCAATAAACCTCAATTCCTGTTGTGTGAAGGCAGTTTTCTCGAACTGGAAGTATGAAACAAGCTCACACAGCAGTTGCGAGAGAAGGAGAGACCGGTTGATATCTTCAAGGGAAACATCTTCCTCGATATTGGTAGCATTGACAAGACGCGCCATTAGCGTTTTACTTTTGTTGAAATTGGCTTCATCCATTGTAAAATGAGGCAAAGCGTGGTTTCCACGGAACTTGGCAGACCGGGTTAAGGCAACTAGTTCGCCTGTGTTTTGGAAGTACACTCCAAACATATCAAAGGAGTTGGAGTCAGCTTCCGTACGGTTTTTTAGCGTCAATGATAATACCACAAGAACAGCATCATCGTAAGCCGCCAAACCATTCTTTGAAATGTCTAAGTCCGGATAAGAGCTTGCTAAAGAGTCGATACGCAAATCAATCAACCCGTCTTTGTATGTGGTTATGTTTCCTATTTTTTCGTCCGTATCGACAATCTCTTGAGGGGGTGAGTTGTTTTCCGGATCTTGCTCATATCTTTGTTTTTCATCCTCGTATTGTTCCTGTTGGAAATAGCGATAGTATTCCCACAAGTACTGCGGTAATCGAAAGGAAAAAGGTTTGAGCGATTGCGCTGTCTCAGACACCAGAAATTCACCATAGACATGGCCCGATATGTTCAAGTGGTACGCCTTTCCTGAAGACACAACCGGATCTAGACCATAGAACAGCTTGACCTTGTCACTAACTTCATTGGGCAAGATACTGTGGTTCTGGTTTTCTGTCCACGGATGCTCACGACTGTACTCCCTAAATGGCCAAAGCAGGATATTCCTATTTTCTAGATTGTCTTGGTAAGAAAGCTTGAACCCTGTCAAGTTGCCATATCCCAGGTAGTATTGTGATCTCGCAAGCTCATTTCTTTGCTCCCGCAAGGTGTCTTTGTACGCCAGAAGAACATTTCTTTTCAGCACATCACCACCAATCTCGTCTGTCTCTCGAGGAAACAAATAGAAGACTGTGAAGAAGAGGGCAAACAAAAAGACTGCCCGCTGCATGGTGCTGGGAAGAAGAGAAGGAAATGGGAACAAAGTAGATATGCGCACGTGATGCTGGAGGCAAACAAGTAGCTGAAGGAAATGTCAAAAGGAGTTTAAATGGAATGCATTATAAAATAAAGAGTAACGAATGGGGAATTATGAGGCTATCAAGTAGGACTACAGCAGCTTTTCAGTGATACCACCACTTATCTGGGTCCTGGTAGACTTAGTGGCCAATCTGGTGGGTCTTTGGTCACGTGCATGTGATCTCACCAACCAAACGGCCCGGCCCCAGTCTTGCAAGCACAACCGTTTCCATGAGGCCTTCGCTTGTGAGACTTGTGCGGCCACGCCGGCCTGAGAGAAAAGCTGAGCCGCTTTTACCGCCCCTCCGGCTCTACCGCTCCATTTTGAGAGCGCACCGCTCCAAACTACCAGCGGAACTCCGGTTTTTGGGCGATGAATACGTCAAGGCAGAATTCAAGGCGCACAAATCAACGGACAACCCGCTTCACATAGTTGGTTTTTTAACACAGTGGCAAGACTACTTGCGGAGTCTTGACGGCGGCAACTGGAAGGAAGGAAAGTTACAACAGCTGGATTTGGACAAGATGTCTCCGGAGCAAATTGGCCAGCTCTACGAGTTGATGCTCGAAACCAAGCGTTTGGGCGAGCAGTAGAACACAAGCGTTTATAGCTGTATAACGATAGAAAAGAAGAAGTAAGTTACAAGCCCTTCCCGTAGTTGCCCAGAGCGAAAAACTCCATGATAATGGCGACAATTTTCTCCAAAGCCTCCAACCACACACGCAATTGGTCGTTCACCTTGGTTTGGTCGCTGCCCAACTTATCAAAGAAGTTCTTTCTGTAAGGACATGCCTTCATGGCCAACTTGAAAATAGGCTTAACCAACATGCCGTGATATTGAGACAAGGTTTTCGAGTAGGCGCTGGTGAATGTGACTGTCAAGTCCTTCTCTGGGTGGTCCACCGTTTCTCTCATGGCTGCAGCAGTGAATTGCAAGCCACGGCACAACCACAAAAGACCTTGCGTGGCTTTTTTGTCGGAGGAGCCCGCTTCTGACAAAATCAAACCTTGCAAGGTAGCAGCATCACCTGGAGACGCCAAAAGCTTAGCACGCACCTTCTCGATGTTACCATTCATGTCCTTTTGGACAACACTGAACGCGGTTGATCCCAACAAGTCAAAGAGCTTGACAAGCGATTCAGACGCTTCCAAAAAAGCAGCAGTGTCGATCTTGCTGTCCTCCACCGGAACATCGGCGAAGGACCTTTTCATTTCGTCAAAAAACGTGGACATGGCGTAGGTTTTGAAGAGGATCGGAAGTTGGTATGTGGGCAAGTTTGACAAGTTTTCGCGTTAGTACACGCCGCGCAATTCAAGCAACTATGCGATATACGACGCGAATTCAGGTACTGGAAACGAATTACGATCTATGGGCATAAATAAGAGTTCCGTGTCCGTTCGAAAGTCCTAAAAATAACAGGAGGAATTCTGAATCACCAAGGATAGAAAAATCGTGGGCTGGTTTTTGCAGTTTCGCATTTGATCCACGTCGCATTGTTTGATTAATGTGAGATTAACAACTAGCATGATTAGTACAGGTGCTCCAATTTCTTTACGGAACTCTAATTCTTATAAGAAGAAAGAGGACCTTTAAGACTGAAATATCAGTGTCACTAATATATTCATGATCTTAAGCTTGCTTGTTTCCTTAACTGCCCATGTATTGAACTCCCAGCAGATTGCCTGTTGACGTACATAGCTTTCTGTCTCTCATAACCAAAAAGAATTGATTACTTTGAATTAGCTCTCACAAAATATTGTTGTTGGTAAGAGTGGAAACTTCTAATGGCTATGACAAGTGTGGACCTGATATAATATTGTGGATGCAAAATCAATCTTGCTGACGTACTTTTAGTCTAACACCGAACTTCATTAATAATCCATTGGGGAACTTTTAGTAAGTTACTGAAATATTTATTCCGTTAAACATCAACAATGATATCTCGTGAGCACAGATGCGAATACCCTCGTACATTATTTTGTTCCTTTGCTTTTAGTTCTTTTTTATTTTTTTTCTTTTCTTGCGGGTCACTTTCGGTGTACTCTCGTAACTCACTTCAAATATTATAACTTCATTTATAAGGACCCATATAAGAGCACTATGCCAACTTAGCAACCACGATTCGTACACTATGTGCTCTCATGTAATTCTGCAACTCAACTTAAAACTCTTTGCACATTACGTGTGTCTAGAAAACCGTATATCCTTTGCCTGCACTAATAATTTATATATTGTTCACCACTCTAAGTCCTCAGCCCACCGAACATGACGTTTGCCGTCGCGTGGTGCCCCCAGCGTTTTTCCTTTCTGTTTGTACTCGTCAGATTCTTGCTTTGTGTAGAAGCCCCGCGTTCCGCCGTCGCCTGCGATCGGAAACCGCTTGCTATGGAAAGCTTTGATTATAGCCATTTTCTGTTTGGCGCTCGCCGGCACCGTCTCGTTGGTCGGGATTTGAACCACCTCATTGACATCTTCAGGCATAGGGAATCCCTCGCAGTTGGATGCATTCAACTCGGTTCCAAACTGCGTCGCATCGTTGACCATGCCTGTCAGAGAATTGACTAGAAAAATATTGAGGTCGTTCAGCGGCCGCAATGCCGGTTTTGGGGGAGCAGCACGGCGCCTAGGCACACAAATTCGCTGCGGCGATCGCTGTGTTGGTCGCTGAGATGATAGCTGCAGCTCGCGTTGAGCCCCGTTGAGCACGTTTGGAAGAGCTTGGAGCACCGGCACCGAAGTAGAGCCTCGGAGTCGCTTTGTGTCATGCAAAGGCTGCCGTAGCTTGCGTTTCAGGGGTTCAATGTGGTTCTCCTTGTTTTCGTTAGCGCTCAGGGGAGTTGCATTGATGTTTTCCGGGCTGTTCTCCTTACCTTGTAGATATGAGTCGAGATGAAGTTCTAGCGCGTCCAAAGTGTCCTTGCGGGTGAAACGGCCTTTGAAAACACGCGTTCGTAGTTGGTCGTCAAGCTCAAAGCTCTCATTCGTGTTTTCAAGCTGGCGCAATAATTTTTCAATCTTGTTGTGGTGGAGATTGTCGGAGGAAGAAATGTCTCTTTCCCGGCGCAAATGTGTAGTCACTTGAAACAACTCGTTTGCCGGGGCAAAATCGCAACGCAAGTTGGGCGTTGCCAAGGTAGAAAGCGCCTCCGCTGCCTCATACACCAGTCCTTGCTTTTTCACTGGGCTAGACGAGAGATTGTCAAGAAAGATATCGTCTGACTGAAGTTGGAACTCGTCAGCAAGATGCGATGTGTCTACCGACAAATCTACCGGCGACGACATTTGCAAGGAGGAAGAAAACAAATGGCTGAAAAAGGCGGGTGCTGGTGCCAACGCTCCAAAGTAAGATGGAGGTGGGTGTTTACAAAATGGCCAGAACAAGAAACTTGTGTATGTGTGCACTACAACGGAAGAACAGACTCGTGGTATTATGCAGTCCGAGAAGAGCCTCAAGTCATCTGACATCGGTCATTGTAGTCATTCTTTCCATTGTGGAGACTTGCACCATCAACAAAGTTGTAGGTTCTCCTGTATTTCTTTTTTGTCATTTATTGATCTTGTACATGGCTTAAAAGTTGGGGAAGTTGCGCATGTGATCTTGTGATCTTGTGCCATGGAGGGACTCGTAAAAATGCGCCTACAGTGCAGATTATGCACTAACATGAAAAGTTCCCGAGTTTTGTTTCTATGGAAAGCAAATCACGGGTTTTAAAAGAAAAAAGTTGAGATCTCCGGCCACGTCCTACTGAACATGTAGCTGACAGAATTTGCAGATGCATAGTATCCTGAAACATGCTTGACGTAGGAAAATATTCAAACACAAAAGCTATTTTGTAATTTGTGACCCTATTTTCTGGTTTACTATTGTATTTGGCTACTGTGAATTGGCTTGTTGAGTAAAATTGAATCAGAAGCTCAGGTTACATTTTTACTTTTATCATTCAATTTTGTAAAGTTTTGTCCTTCTCTCAAAATTTTTGAGAACTTGTGGTTGTAGGCACACTGACGATGAACAGTGCAATCATCTCGAAACTTAAAAACATATAAGCTTGCTACTTTAGCAATGATAGAGAAAAGATACAGCAGTACAAACTTCATAAGGATAAAAGAGCGAACATATAATAAATAGAATAAACCAGAAGGAAGAAATCATTGACTTAACCCTCTGTAATAGGTTCGTAAATCGCATACAAAAGACACAAAATATGCTGTTTGGCTTTCAGCCAGATTAAACTCATAGTAATCTCGCACTCCTTCTTGTGTATGAGAGAAACTACATTTCGGACTATTTGCTATTCATTATATTGAATCGTAAGCTATTTTATTGAATCGTAAATCAAACGTTAGACGCCCAACCAGTAGACATCCTTTTCTGTTGAGAAGACCGCATCACCTACAATGTTGTCTGAAGAGGCGCCCACAAGTGCATGGTATGTTGCTTTTTCGGACAACCATTGGTTCTTGTAGGAGTCCCAGTATGATGTGACTTCAAGCAAAGGCATTTCAACAGATACAGACTTGGTTTCTCCGCTCTTCAAAAACACCTTTGCGAAATCCTTGAGCTCCTTCGCTGGACGAATAATCCTTGGGTTCTCGTGGCTCACGTAGATTTGCACAACCTCTGATCCATCTCTCTTGCCTGTGTTTGTCACATCTACAGTCACAGTGACAGTCTTTTCGCCAACCTCAGCCTTTGCGTTCTTGAACTCAAATGTGGTGTATGAGAGACCGTATCCGAAGGGGAACAAAGGCTTTCTGTCGACCATTTCGTAGTGTCTATAGCCAACGAAAACGTCCTCACCATACAAGACACGGCCGTTTGTAGAGCCATAGTTCAAGTACGAAGGGTTGTGCTCCAATTTTTCTGGGAATGTAAAAGACAATCTTCCACTAGGGTTGACATCACCGAACAAGACATCAGCAATGGCATTGCCCAACTCATTTCCTCCATACCATGCTTGAACCAAACCCTTGACCTTGTGAACCCAAGGCATGGTCACTGGAGAACCTGTTTGGTTGACAAAAATGACGTTTGGATTAACATCGCTTACCGCTTCAACTAACTTGTTCGTGTATCCTGGGATATCCATGTCAGGCCGGTCAAAGCCTTCAGATTCCCATTCCTTCGACAATCCACCGACCACAATGACCTTGTCTGCCTTCTTCGCAAGATCAACGGCCTTCTGCAATGCTTCTTCGTGAGTGTTTTTGATTTGAGCGCCAAAGTAGACACCTCCAACCTCCTGATAGTCCACAATAAGAGACGATGTAGGTCTAGTACCATACTCAACTTTAACCTTGTACTTCTTACCCTTCTCCAACTTTACGGCTGAACGTTCTTCTCTAGTGCCCATACCCAAGAAGAAGGCATCACCTCTTTGTTGCTTGGTTTTATTGTCGACAATAAGCTTGTCATCCAAGAAGATCTGTGCTGTTCCCAAACACGAGCATCCAAACTCGTAAGTAGCACTTTCATCGGGGGTAAAGTAGCCCTCAAAATCCACGTAGAATAATTGTTCACCCACAGGCAATTCTGGGTGCTTGTAGTCGGTTAAAAAGAGCTTAGTGCTTGTACTAATCCTCTTGTCGAAGGGCTTTCTTCCTGGAGTTCCTGGAGCAACTTTGTAAAACCTTGCTTCGACACCAGTTTCACCAGTTTCAGTCTTCATGATGGAACCAATATCTGGCAAGGTTTTATCCAAATAGGCACCCAAAGTATACTCAACAACGACAGCTTTATCACCAGCCTTTTCTTTTACTTTGTTCACAATACCATCAAATGGTGTGACAGTGTATCTAGCCTTCAAAGATGCAGAGCCTCCGCCAGAGTTCCTTTCTGCTTTGGCATTTGGACCAATCACTGCGATAACCTCGTTACCTTTCTTGGCATGTGGATCTAAAGGCAAGATGTTGTCGTCGTTCTTCAACAAAACTAACGATTCCCCACCAATCTGGCGCAACAAAGTGGCAGCTTTAGGGTCTGTGTTCTCCAACTCATCCTGGTCTGGGTCAACTCCAGATTCAAGACAATCGTCAATGAACTTGAGGACATGTCTTACGTTCTTGTCAATAACGTCGCGGTGAATCTCGTTACAAACAACACTGTGAACCGTTTGGACGCTTTCACGGAATCTTGTAGGACCAGGCATTTCCAAGTTCAAGCCCGCATCGAGGGATTCCTTGATGGAGTAGACACCATACCAGTCAGACATGACCATTCCATCCCATCCCCATTCTTTTCTCAAGACATCCTCTAATAACTTTTTAGACTGAGATACATGTTCGCCATTAACCTTGTTGTAGGCAGTCATGAAAGATTTTGGGTTTGCATCACGAACAGCAAGTTGGAACGGTTTCAAGTAGATTTCTCTTAATGCACGTTCGGTAATGATGGTGTCAACACCTTTTCTTTCGTCCTCTTGATCATTACACACAAAATGCTTAATACATGCGACAATCTTTCCATCCTGAATACCATTGATCACAGCAGAAACGATATGACCAGACAAAACAGGATCCTCTGAATAAGACTCGAACGCCCTGCCACCTAAGGGACCACGGGCAATGTTGCAAGTGGGTCCCAAAATACAGTGAACACCTTTCATCTTTGCCTCTTTACTCATCAATTCACCAGCTTGATAGAGCAATTCTTTGTTAAATGTCGACGCCATTCCTGTTCCACATGGGAAACAATTGGAAGGAACCGAGTCAAAGAAACGAGTTCCACGGATTCCATTGGGGCCGTCAGAAACTGTAACAGCTGGGATATTCAAACGTTCAATGGGTACTGTTTGCCAAGCATTTGCTCCTGCAAGAAGAGATATCTTCTCTGGGAGACTGAGCTCGGTGATGAGTGCCTCGACATCCAATTTTGTCATTTTTGATTTTTATACTTTCTGATTGTTTAATCAGCTTGAGCGAGTACCACATCTTTTGTGTGGCCCATTTATAGCACAAGCCAAGGAAGGACAACAGGTATGGCCTCCGGGTTCACTTCCTCTTTGGGCTTTGACAGGTCTGTGCCCCCGCAATTGCGTTAGATTTCCTCATTGGGAGGCGCAGGAAAACACGTTACCCCGGATGCATGGTAAAGGAAAGGAAAATAAAGAAGGGGTAGAAAGAAGCAACGAACAATGTAAACAGACTTGCGGGGTAACCTTTTCGTGAGCTAACAGGAAGGAATGGGTACCATTTTAGTTGGGTCGCACACCCCTCTGAAGTTAATAAGGGTAAGCTTCCAAACCCCCATCTTTTGAATACAATTTGATGGTAATTTTAATATTTTCGTAAGAGCAATACAAGATGCATCATGTGGGGCATCTGTATTATTACTTTTCGGTTCCGGTGAAATTTTACGAGCGCCATGCGCAAGAAAAATCATGCAATCATGCACCTGTAGAAGACAGCCAAACGAGAGTTGTCATGCCCGAGATGTTGAACTGACGATGCCATCATGGTCGATACCAAATGATCAGAACTAATTTCCTCTCAAATTCAATTAATTAAAATTTTTGGGCGGGCAGAATTTAAAATACTTTTTTTTTTTTTTGGCTCTGTAATTACTACTCTCCACATTAAAAAATCCATGTTTTAAACTATACTGAAAACAAAGCTAATACTCTCTCAAAATGGAGTTGAGCTCTTCTCTCTTGACGCAGTTCTCGATTTTGAAGCAGCTAGCCAATTCATCCAAATCCTCGAAAGAGAGTTGGGCGTAAAGATCAGCATATTCATGCTGGGCGTATTGAGAAAACAACATGTCCCTAGCAACACGAGCAACGTAATCCTTAATGGACCAGTTATGAGGATAAAGAGCTTTTTGATACTTTTCAGGAATATTTTCCTTCATGTGTCCAACCAAAGCATCGTACAACTTTGCATTTTCCTTGTCAATATCGTTTCCCCAACGATCCAAACCCAACTTCTTTTTCTTCAAGAACCATTTCTCGAATACTTCAAAAAATTTGGACTTCGGATCAACATAGACAAGACCCTGGAACCCAATGTCTTTGTAAACCCAAATGGACCAAGAAATAGGAGATCCATCTCCACTAGGATCTCCTTTTTTATAAATCAGCAATTGGTCCTTCAAGACTTGGTATCTAGCACGATTAGTTTTCTCAGGTTCGGAATCTCCCCTCACTTCAGAAGCATAAACGGGACCAAATTCACCATTCCAAACCGGAACACCAGCCGCCCTCATATATTCCAACTTGCGGTTGTATTGGCTTTCTAATTTCGCTTTCTGCTCATCAGTGCCAGCATAAGTATCTTTTTCATAACCTGGGAATCCATATGTAGAATAATCGTGAATGGAATAAACACAATTTGGCCAAGGCGTCTTTGGAAACTGGCGGAAATCCATAGCGTATGTGTTTGCGTCCAAGAATAGAATGTGGTTGGGGTCCACATTTCTAATTTCCTTCTCCAAGCTATTGTAGAAATTCACCAATTTAGAATGATCTGCAACAGCAGGTTCATTCAATGGATTGTAACCTGCAACCCATACGTTGTCTTTGTAGTGTTCAGCAATTTTCTTCCACAAGTGAATAATAGCATCTTGAAAAACTTTGAAGTCCCAGAATAATGACTTGTGAATTCCCGAATCAGAATGCCAATCTTGGTTTTGGCCACCAGGAACAGCATGCATATCTAAGATAGTATAGATGCCATGCTTGGCACAGCTTTCCACCACTCTGTCTAAGAGCAAAAAACCTTGAGGCTTGACCTTGAACAAGTCATCATTATCGTCAATAAAGTGGCGATAGTTGAAAGGGATACGCAAACAGTTCAAATTCAACTCTTCTTTGAAAAAAATGGCGTCTTTCTCTGTCCAGAAGTACTCGTAAAATTTGTCAAAGTAGTAGTTAAATTTTTCGGTGCCCATTTTTGACTCCATCACTTGCTTATGCTCAGTTTCATGGCCTGGGTAACCAGTGATGAAGTTTTCCATGTTCAAGTGCCCTCCTGTGGCTGTTCCCTTCAAAACCACTGGCTTTCCATCCGAACCGACAATCTTAGTACCATTTACTTTCAAAAATCCCATTTTGCTGTGTTTCTTCAGCCTACGGACGGGGAATTACAAAGATTAAATTCCTTACCAGCACATTTTCGTACTATCGGAAAAGATTCCTCATGGGGAGCAACCGTTGGAGCACTTCACCTTCCGGAAAATAAAGGAAATTTTCGGGTGGGGGAAAGAACAGTCACGACCCGGGAAGGATTCCTCATTTGGCAGCATATGCGGCAGGACCATTTACCGCGTATACGGCAGCATTAGCCATTTCTCTCATGTTCCCGATGCCGTACATACACACACGCCTCACTTTCCTTTTAGCCGTGGCTTTTCACATGTCTGTCATGACTATTTCATCCCTCAGCCACTTCCATAGATCAAAGATGCGATCGATAAAAGCACTCAGATCTTCCGCCTGAATCAGCGCACTCATAACCGACCTGGCATACGCACCCCACATCACCAGGGCTCAAAATAATATAGCCACGCCATGCACGCCTGCAATTGACAAGGCGTGTTATACGAAGGATCGCAGACTCAACAGGAACCGAGTGGTCAAACACTCACGGCATCCAGGAATCACAACACCCAAGTGCATTTGTTTGCGTGTTACTTGCATGAATGCTGCTGGCATCATTTTCGTCCTGATAGGTTCTCGAGTATAAAAACTCATAAACCTTGCTTCAGTGGTTACTGCATCACTACAATTTGAAATACATCTGCAATGACCGATAGTATAAACAGCATACAAAAAGAAGCTTGGCTGCCCGATTCGGCAGACGCACACTCGGTAGCCGTCGAAGACTACATTGCCGAAACGCGGCCTTGGTACAAGGTAAAGCACTTGCGTTGGTTGACTTTTATGATTTTCTTGATCACACTCACATCGACAAACAATGGTTATGATGGCTCTATGTTGAATGGTTTGCAGTCTTTGGAACACTGGCAAAAGACTATGGGGCATCCCACAGGAAAAAGACTCGGCCACTTAAGTAATGGAGCCACTTTTGGTGGCATTGCTGCGTTGCCTATAATTCCTTATCTCAGTGATCACTACGGAAGAAAGAAGCTTGTTATTGTTGGCCAGACTTTAGCTGTTGTTGGAGGTATTTTACAAGGTGCATCCACAGGATATGGCTTCTTCTTGGGCGCGAGAATCCTTCTTGGTTTTGGAACCATGGTTGCTGTAGTACCCTCTCCACCACTTATTTCCGAAATATCTTACCCTACACACAGAGCAACATGCACTTTCGCTTACAATATCTGCTGGTACCTTGGTGCTATTATTGCTTCGTGGGTGACTTTTGGCACAAGAACGATCAAGGGAAAGGCTTCTTGGAGCATTCCTTCCTACTTGCAAGTTGCAATGCCAGCGTTCCAGCTCGCCCTTTTCTGGTTGGTTCCAGAGTCCCCTAGGTATCTAGTTGCCCAGGGCCGTGTTGATGAAGCAAAACGCATTATTGCAAAATATCACACCGGAGACTCAAATGATCCAAGAGATATGGCCTTAGTTGATTTTGAAGTTACAGAAATTCAGTGTGCTTTGGAGGCCGAAAAACTAAACACTAATGCATCTTACCTGGATTTTATCACAAAAAAGAGTTTTAGACGCAGATTGTTCTTGGTTTCATTTATCCCTGTTATGATGCAACTTTCTGGTAACGGATTGGTCTCCTATTATTTGGTGAAAGTCTTGATTTCTATTGGTATTAAACTGACAAAGAAACAATTGGAAATTAATGGTTGCTTGATGATTTACAACTTTGTTATTTGTGCGAGTTTGGCAAGTACCGTTCGTTGGTTCAAGAGAAGAACATTGTTCCTTTCCTGCTGTGCTGGTATGTTATTGACTTATGTTATCTGGACAATTTTATCAGCTCTCAACCAAGAACGTGACTTCAAAGACAAGAGTTTGGCAAACGGTGTGCTTGCAATGATCTTCCTTTACTATCTTTTCTACGATATTGGAAACAACGGCTTGCCCTACTTGTATCTCACGGAGGTGTTACCCTATTCTCACAGAACAAAAGGTATCAACATCATGCAATTCTGGATTGCCGGAATTCTCATCTACAATGGGTACGTTAATCCAATTGCTATGGATGCAATTGAATGGAAGTATTATATTGTTTACTGTTGCGTCCTTGCTGGCGAATTAATCATTGTTTACTTCACATTCCCAGAGACGTCAGGCTACACTTTGGAGGAAGTGGCGCAAGTTTTCGGAGATGAGCCTCCGGAACTCAACAAAAGACACGCAGACAATGCTCTCACAACCAAACAGTCTATGGAACATGTGGAAGATGTCTAGTTCAAAATAAGTAATATAATTTCTACGATCTGTTAATGCTCCGATTACTTGGTGTAATATAAAGCTGTGCTGGTGTGGATATGTAAAGTAAAGTCTAATAGGAATTCTTTATAAGGTGAAGGGCAAAAAAAAAAAAAAAAACAAAACAACAAATTTGATCAAGGGGAAAAGATCAACGGAACTCGTCACATCTATAGTCGACGGTATGTCCCTAGAACGTTTCTCAAGTTATTAGAACAAAACCCAGTACAATAATATTGATTTTCCTTCAAGCTGTATTATGTTTGACAATTTGAAAGAGCGTTTCTTATTGTTTCATAAACTGACAATTAGAGATGTTTATTCCATGCTGTCACTATCACTTATATTTTCACACACATATGTCTCGTTAGTTGTATTTGCTGCTAAGTTTCGTTGATTCTTTTGAAAAGAGAAAAAGCGTTAACGTTTTCACTAGAACCAAAATCAATAGCAAACTTATTTCAAAAGCAATTTCAAACTTAGCAATTTTGGCACCACCATTTTACCACAACGAAAATTAGTGGGACTCATATCCCTTCTTGTCATAAACATTATATCCCTTGTCAATTCATTTACTCCAGGTGAACATAACATCAACTACGTACACTGCTCAAAATTTTTACTACATTTATCTCGAAATTATTTATTCCCATTATCTATTTTTTTTCTACTTTCGGCGCAATCTTGAAGCATTTACCGACCAATCTTCAAAATGATGTACTTTGCTCCTTTGAAAGAACCCGCTCCGCGTTTAGATTAGTAAAATCGCCATGAGGGATGACAAACTTGCATTACTCCACTGTGTCGTTGGGTACTTCATGTTTCACGTCCGATCATGCATGTAGAAACCCGCATCGGGGACCCAAGCTTAACGTACGAGGGAAGATATCCATTTGCGGACAGGTGCCGCAGGATCCAAGATTTCCTTTCGTCCGCGATGCCTACAGTCCAGACTTACTTTCTTTGAATATGGGACCAATATCACATCCCAGAACTATGATCACCTACCGAATGAGTATTTTTATTGTCTACCCTGTCCCAAGAGAAAGATAATTGCAGGGCATTAAACTTCAACCTTTGCCATTCATAACCATAAAGTCGAAACGCACCCCACACTTCCGGGCTCATAACATATACCATGCCAGCAAGCGGGGTACCTCAAATTTGGAGAATGCGAGAAGTAAATGTCACGGAACACTTAGTAAAATTGATTATTTCTGGTCGGCCCCTCAGTTATGCATCTTTTCCCGCGTTTTCGATGCAATACGAGGTGATAACTCCGCTTCTCGTAGGAATTTAGACAACTATAAAGCTGGTAATTAATCTCCAGATCATTTATCGATATTTTCTTATTCGACACTCGAATGTCTCAAAGTATCTCAAGTACTGAAAAAATTACTGAAAAGGTTGCTTCTCAGCCGGATTCTGCAGAAGTACACTCCGTCTCCGTTGGTGACTATATTGCTGAAACTCGGCCCTGGTACAAGGTCAAACACTTGCGCTTCTTGAGTTTCTGTATCTTCGTGATTACAATTTCTTCAACCAACAATGGTTATGATGGTTCGATGTTAAACGGTTTGCAGTCCTTGAGTCACTGGCAAAAAACCATGGGACACCCAACAGGAAAGAGACTTGGTCACTTGAGTAACGGTACATTGTTTGGTGCCGTGGCCGCCTTACCTTTTGTTCCTTACTTTAGTGACAGATTTGGAAGAAAGAAAGTTATCTACGTTGGTCAAATCCTCGCCGTTGTGGGAGGTATCTTACAAGGTGTATCCAATGGGTATGGATTTTTCTTGGTCTCGAGAATCATTCTTGGTTTAGGAACGGGTCTTGCATCGACTCCCTCTCCAGCACTCATATCCGAATTATCTTACCCTACACACAGAGAAACATGTACTTTCGCTTTTAACATCTGTTGGTACTTGGGTGCTATCATTGCTTCGTGGGTGACGTACGGAACCAGAAACATCCATGGAAAGGCCTCTTGGAGTCTTCCTTCTTACTTGCAAGCAGCAATGCCAGCAATCCAAGTGTGCTTGCTCTGGATGGTACCTGAGTCTCCTAGATACTTAGTTGCACGTGGCCGCGTGGAAGATGCTAGGAAGGTGATTGCAAAGATGCATACTGGAAACTCAACTGACCCCAGAGATGAGGCTTTGGTTGACTTCGAGTTGAGAGAAATTGAATGTGCATTGGAGGCAGAGAGAATGAACACGAATGTTTCCTACTTTGATTTCATCAAGAAGAAGAGTTTCAGACGCAGATTGTTCTTGGTTTCTTTTGTCCCTGTTATGATGCAACTTTCTGGTAACGGATTGGTCTCCTATTATTTGGTGAAAGTCTTGATTTCTATTGGTATTAAACTGACTAAGAAACAATTGGAAATTAATGGTTGCTTGATGATTTACAACTTTGTTATCTGCGCTACTATGGCCAGTACTGTTCGCTTTTTCAAGAGAAGAACTATGTTCCTTACATGCGTGAGCGGCATGTTATTGTCGTACGTTATTTGGACAGTCTTATCAGCTCTCAACCAACAACGTGATTTCAAAGACAAGAGTTTGGCAAACGGTGTGCTTGCAATGATCTTCTTCTTCTATCTTTTCTACGATATTGGTATGAATGGTTTACCATTCTTATACCTTACGGAAGTGTTACCTTACTCTCACAGAACAATGGGTCTTAATATCATGCAGTTCTGGACGACAGGAATCTTGATTTACAATGGTTATGTCAATGCTATTGCTATGGATGCTATCGAGTGGAAATATTATATTGTCTACTGTTGTATTCTTGCTGTTGAATTAGTTGTTGTTTTCTTCACTTTCCCAGAAACATCTGGCTACACTTTGGAGGAAGTGGCCCAAGTTTTCGGGGACGAACCTCCTGAATTGAACAAAAGACATGCCGACAACGTTGTGGAAAAGCAATCAGTGGAACATGTTGAAGTTGTCTAAACAAGCTGTGTGAATAAAGTTGTTTAAGCTGCTAATTTCTATCGAGATCTCAAATTATGATGTAATGAAAAATTAAATAGCTGCTAATGAATATATGTCTTAAATCTTTATCATGGGGAAAAACGAAGAAGTTTTATTTTTTAGGAGCTATAAGTTGCACCGCCAAATAATTTCAATTTAGTCCTCCCACTTCAACATTCACTCAAGTAGCTTTATGATTGGCCATATGGGCTTTTCTAACACGTTAGATTTAATGATTGGGCAAGCTAGTTGAAACGACGGAAAATCCGACTTATTCTCAACTCCCCACTCGGGCCGAAGCCCGAAGATCTTCTGGAGATACACTAAGAGAAAACAAGATTAAACTGAAATTTTTTGCTAAATAGACCAAGAATAAACTGGCCTTCGCTCCGGGAGATATGGTCAAGGAAATACTCTCCATTAACTGATGCTAAGCTATTTTTTTGTCGGCATAGCAGATCGGTGCCGACCCAAAATATGCCTTTCCAGCATGTTGATATGCGCCATACATATACGGGCTCCGAACCTTAGATGTAAGGTCAAGAGCCACATAACTTGACGTGTCTTTATACACACTTTCTCCACCTATACCTACAAGGGATTCTTAAGTGAAGGTAAAATAAAGGTATACGTGACCTCCCATCTTTCCACAATGCATTACCATGTAAAACTTCTCGGACCTTTTTCGAATTTTCATGCGTTTCAGTCATTCTTTTGGGACTGCTCTTGCTTCAAAGCCTTCATAAAAATAGCTAGATGTTGCGGATGAACTCGCTAGAAGTCATGATAGGTTTATTACACACTCATCGCGAGCCTCCTTACTTCAACATGCAACATTCTATTGTTTTCAAGTTTGACTCTCTTACTTTTACCTTACTTTATCGACGTGTTGGATCCGCATTTCTATCATTAAGATAAGGATGCATCAAATCTTCTTTACTCAATTATACCACTTCACTACTCTCTGCAGTTGATCTTCCATAAGAGGAAACTTATCCGTATACAGAAAGAGAAACCCGTTGTTTTAGTAGCGATCCAACTTGAAAGTTTTAATGTAATCTCCTCAGATACAACTTGCCGTTTAGAAGCGCTCATACTTGCTAGCTCCATACACTGTTAGTAAGGGTGTCCTCCGTTTGGTCGCATCGGAAAGATACGGTTAAACTTTTGGGCTTGAATGTTCAGCTTCAAAATCTGTTGAATATAGTTGCTAACACTTTTGAAATCCATTGGTAACATCCTTGCAAACCATCTCGTCTGTCTCCCAGGTACAAAGCCCCAGTCTGAAGCTTATGTAATGTCAAACAGCTCCACATGGCTGAAAGCTGATAAGTAAAGTCTAAGAGAGATACCAAGAGCTGCAGATTATTATAGCTTCCTTCGGTTCATAGTGGTCAATTTACAAGAAAACGAGAAGGCCATCTACAAATTTCCAGTGTCTGCTAAAATTACGGTAGAGTGAAAGTAACTACACGGTATTCAGTGAATTTCCATTTATCGTTTTATTACCCAATAATCGTGACAGAAGTGAAAGAAAGCCATTTCTGTTAATTTCAAACACCACAGGCGTTAGTATACATAATGACATACTCAATAACAGCGCTAGCACCGTCTTCCATAGTAGTAGTGGATTGTTCGGTTTTGGTGTAGTAAGTGCCTGGAGGAAGCACAAACAGTGTCTCGCTTGGTAAGCTAGAAGATTCAGCAGCACTAGATGACGAAGGAACTGCGGAAGAAGCAGAGCTGGAAGATTCAGCAACACTAGAAATAGTAGAGCTTGCTGCAGCAGAGCTCTTAATAGAGGAGCTAGGAGCAGAACTCTGACCAGCAGAACTGACGGCCACAGAGCTGGCTGAGGCAGAGCTTCCAGCTGCCGAGCTTGCAACACCAGATGAAGCTGCAGCAGAAGACGCTGGAGCAGAAGACGCTGGAGCAGAAGACACTGGAGCAGAAGACACTGGAGCAGAAGAAGAAGCTGGAGCCGAAGAAGCGGCAGAAGACTCCTGAGAGGTCTCACTTGGGGCCACAAATGGAGACGCAGTCGCCGAAGGCAGTCTCGTGAATAGTTGAGTGGTCAAAGAGCCTAAAGAATTCGTGTAAACGAATGCAGTAACAGTTTCTTGAGCAACATAGTTGGAAGTGACAGTCACAGTAACGTCAGAATCGGCAGAGACACCCGAGATGGCATTCAACAATGCAAGCGAAATGGGCAAGAAACGAGTGGCACGCATGCAGAAGAATTAGGTGGAGAGAAACAAAAAAAATGTGACAAAAAAACGGCGCATGCTAACGTTATATACTTGAAGGTGCGTGCTGCAAGTTTTACATCTTGCGTCCTGCCGCGGGCGGTATCCGAAGCCCAAATCCCCAATTGAGGATGCGTTAACGCGCATATTTTTTTACTAAAGCTGTCTTGACGCACAAAAACGAGCCAGAGAGTATGTTTTTGAACTTTTGCAAGCAGATCCAGCCAGTAAACTGTCTTGTCTGCCGTAGATGAGCTTGCCCTTCTGGCTTTTAACCAGAAGTGATGCTATGTCCAGCCATTTGCGAGCTGCTGGTTAAGGGATCTTTATGCAAGATTTTCTGCGCTCATCTTTTCGTGCATTGGCCAGCATATTGAGGACTAAACAAGAAGACGACAAGTTCGAGCATCATTGGTCGTTACATCTTAGCATTTGATATACCTCCATCCGTGAATATGCGAAACCTTTCGTTATACAAATTTCCCTTCTTTTGGTATGGTTGGTCTAGTTAATGAACTGATGCACTGCACCATTCTGGAATACCGTACATCCTTGTCAAAAGCGATGCAAAGTAATATGCAGGAAAATCGACTGATTTGTGTGCGACAAGCGACAAGCAAATTGATGGCTGGCGCCAGTCTAAAAGATCACTAAATCTTATTTCAGACAAACACGACAAAGTTTTATTGTTTTTTATTTTTTTATTTTTTTTGTTTTAGCTCTTATATCATAAAGCTTGACCCACCACAAAATGAATAACTCCTAAAGCACTAGGAAGATCTCGGAAATGTCACACTTTAATGCGTAATTGAACAGTTGCATGATCTTGCGGTATAGAACAAAATAAATGCACAGGCGCTTCCATCGCGCTTATTTTTTTTGCTTAAATCCCGGCGAACAAAATTTCCCTCTCAGCATATTTTGATGATACTAACTGGAAGAGCAATTTCGCAGTTTTTCTTTTCTTAATCTCATTGTTACGGGGCTTTCTTTATATATATTGGCTTTCCGCCGTCGTTACTATAGCGCTTCTCTCTTTCCGGCTTGTGTTGACCATAGAACAAGATACGAGTTTTTCCATCCGATGCAGTGCCGAAATCGTAATGTCGACGCCAATACGGACGTCACCTTTTCGTCCTGTGACAAGTTTTAGAAATGACCAGAAAGAAAACATATCTTATAAGGTAACTTGTTAATATTAACTTGTTTAGAAGGAGAGAAGAAGAAAGGAGCATTTGTGTTCACTTCTGCAACATAACTTTAGAATGATCGCCCTTCTGAATACTCCTATAGCATCCTTTTCAATTCTACACTAGTTAATGACTTCATATGTTCATCTATTACCACTATGTATTGGCGCCTGCGCTTTGGATGGTTCTTTTCTTGATATCAGCAACGCCATCCGCTAGGTGAGGAAACTCTTCGACGAGCTTGTCACCCAAAATATTACACAACCGTTCGAAGCCCAACATTTTGCCTTTTAGCCTAGCATTCAGTTTCGCTGTCACTTCCACAAACTCTCTTGTGTATATGTCCGGGTTCCGCCCGTCTTCGATGTAAGTCAACACATCAATAGGAATCGGATACTGTTGTGTAAACGGACTGTCCGTAAGACCCGAGAGCTGGCTGACTACTTGGTTCGTCTTATGTATAAGGGCAGAATGGGAATTCGCTGTGCCCTGGTTGTCGTGAACCAAAACACCTAACTCGATGAAAGACTCAACAAGAGATTGTAGCTGCGCTGCCGTAGCTATAAGCGGTTCATTTTCGGGTGTCAGAGAGATTTCTGATGTAGTCATGGGAGGAAGAAAACAGGGCAGAGAGACGTGGTGACAGTAAATGCAGGAAATTATCAACGTACACCATTTCACTGGCCCCAAAAATCCACACCTCTCAAATCTTGCTTACCCAAACAAGTTGACTATCTGGTTACGTATCGACGAATACAGCCAATGGAAGAGAAACATAGATGGAAAAGCGAATCAGAGAGAAATACTCACCAATTCCCATAGGGACCTGGAGATATTTCGAATATGGATTTCAGGCGACTTATGCACGTACTATTCCAGGTAAGAGTGGTCCATGGACTTCATCGGTAGACACATCACACATAATTGTATTATCTCATTTACTGAACTTGTAACTGTGAGAAAATTCAGATCCATTTGACATAGCCAGTGTAAGCCATCTCTACAAATTCTTACGTAACGAAACCGGAACATGATCGTAGCTGATTATCAAATTGAAGAGCAGAAGATATCGTACAGATATTTTAGAGACACACTTTGAACCATTCGAAGCTGAAAGTCATAAAAGTGACTATGTGTTGCTATCACCAATTTCTGCATAAGTTGAGATGCAAGTTTGAAATGCAAGAAAAGTCGCACCAACTTCTGGCCAAAGATTGTCTGATATTACAGTTCTTCCAGAGGCTAGTAATAGATACCACCGTCGAAAATTTCGGTTCTCCTCCTGAGCATTTCTGACCCGACATTCTAACAATTTTCTGTTGTGCACAAAAAACAGACACCATTATCTTTCCCAGCATAATTAATTGGCCGATTTTATTGATATTGTTTCAACTAATTTTTCAATTTCTGCCCCATGGATCCCAGTACGGTCGTTTTACGATATAACCGCGAGAAATGGGATGCCAGAAGCCGCCTGGGAAGTGTGTCGCCAACGAAATTTGTCACTTTGACATACCAGCGCAGTGAAGGCACACCATCTCGCCCACAAACGCCATTTTTGGAGCCACCCAAACATTTTGACGGGAGGACAGACATCTCTTCACCTGCGCTTTCCCCTTCGCCTGCGGTTTCGATGCCAGGGTCCCCTGTTTTTTTCCCTCGACCAAAAGAAGTCAGTGCGGTTTCTGAGCATAGACCAGTCTCTCAGTCTCTACGAGCGCTCAAAGAATACAAAGCATACTCGCTGGAAAAAGCATGGTATATTGATCTTGTCAATGTAGCACAAAGACTACGTCTTTTGCGGGACACTTTCAAGGTGATACAATCTGTACGTAAAAAACGGATGATGGGCGAACGAGCAGACTTTCGCCTGGCACAAGAGAACGCTTCACGCAGCCCAATGTTTCTGGACGATGAGCATACGCATGCGAAAACAGAGGATGACGAAAATATGGGCCCGCCTATCCAAGTTCCACCGCCGAACAGACGAGGGCGGCCGCGCAAAAAGGGCACACGTGGACGGAAACCGGCAGTGCGGGTGCCGGTCGAACCTCGCGTCCGTACGCGCCGGGCGCTTGGGTCTCTGCCTTTGAAGGGCGAGGACGCCCCTACAGATTTGAGCGCGCTCTTGACACATCCGCCCATTCTTCCAAGTCAGCGCCATTTTGTTGTCGAAGGGTTCGTACAAACGCCATCTGAGACGTTGTCAGAGGCCAATGAGATGGCAAGAGCAAGGCAGAATGCTCCTGCCAATTCGATTGAAGAGCGGAGGAATGAGAACGCTGGATTTCAAGGTGGAGTTGATGCTGGTTTCAACATAAACGCGCAGGGCGAATCAAAGAGCAGTGCGAACGATTCATTAAACACATCATTTGCTGAGAGTTCAAACATAACGAGCGACGCGACTAAAAACATACCAGAGAGGGGACACGAGAAAAAACTTATAGAACTGGGACGTTCTGATAACGTAATAGCCGAGCCTAAATTCTCCACCAGTGATCTACAATCCTCCTGGAATGTAGTCACTCCAAAAGAGTATGTTCAATCTGATGTTGGGCAAGATCTGGATTCAGATACTCACTTTGATGAAGAATTATACGGTGACTATATTTCGACGTTTCCGGTAAAATCTTACGCTGGTGGTCCATGATTTTGCATCACGAGATTGCAATAGTCAACTTACGAGGCTAGGACCATCCTCCAGCTTGCATTGGTGTATCATAAGCATTGTAGAATAAAGTATAGACTAGTCATTTACGTGGTACAAGGTATGAAAAATAGGTGTATAAGTGAAACAACCACAAATGTGATTAGTTATTTTAAATCTACCTGGACAGTTTTTGTAGGGGAGCCATTTGTATTAACCAATTCTCCACACTGAATAATGCCTTTGTGTGAGAGATTAGATATTCAGAACGTTTACCTCGTACGAAAACAAGAACGCTCGATCATCGTATTGTGGAACATCAAAGGGAAACGACGCTCACTGAGATTTGTCGCTCTTATCGTATCCATATTATTGGGCAGTTGAATGGCTCCAACTATTTTTATGCCACAGTGATACTTCTCCTACAAGGTAATCATAAATCACCCGAGAATTTATCTCAGGAATATTTACCCATCTGAGTAAGCCTAAAATAACTTCAAACTCGGCAACAAAGATTGTACCAATAGTGATGTATATAGACGATGCGAATGCCTCGGCATGAATTGTCTCGTTCATGCATAATCAATCATAGTGCGACTTTTCTCATTTTTCATGGCCGGGCGGTACGGCTAAATATGTTCCCTGCACCAAATCCGGAGCCTTTTACGGAAGCGATAAGTATCGGGAACATCGAACGGGCCGATGTTGCCAGACTGAAGCTTAAAGGTATTAACTCCGCAATTCCTTTGGCCGACTTCTTAACCACCGGCCGGTTCGAACTTATTCTTGAAGAGCGACATACCGTTATCTTTCAATGCAAGGCCGCTAGAGCACTTTTAATGCTTCATCTAATGTAAACTGTTCCAGCGCAATCTTGATTTACGAACGTAATGCGCAATGCTCCAATTCAATCAGCAAGACGTAATTTAAAAGTAAAAAATGACCATTGGCCGCTATAGCTAAAAATATTCCAGAACTAGCATCTTGGATTTGCGCAGGGTCGAAGACAAGAAAAATACCGGAAGCAATCCGGCTCATACGGTCTTTTGCGCAGGTTTTGCTTGTGCTTGGAAACCCCGTCATTCCTGTACAAACCCTATCAAGGTGCTGAAGGACATAGGAAAAGTTCTTCTAGCGACCCGTCTATCCGTCTTTTCCGTCTGACTCCGAAAGCTAAAATCAGCTCTTGTACTGAAAGCGTTTTTTCGCCGCACTATCCACATCCCCGCAATTTTCTGCTGCTAGTGCTAATACATAATCGTGCGAACTTTTGTGGTCTCATCTATCTTTGTTCTGTCCTGTCCAGCTTCTGCAAGAGGTTTTTTTTTTGTTCTTCCTGCTTCAGGCCTGCCTAGCCATCAACTGTTACCAGTCTAACTTATTTGAGCCATACATTCTGGCTTAGTTGACCTATTTGTTCATCAATCAGGTTTCTTATTTTCCTATTCGTCTCGCTCATATCTTGCCCAGCCATGTCAAACCTTCGGCCCAATTTATACCACACATTAACTTCGCCAGAATTGATGGGGTTCCGTCAGTTTGAGCTGGATCTGGCTCTTGAAACGGGTGTCCAGTGTTTCAGTCCTGTGCCTGAAATAGAAAAGAAGGATAACAAAGAGTTGCTTGATGCCCTAGCTGAGCGGCTGAATGAAGAGTATAGAGATATCACCTTCCCAATCCAGCTCCAACCGAACCCAAAGTATGCACCCCGCGTGTCTTTTGATACTATTGACATTTGCTATGCTGAGGAACCCGTTGATGATGATCTGCTTTATACTCGATTACTGGAAGGAACTGATCGTGGCAGGGGGCGAGACAGGGAATTCGTTGTCCGTTCGCCCAGCTCGTCTCCAAACAGACTTCTCTCCCCGATCGGAAATCCTGGGGTATCCATTTTTAGAAATCACATTGCTTATCCCACTACACCCATAATTACGCGCCGAGGGTGTACGTTTCTGCGGACCCACAAGGACTTTGAAGACTTGTACCTGGGCAAGTTGGCCAGCAAGAATTTGCGTCCTGTTTTACCTCGCAGAGTGATTTTGGTATACATCAGCGGCAGAAAACATACATGGGTGGCGCTTGATTGGATTCTCCGCTCTTTCATCGAAAACGGCGACACTGTGATTGTTGCTGCTGCTATGAACCATAGCTTGGGCCGAAAACAAACAAGAAATTCCAATTATCCATCTCCACTGAATTTTCAAGCTAAAACGGCGCGTGTTAGGTTTCGTCAGAGAACGCGGCCAGAATTCATTAAAAGCATCACCTCAAATGTCATGAACTACTGCTTGAAAGTGGTGAATCCGGATGTTATCTCGAGAATTACTGTGGAGATTTTAGAGGGCAAAACAAAGGATGTCTTACGTGATATGTATCGCCTTTACGAACCTAATATCGTTTCTACCGCGTCAAAAGTAAATTCTCGAAACAGCGCTCCACTCAAATCATGGAATTCATCACGTCTTAGTGACCGCCTTGTGAAGAACTTTCCGCTTCCAGTTTTGGTGGTGCCTGCGCTGAATATGGCTCGCTTCGAAAGAAGCTTACGGCGCCATATAATGAAGGAGAATGGCTATCCCATGTCAGCTCTGGCTTCGTCTGTAACAGAAATGTCGGCAGATACAAGTAAAGTTTCGACAAGCATTGTATCGGGAGAATCAGATGCAGCGCAGGTGCCTCCATCTGAACAGACTTCCACGTCCAAGAATGAAGATATATTATCTTTGTCTGACTCTTTGCATTCGTCTGATACTGGAAGCATGTCCTCATCGGACTCATACAATTCCTATGAAGAAATTGCAGAACTATATGAAGACTATAAGAACAACATTCATAACAAGCTCGACGAATTGAGTACCGCGGAAGTTAACGAACACTACTTTTCCAACTTTGCACGAGCAATCTCTGATAAATCGCTTCTGTTCTGTGAAGAACTTAGTAGCGTGAATCCGGATTTCAAGGGACAGGGTGCCCTCTTGGCGCGTGCCATCACTGGGTCCAATTCGTTTGGAGCAGTTCCATATAAAACTAAATCTTTGTTGGCTCCGCTTGAGGACAAAAAAAGCGGCTTGTCCTATGAAGAATTGAAGCGGAACTTGATGATGAATGCTGCGAGAAAACAAAGCATAGGTATGGCTCCATCAATATCTGTTCTGCTGCCGACTTCATCAAGCACATCAGGTCACACAACTCCGAAACATACATCCTTGAAATTTGCAGTTGATGCCGAAGTGCCAACCCAGAAACGTGCTGGAAGCAAGTTGAAAAAGTACTTATCCCATGACGAATCATCTTCAGGAAAAGTAGACTTAAAGGTTTCCAAGTCGCATCCAGACATTCGTGGAATAGAGACGCCAACGCCAGATTCTGAGAAGAAAAAGAAAAAGAAAAAGAAGAAGTTCTGGAAGCTTTTCTGATGCACTTAATACAGCACTACAATTATTTATACTTCTTCACACTATTTTATAACCTGCCGTACTAAATAAATATCAGCAGGGTTTGAAAGTTCTAATAATTTTGTTACATGTAAGTTTTAATGTCACTTGTTCGAAGTGACTATGACAACTAAAAGCAATTCGGTCGAATTGAATTGGATGTACACGTCATGTAAACCGCTTTGATGTCTTCTACGAGGACCGTATGATGGAAATCGATTGCATTCTAGATTCGAGAAATTATTGGGTCCCCAGTAGAGTAGATGTATAAGCATAGGAACTGACAATCGGATACCTCTCACGGTTGACTTCCTTTTAAGTTAAGGTGCTAGGATTCAGGTAAGAGACAACCAGCTTAGATATTCAGAGCTAATTTAAAGCAGATTAGCTGCCAATACAGCATGAAAGTTTAAAATGCCCACTTTGAGCTGGAGGTTCACAAATACAAGAGGATATCAGCGCAAACCTAAACATTCCTACTCAATGTATCCGTATTTTTTTTTTGGTGAAAGAAGTGAAAGTAAGAACTTGTGGACTGCATTCTTATCAGGCGCATCACATCACATCTACGCCTCCATGCAGCTTCTTTCGACGCTAGTGGCATTAATAGCAGTGGCCTTTGCCGCAGAGCAAGACCTTGGGCTAGAAGAGGAAAGACTAAACCACCATACACATGAGCAAAATGAATTAGGGCTCAATGAGCTACCGGCGGAGATCGAAATTGACCACGCACAAGCTTTCTACGATTACCGCGAAACCAACACCAACATCAGCAAAAGAGACTCAGAACCCACTTTGCTTGAGGACTTTGTTCCTGTTGCCTCCACAATTGTCCAGGGCACTTCACAGCGGTATGTTTTCCCTGTCAACTTCACCGACGGTATCGGTGAGGCATACGAGCTTTTGGTATTTCTCACGGGAACCATTTGCGCGCAGCCCGACGGCGGCAACGACTTGCAAATGTCATTTGGATTCAACGAGCTGTATTTGGGCGACGGAGACTCCTTCAAGAATGGTTATTTCCAAGGCTTGGCCGAAGTGCCTGCAGTCAACAACGACAATTTGGCCTTGTACAAAAACGTGTACATGGAAGTGCGCGCGCCCGAGCACATAAATCGCACGGCGCAGTGGGAATACCAAGTGGGCGTCTCGCAACAGGACTTGGTATTCCAGTGGAGCTCGCAGCTGTTTGCGACAGTGGTTGATACAGACGATACCAGTGCGTTGGTCGTGACGGGAAATTTGACTGAGCCGGAGGAAGGCCAGGATGCGATCGATTCGGGGTACCAACTTTTTGTCTACGAACACGGCGCGGACAGTGCGCATCTCAGCGGGTTGAACAATAGTTGGTGCGCGGTGCGGTCGGGCCCCGCGCTCTTTAGCACAGCAAACTTTTCAGTTTCCTACACGCGGCGGGGCGGGACTTTGCGCGAGCAATTCTATGTGACAGGGCTCAACGCCTCAACACGCTACACGGCGTATGTTGTTTTGGATTTCAAGGACTCCTCGTTGGGCGGCGTCGTGTACCGTCTGTTTGAAATTGAAACCATGACCTCGGGCGCGTGTTCGTTGGTGCACAGTCTAGATTTCTGCTCCGAAGTGGCTTACTCGGTGCCTGCGCTGTCGCATGCGCAGTACCGCTCTAATTCAGAACTCGGTGCACTATACGATTACCATGCACAGCAACTTTATTCCAATTTTTCGAAAGCCATGGAGCAGATTGCGTGCAACACTAGCGCCGAGGCAATCTACCTGCCTGTTCGGACGTGTGATGATTGCCGCGATTCGTACAAATACTGGCTCTGTGCGGTGACCATCCCGCGTTGTCTGACGCGCGAGCTCAACCATTTTGTTCGCCGCGAACCGGGCGAGTCCCGCAGCGACTTTATCAACGATGTAATCGCACCAAACTTAACTTATTATGAAGTCATGCCATGTATTGACATCTGCTGGTCCATGGTTCGTGATTGTCCGGCGGATCTCGGGCTTCTCTGTCCGAAGCACAATGCGCTGGTAGCTAAGTCTTATTTCTGGGACGTCGGTGCAAACTATTCTACGTGCAACTTTGTTGGCGTGCAAGCCCTGGTGGAAGGACGTGCCGCTGCCATTAGTGTCGGTTTTTGGACGCTTTTGGGTGCCTTTGCCTCGGTAATGATGGTGGTATGAAGAGGGCAGAGCAGTATCATCTTCACATTGTCTCTCAAACCAAGAAGAAGATCATATCAACTTCACTTTTATTAGCATAGAGGAAGCGCCGCTTGTGCTCGGTACCGAGACTTTGGGCGCATTGGGCATTACGTACACATACAGAGGAGTCTACCGCTTTATCATACCCTGTTTAAGTAGGCGAAGACTTTCCCAATGAACTTTCGAAGCACTAAGTATTTTGTGGTGTTCTAGGATTAACTTTTGTAAGCGGGGACAGCCTGAATATTTCTATGCACCTCCTAGATAACCGTGTTCTGGTCATATTCTTTTGCTTCTGTTGCTTTCGGCCTCCAAGTCATCACATTTTATGGACTGTAAACTGTTACCATTTTTACAGGAAGGCGTATGTGAGATATTGTTTGATTTTAAAGGAGAACGGTTTCGAGTTTGGGTTTATCAAAAGGGATGAGCCAAAATTTAGCAAAGAGTGTAGTATCATTAGTCCAACAAATCCTTAATCTACTAAATCGTAACATAATGTAAAATGTACATATGCATACCGGTCGCATATGTCAGTTTTTTCGGATAGTTGTTCGTACTATTGTTCGCAATAGTACATCTGTCAATTTTAACAATACAGAGAAGATTAGCATTGTCCTTGCATAAAGATGACACGCTATACAAAGAGATTTACCATTTTTTTTTTCAGTTGTCTTCCAGAAACCATGGTGAATTACAATTTTTATTCCACTCTTCTCTCCTTCGTCGTCTTTAACAACAGTATTACTAATATGTATCTTAGTGTCTGGTTCTGCGTTCCAGGTTCGAATCTCTGACTTTGCGCGCTCTCATAAATGTTCAGCATTATGGAAGAGGGAACAAAACACATAAAACAAATAGCAAGCAAACAATAGGATTAGACCAAATGAGATAGTAAGACCTGATTTGCTTTTCAATATTTTGCCATAGAATGTATTTTGGATGATGCTCCAACAATTGTGCAAATCACGTGCACGAACCTCTTTCATCATAGCAGACGCGTATTCATCTTTTTAGTTCCAATCTGCTCCCATCTGCAAATGTCCAACAAAGAGAACTTGCCTTGGTATGTTTCTGCACAGTGAATCTGTCCTGTAATCTCCTGCTCAATTCTAACACATAGGGTCGAGAAATATCGTCCTTCTTCGCTAGATGAGGTCTACGGCCAAGAAGACATCGTGGCTACTGTCAGAAAGTTTGTACATGAAGGGAAGTTGCCCCATCTTCTTTTCTATGGACCACCGGGGACAGGAAAAACATCTACAATCACAGCGTTAGCCAAGGAAATATATGGGCCCAATTACAAAAGCATGGTGTTGGAACTAAATGCCTCTGATGACAGAGGTATAGACGTTGTTCGTAACAGAATCAAGGATTTTGCAAGCACAATGCAGATCTTCAGCCGTGGTTTCAAGCTTATTATATTGGATGAAGCAGATGCCATGACAGCAGTGGCCCAAAACTCGTTGCGCCGAATCATCGAGAGATACACAAAGAACACTCGATTTTGTATTTTGGCTAATTACTCACATAAATTGAACCCAGCGTTACTTTCGAGATGCACGCGATTCCGGTTCAACCCCATCTCTGAAGAGGCCATTCGAGATCGCGTGCAGAATGTGATCCAGCAAGAGAAGTTGAATATTACACCAGAAGCCGAGCTGGCTCTTCTTTCGTTATCCAAAGGAGATATGAGAAGGGCACTCAACGTGTTACAAGCTTGCAAAGCTGCGTTAGAAAACCCAGAAGATCAAGTTGACATCGACATGATCTACGAGTGTATTGGTGCGCCACATCCTCAAGACATCGAAGCTGTTTTGGATCTGGTATTGAAGGATGACTGGACGACATGCATCTTGACATTTGACCGCTACAAGAAATCGAAGGGATTGGCTTTAGTGGACCTTGTTCTGGGGTTCGTGGAGATCTTGTCTAAATACGATTTGAAACCTGCTACCAGAGTCAAGATATTGAAAGGCTTGTCAGACATCGAGTACGGTATCTCAAAAGGTGGAAACGACAAGATCCAAACGAGCGCTGTAGTGGCTGTCATCAAGTCTGCGATGGAAAGCCAGGCCTAATGTACAAGACGGTATCTTTCAACGACAAATAAAATATTAATAATATCCAGTGCTATGGCTGCTCGGTCCAATGTAATGTTCCGTAATATGAGCTAGTCCGTTCCGCTAATCACTATGTTTTGCTCTCATTGTGCTATTTTCGGTGTCTTTATAAACTTTTCCGCCTGATGGTCTGTATCATGCACTTCACCTACACATACACATTCCCCACGGCTGAGAGTGCATACTTCTCTCAACTTTCTTTTGACCTTCCTTCATAGCTAAAGCAAAAATGGACGATAACGGAGTTTTATGTCTGGCATGGTTGCTAAAAAAATCTCGTGCTACTCACCACTGGAATAAGAGGTGGTTCGTTCTCCGCAAACGACAGCTCAGTTATTACAAAAGTTCTTCCGAGCACAAGCCACGTAAAGTGTTTCTTCGAGACGATCTTCTAGCCTATGCTCGAGTGGTGAATGCTCACAAGTATCAATTTTCCGTGTATACCCACAACAAGATCCTCCACTTGCGAGCAGAAACACAACAGGAGTACGAAAAATGGTGTGAAGTGTTTGACGAGTTTTTCAATGACGCAGATCTTTCCAACGACGAGGACTTTTCCAATGACGAAGAGCCCGAAAGAGCAACAGGTGATAGGACGAGTTTGGTTGAACTTTCAAAAGAGAATGACGGCGGCGAGTATTTGGTCGAGGAAGGAGAGATCTACAAGTTTAGAGGTAGATATAATCAATGGAGAAAGATATACCTTATTGTCACAAACCTAAACCTTTACATGTGCAAATCTTCTGACAAGACGCAAATGCCTCGAAAGGTCCTAGGTGTGGACAATTTAGTGGACGTTGTTGAGGTGGATGGTACGAGAGGAAAAAAATGGTGTTTGATGTTGATCACCAACACAAAGTCATATCAGTTGAGTGCTGACAGCGAACAAGAAATGACCAAGTTCCTCTCGGCGATCAAGGCAGTGATTCTACTGGACAAAGCTAAGCATGGAGAAGAAGCTGACCATAAATAAAACTAGCATGCGGGCAGTGCCAAAATATACATAACGTTTGAAAACTGTAGAAACGGTTTTTGGAAAGTTGCTAAGATACAGAGTAAGGAAAAGTACAAATTAAAAAGAGGTGGAAACAACAACTTGGAAACAAAATGATTGTCGCTCTTTATCTGTTGTGCTTCATATCAATTTGTTCTCTACAACTGATGAAATCGCGATAAGCTTGAAGCACAAAAACCATCGCACACTATCCCGTTTCCCATTCATGACTATTCGCCATGACATCGTCACAACAGCTAGAAACCTTGTCAGATCTTTTCCCAAGCTACCCTAGAAGCGAACTAGCGGCCCGTCTTTTGTGTCTGAACAGCCTTGATTCTGTAGTGGAAGAACTTCTATGTGAACAGCGTCCACAAACGTCAAGCCGCAAATACCCAGAAGAAGTGGTGAAATTAGCGGAGCTCTTTCCCCAATATTCAACCAAGAAAATCTCACAGGTCTATCACCAAAGTGGACAAGATTCGCAGGTTGCTTTCAATTCGCTTTTGGCGGGAGATACTCTGATTGATGTCGCACAAATATGTGGACTAACAGATAAAGAGGTGCAACCATACTTGAGCAAATACAACAATGATCCCCTTACTGCAATAGCTGACATCATTGCCAACCACAAGAAAACAAGAAAAGCCTGGACTTCCCGTGTTCAAGACCGAAAATCTGCTGTGGTGACGGGAGTTGTTCTTCCCGTCGATACTGCGTCATTGAGAGAGCTTCAAGAAATTATCTTGGCCAACGAGGAACTCAAAAAGCTCAACTATGACTTTTTAGTAAAGCTGTTAGCGTTCTTCGGCAACGTTGACAAAACAATTAGTGTTGCCCAACTATTCATTGATCATAGCGATACAACGTTTCTCACTTCCTTGGGATATGTTCCGAAAGAGTGTCCCCAGGTGGGCCCAAAGGCGGCGGATGTTCTAAAAAAGAAACATGTTCCTTTTCAAACAGTTAGTCCGAAACCCAGGAATGCAGTTCTTTGTGCATGGAAGCCCAATACTAATACATTGTCATCTAAATCTTCAACAGTCCACACCACCGTGTCTCTGCCACCTCCTTCAAGCAAAATAGATTTGCACGGTCTAACAGTGGCACAAGCTATTTCAGTTACAAAGAATGCTGTCTCTGATTGGTGGCTGGCCGAATTAGCTGCAAGAGTAGAGCATGGGTTAATCGACAAGCACGGTACCAAGGTTTCGTTCGTGGAACCGCTATGCATAATCACAGGACGGGGGTTACATTCATCAGGAGGCCCAAAAATAAGGCATTCTGTGATCAAAATGCTAAATCAGAATGGGTATGTTTACGAAGAAGAAGTGGGCCAGCTTTATGTTATGGGGCGCAGGAAATAAATGTGGAGGCTAAAGGAAGGATAGGCAAAATGTAATTGTAGGAATACGAGAAATCTACAAAATTTCACTGGTGATTACAGAAATGCACAATCATACGAGCGCATCCTATGACTACATTGTCCGACCCGTATCTGACTTCAACCTTAAAGGAAAAATGGAGGAAGCCTTTGAAAGTCTGGTTTCTCTGCGGCCACACAAAAGGGACGAAAAGTTTTCAATCCACTCGGGCCGTTTACATTGTCCAGTAGACTGGTAATCAGTCGTATATTAATCGTCTCTCCATTCCACAAATACCTCATCTGTTCTAAAGCGCTGGGTACATACGGTGTTTTCCAACTTGGTCGTCTGTCCCATTCTGTAAGCCAAAAGACCTGCGTGAGCAATCATGATTCCGTTGTCAATGCAAAATCGTTCATCCGTAGAATAGACTGAGCCATTCTTTCTATCTTTGACCATTAATGCCATCATTTCTTGTAGTCTCTCATTGGAACCAACACCGCCCACAATGAGCACCTGGTTACTTTGGACGTGAGCCATGGCCCGCTCTGTTATTTCCACAAGCATGGAGAACAATGTTTCCTGAAGCGAAAAGCACAAGTCTTCAGGTGTGATGGGTTCTCCTGTTTCTGGATCGACAAGTTTCTTCCCTTTTTCGTTGAATAGGTCCTTTGCCAACCCATCGATGAAGCCCAAAATGCCTGACATAGATAAATCCATGCCTTTTACTGTGTAAGGTAACTGTACAAGATGTTTTCCTTTCTTGGCCATTTGTTCGATGTTGTACCCTGGAGCAGGTTCGTTAGGAATCTTCAATGTCCGTGCAAAGCGATCCAAGCAGTTTCCGATAGCAATATCAAGCGTTTCGCCGAAGATCCGGTATCGCTGCTTGGAGTACGCAATTACCTGCGTGTTTCCCCCACTCACGTAAAGAACGACTGGATTTTCTGCACCCGTGATTTCTCTTCCCATTTCAATGTGTCCGACACAATGGTTGACACCCACCAATGGCAATTCCCAAAGCTGAGAAAGAGTTCTCGCTGCTATTACCACACTCTGCAAAGGAGCTCCCATCCCTGGTCCTTGTGTAAAGCAGATACAGTCCAAATCCAGCCCACGGACACCAGCTTCAGCCAAAGCCTTTTTTATCGTCCGTACAACCCAATTCCGGTGATGTCTTGCTGTATCACGGGGCAAAAAGCCCTCTCCTGGCGGCGTGATGTACGTATCTCTAACATTGGAAAGAACTTCTGCTCTATTCAGCAGTGTAAGCTGGCCCAAATTATGTTTGATCACTCCAACTCCTAGTTTGTTTGCAGACCCTTCTAGACCCAACGATAGATAGAAGTCGCGGCCCGGGCGAGCATGTTTGTCAAGATCGACGGTCATGAAAGAAAGATGATGATGTCTAGTCAAATTTGTGCAGGTCACTCTGCTTCATGAAAGTGTATCAGTTAAGACAGGGTGTCGACTTTCTGGAGGCAGTGTATAAAGTTCGAAGACCTTTTTGTTATAGTATAGAGTGGTTGCTTTTCTTTAGTTGTTTTTCTTTTTTTTTTTGCTTAGCACTTTTTCCTTTTTAATCTGGAGCAGATTGTGTCGAAGACCATGAAAATTACAAATCAGAAGTGGTCGCGACGCTTATGAATAAAATCATCTGACAAAAGAGACATATATAATTTACCATAGAAGTTAAAGTCCGAATTTTTTTTACAGATCAGAGAAGAGATACGTATGATTTCCTGGTACGATTATTAAATACATACAAAAGTACCTATCCAGGTGTGTTACCTATTACCATAAGTGACCGCATTTTCAAATTGTTCATCCAACATGGAACTACTGCAAAATTCAAAAGCCACAGCATTTGGAAAAGGTTGGAAAAAGAGACTGAAATAGTCTATGCATCATAAACGATATAAGGTAAAAGTGACAAACTGAATCTTGCTAGGATTAATTACTTCCTGCATATGTAAACATCAACAGACGCTCCGCACAAACAAACACAAGACATCAAAACGAACTTATCTTTAAATCACAAACTCATGTCGCGGACAGAAAAGCTTCTAGACACCGTGTTGGAACTGTGTCAGAAAATAAATACTCTTGAGTTTGCTCCTCCGGGGATCTTCACGAATGCAATAATCACAAAACCAGAAGTAACGAGTTTAATACGCGATGCTTTAGTGCCCGAGCCAAGTCTATATCGCATCACAAAGAAGGCGGCCGAAGGCTCTCAGAGCTACGGCGAGAATGGATTCTTTGAACCCAAACCCACGCGAATAGACGGCAGCTCGATCTATGTGGCGCCAGACTTCCAAGATTGGAACGACGCGGCAGTGAAAGTGCCCAAGTTGGTTTCGGAACCCCTGCTGGATATTGAAAGCACTACTTTGGAGTCACTGTCACCTTCAAAGAAACGTAACGCAAACATTCTTCGCCTAATCCCGCAGGCGGTTGCTGAAAGTGAAGATTTTAATAGCATCTGTAATACTGTCCGTCAAGTGGCGGACCAGTACGCGGACACAGAGGGCGCAAACGGTATTAGGGGTAAAGTTGATTCCTTACAGGCAGAGTACAATGATTTGCTTCACGAAACAGACGAGTTGGAGAATGTGGTTGCAGAACAGCGAAAGCAGTTGGAAATATACAATGACAGCTTAAACGAACTTCTGCCGCGGCGTGGGAATATTTCGCCCCAACGTTCTAATGGCATTGACGAGATGATAGAGCGAGAGGAACAGGAAATTCGAATTCTAGAAGAGGAGTTGAACAAGAGACAAGTATAAGGGATCACAATGGGAAATTCAATGGGCAGGAAGACCGCCATTATCATCAAGGTTGACCAGTTAGAATCTACACTACGTAGTAATATTACGCATGGAAGGTACTAAAGAGAAATGGGTACCAGTAGAAACAAATAAAGCAAAGAAACCTAAACCATGATTAGCCAAACATATCAATGTTACACATAATCATAATGTTAAACTTAGGAACCTCATAAAGTCACGGACATCTTAATAGGCGGTTATGGCAATTCGCTACAAAAGAAAAAAACAAATGCTTTCAATACACATCTACGCTTGTGTTGGATGTTGCGTCTATTATACAAGGTATTACTTAAAAAGTCACCGAGCACTTAGATAGCAGACAAGATGTCAGAGTCACCAACGTCCAAAATGGCCATGGTACCAACTCTGAACAACTTACCGCAAACAGTACCCAACTCGTTGTTACCACCTTGGAAGTAGTAGACTTGAGTCTTGGACAACATAGCGTAGTATTCCAACTCAGACTTTCTCAAGACTGGGGTGTTACCAGCAATGATGATCAACTTAGCCTTACCAGCTCTCAAGGCCTTGACGGTAGACTTGTAACCCAAGGTGTATTTACCGGATTTGACAACCAAACCCAACTTGGCGTTAACGTTTTCGGTGTTCTTAGTCTTTGGGGCCTTCAATTGTTAGTAATGTGGTTTTAGTCCGATTGTGGGATAAAGCGGGCCAGCCGCAAAACCCAAAGACTCAGATTCCTCTTGAGTCCGTTAAAAATGTATACTGACCATCTCTGTGATTAATAAGTATTACACTCCGGTCTGGATGAAGAGGAAAAGAGAAAGGGAAGAGGTGTGAAAATTTATCGCGCAGCGGGAGAGAGACACGGCCAAGCACAGTCACAGTATATCACGTGCTTTATTGACGTCCGATGTTTTAGTGCAGGAGAAAATGTCGTAGCTATCCCAGGGCTAGAGTGTGCTTAACGGTGTTCCCGTTTATAGATAAGGAATTCAAAGGGGCAAAGAACAATTTCAGATATTGGTGGCACTTGTTGGTTACTTGGTCTGCTTTACCTGACGTATTGCGTAGGTACGTGGCTTACTGTCTGCGTCGCATAATCAACAACCAGTTGCAAAGATGGACAAATCATTGTACACATCCATGTACAAACAGCATTAGTCCAATTCAATCAATTGAGCTCGTAGAGACACAACCTTCTCCCGCCAGAAAAGAGTAGCTACAACATAGATATGAACGGGCCAGGACGACATTGCACGTGATACATACCTTTGTAATCTCGCAGACAATGTCGCACGCTTCAATCCGCGCAACCTGCACACACGCTGAGGGTCTCAAGCTGGTGAAAATTTTCTTCTTCAGTCGCAACTTTTACTCTCTTTCTAGATCAACCCACTTGGTATGTTACAACGAAGCCATCAGATTTTGGGAGAGGTATCCATCTTCAGAAAACCTGCGGACCATTTCGAAAAGGATATAATCCCATCCATTCCCCCAATACTGGCGCCCTAAACATTTCAATCCAAACAAGTTTACTAACAGCGATAGCACAATGAAGATCGAAATCGACTCCTTCTCCGGTTCTAAGATTTACCCAGGTAGAGGTACCTTGTTTGTCAGAGGTGACTCCAAGGTCTTCAGATTCCAATCCTCCAAGTCCGCTTCTTTGTTCCACCAAAGAAAGAACCCAAGAAGAGTTTCTTGGACCGTCTTGTACAGAAGACACCACAAGAAGGGTATCTCTGAGGAGACCTCCAAGAAGAGAACCAGAAGAACCGTCAAGCACCAAAGACCAATTGTTGGTGCTTCTTTGGAGTTCATCAAGGAGAAGAGAAACCAAAAGCCAGCTGAGAGAAAGGCCACCAGAGAGCAAAGATTGGCTTTGGCCAAGGAAGCTGCCAAGGCCAAGAAGGCTGAGAGAAAGGCTGAAAAGGCCAAGCTTGCTGCTGCTGGCGCCACCGCCAAGGTCTCCAAGCTCGGTCAAAAGGGTGCTTTCCAAAAGGTCCACGCCACCTCTCGTTAATCCTAGCACACTCCTCCTTCAAACCCTGTATTAAAGAGATTGTTGATGAATACAAGTCTTAATAAACCGAGTGTAAAACTGTACATTGGAGCGAATAAGATTCCGTGGGTGTCTTAATGTAGATACTGAAAGAGGAAATACGTATTACGATTGCCCAGAAGTAAACACATAACTATACGAGCGCTAGAGACGTTGTAATATACTTTCATACTAGGCCCGTTATATGCCAAAAGCGTCAGTGCCATGCCCATATACTTCTATGTCTTGTTAGTTCATAATACAGAACAATTCTGTCGTACTCCGAAAGTCTATAAACTCGTTGAAATTTTACGTCGACGCCCTAGTTCAACGGCCACCGTGGTTACCGTAGGCATTATACACTATTGCAGTCTTCCGAGTGAATACTCGCCTGAAACAAAGCCCGCCTCTGCTCGACTGAGAACAATACGCGGGCGCCCGTCTGCTGCACGAAAACCGAAGTAGAATGACTCGGTGGAGTGACAGAAAACAAGCTGAACTCGCCCTTCGATCGCTACAGTGGCAAGCACACCCACGTATGCCGATTCTATACCAGCCAGTTTTGCTCGCTCCTCGATGGTTTTCACTAGCAATGGTCCTAAAGCAGGCGCATCAAGGGCCTCTCGCAGTAATTGGTCGCACACATGGCTCGCGAGCGTCATTCGCACAATGTCGTCGCCCTGACCACTGCATAAACAGCAGACTTGTACGGAGCCTCGACCGGCGAGCGCCACTCCCGCGCCCGGAATTCCGGCGCAACTCACGCGGCCCTTTGGTCGGAGCCAGTGCCCTCCCAGAGAGACTGCAGCTGTTGTTTCCGTACCAATCTCAATATACCCCACCGTGTCCAGCACAGGGAAAATGAGACTCGTCTCCTCCTCTGCGAGAGAAATAGGCTTTACGCTGATCTGTGCTTTAGGGTTGGCCGCACGAACAAAACCAGTACCGCCATTTTCTTCCGATTCTTGGGTCAATAGGTGGTGTTGTAGATTGGTGGACTGGATATATTTCTTGTAAAGGGCGCGCGCTGCAGGCAGCACAAGGGCCTCGCCTGAGTTTGCGGGCGGCGCAATCATCACCAGAGGCCGCAGTAGCCCCGTTTGCGCGCACTCTTCCGCCTGGCGCGCCATTTCCTCAAGACATACTTGGGTCGGGCAAGCGTCTACCACGGCCAAAAGTGAGAGCGATGTACACACGCCGCGCGCGCCGTGTAACACTGTCGCATCGCATGCCACGGCGCCAGACACATCTAGAGCAGCGCCGTAACCGGTGTTTGTTAGGGCGCTATGTTCGATACAACGTGCTGCATCGCGCAAATCTGATACAAGTGCCCGTCGAAGAAGCTTGCGGTACCTCTCGTTGAAAGTGGACGAATGTCGCCCTGCGCCAAGATGAACGACCAACATGAGAAACCGGTGAAAGTAGCCGGGTGAGATATCAGACAAAGGAGTGATCAGATGGATGTAAATGGACTGAAGATATCTTAGGCGACAACACCCAATTTCGTCTAAGGGCTTGGAACAAGCAAAGCCAAACAGCAGAATGGGCTAGCGATGTAGCTTGTCTGGCAGTATACAGGTAGGTCCGACAAGACATGACTAGGAATCGCGCAAAATAGACAACAAATGCTGTAATTTCAAACAGTAGAGAAAACCAGATTTGGGCAAAGTGTTATTTCATATGCTAGCCGCTTCTGCTATTCTTTCTGTACTGTACTTACTGTCTTCTGCAGCTGCTTTAAAAAAAGGAGCCTCCATCAAGCAATGCTAACTCAATGATGGAAGCATATTGATGAAGGCCTCAGTAAGATCCAGTCGCATTCCTGTACCACATAAGGTCGCAAATCTTTCGTCATTATGGGGCCAAGATAAGAAAGTTTTCCAGGTATGCTTACTCGCCCGAAAAGCATCAAGCCTAGTAGATAACTCGACTTCGTGTTACGCAATATTATTATTATAGGTCTAAATGTCCTCGAGTATCCGATCAATTTAATACATGTTCATATTATGATCTTCTTCGTAAACAAATGTTAACCTGTAAGTAAATAATCTTACAGCGTGTATTTGACTTGATAATATCAAAGTATCTCTCTAATGCAGGATACCGATAGAATTAGACTTCCTAGCTTCATAGTTGACCTTGAACAATTCTTTCCACATACGTCCCTTATGGTGTATTTGAATTTCTTCAATTTCAAAGGACCAAGTTCGCCGCCTTCCACAAATTCAGTATCGGCTACCCCTAAAGCTCAACTGTCTAGCAGCAAATGATTGCTTATGGTCATGTGAAACGACGAAATGGCTGAATGTGCGTAAATCTCCCCCCGCTGAACCTGCACCACTTATCAACGCACTTTGAAAGATTATTATCTATATCTCACGATGAGATCCTGTTCTGGCCACAATCGGGCCGCAATCATAGTCTCACATGGAGATCTTGTTCTGGCCACACTCTGACCACAATCATAAAGTTTACATTGGCACGGTCACGTTTACAATCTCTTCGTTCCTCCCGTCATTAGTAGTGGTTCGCCACTGTTCAAGACATTTCTGCAGATAGACCGTATTTACTTTACACGTGATATTGCTCATCTCTCGTTATCGCTAGGGGAGCGCATCATGTATACCTACTTATATAAGTGGTGTAATCTCTATTCCCAATTACCAAAGATACATGCTATATTTAATTAGGAACTTGGGAAGGGGTGTCATCCGCGACCTTCGAAATCGCTGGCCACACTACCGCTCTGACTTTGCCGATGCCTACGACTACAGAGTTATACCTTCTACAATCTACATATTCTTCACCAACTTACTTCCTGCCATTGCTTTTGCTCAGGACATGTTTGACCGGACAGATAATCTGTATGGTGTGAATGAAGTGCTTTTGAGCTCGGCTTTGGCTGGAGTTGTTTTCGGTCTTCTTGCGGGGCAGCCTCTTTGCATAGTTGGAGTCACTGGTCCCGTAGCTATCTTCAGTTACACAGTGTATGAATTAATGCAACCCCGAGGCACACCATATTTTCCCTTCATGTGCTGGATATACTTGTGGCTGATGGTGATGCATGTGGTTGTAGCAATGTTGAACTGGGTTTCTTTCCTCCGCATCATTTCGAACTTCTCATGCGAGGTGTTTGGCTTCTTTATTTGTATCGTGTACTGTCAAAAAGCGGTTCTGATTCTTGACAGGCAGTTCTCGGATATGGGGGTGGCTTCAGGGTTTTGTTCCGTCACGATTGCTTTGCTCATGGTGGTTTTTGGCTTGGGTTCTTCCGTTTTTGGCTCCCAACTTCACTACTTCAAGCCGTGGGTCCGCAAAATCTTTGTGGATTACGGTGTACCACTATCAGTGATTTTCTTTTCTGGCTTCATTCATTTTGGCGGATACCTAGACGATGTTAAGTTTGCACATTTACCAACGACGAAAGCATTTCAGCCTACCGCACATGGCTCAGAAAGACCACACGGTTGGTTTATACACTTTTGGCCCAAAGAAAACATTGATGTTAGTGATGTCTTTCTAGCTATTCCCTATGCTATTTTGTTGACTTTTCTATTCTACTTTGATCATAATGTGTCGTCGCTTATGTGCCAGCTGAGGGAATACCCATTGAAAAAACCCGCATCTTTCCATTGGGACTTTTTGCTCTTGGGTATAACAACTGGCATCTCGGGCATAATGGGAATTCCAGCACCAAACGGTTTAATTCCCCAGGCTCCCTTGCATACATCCTCGTTAGTAGTGCACGATTTGTCTACAGGCAAACCACTCTCTGTTGTCGAACAGAGATTAACCAACACTTTGCAAGGCGCAATGACTTTCGTCATGATGTCAGGGCCTTTTTTGACCGTTCTTGGTCTCATTCCCCAGGCTGTTCTTGCTGGACTTTTCCTTATCATGGGAATTGGTGGTTTGCATGTTGGTCCAGTGGTGAACAAGATTAGATTCATTTTCCTTGACAAGGACTACATCATACATGACCCCGAATGCCCGCAATTGTGGAAAGATTTAAATGCCATTCCGTCGCTGAAGAAAAAATGGTTCTACTTATATCTTGGTTTGCAGGTGATTGCGGGCTTAGCAGAGTTTATCATCACTTTAACTAAAGGTGCTGTTGGCTTCCCAGGAGTGCTCATGTTCTTTGCGCTTTGTGCAAAATGGGTGTGGCCTAAAATCATTCCGCCCGAAGATCTTGAATATCTCGATGGTGCTGTGGCGGAAGAATTCATTGTAAAAAGTTTGGAGGTTCCTAAACTTCGACCAGAAAAGCAGCGCGATTCTGAGATGGATATGATTTCTTTTTCGACCGATCCAAGAGAGCAGTAAGTAATGTATAATCGTTAGGTTCTGAATACAATTGGTAGTGTATATCAAATACGAACGTCTTGGTTCCTGGCTTCCTGTAGACGTAGTAAATAGAGGTGCGAGTTTACTTCTACGGCGGAGCTTTTCAGTAGTTCGAGCCAGACAAGGCATTGTTGTGGCTTATCTGGAGGTTACTATACGCGGGAACTGCGATACCCCCAGGTTCCCTCATACGGTTTACCTAACAATAATAACTTGAATAGAAAAAAAAAAAAGTGGTATTAAAGATGATTTAACAACTATAAAGATGGACGGTATGCTAATGTGAGACTGAATAAATTTTTTTTTTTGTTTTTGTTTTCTGGGAATCCTCAAATTCCATTTGATATTTTTGACGTACCTCTGTATTTTTCTGCAAAATTTTTTTATTTTTCAATTTTCAAGCAAAAGTGTAGGGAAAGTGAATGATGGAGCAGCTATTATAGTTCATTCGCTCTTTAACGTTGCACAGGAGAAGGTATGTACATGCAAGCAACGACCATAGAATCGAAAGAACAAAAAATTAGAATGACGGAGAACTGCTGTTAACCATTTCCCTATTTCTTTTCATAAGGTAAAAGAATGTGCAATCACATGTCAGACAATAACCATTGCTCGAAGTTGTTCTTGACCCTCAATTGAACCTCAGTGGCAGTAGCAGTAATATCATCCTTTCCGTTCAAGTAACCAATTTCCAAGTTTTGGCATCGCTGAACAGCTTTCAAAATGGCTTCATCCAAAAGCAGCATCTTCTTTTGTTCATCTGTTTCCTCAATGGAGTTTTGAATGCCGTTGACAATGATCTTGACTCTCTTGAAGTTCAAAATCAAATCTAAATCGACCCAGCCTTCAGTACCCATATTCTTTCTCAAGAAAACGTCTCTAATCAAGTTATCCAAAGAAAAGTAGTAATCAATTTGCTGAGTCAAAGCTTGCAGAGGATCTTGCTTGGGGCTGATTGGAGGAGGAATATAAACTGGCATAGGTGCACCATAAGGCACGCCCTGGACCATGATAGCCTGAGGATGATGAGGAATGTGGGAAGCATAAGGAAGACCCATTGGACGGAAACCATTCGCAGTATAGTTACCGTTTTGAATGTTTCCGTTGCTGCTGTTTCTTCTAAATCCATTTTCACCTGCTGGCTTATACTGTCTGTTTGCGCCGTTGAAGTTGTGGTACTGAGAAGCAAAAGGCTGATAATATTCATTTTGTGTGCGGTTTTGTTGAGATTGGGGTCCAGCTCTTCCACTTTGACTAGTCACATTCTGATTATACTTTCTGAAGCCTTTCTGGTTTTGGCTAGGCTTCTGACCATTTTGATGGTAGTTGTAGTTGTAATGCAGATGGTCGCCCGAGGCATCAGTGCTATCAGTTTGCTCACCCTCGGTATTTTCTCTCAACGCCTCACCCTCGATGTGAGATTGATCGCCGTTCTCCGAAGGCTTGCCGTCCTTTCTCACTGTAGAGTCGTCGCCTGGTGAAGATGCAGAGGTCTTTTTCTTTGTAGGTTTGTTCTTTTTCTTATTCTTTTGCTGGTTACCAGAGCCCGCATGTCCCAGATACTGAGAACTTCTGGGGCTGGGTAAAACAACCTTGGCATTGATTGGGACCCACTTGTTAGGCTTAATGAACTTAGAAGCAGCCTTGTTTGCCGCAGATTGGGTTTGTTGCATTCCAATCACCTTGTCTGGAGTAGGCCACTTATGCTCATCCACTGCAGTAGAGTCAGCCACAGACGAAGGGGCAGAACCCCATGCCGATTTTGAAGGAACCGGAGCAGGTGCCAAAATCTTCTTTTCCTTTTTCGCTGGCTCTGGAGCAGGTTCTTCAGCGGAAGCAGGTTGGGCCTGTTCTGACACTGGTGTGTTTCCTGTCTCTAGCGAAGAGGAGGATGCAGATAGAGACACCGAAGCTTGTTCAGACTCAGAAGCAGAGTTTTCGTTTTTTGGAACAGTGCCGTTGGCAGCAATATTTGCGTAGGAAACGGTAGACGCCATTATGGAACACAGGTGAAAATTTTCAGTCTAGTTGCAAAATGTGGAGAAAGTCGATAACACAAGCGGAGTACTTGTGATCAATGAAAGACTGAAAACTTCTTGGGAGGCAGACTGAGAAGATCAGATAACGTGTTGCTGTTTTGAAATCAGACACCGGTCGGTAATCAACAGTGATTTCAAGGCTATGAAAGAAAGAAGGCAAAAGTCTCCAGCAAAAAATTAAAGATCAGGCAAATGAAAAATGCAATGAAGTTGCGAGATCAGATTAAATAGCACTGCAAATGTGACACACGTATAGATGCCAGTATGCGGAGGCGAATTGGAGCCGGTAATAAGAGTCTGAAAAAGCTTGTGGAAAAAAAAATTATCACTAGTGCCCGCACGAAAAAAAATTGAGACCAAACCTGCACCAAATGCGGATCCGACTATTGGTCTGTGACGGGCGAAAGAAGACTTTAGACCTAGACGGCAGATTGTTCTCTGCCAAACTCGGTGTGTAAAGATGTGGAAACTTTGCCTTAATTTCTGTTATCGAGCACTTCTGGTTCTATGCTACTACGTTTTGTTGTCTTTGTCCGAGTCTTTTGCAAGCTTAATGCTTCTTTTTAACTTTAATCTGTCTATGCTAGGCCCCAATATGAGTGCGCGGCCGGCCTTAACTGGAGAGTACAAATTATCGAACAGACCATTACAGCAGTCCACAGAATTGCTCAAGATTCAGGTGGCTCTTGCACAAAAGGCTGGTGTAAACGAAAAAAAAATAATGAATAATAAGATTGTTCACAAGAAACTCAAGCTGGACCTGCGTTTTAAACCACCACGTTGTGCCAAAGCTTCTCACAGTAAAAACCAAGGCAAAACCAGAAAGCACACATGGTTTTTCTATGCAGCCATCAACACCATACAAGTAACCAAACATGTCTTCCCCGCTAAAATGGGACCGTATACCGTTTTCTTATCTTTCTTCGAAGCCTCGGTTTCTGCCCCCGTATACAGGCTTACTCCACACTCTTGTTCTCGCTTCATCCACCTAAGAAAGAGAACGTCCATGTCAGTGCTTTCTAACCCAGCATACCGGCCAATTCTCGAGGCGCTTCGGTCGTCGCGTAATGGTGTGGTGTACGGTGGAAAGATCCGTTTTTCCCATGCGTTGGTGATCAACTTGTTGTATCGCTCAGGCCCCATGGGACCTCGTTTAAAGCAGGTGCTTAAAGCCACCAAAGAACATTCGCTTGTCTTGGCCGCGTTTGCTATTGTCTACAAAACAGTGCTTAATATTTTGCGGCAGGAAAAGCTCTTGGGCTCGAAACAGGGCTTTTCCAAGTTGATTGCTGGCGCAGTGGGGGGTTGGATCGTATACTCGCAGCACTTCTCGGCTTTCAATCCAGGAATCACTCACCAAATCACATTGTACTGTTTTTCACGTGTGTTGATTGCGGTGGGGAAAATCTTGCTCGACTTGCTTTTGGAGTGTCGCCAGCCAAAGTTCAAGATCCATGGCGAGCTGGTGTTGTACCGAGACTTGAATGACGCTCAGGCTCGTAGACTAAAGAGCAATATCTATAACAAATCCTGGAAATACTTTGCGGTGGCTACTTGGGCCTTGGTCATGTTCATCTATGATTACAAGCCTCAATACTTGCAGTCTTCGTTGAGGCATTCCATGGCTTATATATACGATGTGGAGATGGACACATGGCCAACATGGAGGGATTTTATAGGGTTTTAAATATGGCGTCATTGAATAATACGGCTAATGATATTCTATGCCAGTCTGTTCTTCTTCCATAACTTTTTTTTCTTTCTGAGTGTGCTTTCAATCATGCCTTGCTCTCTTCTCAACCAAAACTGTGTTCTTTTGTTTGTTTCCCCTCCATTTTGAACACTTTTTAGGCCCCATTTTTTTACCCTGCTTTTTAGAAATAGTTTTATCAGGAGATTCCTTCCATCTAGGCTCAAGGGCTCTTCTCTCGAATATAGGATCGAAGTTTTCTTTCCCGCTGTACACTTGTTCTTCTCCACTATCAGCATCACTTTCATCATACGATTCTTGCTCTTCTTCTTCTTCTTCCGCCCTCAAAACTTCCTTTAGTCTCCAATTCTTTAATGTCGTCAACCTCTTAAGAAGCCCACAAGTTACCTTGCGTAACTCTCTCATTACTTGGTTCATTTCTAGTTCGCCATTTCTGCTTCTCTGCTTCAATTGTTTTCTTTGGTTTAAGTACACCTCGACCTTCTTTTTCTTTAAAGCGATTGAAAAGGCGTCACAAAATTCCAGCTCCAATTTCTGTCTCCTAGATATTTCGTGCTCGATATTGTCAACCATCTCACTCACATCTGAAGGTATGCATCCAAGGGTGCAAGCGTGAAGCATATTGAGCAGCTCTTGGTAATTTTCAATCTGTTTGATTAATCGAACATGCTCTACTTCTTCTAAGTAAATTAGGCATCTTAAATGCTCTGCATCATCAGATGCACTGCTCGTCATTTTTGTGTTTTTGTACTCGCAAACAGTGAAACAGAAGTCTGCGAATACGTTTATTCTGAATATATGTACTCATTCTTTGCCTTCCATTTTCTCCACTTTTTGACGCAAAAGATTATTTTCATTCTTTAGTAACCCAATCTCAATAAGCAAACTTTGCTTGTTGCTGTGGCTAACCATTTTCAACAAGCTTTCGTTCTCATTTTGCAACACCTCTAGTTTATTGGTGATTCGGTGTGCTAGTTCCTGAGCATCAAAAGTTCCATTTGTAATAACCGTTGTGTTTTTGTTCATCACCAAACCAACCACAATGGCTTCAAGCCTCGACTTTGTTTCCTCTAACTCCTTGGTTCGTTCATTTAATGTACGAGTGAGATCTTTGAACAACTGGTAGTAGTTTTTCGGCATTTTGACCAGATTGTCGTTTCTGTTTTCTGTTTCTATTTCTTCTTCACTTTTTTCGTCCATTCTGAGTATTTTGAACTTATCATTCAAAGCCGTATTGATCTGGTGCTTGCGTAAAAGTTCCATTCTTAAAATCTCTATAGTCTCGTTGTCAGTTTTTCCCGAAAGGTGGAAGAATTGGGTCTCTTCATTGAGCTTTGTGCCCACAAGACTATCAATGTTTGTTCCTTGAGAATTTTCCTTCTCATCTTCTTTTGTTTCACTGATTGAGTTGTTGTTGCCAACGGGGTTGTAACTAGGAGCGTTTACATTCATAGAAAATTGTTTCTTCGAAGAAAGCAGGGCAATATTGGCATCTTGGAATGTATATCCAGCTAGCGGGGTGGGTGATAAAATCGAGCTTGTTTTCGTACGATCAATCTTCCTGACAGTAGTGTTTTGATCTTGCCGCAACCCTCCACTAATTGTCATTCCAGAACCAAACTGACTCTGAGGTAATGACATTTGAGACCTCCCATTTTGAGGAAATGAAGGGGGATTCATAAAGCTGGGTAATTGAAATTGGTGGGTAGTCTCGCTTTTGCCCATAACTGATGGCCACATCGAACCAGGGCCTTGAAGATGCTGCGCATAGCTCTTGCCTTCTAAACCCTCATAACTTCCCGAATACATGGAAGGCAGATACGTTAATTCAGGATCAGTGTCTTCGGTATTGATGCCGGTATAACCGCTTGAAACTGTTGCAGCAATGCTACCAGAACTTAATCTGTTATATCCGACGTTGTAGTCAACGGTAGAGTTCATGAAAAGAAGTTCCAAAGTTAGTAAAAAGAGAAGAAAGTCTCAAAGTAGAAAGAAGACGATTATTAAAAAAAAAAAAAAAAAAATGAAAACAAGTCCTAGAATAAATGCTGTATTTATATCGCAAGTCGCTCATGTTTCAAATTTGCAGCCATTTATTTCTTGTGCGCGCATATTTGTTTTGGAATCATTATCCTTAGATTTGTCGGAGCTTTTTGATGCAAGACACCGCATATTTACAAGGTTCTGTCTGTAGAGTTTCTCGAGCTCGCAGAAAGAATAAGGATAGATTATTTCACATATTAAATTGAATCGTCTCTAAAAGCTGTCAAAAGGTGGTCACAAACGCACCCTTATAGCATCTTGCCTGCTAAGAGAGTCTTTAGCATTTGCCCATTTGGAGTATTTAATACCTTTTGTGGGAGGCTTAGAATCCGGTCCTCCAAGTTTTTCCCCACCAAGAAATCAAGAAGGACATCGGTGAAGTGATTGCAGTTGTTATCGAACAAATCGTACCGCAGCGCATGGTATTTTTGATCTTCATGGTTTCTGAGATCGTCAAGAAAGTCATCCAAAACTTCCTGAGGGATGTAAGTCTCTCCCATATTCAATATTTCCCGCGGGGTACCGTATTTAGTGGATCCTGGCCGATCGCACACCTTAATACCTTGATCGATATAATACTCTTTGTTGTTGAACACCACAGATGTGTGGTAGATTGCGTCTATCTGTGTTCCAAGAAGAACAGGGGAGTAAGCTGCTGCAAGTCCATTCGAAAGGTCATATACGTATACTTGCACGGGTATTGGATTCTCAGTCATGTTGTTGAAAGGCAAATTCTGGGGCAAATCTGTCTGAAGCCGGCTGCGAACTACTATCGCGAAGCACGTGAGAGACCACCGGCTAGGCTCTGAACCCTATTGCATTTTGGGCAAGTTGTGTCTTTTAGATTTTGAAAGCGAAGCCGTGTCGTGAGAATTAACACTTGGTCACGCTGCTTTCGGGTTGAAGTACTTTGCAAAACCACTTAGATAGCATGGTCCGTGAGGCGAATGGGTAAAACGCAGTACAGTCTATCCATCTTTGTGTTCGTGCAGGCAGTAACCTCGAAAATGTATTGGGCTCAATTTTTTCACACCAAACTTTGTTCACATCCATAAAGACTTGGGGACTATAATGATCAAATTTTGACGTTATTAACCCAGTATGCCCTCCCCCCAAATAAACTCAGATTTGGCTTTGCACAAATCACAGCTCAACGATTTTTTGTCCAAGAAATATGTCGACCAGCCGCTTCTCCTAGGCTTCACTGCTGTGGTACAAAGCAAGTTTTGCAAATGGATTCAAGATGACATCGATTTGCTTTATCATAATAGTCATAACTTGCAAAATGGGCAAGCCGATCTTGCTAAATTTGAACTGGTTCAACTTCTTGAAACTTTTTGGACCCAGTTCATCCATCCTATCATCAAGTTCTATCAACGCCAACACGCAGAGCTTTTGGGCCTCCTGCTTCAACCGAAAAAGGGTTCTAAATCGAAGTTCAAATCTGTCGAAATGAGAAAGCTTAACGAATACTTCATGAAGTTTGCGAAATGCGTGATTTCATTCTACGACAAGGTTATGCAATATGTGGCCGGCTCCTTCACCAACTCGTTAATCCCACTGTTCTTCTTCAAAGAATTAGAAATCGAAATCAGCTCTTCTCAAAATGAGGCTTCTGATTCTAACTTCTTGAACAGTACCAAGGTCATACTTTACCAATGTCTTTTAGGGCTCGGTAACGTAACAAGACACTCTGCCCAAATTGATATCTCATATGTGCAGCCTTGCAAATCCATGGCACTGTACCAACTTTACACTAAGAATGAAAAGCCAATTGCTAATCTCAAAGAAAAATTTGTGATGCCTTTGCTCTACTATTCTAAATGCATTCAGTTATTTCCCAATATGACTGATCCTTATAATCATATTGGTGTCATCTACAACTCCGTCCAGGAGAAGTTTCTAGCTGTTGAATGGTTTTCACGAGCTCAATTGACCAGCAGTCGCAAGCGTGATATTGCCAAATACAACATGGCAACCATCTTTACTAAACCGTGGTTAGAAGAAACATATTCTCGGGTGTTGAAGACTCCTTCTAAATCGTGGTCTATTTCCGAATCACAAATCATTTTGCTCCGCATCTTGGGACATCTCTTTTACCCCCAGGCGTACAAAAAGCCTATGTATTACGATAAAACGGCAGTCGACTTTCTTCTGACCTTATTTATTCAGTCGAACCTATGGCCTTATGTGAGAGATGCTCGCATTATCTCTGATATGCTTATTGTTTTGATGTCCTTCTTCATTTTAGCAGAGTCTGAGCACAGTAACGAAGCAAGCACAAAGTGTGGTTCTCTTTTAACTCGCTTTGTTGTCAATTATCTCAAGCATGTCTCCAGGTGGCATTCTGACACGCGCGATAATACTGGTGTATTACAGAATATTCGTACGATTTTGGCGTTCTGTCATGAATTTCCTTCCTCGTATAAGTATTCGAAAGAAGACATAGTTCGTGCTTTGCATCAAGCTATCTGGGCCATCCTTAGTGACGAAGATGAAACAAGCATACTGAATCTTTTGATAGCATTTTCAGATAACCAAGTCCCTGTAAGGTCATATTTGTTTTCTGAAGACGTACAATTCAAAGATTTTGTGGCCATTGGTTCCAGATTCAAGGATTTCAATGATGATCATCTATACAAAAGTGGGAATGTGGACTTGCTCTATGGATCTTACTATTACGCAAATCTGAAGGAAATTCCAAGCTTTTTAGACAATGAAGCAGCACAGAGAATCAACAAAAATGCCGAGCTCCATGGTTACGACCGAGAATCGGCAATTAAAGAAGAATGTGTTCGTTATGAAAACTACCTTCGCTTACATGCTGCTGTTATTTTTATGAAGAAACTTTTCCCGCATAGTTTCAAAGTCGATGAAGACTCTCAGTCTTTGGTTCTCGAAAAAGTTGAAATACCAGCTACGCAAAAAGATACCAGTAAGGGAAAAAGAAGTAACCGCAAGAAGAGAGTTAAAAACACTAACGATTCCCAAAGTTCAGATGCCTATGTCCAGAGTGAAGTTCCACAAACAAAACAAATTGCGGCATCTTTGGATGAAATAGAACTGATGATTGCTGGCCATGTTTCTGGATTTCAAAGCACTCAGCCAAGCAGAGATATTAGTACAGAAGGTGGGCTTGCTGACATGGTTAACTCTATTGTTAGTGATGATGAAGGTGTTCAAGTTCAATCTAGCCAAAAGCAGCGATCATCTCCGAATGTTTCTGTAACTTCTCGGTCTGAACATGAGCAACTGCAAACGCCTCCTCCATACCCTTTACAGAGTCCTCCATCCAGACCAGAAGTAATGGGCTTCTACCCTGGAATGCCCCAGGAGCCATTCGCGCCGCAGCAAGTTCCATTTGGGTATCCACCCCCAGGCTTTTTGGTATCACAACCTGGACACCCGTATTACTCCATGCACCATCAAATGGGACGTGGAATTTTCCCACCACCTCCTCCACCCCCTCCCGGGCCATGGCAATACGATACCCAAAATGGTGCCGTGTACACAAACGAATCTCAGAACTATAACCAATACCGACAATGCCCTCAATACCAACGGTGAGGTAATAATAATGATAGGGAATAATTGATGGAGGGATTGGGTTTGCTGTATTCTTTTTATATGGTCTTATTTGGGACGCAATGTCCAAATAGTACCACGTTATAAAAATAACTTGGGTGCAAAAGTTACGCATCATCATCACTGAACTTTAAAGCAAATTATGAAGAGCATTTCAGATCTCGAATCGTTCATGTGTACTATAGCGATCATCCTTGCAGAAATACGGTTACTGGCTGTGTATAAATGCTACACTTACTAATATCTACTTTTCAAGTGCGGTCTCCTCCTGGTAGAACTGTAACGTGTTATTGTAGTTGAGATATCTTATTTCGCGGTGGAAACAAAGAGAATGGTTAAAAAAAACTTTCGAAAGCATGTGTCTCAGAGATAACAAATTTATATCGAGACTCTTAGTATGAGAGAGAATAATCACGAAATAATTAACAATGAAAACTGCGTGGCATTTGAAGACGTAACGATCAGACGCAATGAAAAGGACAAACAAAGCTACAATTAGGCTTCTCACCTGAAGACAAATGAAAATTACAATATAAGAAATGCCATCAAATTATGTTAGGAAGAATTCTTTTTCAACACACGGAAGCTCATTGTTGCCATCTTCTGACTCCATATGGAACTACGAGTCGAGTGTTGATTAGTAGGTGCCGAAAAGAAAACCATCGGACACGAAATTCGAATAAGCATTACGCGAGCATTACCTTACATACAGTTTCAGGTACTCAGGAACGGCATTTCTCTCCAGCGAAGAGAAATGAAACTAGCCCTTGTAAAGTTATTAGAACAGTTGAATTGATAAGGTATGAATGGATTTCTTCCCTGAAAATATTCTTTCTTCCCTCTAGTTCCGCTACGCCGCTGTGAGTTTCTATTATTCACATTTGACATATTCCGTTTCGCGTATAATCTGGCGCACTCACACCACGATGCGCTTTGATGCAGGCTCGAATCATTTCTTCCACTGTGCCTCGTTACGTCTTTCTACGTTTTCTTCTTCCTTGAACCATGACCTCGATCACACACCGTGTATCCAAAGAGTCGTATAAGTGTGATGCCCCACCATCAGATTCCTCTATTGAGGTTTTGAATGAGTACTATTGGACAAAAGATGCTGAGCCTCACGTGGAAAGAAGAAAGGCCATCATGGCCAAATATCCACAAGTGTCGCGTTTGACAGGCTATGAGCCGAAAACAAAGTGGTATGTGATGTTTGTGGTGGCCCTTCAGTTCTCTGTGGCGTACTATTTGCGCAATACGTATCCAATTTCGTGGAAATTCTTTGCGTTGGCGTATGTGATTGGTGCTACCTCGAACCAGGCGATCTTCCTTGCAATCCACGAGTTATCGCACAACCTCTTGTTCAAGAAGCCTCTTCACAATAAGTTGTTTGCCATCTTCACCAATTTGCCGATTGGCATTCCTTATTCCGCGTCTTTCCAGCCTTATCATCAGCTTCACCACAAATTTATGGGTGATGAGTTCTTGGACACAGATTTGCCCACTCGTTTTGAAAGCATTGTCCTTCTGAACGTCTTGGGTAAAGTTTTCTTTGCAACTTTCCAAATTTTCTTCTACGCATTGCGTCCTATGTTTTATCACGCAAATCAAAATTCACCTATACCCATCTTTTGAACGTGATTGTTCAGATCGCAGTGGATATTGCCATGGTGAAAGCCTGGGGCTGGTACTCGTTTCTCTATTTCATCATGTCCTCGTTCTTGGCCGGCTCCTTGCACCCATGTGCGGGCCATTTCATTGCCGAGCACTACGTTTTAGACAAGAATAATGTCCCACGAACCAAGAAGGTTTCCGCAGAAACAAATGTTCCTGGGAACCTTGTTCCAGCTGAAACTTATTCGTACTATGGATCCTTGAACTTGTTGACTTGGAACGTTGGTTACCATAACGAGCATCATGATTTCCCGTACATTGCATGGACAAAGTTACCTGAACTTCGCCACCTTGCAGCAGAGTTTTATGATCCATTGCCACAGGTAGACTCCTGGTGTGCTGTTTTGTGGAACTTCTGCTTTCACGATGTTAACACGTTATGGTGCCGTGTCAAGCGTAGTGGAACAGAACGCCATGGTCTGAGAGTCAGTGGCTTAGACCGCAACCAGGGCGACGAAGATAAGGATATGTAAAATAAATAAGGAATAAATTGATGAGTGATGATGGAGTGTTGTATGGGATTAAGTAGCGGCTAAAGTCCTGAACTTCAACAATTGAGGATGTGATGTGAGTTCAGGTTTTGATCTTCTAGACCTCTGCCAGGACTAAGATGGTTTTGTATTGAACGTCGACACTTCATGCTATATACATAATTGGTCGGGTTCATGTTGAGCTTGCTATGCAAAAACTTGCATCCGGTCATTGAATCATATCTTACTTAATAAGTACCCCGTTGCATCCCTGCCTTAAAACATACATGCCAACTACATATACTGTCTTCGCAGCGTTTCTATCTATTAACGGTAGATTACAAGTTCTTCACCAAACGAGAAATGTCGCTCATGCCGTCCACATACACCTCGCCTAACTTCTGCTTGACGACTTCCACAATCTCGCCTGCCTCCACAAGATCTCCATCAGTGCTGTCATCACCTTGACCCAATACTTTGACTCTCAACTTACCTTCTGGGTACTCTTCCTTACCCAAAATCACCGCCAACTTGGCTTTGGCCTTGTCTGCCGCATCAAACTGTTTTCTAGGATTAGCCTTCACCTTGTACAAGTACTCGGCGTTGATACCAGCAGCCCATAATTGGCGAGCAACAGTCATACGTTCCTTCAAGAAACCGGTCCAACCAGCACCACCGCCAAATGCCATGATGTACACGTCTGTGTGAGTAGATGAGAGGTTTTCCCACTCCTTAGCCGCTCTAGCTTTGAGAATAGAAAAGATACGCTCGACACCGAATGAAATACCGACACATGGAATAGTTTTTCCATTGGAAAACATTCCAACCAAGTTATCGTAACGTCCACCTGCAGCAATAGAGCCGACACCGACGTACTCACTTGCATCCTCATCCTTGTTCTCTTTCTTTGCGCGAGCCTTCAACTCCTCGGCGTTCGAAGGAGGAGCAGATGCTTCGGTGACAGCTTCGTAAATCAAACCTGTGTAATAATCCAAACCACGGGCAAGTGACAAGTCAAACGACAAGTGGTCTTCGATCTGCAACGCCTCGACATATCCAGCCAACTCAGCCATGTCAGAAATACCCTTTTGGGCAGATTCGTTTGAGGCCAATAACTCTGAACCTTGCAAGAAATCCAAAGTATGCTTGAGCGAACCCTTAACCTTGACAAACTCCCCGATTTTGTCGGCCACAGCTTCCGGTTGGCCCTTTTCGACACACATCTCCTTCTTCACTGCCTCCCATGGCAACTTGTCCAACTTGTCCACTGCAGAAGATATCTTACGCACGTCTTCATCCTTTACACCACAAGCCTGGAAAATACCATCCAACACTTTACGGTGGTTCAACTTGATTTTGAAGTCGTGAATACCCAAAGAGGTCAAGCCTTCAACCAAAATTGCCAACACCTCGGCATCTGGCACCATTGGATCATAGGTACCAGCAATGTCAAAGTCGCATTGGTAGAATTCTCTCATTCTTCCCTTGGTCATAGCAGGCTGGTCTCTTCTGTAAACCTTGGCAATGTGGTATCTCTTTATGGAGCTGATACTGTTTGCCGCCACAAACCGTGCAAATGGCACAGTCAAGTCGTATCTCAAAGAAGTCAACTCACCACCTTGGTCTTGCAAGTTGTAGATCAACTTCGAATCCTCACCGTACTTACCGGTCAAGATCTCTCTGAGCTCAAAAACAGGTGTGTCGAGTGCCTGACCACCGTGCTTCTTGAACATATCACTGAGAGTAGAGAAAATGGCTTCTCTCAAGACCATGTCCTTGTCAGCCCAATCTTTGGTACCTTTGGGCGTTTTCAAAAGAAACTCTTGTTTCTTAGCCTTTTTTGACTGTTTGGGTGCTTTTGGCGGAACATTGGCCGCAACAATAGGCGAGCTGGCTTCAGTCGACATCCTTCTTAGTAGTTTTGGGAACGAGCGCCTGAACATGATTCCAGGAAATTTTTCTGCACGGCCTTTACCTATGTGGGAGGCACGGGTGTGACTCCATCTAGTACCCTTTACTAGCCAGAATACAATAAGGAAGAGAACCTTATTGAACAAAATGGCTCTTACATCTAGCTTAGGGGACTGTTGTTGTTATATATTTTTGGTAAAGATTTTGTTAGGCAACGCTTGCCGCGATGCACTGTCAAAGGCGAAAATTCCATTGAGATGCGTTTATCTAGAAAATTAATCTATCATAAAAATTTTGACTACATTGACATGAAGGAGCCATGAAGGAGCCATGGAGTCTAGCAACCAACTTGACGCCTTGTAGTTCGAGAAGTTTACTCTGGTCTTTACAGCCGTAACAATAAAATATCATTCCATAGACACCTAAAAACAGTTTGCCCGCGCTCTGTATCCGCGTATACCTAAAGTCCATCACGTTGCCATCTCATCATAATCAGTCCTCGTTGATTGCATTTGCCTTTGAGTAATTCAACCGCATCACACCATCGCTTAAAAGTCTCTTACCCCAGCTGCCAGCGGCAGGGTCACCAGTCTCGTCTCTGCATTGTTTCAAGAATGGAAGTAATGATGTTCCGCCTGTGCCCTTTTCTTCGGTACCTGCGCGCTTCTTCTTGGCAAGTCCCGACCGCAAAGTCAGCAGAGACCCCATCTTTGGCGCCTGTTTGGCTTGTAAAACCACGTACCGTGTGACAATTTGGATGTGCTTGTCGCGGAACAGTTTAAGCATGGCCAAGCATGCGTCGTAACTGAGAGTAAGCTCTGCATTTTCCCGGTTGGCCATCACGTATTCTCGTATACACGACTCTCTGTCCACCATGGCCAAAAACTCCCGATGTGAGCCTGGCATGTAGTTTCTCATCTCGCGAAGATAGGCGCTCTCGGGCTTCTCTGATGTTTCCACCTTTTGATGTGGTGCTGGACGCTCGCCAGTAGCATAGTGGTGAACACTAAGAACAGAGTCTAAGAACTGGATCAACAGCGACTGTGCATTCGAGCCTCCCGCGTACGCCCGTGGCTTTTCTTCATTCCCGTAAATCACACCGTTCTTGTCCAAGCCTACGTCGGCCATATTTTTCCATCCAGCCAAGTATGGCCGGAGACGGAAATAAAACACATGGGGGTCACACATTTCCTCCATGCGCATCATCACCGAGCCCAAATGGTCAATGACTTGCGCCAACTGCTGCAACGAAGCAATAAGACGGGCACTGTCCTTATTTTGGGCATGTTTAATGGCATCCATGCCTGCCCGGACAGCACGAGCACCACGAGCCTCAAAGAATACGCTCACAAGGAAAAACCACTGCTCGTCAATAGAGCCTGTGAAAGTATTAATGGTCGTAAGGTTGTCAAACTCGACATCCTTGGTGTTCGTGGTTGTTGGAATGATTTCCTTGAAGTTCCATAGACACAACCCGGCGTATGTGGCTAGAGGCGGAAGACCCAAAACATCACTTACTTCGACCAACGGCCGAGCCAAGTTCTCTGGAAGGCGACTTACCGGTTCGTTGGTTCCCCACACATAGGCGTGGGCCAAAAATCCGAGCACCATGTAGGCTCTTCTGTATTCCGGAGGCGAGGACAATTGTTCTGTTGAAAGAGCAGGCAACTTATCCACAAGCGGCCGGACACGGCTAGCAAGAAGTAAAGCGGGAAGATTATTGACAAGGTTTTCCCATGGTGCATAGTACGCTTGCGGCAACCGCTCTAGTGGGAGCTGAGGTGGAAGAAAACCAGTTTCTGGGTCCACATCAAAGGACAGAATGTCAAACATTAAAAAAGGAAACACGGAAAGTAAGTTCTGCTGGGAAAAAGGAATATCCTGTCTGCGTTCAAAAACAAAAGTGGTTTCGGTAGCGTTAAACTGATGTCGGTTTTTCTTTTTTTTTTTTTCGAAAACCGTTTGATTTTCACTAACGCAAAACACGAGCCAAGAAAGTGAGACAACTAATTTATCAGGTGATCACAAGCACACAATTCAGACTTTGATGCGCTTATATACAAAAATACAAATAAAAGGAGAGTGAAAAAGAGGAAAAGAAAAAATTCCAACCAAAAGAAAACTAAAACTTGAAGGCGTACACATGCCATGACCGACTCGGCTTAAACCCGAGATGACTTCCCCATTCTAAACGTTTTCGCGCTAAGCCCAACCCCACTCAGGCCGGTACAGTGATTAAGTCCGCTGCTTATAAATTGAATTTTACGATAGTGCCTGGTTAGTAAACTCGCGACATGCAAGATGCGGCTTATTACTAATTATCACAGATAATTAATAACGGAAGTTGCAGATCATAGAAATCCTTTTTTGGTATGTAATCTTGTATTAGATTATCTTCTCATGACACTGTGTTCTTTCTTTTTTTCTATTTCTTTCTTTTTCATGTAGTGTCGGAAATCGATAAAGCACAAGACAATGGCAATCACTGGATCAACGTGACTTGTCTCAAACTGAATTCGAATCACAATTCAATTTTAGATATTACCTCTGTGGCATCACAGGAGGTTCTGCCGGCAGCACTTGCAGAGGTTGATTAGTAGAGGTATCCAATTTCCTCTGTTTCTGCTCGGTCCATGGGTTCCTGAATTCAGAAACGGTGCTTGAGCTATCAGATATTGCGGTGTTAGCTTTAGAAGGAAAAAGTGCTCTGGTTTTCCACGAAGCAGGTTCTGCCAGGTGGAATGGCCCTTTCAGTTTCAAAAGTTTGGGTGCCAGAGGCACAGGTGCCGAGGCAGCTGGCTTTGTAATCGAGAAGAGGCGAGGAAAGGCCACTTGGCTTTTCTGGGGTTTCGCTTGCTTCGATTGAAGGGTTTCCTTGTTTCCATTTTCCTTTCTGGTTGTTTTTGTATCATCATTCATATTCTGTGGCGCAGCAGTTTTCATAGAGTTTCTCGAACCTTGTGAACCCTCCATGTTCCGACTACTTATTAAGGGTAGTCCTCCTAGAACTGAGTGGAGCCAGTCACCACTCAAAGTGGCGCCAATGATTTTCTCGCTGGATTCCAGCAGCTTCTGCGGGAGATCGCAAAAGCGACTTTTAACCGCCGCCCAACTTGTCAGGAAATACAACTTTGTGCGTTCACATTGTTCAGCAGAAAATCGACCTTGGGCGTCTCTCACTTTCTTATAGCAGTAAAACGGACGCAATGAACAGATTGCTAACTTGAACCACCCTGCAATCGTGTCCCGAGACGCCTCTAGAACAATGATGACCAAAAGTTGCAACACATAGATACAATAAAGACTGGGCGCCAATACGTTCCCGGCGAGGCGGCGCATGGCAGCCCCGATACTATTAAGAGATAAATCTATACGGTACCAATTCATCAGAGAAGATTTTCGTTTTTGAAAAAGTTCAGTTGGCGCTATTAAAAAAAAAATGAAAAAGGTGGGACAAGGATACGTGAGTACTGGGTGCAAAAAGAAGTTCAGTGCTATTAGTACTGCATTTTTGTTCTTCGATTCGGCACAGGGAAAGCAACCCAATACATCCGTGCACCAGAGTGCGCGCCCCTCTCCCTCAAAACCAGTGAGTGATCACTCTGGTTATTAGGAAAAGCCTTCGCTCGCCAACCAAAAACTCAACATAGGGCCAAGTTCCACAATGTCGTTCAAGGGTTTTAAGAAAACGATTGTGCGTGCTCCGCAGAGTTTCCGCCAAAAAATGAACATGGGTGAGATCACTGAGGATCCCGTTTACTCGGATGCTGAACGGCGGTTCAAGGAGTTGGAGTTGGAGACTAAAAAACTTAGTGACGAATCGAAAAGGTACTTTGCGGCCGTCAATGGCATGTTAGACTACCAGATTGACTTTTCGAAAGGAATTGAGGAGATCTACAAGCCCATCAGTGGGCGGTTGTCAGACCCAAATGCCACCGTTCCGGAAGACAATCCCGAAGGTATCAAAGCAGCGGAACAGTACCGTGAAGTTGTCAAAGAGCTCAAGGAGTTGTTGAAGCCTGATTTGGAGTTGATTGAAAAGCGTGTCGTCAACCCTGCGCAGGAATTGTTGAAGGTGATTCATCTGATTCGTAAAATGGCCACCAAGAGAGACCACAAGCGCATGGACTTGGACAGACACAAGCGCACCTACAATAAGTATGCCAATGAGAAGGAACGGACGGCAAAAGTGGAGGAGAAGATGTACAACGCCGAAGCCGAAGTGCACGTGGCGCAGCAGGAATATGACTACTACAACGACATGTTGAAGAACGAACTTCCCATCTTGTTCCAAATGCAGCTGGACTTCGTCAAGCCCTTGTTCTTGTCCTTCTACTACATGCAGTTAAACATTTTCTACACCTTGTATAACCGCATGGAAGAGTTGAAGATCCCATACTTTGACTTAACGCTGGATATCGTCGAAGCTTATCATGCGAAGAAGGGTAACATTGAGGAGCAAACTGATAGCATTGGAATCACCAACTTTAAAGTCGGTCACTCCAAGAACAAGTTGGAGGCTACTAAGAGAAGACATGCCATGATGGCAGGAGGTGCTCCTGGTGCTCCGGGAACGCCTGGCGCTCCTGGTTCCCCTGCGTACGGTCAATATGGTCAATACGGCCAGCAAAGCCCAGACCTGACTGGTACTCCAGGTCAATATGGCCAATATGGCCAGTATGGCCAATACGGTCAACAAGTGCAATCTCCCACTTCGGGTCAATATGGGCAGTACGGTGCGGACGCAAAAACTCCTGCCACTGCTGGAGTTGGCTCCCCTTACAGTACGTACCAGACCCCAGCGGCCGCGTCTCCTGTTTCGGCACCTCCCGCATACTCGCCTGCTGTTCCAGCCGCTCCCTCTTATTCTCCTGCGACACCTGCTGCGCCTGCCGCAGCTCAGACATGTACTGCTTTGTATGACTACGCCGCACAGGCTCAGGGTGACTTGAGCTTCCCTGCGGGGGCGGTGATCGAAGTTGTGGAAAAGGGTGACGCTAACGCATGGTGGACGGGAAGATATAACGGTCAAACAGGCTCGTTTCCTGGAAACTACGTACAGTTGAATTAGGGAGAAGTATTGGTGAGTACTTAGCTAAGCGACTTGGTCTAGGACAGTGTGACACTGGCGCTTTCTAGATATTGTAGTACATACATGAACAAAAACAATGATCAAAGTTTTAGTATCGGATACATGAAAATTCTTTTGAGGGGAGTCTGGCCATGAAGCTGTTTTTCTTCTTGATTGACTGTTGGGGTTTGTTTGGCTGTATCGTTCATAATATAGTCAAGCTTTACACTTCCTACTTCTCATTTTAGTCACCGTGCTTTGCTTTCGGGCAATTGCTAACATCTCACAAGTGTTGAAAAAAACTGGATACGATTTTGAATAATCACTCAGACCCAATGTGAGCACATATAGCCTTCAGTTACGTAGCACCTCATCTCATTAAACCTTGATTCCTAATGCAATAACGGCCCCGAAAGGTTTGAACAAACCACTTGAACTGATAATTGTCAAAAAGAAATTTTACAATATGAAGACGTTTAAAAAATCGTTCATTGTCGTCAGTACAGTTGTTTCGTTGTTAAAGAAAAAAAAAAGAAAAAAACGGAAAGTTTTTATGGTGGGTAGTGGTGTTTGATGCTTAAATGCCTTTTCTGGGTCAGTTCAAGTACTTTTTGAACCACAGCGACACCAAGCTGCCCACTCTTTCTGGGTCCTCACGGTGGAGAAAATGGCCGACCCCACTAAGCAATTGCACCTTCACTTTGGGGATGGGAGCTAAAAGACGAGACTCCAATTCAAACAATGCCGGAACCATGCATCCGTCAATGTCGCCTCCCAAAATAAGCGTTGGCACTTTTTCAAAATCCACATTCCATCTCATCTCGTGACGGTTCTTCCATGTGAGCACATTTCTATAGTAAGCTGTGGCATGGTCTAGCACACCTTCCAGAGCAAGTGTTGTACGCACAGACTCGATTTCTTTGGAAAAGTCCCAACCTGGGGACCACCATGCCCAAAGTTGGTCTAGATAGCCAGGCTCTTCTAAATTACCGAATTTTGGTCTGTAGAAGAGAGGGGATTGCATTCGAAGCATGTAACTGGAATAGTACAACTGCGATGGTGCATACCACAAAAAGTGCCACAAGTGGAGGTTGGACAAGTATGGAATGGCCATCGTCACCATCAGGGTAATGAGATTTGGGTACTTGGAAGCGGTTTTAAAAGCCACTACGGCGCCCCAATCGTGTCCCACCAAATGGACTGGTACAGATTGGTCCGGAACAAGCTCAATAATCCACAGGCGAACGTCATCTGCAAGCTCTGCCATGGTGTAATTGTTCGGTCCGCCCTGGGAGGAAACCTCGTATCCTCTTAGCAGAGGAACGACCGCTAGTGTTTTCGGCCCAAGGTCCTGCAAGACTATAGGAACCACAGCATGGTATGAGTCTCGGTTATCAGGAAACCCATGCATGAATATAATAAGTCTGTCAAAGAAGCCAGGTTTAATGCTTTCCTGATCTTTGTTGCACCAGGCAGAAAAAGTCCGCTGGCCATGGTGGAGATGAATTAAGTGCATAGATTGATGCTGGCCATTTTCAGCAGGAGAAATCTGTTTCTTGGGCATTGTTTTCCAATGAATCTCAAGTAAATAATTTGTTACTCGAAAGCGAGATCTTCTGTCGAGTCAATTGGCGTTGTCCAAACAACGAATTTTTAAGCAGATCTGGGGAGAAATGTTCTGTATTCCAGCGTGGCACAAATCACTGACTAACATGAAAGTTCATGAACCATTCGACGTATATATGGGCGAAAGCATTTTATCACGTTCATGTGCATGTGAAGCTCGTGTGCGTGGGGAAAGAAAAAGACTAATCCCAGTGATAAGCATCGTGCCACTACCGTCTTCTCATGTCTCGGCTGGCCGTGGACGTCATGATTCGGCGCTAGACGGAGCATTTTCGAACGTCCGAAACACGATCCGAAGAAGGGAAAAAGCCGTACGAAGCTATATTGATTGCATCATTTCTAGAACGGGACAGTTGGACACGGTCTGACCAGAGCACAGAGCCACGGAAAGAATGCCAAAGAGTGGAGCATTAATTGCAAAACCCAGACATGTACGAAAAAAGAAAAGCAAACAAAGTGTAGAAATCTAAAGCCGCTGGAGCATGGATATAAGATGTGGCTATCGACCTCTGCGGCTTGCGATGAAGTATGCATTCTGATGCAATATGCGTCAACGGTGTAAACACATAAACAGCCGTGAGCATATTCGCAGGAATGATGGTATCTGTTTCCAATCTCTCTTGTGGTGTACGAGCAGTGGATCAGGCTATACCACAGCAAGTACATCTTGCGCTTGCCCTGCTACTACTTTCTCTACTGTTTTTTTCAGTTGTTGTCGCTACTCTTACCAACGCCGCATGGTAAGGCAAGGTGAAATACCCACTGTTATTTCCGCGCCCTCCACATTTTCCATGGGTAAAGATCCGGCATCTCTCGGCGGCCGAAAATTACCGACATATGCAATGGGAGCGAGGGATACTGACAAATCTGGGACATGGCACAATTCGCTGGCAAAGGTCTCTATGGCTGGTATGCGTAGTGTGATCTTTTTGATGATGGGCAAAGTGCGGCGGCGCCCATTAGAAATTAGAAGTTCCAAGTATTATGCCCAGCTTTACATTCGGGCGCATCGGCCCAATGAGGGATTATCATGTTAGCCATTCGTAGTGTGGTCACGTGTGATAAACTTCATTGGCTCGGGAGCCCTCGGAAGTGAGCGGGCCTGTTATCTGAGGGAGAAATACATGGATTTTGGCTAACGCTAATGCTCTGAAAGAAGGCTGCCATGAAAATTTGACCAAAACGGTAAGGCGGTGCTCGCTTGCGCTATTTCCTTACATTTACCGTTTGCACTAAATTACCCCGTCGAAGGAAATAGACCTAAAACTCAAAGTGACAGCGAGATACATAACCAGATGCATAAAATCACCTGTATATTAGCTAAGCGCTCGTCCCGGTTTGTTTCTGGCAGGCCCGAATTGGGTAGGTTGAGAAAAATTGCCCACGGCGAAAAAAATAGCGCACCGCCGAATAAATACACTAGTTATTCCGCAGCGGAGTGAAATTGTTTCTCTTTTTTTTCTCTCAACTCCACTAAAACCCTCAATAAGATGTTCCCAGCAGGTGTTATTGTTGTTTTCGTTCTTGTCTTCTTGGCCTTCTGTGCTATCGTTGCCATTCAAATCCAAAAGAAGCTCAAGGCTAGAAAGGCTAACCAAAGATTCTAAGTGCACTTATGCTCTAGTATTCTTTGGCATTCTTGCTAGCTAATGTCAGGACTTGTCCTGATGGGGTGAAGTTTCCGTGGTTCTTGTAACTCATGGAGCTTCTCATGCCCCGCCACCATATACAATTATCTATTACTCTTTTGTTTGTTTTTATAACTTTGACGGGAATCTTTTTTATACTTAATATATCGGGAATCAGATATTCGGAATGTAGCCAAGGATACAGTGGGATGTTGCCCCACTTGTTCGTCATGTCCTGTGTGCATAGAGAGCACGGGGCGTTATCCTTTGTTTTATACGCAAGCCGTGTGTGGGCTAAGTCTTCGATTCTAACATAAAACTACCGATGAGCGTTCATTGAACTTTTGCACCTATTATGGATGACGTTGGTCAAGCAGCCTTCATTTAATGATAGTTATATGTATAGGGCTTTGTTTCGTGGCTTTTCTGGCATTTCCTAATATCTGGCATTTCCTAATAGCACATTCTAGTATTATGCTCCTGTGTCTTCAAGATTCATGGCAATTGTGAAAGTGCAGCTTCCCACAGCGGCAAGAAGAATCCATGGAACGGCCCCCATAGCCTTCTTATCAAAGTACGAGATGAGTGTACCCCATAAAAGCGGAGCCATAAAGCGCGCCAAAGATGTAGCGCTCATGGCTGAAGAATTAACAAAAGTTCGATATTTTGCATTGGTGGCATTGTAAACTAAAATCGACACTTGTGGGAATGCCAATGATGTGCCTAAAACGGTAACGCCTGTGCATGCGTAGAGACATGCTTGTGTGAGCCATGGAGGCAAGTTAGGATTATAGGCGGTCATGGTAAAGATTGTGAATGGCAACGCCGTATATGTAAGTGGGAAAACACTCGTTGCTAATCTGAATCCTTTGGTAGTTCCTAGATTCTTGTCCAAGTATGGAAACACGACAATGACGAAAAAACACCCCAATACGCCTGTGGTGGATAAGATACGGCCAATGCGCTCTGTATCCCACCCAAAGCCTCCCTTGATAGACCATGGGAAATGGAGATACTCCGTTTGAACCAGACCCGCAAGGAAAACGGGCATGAATTCTGTGAAAATGAGTGAGTGGAATGAGATGCAAAAGTATGCCATGATCGTGCGAACAACTCGCTTTGTGAATATGTTCTTGTTGCGGAAGGCTCTAAACAAGTGGCGTGTTTCCTCGGTGACAGAAATTGTAGTGGCTCTCAGAAGAACAGGCTGAAGGTCAGGCTGAAGTGAATATGCTGACGAGTATCTACGGATGGTTTCCAATGTGCTTGAGAAAGCTTCTGGTTCATCCATGCTATTAATGGACTCTTCATCGCCGTTCGCTGCATCTGTGATCAATGGTGAATATTCGTCGACCTCGTCAACAACGGCGCTTTCTTCCGTCTCGGTCTGCGGTTCCCAAGGTCTGCGTGGGATTTTATAGCCTAACCGCCGGCGAATACTGTCGCCAAGCACTAGACCTGGATCATAACGTGTACATCTCTTGTAGTGGGTCTCTTCAAGAAAAAGGAAGCCAATAATTGCCAGAGTCACCAAAAACAGGGCAACCACAACATTTGACATGGCATATGGATGTTTAGAGACAAAACGATCGTAACCAGACGAAGCATTGACCGAAGAGTCCATTCTGGGTCGCGTCAAATGCCGCGAGCCGCCAATAAGAGGCCCCACGAAACAACCCACATTCCAGAGGAAGGGAAGCATCGAGAATGCTATCAGCTGGTGTCTTTTCTGGGTTGTAATCTCACCAACCATAGTTTGCAACACAGCAATGTTTCCATTTAGAGCTCCGGCAGCCGTCCGGGCTAAAAGTGCCATATAATAGTTTGTAGAGAAACCAAATAATAGAATAGATGACGCCGTACCTAAAAGACCACACATTAGGACAGGCTTTCTTCCTATGCGGTCCGAAAGTCGACCCCAGTGGATGCAACACAAGAATTGCGCAAACGCAAAAGACGCGGCCATGTAACCCGTGTAACGGGAGATTTGTGTGGGGTCTTTGGTGACTTGAAAGTCTCTGACCATGAAATAAACATAGGGAAAGAGCGACGTGAAGGAAAGCGGCTCGGAAAACCTGATCATCAACACCACTGACATTTGCCACAAGGGAAATCCCTTCATTTCTTCTCTAAAGGAAGGCATGGTGTTTCTTCGTGGTTAAAAGAAATGAAAGCTATTGATAATTGAGGGGCAAATATAGATGTTTATTTGTTGCTCAATGTGCTGTTGAAAGCGGGGGAAAATATGGAAAATACGCAATTAAGTTTGGAGTAGGTCCAAGTTTATAAAGAGATTTTCGATTACGTGGAATCCACGTAAAAGTGTGGATCTGTGACTCAATTTAACGCGCGATTTTAATTTACTTGTCACAATTACAATACTCGAATGGACAGTTACAGACAAAAGATTTGAATGATCGAGGTTTGTACTAAAACTGTTTCACACGTGAGATATTCCATTTGGTGCTAATAGCACTTGCAGTAGCAGTCACTTTGTATCGGGTTCATTAGCCTCGTTCAAGATTAGCGTAGTGCAGTATGCACTATCGAGTGGCCAATGTATGCCAGATTGTCGATATAGGTAGACAGAAAAAGAGTACATGAAAAAAAAGAAAAGTAAATTTGTGCAAGAAACGAAAGAACACTATTAAATGGTACACGTATGCATGTGGGGAAATATTGGTAAAAAGATGATGATGATGAATGTCAGTGCAAGCTATGATAGCGTCAATGCCTTCTTCAGATAAGCAGTTCATAGCAAATTATCAATCATCTTCATAAAAAGAGAGACTTAATCTACGAAAATTAAGTGGGTACTCAATGAACTACTTTTTGATTTGAGAAGCAGGTAAAGGCTACGTTATCTTATCTTTCAGTTGTTCAGTAGCTCTGTCAGTGATGTAAGCTATGTGTCAGAGATCTAAAATAAAGTAATGCCCTCAGCACTCTAATCCTCGTAATCATCAAGTGTAAACGAATGCAAAAACCCACACAATGCCATGAGAGCCATGAGCCACCACACTAGCCAGGCCATATTGTGCCTGTCGCCAAAAGTCATCAAATAGCCAAAAATAATCGGACCCAAACACCGGGCCAAAGCTAACATACTCATAGTTAGCGAATTGACGTATGCCCTATGTTCTTTTGCTGCTGCTCTATGATTAAGAAGCATGACTTGAGGCATACCAGTAGCCGAGGCGAGCGTCTTCAACGTAGTGAGCGAGTAAAGGAAAATGGGCGTGAACCACAGGGGAAAAGCGCTATTATACTTATGTAACGTGAAAATGGCCATTGGCACACTCGCATATACCAACGGGAAAAACGATAGCGAGAGTCGAAAGCCTTTAATGGTCCCCAAGGTGCGGTCGATCCAGGGGAAAATAACCAAGACTATAATGATACCCATCACCCCAGTCGAAGAGAAAAGGGTTCCAATGTAGCTAGAGTCAAGGCCAAATCCTCCGCCAATTCTGAACGGGAACTTTAGGAGGTCTCTCTGGAACCGAGATGCAAGAAGAACAGGCAAAAATTCATTGTAGGCGATACTGTGGAGAGAAATAATGCAGTTGGAGATAATCACTGAAATAACTCGCCCAGTTAGCGCAGTCTTGTCTTTGTCCGTCCGGCCAAAGACCAGCGAGCTCAGGGAATAGCGGCGCACCATGGCATTCGTCATTGGTTTACTAACGAGGGGAATTGGATCCAAATCGTCATTTTCATCAATGACGGCCTCTTCTGTCGCAATTTCATTGGCACCACTTGGAGCTTCATCTTCAGTAGCTGCTGTGGCCCTAAAGTCATTGACCTGCGAAGCTGAAACATGTTCCGCATGATGGAGAAGCGGTCTTTCTTCGTCGGATTTTTTCTGCCAAGGTCTGGTTGGGGGTTTGACACCAAAGCGGGCCAAGAATGCATCGCCTAGTTCAACACCGTAATCGCGCCGTTGACGGAAGTTCTCGTTAGTTTCTTCAAGGAAGAAAAAGCCGATAACCATGCTAAAACAAAGGAACACAGACACAACAATGTTGGACATGACATAAGGATGGCGCTCTACAAACGCGTCGTACCACGAAGTTCCAAACGTCAGCAAAGAAAGACTTGACGTATTTCCATGCTCATCCTCGTATGGACTGTGTGGGTTTGGCCTTGTGAATAACGCCGAACCGCCAATCAAGGGCCCAATGATGGATCCGAAATTGAAAAGCAAAGGTAAAGTACTGAACCCCAACGCCTGATGGCGCCGCTCGACACAGATCTCGCCAATAACTGTCCGCAAAACAGCAATGTTGCCATTGAGCGCACCGGCAAGCGACCGCGCTGCTAACGCCATGTAATAATTCGTGCTGAAGCCAAAGGTCACTAACGAAATACATGTGCCAAAGAGACCACATAAGAGCACAGGTTTTCTGCCGACGCGATTCAGCATTTTGCCCCATTGCACGGCGAATAGGAACTGGAAAAACGCAAATGAGGACGCCAAGTAGCCCAGGTACTTCGAAATGTCTTGTTCTGTGGGGGCAACATGGAAATCTCGGATCATGAAATACATGTAGGGGAAAAGCGATGTGAACGCAAGCGGCTCGGAAAACCGAATGAGAGATACCACCACCATTTGGCGGATTGGCATTCCCGCCATCTGCTCTCGGAATGTGAGCGCAGCCATAGGTGCAAATATGTCACTAAAAAGATGTCAACTATGCCACCATATGCATGTGCAGGTGGTGAACTATCGCGCACAGTAGTTGAAGCTAGATAAAATCGGTTCTACAGATAAGCCGGCAAGAAGGAAAGAGGTACTAAGTGCTTAAGATGAGGGAATTTTCAATAACACCGGGTTAACAAAGGTGGTCTATGTTATCTGTGAAGAAAAGAGAAAAAGAAGAACAATCAGCTACGTGTTTGAAATCACTAATATGATAGATATGGTGCATATTACGAGCCTCGAAGTGGAGCGTTCTTCTCTTTTCTCATGCGCTTCGCTTTATCTTTGTGCTATTTCAAACAAAAACATATGTCGTTTCTTCACTGAAAATATAACCCGAACTCCGATTAAGTGAATTCTTTTTCATTCGTGTGCCCCTTCCTGCGACTTTTCCGAATTCCTGCGGCTTCTGCGTTCCTGCAACAACCGTTAAGGTTCAGAGGCGCAAGACATGAGCACGTACGAGATATTCGGCTTTTGGTTCCACCCGCCTTTCTGATATTTGTGCAGATCTGTGTTTCGAATGTCTTTTCTTTGGGGCCCAATTTAGCAAGCCTAGAACCCCTCTACTTTTCTCGTCCTCTTCATTCTTTCCTCCACTCTTAAACCGCCCCACATACGTCACTGGCTATTACACCCGTGCCTCCGGTGCCTGAAGCGTACCATTCCCATTTGTCACTTTGGGACAAAACATTCGTTTGAAAAGCATCTCGTGTATAAGCACATGCACACACAGAGGAGGTACTTCGTTTGCCTCATTGGAAAAAAAAATTCCAGTTTGGCGGGCTGAAAGAACGCAGGCACGTGCGAGAGTTTACTCATCTATTTTTACTTTTTTGCCTCACCGAAAGATGCAAATCTCGAAAAAAAAAATATACAACTGAGAGTCTTTCCTGACACGCACCCGGCACGCTTTTACCTGCGTATTTTCCATTTTCACTTCCGTTTCACTCCCTAGCAACATATCTCTCTCTTCCTATGGTGCCCTCCAGTACGCTTGTCGCATGTCTTGCGTTACATTTCTCCTGTGTTTATTCGTTCCAAATCCCACTGTCTTGTCCAGACGCCGTGGCTAAGTTTGCAGAAAAGTTTGTTTTATCGAAAAAGGCCGACGAACAGCCAGCTTTTGAGGCAGCTAACTCGACTTTCTCGTCCTCCACTTCATCCTTTGCAACCTCCTCCTTCGTTTCCTCCTCGGCATTTTCCTCGCTAACGTCCTCCACGCAAACATCAACTTCGTCATCCTCCTCGTCGCAAGCATTCTCGTTCTCGTCTTCTGCGCAGTCGTTTTCATCTGCAGCTCAGTCAAGCAGTAATCAAGCCCTGCAAGCGTCGTCGTCGGCAGATTTCACATCGTCAGTGGCGTCTTCTTCTGCTGCTTTCTCCTCGTCCGCTGCTGACTCTACTTCTGCTGAAGACTCCACTTCTTCTTCAGAAGACAACGCATCGTCATCGACTGCAGCATCTAGTGAGCAGGAATCGTCGTCAAGCCCTACTACTTCATCTGCTGACTCTTCCATCACCAGTCTTCCTGTTACTCACACCTTTTCGTCTGTGACAAATGGTCGTACTGTTATCGTCACTCGTACATCCCTAGTTGCCACCAACACTTCGGAACCGACAGCCTCGTCCAGACAAAACAAAGGAGGCAGCTCTGGTGGCTTGAGTAACACCAACAAGATTGTTGTGGGTGTTGTTGTCGGTGTTGGAGGTGCCATTCTTCTTGCTATTGTAGCACTCGTGTTCTGGATGAGACGCAAGGGTAACACTTTCAATCAAAGCGGATGGACATTCTGGCGTAAGAGTGAGAAGGACGCTGATGACACTTTCTTCAACGGAGAATTGGGTGTGCGTGATCGTAACATCAACCAAGGCTCCAACTTCTGATACCCCTCTTTTGATACGATACCCACAGTTTCATGGCAAACAAATGACATAAGTACCGATGACAGCGTCAACTATCGCTTAACAGGCTTACTCTACGTAACATGACAGAAAATACTCTAATATATCCCAAACCCTATGTAAACCAATCATCAAACGTTCAACGAAACATCTTCGCTGTGGATCATGTGTTGGAATGGCTCCAACGCTTGGGCAACATCCTTCTTGATAAACTTCTCTGTCTGTTGAGGAGCACGACCCACAAACGTAGATGGGTCCAAGAGAGCATCCAATTCGCCCCAAATTGGCTTGAAGTACTCAGTCTTCTTCACACGCTCAATCAAGTCGTTGTCTCCTCCTTCCTGCTTCACCACAGCCGAGGCTTGGTGAGACAAGACACGGATTTCCTCGTGGCAGTCCTGTCTGGAAGCACCCTTTTCCACCATGGCCATAATGATGTTTTCAGTGGCCATGAATGGCAACTCACCCTTGATTCTTCTCTCGATAACCTTAGGGTAAACAACCAAGCCCGAGGTGATATTGGTCAAAGTAGACAACAAAATGTCGGCAGTCAAGAATGCAGACGGAAGCGAAATACGACGAATGGCCGAGTCGTCCAAAGTTCTTTCGAACCATTGCACGGAAGCGGTTTGGATGGCATCATTCAACAAACCACCCAAGTGTCTGGACAAAGAGCACACTCTTTCGCATCTCATTGGGTTTCTCTTGTAAGCCATGGCAGATGAACCAATTTGGGATTTTTCAAATGGTTCTTCCATTTCCTTCAAGTTTGCCAAAAGACGGACATCGGTAGCGAACTTGTGACAAGTAGCACCCAAAGAGGCTAATGGACTCAAAACATCAATGTCAATCTTTCTAGAGTAAGTTTGGCCAGTGACAGGGTAAACATGCTCAAAGCCCAACAATTTAACAACAGTCTCGTCCAACAACTCAACCTTGTCGTGGTCACCGTGGAAAAGAGACAAGAAAGAGGCCTGAGTTCCTGTGGTACCTTTGACACCTCTCAATCCAATGTCGTTTCTTGCTCTAACCATGTTTCTCAAATCCCACAACAATTCCTGGATCCACAAAGTGGCTCTCTTACCAACAGTGGTCAACTGAGCTGGTTGGAAATGGGTCCAGCCCAAAACGGGCAAGTCCTTGTATTCCATGGCAAACTTAGACAATCTGTCGATGACATTAACCAACTTTGGAATCAAAATATCGTAAGCGTCTCTCAAGAAAATCAAGTCAGCATTATCTGTAACGTAGCACGAAGTAGCACCCAAGTGGATGATACCGGCAGCTGCAGGGCATGTGTCTCCGAAGACGTGGACATGAGCCATGACATCGTGTCTGACTTTGGCTTCTTCAACAGAAGCAGCAGCAATTTCCTCATCGGTGATTTCAAGGTGCTTTTCCATTTGCTCAATGGCCTCATCGGTGATGACACTGAGGCCAACTTGCTTTTCAGCAATGGCCAAGTTCAACCACAACTTTCTCCAGGTGGAAAATCTGTTTCTCAAGGAGAAAATCTTAGACATTTCCTCGGAAGCATATCTCGAGGACAATGGAGTAGAGTATTTATCGTGCGACATGGCTGAAGAAAAGAAAAAAGGGCAGTCTACTTTTTCAAACCCACGTTGAGAAATGGGGCTATTTAAATGAAGGTGGCATTTATTATTATGTTAGTGACTCGGACCTCTTCATCGCGCACTTTGACTCCGCACATTCGCCAAGGGTATTCTTTGTCTTCGGCTCACTAATGTTTATTCAGTGTCACATACCTAATGACAATAACCAGACCAATACACAATTTTGAGACGTTATGTTGTCTGCTTTACCGTATTAATTCGGTTGCTACCATATTTGACCTCCTGTGATTGCATCAATACATTCCACTTGTTCGCATTATTTTCTGACTACCCCGTAATATCAATTTCGGTGCATATGAAGGTTGGCAGGTTCCACCATACCTTCACATTGCCGATTACTTATCCAATGGTCATTCTGTGTACATGAGCTCCAACTAATAGGCCATCCCGTATTGTAGATTCTCTGTGGGGCATTATTCCATTCTGGACAACATGGGGTTCACAAATGAACAGATATGGATTTTTGTCACTAAATTTTAGACAACTCAATCGTACGTTCATGCAATTACCGGTATTCATAATTATATCATAGAGAGATCCGTTTAGTCCAATGGAGCAGAAAAGTCATCGAGCATATTCAGAGGAGCATCTTGCGCATCCTTGTTTTCTTGATTTTGAAGCAACAAAGTATACACCGCCGTCCTGAACAAAGTGTACACTAGACCAATCTTCCGTTCTAGGTTGTGCATGTTCCGTAAAAGAGAATCTGCCAGGCCAGTGGTGAGGTCTAAGGCGATTTGTGTCTCGGATGGGAGATGTTTGTTCAACTTGGCGATTTCATCAGAGAGTGTATTAAGTTTGATCGCCAACGCTTGATACTGGCTAAGTACTTGCCTCTCTAGTGCCAGAAACTCATTTTTGGTTGAGTAGTCTTCTTGTAGAACGTTGTTAGACATGATTTGTATCCTGTTGTAGTGCTTCGCTTGTTTATGGTGAAGGATGTACGGATGCAATTGCTCATACTTATTTTAGAGAGCGCAACATTTTTAGTTCCAGTATAATAAGGAAAGATCTTGAATTGAAAATAGCAAAAGTTAGGACGCTTAGATAATTCATACACATTTAATGCATCCATATTCGTTACTTTCACGGAAGCAAATCCCATCCCCGATCCGTATGTCAAATTATGTGCAGGCTGCGCTGAACCTTCCACGCAGTGAACACTCGCATATCTTCGATTGCTTCTATCAATTACTCCCGTTAACATGTCTTCTGCCGAGCCCACAGCCACAAAAGTTTCCAATTCAACTGTGGAGCCACATCTTCGAAAGAGGAAGTTGGTTCGCAAGCACCAATCGTCTTCCAATGTTAAGTATTACGTATGGCTTGCTGGCCACATCATGTGCCTCCTTTTCGGTACCGTGATGTTTGTTTTCAAAACTTTGCGCTTGAAAGATAACTATCACATTGGAAACATATCCTACCGATTGACCCTTGTAGGGGCTACAATGGCGTTCGCTGCCACTGCTGCTCATAAGTTTGGCTTGAAATTTTTGCCTCCGTTGACCACACTCTTGGCCCAGCTGAACTTTCAGTATCTTGTCTTGTCGTTTGTGTGGTGTTTTACGTTCAAATCTGTGTTGAAGGTCATTCCAGTCTTCTTGATTTCATTCTTGCAATTGTCCAACCACTTCAATGTCGGCGTAATTGTAAAGCAGGCAGATTTCTTGGCACAAATCATCGGTTTTGATGAGATTTTTCTCATTGTTTATTTGATTTTGCGTACTCTTTTCTTCAGAAGTACAGCAGGCTACCAGTTGGTACTTGTGTTGATGTTCTTGTGGTTGCGTATCTTGTTTGATGAGGAAACAGCTAAAATGTTCAGCTTCATTGTTGATAAACTCGATGGAAAGGTTTCGGGAATCAAGAATGAGAAAGTATCCAAGGTCTGGAAGAAGATTAGAGACTTCATCAACGAGAAAGCAAGCCACGCCGGAAAAGATTAAAGTGTTCTAGCAATTTGCAGTATACACTATATATTGTGACAGCTTTAGATTTACAACATTTCAAGCACAATAAGTAGTTCCTGCTGTATGTAAAGGTCCGCAATGATGTGCCATGCTGCATTGGTGTTGGCTTAACGTGAGCAACTGAGATCTACTGCGTATGCGAAACTTCTACAAAATCATCAGCTAATTATTTCCTTTGATGTATCATGACAGGATTTTGAATTCCCATTTAGCTAACAATTGACTGGGACGACTCATGAAGTGATGATTATCGCTCACAAACTGTGATAATGTGTTAGACTCCAGAATAGTCCGTTGCGGCTTCAAATATACAGTAGACACCACAGTCGGCCGATATTTACTCCATCACCGTATACTTTAGTGACTTAGGCTAGAATTTACTTCCTTTAGTATTTGGGCCTATCTTTGCTTTTTAATGTTTAATAATCCAATCACTATAGCAAAAGCTCCGCCCCTATGGTGCACGGGTCTATAGTATATGAGCGCCAATAGGGTAGACACGAAGTACCAACTATCTTCTCCATTACAGTTGAGAGCACTCCTGTAATTCCAAATGTCTGCACCCGTTGTTTTTCAATTGGGCCACGAGCCCATCAAGGACCACTGCTTTTCCCCAAACTTTGATATTTTGGCTGTGACAAAGGACAACACGGTCGAATTGTACCAAAACTCCCCAGGCTCCTCCAAGAAACCAACCCTCATCACCGTCTTGAAAGGTCACGACAAAACCGTCACCTCCGTAGACATTTCTCCTGACGGTTCGAAGATTTTGACCTGTTCTCAGGATAGAAATGCCTTGGTGTGGCAATGGAATGATGAAGCACGTGAGTTCAAGCCTACTTTGGTGCTTTTGCGTATCAACAGAGCCGCCAAGGTATGCAGATGGTCTCCAAATGGTGATAAGTTCGCCGTCGGTTCGGCAGATCGCGTCATTGCTATCTGTTACTACGAGGAGGAAAATGACTGGTGGGTCTCCAAACACTTGAAGAAACCCCTCAAGTCCACCATCACCAGCTTGTCGTGGCACCCAAACAACGTGCTTTTGGCGTCAGGCTCTACAGATGGCCACGTTCGTGTATTCAGTGCCTTTATTAAAGGCTTGGACACAAAGCCCGAGCCATCTGTTTGGGGGTCGAAATTACCTTTCCAGACGTTGGTTGGAGACTACACTAATGAGACAGGCGCTTGGGTCCATGATGTCTCGTTCAACGAAGACGGTGCTGGTGACTCTTTGGCCTACGTCAGTCATGACGGCACTGTCTCCGTCGTTTACCCACAAGGTGAAGGTTTGCCTCCTACAGCCTTTATTACAGTGAAGACGAACTTTTTACCATTCAAGTCCCTTCTTTTCTTGCACGACAAGATCATTGTGGGTGGCCACAACTGTAACTTGATTGTGTTCCAGGGTAACGAGAGTGGTTGGCGTGAGGCTTACCATGTGGAGAAGCAAAAGGATTTGATTCACGACGTACCTCCGGTAGCCGACGATGACGTGGAGATTTCGAGTCACGACGCGCTCAACATGTTCAAGCAAATGGACTTGAAGGGTAGAGTCAACAAAACCAACAAGGGAAGCGGAAAAGCCCTCAGCACCATCCACCAAAATACTATTACTAGTCTCAGATGGTATGATGGTGGTAAGGTTTCGACCTCTGGTATTGACGGCAAAATTGTAATTTTTAGTGTCTAGGGACCAGATAGAAGTAATCTACGCTACGAAAACCAACATGTAAAGGAGAAGGCGATTTTGTCAGAAATTGAGCTTTGGTAATGGGTTATCTTCAGAATTTTTTGGTTCAGAAGCAGAACTGAAATTTAGTTTTTCATCATAAAAATCGCACTCTCCATAACATATTGGTAACCAGAGTTTCCGCCTGGAATCTCTGACTTCCAAATTTAATGTGTGTCTCACAGCTAAGGTGTTAGTTGCACACGTTGCAAAATATCAAAGGCTAGGTCAGATGGTGATGCATGTAATTATCCATGGCTCACGAGTCACCGGGACATATGTTGTGAGAACAATCATCAAGAAAAGCCGCTTCTTCGGAACATACCTGAACCGTATTAGTTTTCGTTTCGTTAAACACAAACTCATTCCGCTTGTCAAAGCCAGTCATAAACGAAGAATTCCTATAATTATTTTGTCCTGCATGTACATCCTCAGTGTGTAGTTACATCTTTGGTTTTAATCATGTACTTTGACAAAGCAGTTCTCCTAAGAAAACATACCGTTAGGGTTAGAAGAAGAGTGTTAACAATGTTGATGAGTTGGTGCGAAATTTGAGAAAAAATACTCAACGCTGCGTCGGGTAACTTTGGCGCGCGCACGTTACGATCTATTGGGGCACTGAGGTCAAAGAGTAGATGTTAAACATTTCGTCTTATTTCATATGCCGTGATTCGTTCACACTCAAACTATCTTTCATCATTAAATTTTCGTTCTTATAGTTCTTGTACAAGTATTTTATAATAGATTTGCTTGGATTTCGAATTTTAGGTTATTGAACATGGTTTCGTCTTTTTGTCGGATGCGTCGTAATTGCATAAAAAAGTACGAACGAAGGCGAGGATAAAAATATGATACAGAAACCCTATGTTCTTTTCAGACTTGGCATTGAGCTTTATAGACTTAAGCGAGAGAAGTAAAAGAAGAATAGAAGAAAGCTAGAAAGCTAGAAGAGAAGAAGAGGAGCGGAAGAAGAATGAAAGAAGAATGAAAGAAGAATGAAAGAAGAATGAAAGAAGAAGAAGCGAAAGCAACGAATAATTTTATTACATTTGGCAACCTATATAGCTCCTTGAATTCTTTGTAGATCCAAAAGCGAAACTTGAACGCATATGTTCACTTCTCTTGGTAACTTTCAGCAGAGTGCCTAGATAAGCGCACGGCGCTAATTAAAGGTTCCGTACCACGCAAAACTCCACACTTCGGTAAAGAAACATATCTACATGAGTGAGCTGGATTCCTACAGCTTTCAGCGCCAATCCAAAGAACATCCAAAGCGGTCCGAGAGCCAGCCACTTTTGGATGGTTTAGATAAGATTGGGCAATATTATGGTAATCAAAACCAAAACCAAAACGCTAGACCAGGCCGCCAATCGTCAATTTCCGCCTTAGACCTACTTCGAAATGAACCTCCACCACAACAGAATTCCCGACCGTTTCTTCAGACAATTCTTTCTGGAGGGTATACAGTTCTGAATCCCAATTCGTCATCACTTGATGTTAACCAGTATGCGTTTCAGGACGGGGCTTCAATGGCCAGTATGGATTTAGAGAGCAATTCAGGTTGGAGCTCTCACAGAAGACTTAATATTTTGAGCGTTCTAAGACCAGAGAAATTGATTGGCAAATTCATACCGTTGACTAATTGGAGTGACAAGATAAAAAAGAATCCGGAACGAATACGCAACAAGGGGTTACGAGAGTTTTACCAAGAACAAAACGTTCTTTTACTTCGCTACCAAGAAATCGACAGATTGTTGGATTACGGGAAAATTCACCTCAATATGCTCTCCACTTATAAAGATTCAGGTAACAGTATCCTGAATACTACTGGCTGTGATGAAGGCATGAGTAATAATCTTTTGGGACTGACTGAAATGGAACAGAGCTTGTCTAAATCCAGATTTAACGACCTACCTGGAAATATCAATGAAGGCGGGCAGTTTTTGGGCTACAACAAAGAGGAGAGCTCTCAAGAAATACGAGTCGCTATTTTAGTTAATTTCTTCATCAACTTTTTATTGTTGATAGGAAAGACCCTTATTCTGTTTATGACATCATCATTGTCTGTCGTTGCATCTTTGGTCGACTCAGTTCTCGATTTCTTGTCAACTTTCATTATTTACATTGCTAACAAGCTATCTGAGACCAATAATTGGAGGACGAAATTCACATATCCAATTGGAAGAAAGAAACTTGAGCCCTTAGGAATCTTAATTTTTTCTGTGATCATTATCATATCCTTTTTTCAAGTCGGCTTGGAATCTGCTAAAAGGTTGTTACTCTCTACAAGAGAAACCCGCGTAGCGGTGAAAGTAGGGCGAGAAGCTACCGCCGTTATGATCTCAACTATCGTTGCAAAAATTGCATGCTGGTGGTGGTGCTCGCTCAATAAGTCTAGTTCGGTCCAAGCCTTGGCCCAAGATGCAATGACAGACATTATCTTTAACTCTGTATCATTAGTCGTGCCCACATTGGGGTACTATCTTGATACGTGGTGGCTTGATCCAGCGGGTGCGTTATCCCTTTCATTGTATGTTATAGTATCGTGGAGTATCACAGCCTTTGAGCATGTTGATAATTTGACAGGGACATCTGCAGACCCATTAGATTATAAAGTCGTCTTGTATTTGGCCTACCGGTTTGCAGAATGTATCAAACAGATCACTTCGTTGAAAGTATATCATGTGGGAGACAATGTCAATGTTGAAATCGATCTAGTATTCAACACTGATGATTACGATTTGAGTTTTAAGGACGCCCATGATATTGCAGAAGCCCTTCAATATGCCATCGAAACCCTTCCCATGGTTGAACGAGCTTTTGTTCATATCGATTACATGGAAGGCAACTTCAAGGGTCATTTAAATTAAGCCCATATACATACATATATATATATATATATATATATATATATACACATTTCGTAATTTGCTTCATGACTGATCGATTGGGAAGTCAGGGAACAGGGATTTAAGACATTCCACCAACCCGTTTCTATATTTTGTCAAGATGTCATGCTCGTTCTCTTGTGCCACCCTAGTGTACTTGCCGATAAGCAGTTTCACGTACTCAAGTGGCGCCCTCCATGTTGCCTCACTCATGCCCTTTGAAAGCAAATCTGGATCGTTCAAGTAATGAAGTTTGTCGTTGGTCTTTAAGAAGTGCAACGTTTTAATCAACATCAAACCCCCAAAGAACGAACAAAAATGAATCTGATCAGAAAGATACGCGAAGTATGAGTCGTCTTTAACTGTCAGGATTATCTTCGCCAACGAGCAAGTGTGGGACATAATTCCTAGCCAAATTTCCTTGTCCCCATGAAGTAGAATCTGATCAACTGTACTCTGAGAAAAGTCCATCATTGGAGAAGATACAGATGTTATGAAAACTTTTGCATAGGTGTAATTGTAGTAGATCAAAGTGTAGCAAAAGTGATAGCAGAATTCAACAAATTGAAGTGCAGGCTGGCTAAAAAGATAGCCCCATTGTTCAAGCCAGGAATTTATCTCATCTTTTACGACCTGAAAGTTGCTCTCAACGTTGCTGGACACTTTGGATGTACCAGAATTCAAGTTCAACTGGACGAAATTATATGTGATGAGAAGTATGCTTATTTCGCTTACCATTCTGCCATCAAAGTTTGTAGCATTAGGTAAACTGAGTGACGCAATACAGTGGTTTAGTCTGATTTCGTCAACGATACACATGCGCCCACTAAAGATGCAACTGACTAAGTGTATCAATATGAGATGGTTGTAGATACGGAGAATAGTCAACATCTGATCTTCAGTGGATTCAAATTGTCCTCGCCAGATGGAGAAATCTGAGAGGAATGTTTCTTTTTGCTTGTCAGAGACAGTAAGTCTATCCGAAAACAATGTACCAAATGAAGTCTTTGAAATGAAAGCAGAAAGTCCCAATCCTGATAAATACCACGGATCTAGGTTGAGCTCCCTCAATGCTAGGTCTGTTTCAAGCAAGGTATCCGGATCAATGGTGTCGTTGATAATGGAAGATAATGACATCAGGTAAATGGATAAGATGACGATTGCTTGAAAAAATTCTACATCCCCCAAATTTTCTGCTGTTCCCAGAAACGCCACAAATTTAAGGAGTGATTTATCCAAGTCTGTAACTAATTGCTGCATGATTAGTTTATAGGTGTCTTTCTTCCTTCTAAAGCTGTCCACATCTCCTGGGCTTGGTTTCCCGTTTAACAGGTACCGCAATGACAAACAGCAACATGTAGTAAGCAAAAGAGAAGATCTCTTCCTGATTTGGACTATAAGCTCGTCCGTTGCCATATACAGTGGAAACAGCACCCACCGACCATAATTGCTTCTAAAATCATTAATTAAATCGACCACTTCTGGTTCAGTAAGGATACCGCCACTAATGACATCTTTCTCCACATCAAAAAACCTCCTGCTAGTTGGGTTTTCAATGTTAGTGAGCTGGAGAAGATTAAGTATAGGGCGTGGCACATCTCGTACTTGTCGCGCTATAACAGTAAGAGGAGCAGATTGAAATGAGTTGGATGGAAGCATGAAACCGTATGGGTCTTCTTCATTCACACCAATCTCTTCCATATTTTGCAGTTGGGGCCTCTGACCAGCAGAAGAACCTGAGTGGCTGAAATAGCCTGCCTTATTTGGTAGTGGGCTAGGACCCGGACTATTAGATCTAGTCCCTGACATTAATGCCAAAGTGGGAGGAGCGGGACTTCGTCTCATTGAGGAGGTCGCGTCAAGAAATAGTCTGGCATCGCTGTTGAGCGTGGAAGAGTCTCCGTCTGTTTTGGCTCCGTTCTTCACTAATGCTAAAAGCTCGGAGACGCCCAAATATATTCCGTCAAGCCTGGTCTTCATATCATCAGCATAGGGACGTATGTGAGTTGGAAATGGTCTTGTAAGAAACTCCAATGGAGAACTACCGTCCCCCACAGTTTCTTGCCCAACAAAGTGTTCAGGCACACCTTGAACTACCTTCACCTCAGGATTTTCTCTCTTATACTCTTCTTCTAGAGAGCATTCTCTTTCTGATCCCAAGCAACGGAGACAGCTAACCGCAAAGGGAGAAGCTTTAAAACAACGAGTCTTCTGTTTGCGGCAGTAAGTACAGGCTTTCAATGCTCGGGTTTGCAGAGAAGTTGATAGCGTCCGTCTCATTTCTCCATTATACTGCTCAATAGCTTGAGGTTCTCCATTACCTTTTCTTCGCTTTGCGCTCGGTTGTGCCGGTTTCTTTTTAGGGGCCATAGTTGTATTTCAATAAACCGTATCTTTCTTCTACGCACGGTACTTTCCGTCTGAGTATACAGTACTTGAGACTTCGAGAGATAAGACTGTATGCCGATCTGGACATTCGAGTACGACTTGTGGGGAGAACATTGTTAAAAAAGAGAGATTCTAGCGTGGAATTTGCTCAGGTATAAACAAAGCTGCCAAATGCTCTCTGAATTTTACTTACAATCATTTTAGAGATGATGATCAAATACATGAAAACATAAAAATCTTAAACACCCATATTTTTCATTTCATTATCCACAAACTTGTTTCATTTTTTTCAACGTAACTTGTAAACCATTTCCTTATTGTTGCTGTTTACTGTTAATTCCAACAGTGTAATCTTCACGCCCTTGCTTATACCCATATGGTTAAAATCGATCAAACCTGTATAATTTACCACACCACATTGTATGTTTTGCTTGCTTTCCAAATGAAGCTTTCCTCCAAAAACTATACTGTAGTCCTTATCACCTGAGAAAACTGTTGGCACATTAGGATTAACTGCTTCGTGGATTCTTCCACTAGATTTCTCGTGAGTTTTAATTTGCGCTTCGGTAGGCTTAATACGGTCAAGTTTAAGTCCCAATCCCGTCAAAAAGCCCTCAATTGAGAGACACTTGATCGACTTAATCGCCCATTTCCACAGCAAATTGAGCTTCCCATCATTTTTCGTTATCTGGATCACAGGGCCGTGAACTGTAGGGTACTTGGGTTCCACCCAGATAAGAAAATCCTCCATATCATCAGCACGTAGAGACAAAGGGACTCCGAAGAGGTCTCTAACAGTTTTCAGACGAAACAAAATGTCCAAAACTTGATAATGGACATCTTGGTCAAACAATTCCTTGAGAAAGTCTTCATTACTCGAAATTTGTTGATGAAAAGCGGGATCCACATACTTCAAGTATGACGGAAAGTTGCATTTGCGCTGATAAGGCCAATCAAAGCTGAACCGAAGAGGAAGGAAAACGTGTCTTGTCTTGTTTTCTTCATCTTTGGACGCACGGTACACTTGCACACCCAAATACAATGCCATTGTTGCAGAACTCGAAACACCGACTAGTAGAATGATAGTTCCCCAATTGAGCAGTGCCTGTGATTGTATTGCGCCTGACGTACGTATAATGTTCGGGTCTTTCTGCAACTGATTTATAACTTGTTGTCGATTCAGGTTCGGCTTGTAACCGCGTGAGAGCAGTCTGTTGGCATGACGAAAGCGAAATGGCCGAGGATAAATAGGCCGCCTAGAAAATATAAATCTCCACATTCACCTGCTGCTAATTCTAATATTATTATCAGTAGAACTAAAAATGAAAGGATGGATGGACTGAATAGTGTGGAGTAAAGTCGCGCTACAAAGAGCTAGGAAATCACCTCTTTTCCTCCTCGTTCCCCTAACGCGCTCCTCGCATTACCATGCTCTATATACATTAGCTGCTATCCCACATGATAGTACAAAGTTTGCTCGACCATTAGGGGTCTGTAGTGTCTACATCATGCAGTGCTCTTAGTGAGTGGACTATATTTGGGGACAGCATTTGTTTTGTATAGTATTATTAATCCTCATCTTCTATGTCAGCCCAACTCTTCGATTTGTCGGACATCTTCTCAAACAAGTCGCGAACCTCCTGTTGGAGCCGTGCGTCTTTCAACTCCTGTTCTTTCTTGAGTTTCTCGGCCTTTTTCTCCCGTTCTTCTCTTAACCTCGCCTCTCGCTTCTGGATTGGAGTCATGTATTTCTTTTGTTCTCCCGGGGCCGAGACAGCACCTGCTGTGCCAATACGAGAAGCTAAAGACCTTGCAGCATCCGTCATCGGGCCCTTTTCATGAAGTATTTCGTGCGGCAAATGGGAGTCGCTCGTATCATCTTTGTGCATTGGGCCTTCCTTGTGCTTAATGCCATGCTTGGGGCCCTCTTTGTGTTTAGCGCCTTCTTTGTGTCTAGGAGCATCTCTATGTTTTGGACTTGGGTGGTCTTTGTGTTTGTTCTCTCTGATGTCTAGTCTCGCACCCAAGTCTTGGGCAAGATCCTTCACTGGCTCCTTCAATGAATGCCGATCAACAAGCTCATTCTGCTTGTGCTGCACTCTGTGGTCACTTTTTCGCCTTCCTCTTCTCGCGGGGTCCTTATGATTCTTGGCTTCTAATTCAGTGGCTGTAGATTTTGGTGCACTCTTTCTGGGTCCTTGAGGAACGTGATGGGCGTCGGCCCATTTTGATGGGAGAGCAGTGGCTTTTTTAGGGGTGTCAGATTGTTTTTTCACACGCGAGTCTTGCTTGAGGGCTTCTTTTACCAAGTCTTCTTCAACGGCCCACCGCGAGGCGAGACCCATTTTTCTGTAAGATAATTGATATACTGGGGACTTGAGATTGGGGCGCGCAGTTCCTCCGGTTGACGCACTAGACCTGCAACGGCCAACGAAAAAATGCTGGTAAGACAAAAAAGAAAAATGTTTCGTTAGCTCAACTACGGTGGATGAAACCTGGTCTCAAATTCAAGGAACTCATTGGGCATTACTTTTCCTCTTAAACGGAGAAGCTGCGCTCTGTAGTAATTGAGTGATTTGAGCATACCCCACCCGTACCTTTTCACCGCATGACATGGTCTATGTGACCGCATACCTGTATGCGCTTAATAAGCATGAGAGTCCAGTCCGATTTCTAATTTGCCAAAGTACGCCAAAAATAAGAGATTTCCGACCACTTAGGAAGGAATAAAAGGCATTAAGACGTCCAACAAAGATGAAACTAGGAAGACGAGGCTAAATACCTTCAGATAGCATTAACGGTCGAGTGAGTTAGCTCTAAAGAATATAATGCCATGCGCTCACCTGACCTACAGGACGAGGGTGTACCGAAGTTTTGGTGAAGCAATTTTATTAGAATTTCTGCCATATTAAAGACTAAAGCCCACTTTTCTGGACAACACAATCTCAATTGATCATGTCTACATTTTCTAGTTTCAACTTATCCACTGAATTGCCAGCTTGGAAGAAGCTCGAGTCCACATACGAGTCGACCGGCAAGGCTTTGAAAGTCAAGGACGAGTTTGCTAACGATCCAAAAAGATTTGACAAATTCTCTGAGGTTTTTGACAACTACGACAAGTCCGAAATCTTGTTTGACTTTTCGAAGAACATCATCAATGATGAAATCAAGGCGCAATTGATTGCTTTGGCCAAAGAGGCGGGCGTTGAGAAGTTGAGAGACGCCATGTTTGCTGGTGAAAAGATCAACGAAACCGAAGGCAGAGCCGTGTACCACGTGGCTTTGAGAAACAGAGACATGAAGGAAATGAAGGTGGATGGCGTTAACACCGCCCCAGAGGTTGACTCCGTGCTTCAGCACATGAAAGAGTTCTCTGAAGAGGTTAGAAGCGGCAAGTGGACCGGATACACCGGTAAAAAAATTACCGACGTCGTGAATATCGGTATTGGAGGTTCCGACTTGGGCCCTGTTATGGTCACAGAAGCTTTGAAGGCTTACTCCCAACCTGGCCTCGAAGTGCACTTTGTGTCCAACATTGACGGAACCCACTTGGCCGAGACTTTGAAGGGCTTGAACCAAGAAACCACTTTGTTTTTGATTGCTTCTAAGACTTTCACTACGGCAGAAACATGCACCAACGCCAACTCTGCTAAAAAGTGGTTTATTGAGAAGGCACAAGACAAGGCCCACATCGCCAAACACTTTGCTGCCTTGTCCACCAACGCCGAGGAGGTGTCTAAGTTTGGTATTGACACACGCAACATGTTTGGTTTTGAGAACTGGGTCGGTGGCCGTTACTCTGTGTGGTCTGCCATTGGTTTGTCTGTGGCCATCTACATTGGATTCGACAACTTTGAAGCATTCTTGAAAGGTGCGCAGGCCATGGACCACCACTTTACGTCTACACCTTTGGAACACAACATTCCAGTGCTTGGTGGCCTCTTATCTGTGTGGTACAACAACTTTTTCGGTGCTCAAACCCACTTGGTTGCTCCATTCGACCAGTACTTGCACCGTTTCCCAGCTTACTTGCAGCAATTGTCCATGGAGTCCAACGGTAAATCCGTTACCCGTGGAAACAGCTTCACCAACTACCAAACTGGCACCATTTTGTTTGGTGAACCAGCCACCAACGCTCAACACTCGTTCTTCCAGTTGGTGCACCAGGGTACCAAATTGATTCCAGCCGATTTCATCTTGGCTGCCCAATCCCACAACCCTATCGAAAACAACTTGCACCAAAGAATGTTGGCATCCAACTTCTTTGCGCAAGCCGAGGCTTTGATGGTGGGTAAGGATGAAGCTCAGGTTGAAAAAGAAGGTGCTAAGGGCGGTTTGGTTCCACACAAGGTGTTTTCTGGTAACAGACCAACAACCTCTATCTTGGCTCAGAAGATCACGCCGGCCGCTTTGGGTGCGTTGATCGCATACTACGAGCACTTGACTTTTGTTGAAGGTGCTATCTGGAACATCAACTCGTTTGACCAATGGGGTGTTGAATTGGGTAAGGTTTTGGCCAAGGTTATTGGTAAGGAATTGGATGACTCTAAGGAGGTGGCTGCCCACGACCCATCGACCAACGGCTTGATCAACCAGTTCAAGAAGTGGTCCAACTGAAGCCAGGCGCACTTGTGATGTCCAATCTCAGGTATCGTGCCGTGTATGACTGTGATAAGCTCACTAACATCCACTGACATTGTATGTTACGGATCATGAATGTTTATATATGTACTTGAATGCATATTTTGTTTTCACGGACGAAAACTGCGTAAGAAGTGCTACTTAACCGGATCATGCCATGAGTTGCCTACTCAAAAATGTGTTTTCGTGTAAAGAGCTCTCGCCATACCCTATGTTCGACCGGTACAACCATACCGTAAGCTGCATTAGTCTATTGTCATCAAACGGTAACTTGAGTCGCCAACCTCAGACAAGAAGAAAGACAATTGCACCAGACTAATTGCAGGAGACTTTATCATTCACCAAGGCCGCTTCTCATGGGCTTCAACATGCAAATACGTTGTGAAGAAAGATACTTTTTTTTTAAAAAAAAAATGGCCTTTAAGTTAGTGGGATCAATTTTGCTGTATTTTACCCGCAACCGATTACGCTTTTCTAGATGGGCTTCGCATCCTCATAGCGAAATCCTAATGTGTGCAGGGAATGAGCTCTGGAATTTTTTCCTTTCACCATGGCCCAGGAAATCGACATCCCTACCCGGCCAGAGGGCCATGAAGGCTTGGACAATCCATTGAGAGCGATCGTTGTGGTCAACTCTCCTGATGTTCCGGACGGTGACATGGAAGAAAGGATGCTAGACTGTATCCAGACGTTTGATGAGGTTGATAAGTTTTTCGATGCATTTGACGAGAAAGTGGCATATCCAAACGAAAATCACATCAAGTATGAGGTGGGAAGTGATGGGCTTGTTGTTGTGGTTGTTGACACACTCAAGTTAAGAGATGAAGTATTGAAGTTCATTGATGGGTATGTTGCTGAGTTTGGCGATGAACTTGACGACGAGGTCGACGAGGAGGATGAGAATGATGCTGTGGATAGGAAAAAGGCTAGAAAATAAGATAAATGCATTAGGTTTAATAAAATATATGTGGCTGGCATGTACTGAAAGTGATTCTTTGATGTGGTTTCTCCATAAGAGTCCACTAAAAGAGTTGCCGCATCAAATGATCAATACAGAATTTGCGCTTGAGACATACTTCGGTAACCTATGTTTACTGTTTAGTTTTTGCTCCTTATCTTCATTTCGTTTCTGTGTGGTTACTCTAATGTGTGCTTCGCACGCAGGATATACAAGTACAAGCCTCAACTCCTGCAAGTCACCAACAACAATAATGGAAGCTTGGAGAAGAATTGACATTGACGCTTTGGAGCCTGAAAATCACTTGTCCAAGCAAGACTTGGTGCCCGACTTACCTCCAACGTCTCACGATGAAATTGTTTCTCTCGCTCTGCAAATAAGACAAACCTTGTCCAAGGGCCAATTTTTGGCCGCTTTGCAAGCGGCTTTGGACAGTCCTCCTTACGTTGCTGAGGAGGCCACAAAAGATTTGCACGCTGAAACAGTCTTTGAGGTTCTTGCATCAATTAAAAATAACCATAACATCGGTGAGTTTTCCAAATTCGTCAGCCAATTGACTTCCGACGAGCAGGACACGTTGGTAAAGTACATTTACAAGATCATGGCCACGCCTTATGGCGCAAAGCAAGGTGGCTTGATGTTGACTTGGTTTGAAAAAACCGTGGATGTCACGGGAATGGGCCCTGTGGTTCGCCATTTCAGCGATAGAAGAACGGTTTAAAATATACGAATGTTCATTGTGGTACATATAATGTAGCGAATCAGCCTGGCCAGCATACTAGAGAAGTGAAACATGCGCAGCTTTTTATGGAAGACTGTAGCATGATATTTTTTTTTGCAAACTAAGAGTTAAAATGATATCTCGGAGCACACACATTGAAGTTTTTTTTTCTTCAACTTTGATCACTTCTGGTGCTTCTCAATGATTTCTTGGTTTGATTCAAGCCGTTCGTACTGTTAGGCTTACAGAAGATACCATTGCATGTCAGATCAAGTTAAAACCTCCTGACCGATGATTGGCTGTACCTGTAAATAATATTATTGATCATAATATACTTTGTACTGGCGATCTCCAACTCCGTTCATTCCCCTTCACGGGGACTGTTTTGAATTTATGACCGATATAATTCTTTCCTAAGTTCCGGTCACTTTGTCTGATTTAAGCACAAGAAACATTTCGAATTCCGTAATACGTTCTTCCAAACCAATTCTTTTTTCAGCCGGCATAATTGCTCCCTTAGAATCCCATAGCTATCTTGTAATTCTCTGATTTCTCGATTTTCTTCTCGTATCTTTGCAGCAGCTTGTTCATATTTCTCTTTCAAATTCTCATTTTCTTGCAATGCGCCCGAATACTTCTGGACAATATATTTATTGTACGACATGAGATCTGAGTGCTTTTTGGCCAAGTCCTTATTCTCGTGCATCATTTCATCTAATGTTTGAGAAAGCTTTTTTGACTGCTTGCGAAGTTCTCCTTTTGCTTCGCGAGTTTTAGCCAACAAACCCTCTATACTTTGTACATGCGAATTATGTCCACTGATGATATTCGATTTTTCGACTAGGGTATCCTGGAGATGTGATATCTTCGTCTCCAAGCCAGCAATTTTCTTTACGAATCTTCCACGGTCGTCTTGAAGTTCCTCTAGAAAGTTATCACTTTCCTTTTTGGCCGTTTCGAGCTCTTTCAATTTTCTTCCACTCTCGATCACCTCTGTTTGTAAACTATTAATTGAGGTATCTTTAGCACAAATAATTTCTTGATTTTCAATAAGAGTTTGTTTTAAGCTAAAAATCTCAGATTCGAGCTGCTCCATTTTGGAAGTATACGAAGATGTAAGTTCTTGAAGAATAACATCCTTCAGGCTCAACTCAGTTTCAAGGTTTTTCAATTGCTTCAGAGAAGTAATTTGGGATAGTTCAAGCATTTCATTTGTCCTCGCTAATTCATCCTTCAACGAATTATTCTCCAGCACAAGCTTTTCTGCCTGCATTTTTACGGCAAGTAGTATTTCTTTGAGATGGTGGACTTTTTCATTTTTAATAAACGACATCTCCAGTTTGAGCTCACCAACTGAGTCATGCATTTTCTTTCGGTAATCGACTAACTCATTAAGTAGTTGGTTTCTTTTCATCTCTAGCTCTAAATTGCTGCTTTCCAACCGCTTGATTTCGACTTCGTATAGGGATTGAGTAATGCCTTTGTTTTTAATCTGCTTGACAGTACGAGTGTTGAAAGTTGAATTTGAATTGAGGTTCAAGGGAGTCAAGGCATACACATCTTTCGCGTGTTGCCGTATCTTAACATCAACTCTTGATGGCTTTAATGGCTTGGAAACTTTGAAAGCTTGCTTGACGGGGCTCAATGATGAGACCGTTGGCATGGCATAATTAGGAACGTTTCTCGTTTTATCCGTTTCACATTTAAGTGATTTCTTTGCAGGAGACATGCGGAAGGTTTTGAGGACATCTGCAATATTAAGTAACGCTGATTTTATTAATTTTGGACACCCATCTTGGTGCAAGTGAAGAAGGAATTTGACTTCCGTTTGCTGAGGACGATTAAAGATAATATTTGTAACCAAATTAGATGATCTAATGGTTGTTTTGGACAAAAGGAGCTGTGTTATGGACGATATGTTTGTGTTTGCAAAACTATTCGTTGTTGAATGGAACTTTTCATTTCCCATCATGTCCACTATCGTTGTTGTATGCGAATCCTCATGTAAACTCACAATGAGACAAGATCTGCTAGATGCGCTATTAGCATCTGTAGCAGCTGTCTTCCGATCTTCGAAAACCTTCTGTATAGTGGACGGGTTAAGAGTCTGCTTCTTAAGTTGAGTTTCAATAGGAATTGAGCTTAGGTACTTCTTTTTGGAGCCATTGTCGAGCAAATCATTTAGCATTCTGTTTTCCTTGACTTCGCAGGCAGTGAATAGGATATCATTCGGAGAGTTCACTTTATGTTCAAGAATTGACCTTAAAGTCGTAGTTTTTCCGCTTCCTGTAGGGCCTATAAGCACGAGAGCGGATGAGGTAGATGTGAGTTTCTGGAGCGCATTATCTGGTATTTCATCTTCGTAAATGGCTGAGAATTCGTATTGCTTATTGTTAAAGCTGATTGTATTGGAAGAACATTTGGAGAAGACGGCATTCTGCCCCAGTCTAACCTTGAGCAATAAAGGAACGTTCATTTCCACCGTGGTGAAAAGTATCAGGGTGCTTATCACTTTAGTGCATCATTATCAGTCTAGTATGGTAATATTTACGTTAATGCTCAAACAGGTATAGCCTACTAGGACAATCGAGACCCGTACCCCTGAAAATGTACAGGAATATGTGGCTACATCTAGAAAGTACGACTAATGTCGGAGAACCGTACTAAAAAAGGCGAAGCATAGAGAAAATAAAAAAAATAAAAAAAGAAACGCAAAACAAGATTAAGGTGATAATGAAAAATCAAGTGATTTTGAAAAAAAAGTCAATTACTTCCCTGGCCAAAATTGCCTCCCCCGCAACTACTCCGCAGTAGGCGGCTGATCCAGGGCTCGAATCGATCGTCTCGTATACCACTAATCTATTTTATTTGCCCGTTTCTGTACTCTTCTCTCTGTGTCCTCCTCACATTGCCCCACTATGTATTTTATATGTTTTGGAGACATTGCATACCATTGGGGGCCCCACGACTAATTACCCCACTTAAACGCCTCTCCTATTTGGGTAGTCTTAAGCCGGGGCCATCACCATATCTTTCAGTGTAGCTCAACTGAATCAAACAAGTCGAGATCCACCAAGTGAGACCCTTCGAATTTAGTGGCTAATAAAAGAAGTGGACACATTTCACGGGGTTCGGGCTCATACTTTCTAATCCGTGTGGCCAATGATGTAAAGATACACAGCAACGTCTCGTTGCTGCAACCAGTAGGGTGTGTATATAGAGGCGCCGTGCCTCCACATTTGCCGTTGAGGAAATATATAAGTGGAGTGACCGCCCGAAAATTAGAGCTCAGTGTGATCAATTGACAAACAAAACTACAATGGCCACTATTAAGTTGAACTCAGGATACGAGATGCCTCAGGTTGGTTTCGGCTGCTGGAAAGTCGACAACAAAACCTGTGCTGACCAAATCTACAATGCCATCAAAGTCGGTTACAGATTGTTTGACGGCGCTGAAGATTATGGTAACGAAAAAGAAGTTGGCGAAGGTATCAACAGAGCCATTGCTGATGGCTTGGTTGCTCGTGACGAGTTATTCGTTGTCTCGAAGCTCTGGAACAACTTCCATCACCCTGACAATGTGGAAAAAGCTTTGGACAAGACATTGAGCGACTTGAACCTCGAGTACCTTGACTTGTTTTTGATCCATTTCCCAATTGCTTTCAAGTTTGTTCCTTTCGAAGAAAAGTACCCTCCAGGATTCTACTGTGGAGACACCAACAAGTTCATTTACGAAGACGTTCCAATCATTGACACTTGGAGAGCTTTGGAAAAGTTGGTGGAAAAGGGAAAGATTAGATCCATTGGTGTTTCCAACTTCAATGGCTCCTTGCTTCTCGACTTGCTTAGAGCTGCTAAGATCAAGCCTGCTGTTTTGCAAATCGAGCACCACCCATACTTGCAACAACCACAGTTGATCAAATGGGTCAAGAGCAAAGGAATTGCTGTGACTGCGTACTCTTCGTTTGGTCCTCAATCATTCGTTGAGTTGAACCACCCTAAGGTCGGTAGCTGCACCACATTGTTCGAACACGAAGACATTGTCTCCATCGCCAAAAAGCATGGAAAGAGCCCTGGCCAAGTCTTGTTGAGATGGGCTACTCAGAACGGTCTTGCTGTTATTCCAAAGTCCAACAAAACCGAACGTTTGGTTCAGAACTTGAATGTCAACGATTTTGACCTTTCTGCTCTGGACTTGAGTGCCATTGCTAAATTGGACATTGGCTTGCGTTTCAATGATCCATGGGACTGGGATGAAATCCCAATCTTCCACTAGGTACGTTTTAATGTATAGAAAAATACAAAATTACCTTCTATTAGTCATATTTCTTTTTTTTTTCTAGATATTCGGGGTTCAAATCAGATCCAAAACGTTGTGACGCCCCAAGTTCAACAATTTTAACCTAGACACAAAATCGTCTCTGTTGATATATGCACCACAAAGTCTTCTTTTGCCTGTGAATTCCGTTCTGGAATGGAAACATCTCCAATTGTCGAAGATCAAACATTGACCCGGTTTCAATTGATAAAAGATTTCGTTTTCAGGAGAGCTAATGATTTTATACCAGCTGCGAATAGCTTTATAGAATTTAGGAACGTCCGTTGGATCGGCCCAGCAGTCCATACAAGAACGGTCAGTTTGGTTCCATCTGACTTGGATCAAATTGCCCTCCAAGTCAAGCTTGAAAACAGGTTGAGGAATATCAGGCTGAATACAAACCTTTTCTTCACCTGCAGAATGGGCTGGGACTGGAATTCTCGTAAGAAGTTCGTAGCTCTCTGGATCAGTTTGCTTCAACTGTTCGGCGCATTGAAAGGCGTCAACCAAGGAGGTAGTGCCTCCCGTCCCATCGTGATACAAAAGATGAAACAATTGTAAACCGGGAGTATCTGACCAATAAGTACCGTCTGTATGGGCAGAGATGTCAAAATTAGTATAGGCTGTGTCCTTCTTCCCCAAATCCGAGGTGAAATCCCAAAAACCACCATAATGGGTTGGTCTGATGTACATAAGCTTCTCACATAACTTCTGTGTATCTTCAGGCGTCACAGGGACATTGTCAATGAGAGTGAAACCGTGTTTCCATATCTTCAAACACCACTCTTTTATCGCAAGTTCACTGTCAGTTTCATCACTGGATGCCATTATCTTGTTGAAATCCACAGTTGGCATGTTATCCTTGATGTCTGCAGTTTTCCAGTACTGGCGAGCCAACACATCTTTCTCGCCCTTGACTTTGAACTCGTAGGGCAAAATACGAGGATTGTAAGCGTGCAATCTCAACCAGTAAAATTGATAAACTGACTTGTGGTTCTCTTGACTCCACACAATAGTCAACTTACCGTCAGCTAAATTGCACTCAATTGGACGAATGTTCTCGTCTATTAAGGCAGAGTTGAGTAACCGTTGCTTTGTTGTATCAAAGTAGCACTCTTCACAACGACAGTTATCTCTGAGCCAAATATAATGGAACGAGGTGGTTGCACCATCAATGCCGACAGTGACAGAGTCCGAATTGAGCTTGAACGAATATCCGGTCATGTTTGGTGGGTTCAGAGGAAAGAATGGGATGTGGTAAAATAATTGTCGGCTCATGCTTTATTCCCTTTCAGCATACCATTTGTGGGGGATTCCGAGGTACATGCAGGCATTCTTTCGGCAAAACCCTTCACCGACATTAATCTGCAGTAGGACTTAGCCTTATAATCAAATGGCCCAGAATATTCTGGGCAATAGTGGGCAAGCTATGCATTCCTACTCTTCGAACCCACTACCTCGGCGATTATCTTTTCACTTTTGCGACTGTTTACTTTTCACCTCACTTTTTACTTCTTCTTTTTCTCTGCCGCTTTCCCCATATTATTCTCCACTTATTGCGAATGAATTGACTCGTTCCTCCTTTGGATTTCGCACTGCATTATCAGTTTCGCGCGAAGGATACCTATTGCTTAATTCTACTCATCGCACTCAAATCACACCTATATTGGCATCACAGTGTTTGTCCAGATTAAAACAGCCTATTTGCTTGCTTTAGATCGGCATTCATATTAAGCACATAGCAGAATAAGAAACAAGAGAAGAAAGTATCGCATAACATGTCTGACGTTCAGAGACGTCGATCTTCCGGCTATCTGGAGAAAGAATGGGCTGACATCGATGTATCTACTTTCTTACCTAATGAGGACTTTCCAGAAAGATATCGGGAAAGGAAAATGAAAACAATCCACGAAGCAATTGAGGCGTGTGATTTAGGCAGAATTGCTGAATTGGCTAGATCGTCTGAGGGGTTGGTGGCATCTGACTTACGAGTGAAAGCATGGCCCTTGCTTTTGAATGTTTTCACTGCGAACTCTAATTCAAAACAAAAGGTGGATTCCATAGGTGCATCTGCTGATGCCCTCGACTTTCATGACTTGGAGCCTCACAAAGATGAAGGTCAAGTGTTGCTCGATATTAAACGACTGTTTACAGTGATGCTGCATTTCATTTCTTTCAGTCATGCAGTCAGTTCATCTTATACAACAATCCTTTCTAAAGATGACATTGAAGAAATGAGAAAAAGACTCTTCTGTCTCATTGTCCGGGTTTTACGGAAATACCCGTGTCTCAACTATTATCAGGGGTATCATGATATTGCAACGGTTATCCTCCTCGTATGCAATGATTCTGCAGCCGGTAATGATGATTTAGCAGCAATGCTTTTGGAAAAGCTCACTGTTGAACATCTAAGAGACTACATGATCTCCGATATCGGGCTCTCTGTTAACCACTTGAAAATAATCCCATGCATCATTGAACGTGAAGATACTCTTTTGTTTCAACTCATTCGTCAAACTAGTAATTCTCATTTGGCTACTAATGGATTTTACTTTGACTATGAATTTCTTCAGGCACTTCTGTCTATTCTCACCATCTTTAGCCACGATGTCACCAATTTCTCTCACCTCTTGATGATTTGGGACTTTGTTTTCAGTTACCGTTCGGTAGCTGTTTCTGCTTTCATTTATGCTGCTATCACACTTCATTTCAAGGATGTACTATTAGAGGAGCTCTGTGTATCAAGCATTGAAGACCTTGCATCAGTTGACCCTGATTGTGTTCATTCACTCTTGTCACCAACAAGCTTATTTTCAAGGATCACAGATTCCAATTTGGGAGATATTTTGTCTTTCACAAAGCAACTAATCGATGAACATCTGCTAACGGGTATTTCAACTCCTGATACTATAGGTGTCTGGTTCGGAGAATTCAACAAGCATTCCGTCCTTTGTACTTCATCGAAACTCGGTACCATATTCTCCAGCGAATACGATATGGGCGATGAACGTGTTGCATCCATTGAGCCCGGACACCTAGATAACAACGAAGATCTATCCCCGATAATAACGCTTCAGGAACACGAACAAGAGCAAGAAACAGCTCACAAGGCGTCCTTAATGACTATGGCCCTCGAACAAGATTCCCTTGCGACCTCAATTACTTCACTCGACAATGAGAATGAGTTCTCATCGGGCAATCTGCTATCTTCCTCAATTTCTAGCATCTCAGGAGCCCCTTCTGCCCTCAAAAGGGAAATTATACAGACATCATCTATGATATTGAAAAATCTACTACCCCAACACCGGCCTGATGATGCTGCAGATCCTCGCGATTCAAGGAGGAGAAATTCCTTAATTGTGGGTAGCATTTACAAAGTTAGCTTAACTGTTGGATTCTGTGGCTTCCTATTACACTTTTTGCTTAAGGAAAGCCATTGGTATAAATCTAGTATGTCTCATCTTGCTACAAGAACTTTCAGTACATTCGGAGCAGATTTGGCAATGCTTAAGCGGGATGTCGGTCATGGTATTTCTAGAGTTGTGGGTAATGTCTTTTCGTTTTTGGATGACACAAGTATTTTCCACTCTGGATTGGATATTACACAAGTTGGCTTAGGAACGCTACGAGATTCTGTGTACGCCTTCGGGAACTGACAATTAATTCCTGCCTTTTTGAAGCCCTATCTCTCCGTCTTGCTTTTGATGACCTCGTACTTCGTGTTACTTTTATGAGTCTGCATTCATCTATATTTTACGTCCTTGTACATACACCATACGTAATGCGACGCGGAAGTAGCAATTAGTCGTGATCGATGGAATATACCAAGACCACGTCAGCATACGAAGAATGACCCCAACCTCGGTTTCCACTTGTGCTGATCATGAACCTGCCAGTATCATCAACACGTAGATTGCTCAACACACCTCCATGGTGACCAGGTATAACCAAGAATGGTGTAGCTCTCTTTTTGGTTGTTGCTTCCAGGTTAAAATCATCATACAACCCAAGATTATATAATCTAATGTTATCATTCGAGCCGCAGAGAAGAAAGGAATCGTTAGGCATGGTCAGCAACGCTGTGACTGGTCCCGAGATTTTAGGAAATTGAAGACGCTTCAGGACATTTGGTATCATAGTGGAACCAATTCCTCGTGCATGAGGCATTCTAATATTTATTTCTTCGACTGTGCTGTTTCGTCTGCCCACATAGAGTTTATCACCATCATTTGACCACATCGCAGACATGCACCAAGGAGGAACCCCTTCTGGAACTCCAAGCTTGAGAACTGCATTAGTGCCAGACACTCTCGCATCCCAAATGTTGATTGTGCCGTCAATGCTCGAAGACATGAATATGGAGTCACTTGTAGAAAGCTTGTTTTTCGAAGTGTTTGATTTGATGTTGGAAATGCTAGTGTTTTCGTCATTGTCGTTACTTTTATCATTATCCTCTCCATCACTGTCTCCGAAGAGAGAATCAACATCACTTTGGTTCTCAGCTGTTTCCGTATCTGGATTGAATGAGATGTCTACCACTCCCTGTGGCCTGTAGTGGATCTGTGATATTTGGCCGGTACTTCCCTTGAATAAATTTACCACTTTTCCTGTGTTCAAGTCCCATTCTCGAATTGACTTATCCCAAGAGCCAGAAAGAAATTTATTCTGAACAAAATTTAGCTTGATGACTGAAACAGCATCCAGATGGCCAGTCATAATCGACTGTTCATTTGTCTTCTTGGCGCAATGTGGAAAATAATGGTGAATAACACCCTCATTATAAATCATAGTGTACAATGAGATACCTCCAGATAGCAACCCTGATAAGCACCAATACCCGTTGCGCTCTACATCTAGCGAGTAAACGGGATTTACCTTTGGTTCATAGGCCGCAGACCCAGCTATGAAATCACTTTCTTTAAGTTTGGGGTTTTCGTTCAAGATCTGTCTTTTAGTGAGCGGCTGCTCGTTCTCCCAATAGGAACCAATTGCACCCGCTTTTGTAATACTATCCATCAAGTTGTGCTTCTGTGCAACTGTTAGCGGTGCTTTTCCCTCTATGGAAGCTGTGAAATCATATTTGCGGATGAATCCATCTTCTCCTCCAGTCAAGATCCACTTCGGGCCATCAGAAATTGCTAGGGCGTGGCATTGTTGAGCATATGGGATTGCCACAACTGGTACAATATCAAAGTCGGACGCACTCTTCATTCCCGCAATAATCTTTTCCCGTAACGTTTGGTTATCATGTGTCTCTTTCAAAACCTCGCTGGCAGATTTATGTACATTTTGAGCTGACAGGGCCTTAGTGCCATTTTCATCATTTTCCGTTGCTTGTGTCAGCTTTTCTTTATCCATGTCCACATCTTCATTGATGGATCTTTCCTCATTATTGTCATCGTTTTCATCCTCATTTTCATCCCCTTCGTCTTCATTCTCTTCACCCTCTTCACCTTCTTCTCCATCGTCGCCCTCCTCACCTTCCTCGTCCTCTTCGTCGTCCTCTTCTTCTTCATCTTGTTCATCTTGTTCCTCTCCATTTTGACTTAGTTCCATGTCGCCGCCAGCATCCTCCATATCCATATCAGAGTTTTCAATATCCTCCTCTAGCACGCTATCCTCATTTTCGGCGACGTTGAAAAGATCCTCGTCCATCGACATGGTCAGAAGGAATTGTGGTTTGTTGATAATGGAGTGCACGTAGTACGGTGATCGTATCTACTGGTATTGATGATTACTGAACTACCAATATTACAAAAGAATTCAAACTTTAGAGCAGATTTACCCCTAGGTAGTTAGTATTCGGTTTGTTGTTACAATTGAGGCAGTAGTTTTCTTTTTCTTTTTCTGGTGGTGTTTTCTTTGTAGGTACATTTCGCATAATGATCCAGAAAATGTAAATTTACTCAACTTGAAGCAGATCGCGACTTTAAACATACCTCCATGACAGTACAATGGCCTCTCGAAAAGCCGAAACCTGGATTGGTTGAAGAACAATGGCTCATGTAATGATTGATATTACCAATTGCATTGGCCACTTACTATGACTAACCAGTGACATTACAGCATACTCTACATGCAGTTGACGAACCTTGTATTTACAGCTAGTTACGATGTCAAAAAAAAAACACGCTTACTCGTAGATCCAAGAGAACATAGCTGGCTTGTACTCAACCAATTCCTCCTTCTTGAACCACAAACCGATTTCCTTGTTGGCGGATTCAACAGAGTCAGAACCGTGGGCAACATTTCTGCCCATGTCAATAGCAAAGTCACCTCTGATGGTACCTGGGGCAGATTGCAATGGGTTGGTAGCACCCAAAATAGCTCTACCTTGCTTGACAACGTCCTTACCTTCCCAAACGGTGGCCAAAACTGGACCAGACAACATGTAAGACAACAAGCTTGGGAAGAATGGCTTCTCTTGCAAGTCCTCGTAGTGGTTTCTCAACAATTCTTCGGTTGGTTGGCACAACTTGATGCCGACCAACTTGAAGCCTCTGTTTTCGAATCTAGACAAGATGGAGGCAATCAATCCTCTTTGGACACCATCTGGCTTGATAGCAATGAAAGTTCTCTCGTTGTTGGACATTGTTAGTTTTGGTGAAGAGAAAAAAAAAAGGCAAGCCGGATCGACGAGAAATTTTTTTTCCGACACGGTAGCCTACTCCACACACTCAATCACGTGGCCAGATCCTTCTAATAATCCCACGTTGCAATGGCATAATGGAATCGAATGCTTCAGCAAAGTGTAGACGGCTCGAAGTATATTTGTACTGATCACGTTTCATATGTGGGGTGCATTCACAAAAACGATTTCTGTAAGCATCATGTGGATCACCTATTCTCTTGTAAGTGCTTCCGGGTAACGTATGCATTTGAGCTTCTTCGAGCGCTTCACCTACAATGCAGAATGCGCGGATGTCACGTGCGCACATTATCTACCAAAACATCACTTCTTTGTTTGTACAATCAACTTGCCATCATGACTCTGGATCAAGACGGAAGGTCATCAGGAAAAAGAGGTCCATCCACACCTTTGACCCCTCATAATATGCAAAACAAGAGAATAGTTTATTCAAAACCAGACTCATGCAAGTTCGATTCTTCGAGAATTATAGAACCTCTGCCTCTGCAGTCATCGTCTCAACTACAATTGGTCGATGCCAAGTACAAAATGTGGCTATTAGAGAAACTATTATCCAAACAGAGAGAAATGACCAAGTTTTTGGAGCTTGAACGAGAGTATGCTATGGAAGGATAGCTATGGTTGAGTGAATTCGATCATCCATCTTTCTTGGCCAGAACTTAACTGGTCCCACTAGTTCCATTACCTGTTGAAGCTCGTTAATTTTGACCCGGCTTTCCTCTTGTTCCTTTGAAATAGTCAGAGAGTCTGGAGTCGCTAAAATAATGACCGTCTCTAGCATTGTTCCAGTCATTCAATTTCCGAGCCAATCTCTCCTTTTCCTCATCTCGAGATCCTCGTTCTTCCAAGTCATCCTTGAGCCAACGTAATACTAGAGGATGCAACGACTCTGCCAATGCAACTTTTATCTTGGTGATGATATTCCGAGAATCACGAGCAATTTCAACTTCCTTCAGTTCATTGGTGAATGTGATATCGGCAATGTCCACGTCGTCAGCCTTTCTCCCCTCTTTGAGATGGATTACTCTATCACACCAATTCTTTCCCAATCCATCGAAGATGTGGGTTGCATATATTACGCAACTGTTTCTTTCACGGCACTCCTTTTTCAAAAAGGCCAAAAGATTCAGTCTGACAATGACATCTAAGTCGACAGTGACTTCATCTAAAAGTAACAATTTCCAGGGCTTAAGTAGTCCCATCACTAATTGCACTCTTCTGCGCTCACCGTCCGAAATGTAGGCCATGGACCAATCAGGATCCAAATCCATGATTCGTATTAACTCATCTCTTCTCTCAGAGTACGTTTCTCCACCAATGGAAGAAATGAGGAGTTTCACTGGAATGTCTCTCTTGACAACCTCGTTGTTGGCCCATTCAGTTCCTAAGTAAGAAATGTAATTGTTTATATCAGAATTGTGCTGCTCGTGTCTAGTTGGGGAGAATTCGAAAGGATCAAACCCACCGAGCTTTAGACTCCCTTCCTTTATCAAAGTTTTCCCGGCTAATATCTTCAAGAGTGTCGACTTGCCTGCTCCATTAGGTCCCACCAAAAGGTTTGCTGTGCCCCACGGAATTTTCAAAGTTATATCTTCCACTCCACGTCTCTTATTGCCAAAAACATAGGTGAGATTGGTAGTTTCAACTGCGTAATGCGAAGTAGTCATTTAAAACGGTTGTTTCAAGGGGTACCTGCTTTCATGAATTGGAAACCTCATGTGTGGGTACTGCAGGAACCGATAATGCACTTACACCACACCTACACTATAAACGTACGTACAAAAAACTTTTGCATTAGTAATACAGGGAATCACATATTTTTAATAGGTCAATTCTTTAATCCATCTCATAACATCCGACTTCACGGGCTTGTTCTGAATACTCTCAAAAATATCTTCAATTTCCTTCGAGTAATCAGAATGCTGTAAGTTAAACTTTCTCAAGTATGTTTTAAGCAATCCGCGGTACTCATAGAATAGCCATTGCAAATCAATTTTGGCCATCAATTCGGTGTCATTCTTGTCTTCATCACTAAATTCCGTGATGATCTTGACTTCTTCTGTCTCTGGGTTTTCCACGCCAATCTTTCCAAGAGTGTAGTTCAAGTTCTCCACAATGAGGTTGAACAACAAAAGAATAACCTCTTTGGAGCTTTCTCCCACGGCACATGTACTCAAGACACGGTTGATAGACTCCATACACGAAACGTTATTGATAATTAGATTTGAGTCGGGGTCAAGAGCTTTGCGGATAAGATATTGCGGGTTCAAGATTCCAAACTCGATAAGATACTCTAAGATCAAAAAGGCAACTTGGGGCTGTTGAATCCATATACGCAAAATTGACTCAATGATCCATTTTTGTCTGTTGCCCAACTGCTCAGGCGTCAAGTGCAAATCTGGAAACTGAAACTCTGTACCGCTTAGCTTGTAATCTTCTTCGGTGACTTCCACCCCACTCACGAATTTCAATTTCGCAATATCTCTGTTGAGAATACTCACGACAGAATAAATAGATCTGGAACCAATGTACGCATACGTTTGGAATAAAAGATTGATCAAAACCTTATCCGAATCCACATTAACCACCGAGGACTTGATAGCTTCTAAAGTCTCATTCACCATGTCATTGAATTGCTCGTTCGATCTCCAGTTAGCAATGATGAAATCATAGAGTTTATTTGCCACTTCATTGAGGGGCAAGGCAGGGTTAGAAAACTCGTATATAAGTTCCTCCTGCGGAGACAACATCAATCTCAGGCTCATTGCTTCCTTTCTTTGCATAATTGCGTTAACTATCGTGGTCTTCAATTCCTCGTTATCTCCACCATACAATTCATAATCATAGTTGATGATATACTCCGTAGGATTAGGGAAAAGAGAAATATCCAAATACTGGTAAAACTCATCCAAAGCCATAAGTCTATTCTCACCATCTTCACCTTGAGTCATGGTTACAAAACTGTCCTTTATTCTAGCCTTATTGGACAATCTGATTTCTTTAGCAATCAAATTCTTAATGAAGTTCTTTTTTGGGTGGTACTGTAACTGGGAATATTTGACAGAGTCTGCCACCCACTCATCCCACTTCCATGAGAAATCGAAATTGGAAATTTGCGTGGTCATCCAATCCATGTATCTGACCTTCAGCTCGTAATCAAAAGTTTCTAAATTGTTGTAGAAAAATCTAATAGCTCTTCCAAACACCGGAGCAATCGACTCTGGGCTCTCTCGACAACAGGAAATCAAAACGGTATAGTAATAAATTTCACGGTGAAGTGGCTTAGGAAGTTGAAAAATCATTGTCAAAATACTCTCTACTGCCACATCTTCCACTTTCCATGTGGAAAGGGGAGGATTGTTTTCACCGGAAGCATTATCCTTCGCTATGAGAGACAATTGGTCCACAGACGATCCAGGAGGACTGAAAAGATTCCTCGAACAAAACAAATCCAAGATGGACAACTGGATAGAAGCTTCCCTTTGGTTGAACGACATATTGGTTAAAATGTCAAACGATAAATCCTTGAAAAACAAACCAAAGTACGATTCAATAGAGGGTACCGTCTCAAAGTCAGTAGTGTTGTAGACTTGAAAGAGTAATCTCGGATGCTCATACCACAAGTTGTCGATCAAACCAGTGGGTCTGTAGTTTTTCAATTCCTCAATCGAAGGAATAGACAATTGCGGCAATGGGTGTTTCACCAACTCATTGGAAATAGAATTGTTGCTTAATGCCTCATTAATCAATGGGTCTACAAGTTCCCCAAAGTTCAAGAACAAAGCATCCTGCAACGAGGACCAATTCTTTTCCGGACCTTGTAAGTTCACCAACGCACTCAAGATAAGGTTGATGATCTTTTGAGGTTTGTAAGGTAAGTTGTTAGTGAAGTTCGAGTTTTTAGCATCAAAGGGCTCAAGAATAGAGATTGTTCTCTCCGGGTCCAGCTCCACGATTTTAAAGGATTGTGCCAATTCAATGACCTGATTTGCTGTATCCACGGTGGCTTGAGAGAAGTCATTTGCAAACAAATAAGGTGTAGATATCAAGACATTGTAGAAAATCTCTTCTGCAATCCCGCTCCTTTCTGACGAAGAGTTTTGTAATTCAATTGCACAATTCAAGAGTTGCTTCAAAACGTTAGACACAGAACCTTGTTCTATGATGGGAGACAAAGTGGCCCAAAAACTTTAACACAGACTTTAGGTCATTGAAAGCACCCGCATCTTCAGCCTGCTTCTTCGAATCCTTCTTCTGATCTTCTTCTGTGTCCATAGAATCAGTGCGTATAGAGTCTAGTAGCGCCTGAGCCTTCGCATGGAAGAATTCAATAACATACTTAGCCACCAAGAAATTCTTCGCATTGCAAATGAAGATCAAGATGCTAATATTTGGGATCTTTTGTGGCTGTTCAAGAACAACAGCATACAACGTGTTAAGTATAGCTTCACGCAACTTATCAATCTTCTCAAATTCAGCCACAATTGGATTCAGGATGTATGAAATGTCGTCGACTTGGTTAGCTAAGTTGGAGTTTTCTCCGATTCTGCGAATATCTTTGCAAATGTTGGAGATCAACTCAACAACTGGGTCAACATGTTGCTTCTTCGATGGGTCGTCGTAGTCGTCGAGTTGAGGCCCTGATCCTCCTTCGAAGTCGTCTCTGCTTCTCTTTCCGTTTTCCATAGCGAAGCAAGAAGTTGTTGGAGAGGAAAGAGAGGTGTGCAGGTCAACGCGAAAAGAGTTTGATGGAATAAGGCTTTAACTAGAACCTCGCTTCTACTTAGTACGAGATTATATCTGCCCCCCTTTAAAGCTCGCCGCGACTAATATGGGATGCATAGCTTTGTGGGAATGTCCTACCATGAACAATGAATTGTTTTTATTCTACACTTGTGTTACAATTAACATATTGAAGGCTTCCTCCGCCGTCCGTAGGATCGTAAGTTGCTAGTCGGATTAGATGACCTTGTGTAGCTAGTAATTTTCCTTCTACATTTATGATGCTACCTCTTTATTTTTTTTTTTTTTTCCTCTGATTACTTTTATATCTTGGTGATCATTTGCAGTTGCATCTTTCTCTGCATGTGGGTCACTTCGCTTTCGCTCCAATTATAATTGACTCCACACTTATGTCTTTCAAAGAAGCATTGAAAAAATCAGTCTTGGTGCAAGATGGAGCACTTGGAACTCAACTAGAAGCGCTCATCCCATTGGATGATCCACATTCTGTCAAAGGTCTGCCTCTTTGGTCAACTAATGCTCTTCTTTACTCACCAGAGTTAATATCGTCCATTCATAAACAATACGTCGAAGCTGGCGCTGATATGATTATTACCGCAACATACCAAGCATCGCCACAGACCCTATCGAAGTACGAGAACATGGATCTTGCTCAAGCCAAGAAAGTCTGGACCAAATCTGTTGAGTGTGCTTTGGAGGCGACGAGAACCCACCCAGAGAAGAAAATCTTCATTGGGGGTTCGATTGGGCCATATGGTGCATATTTGGCAAATGGTGCCGAATATAGTGGCGATTATGGCGACATTTCGCTGGATCAATTGATGGACTACCATCGTGATATTGTACGTTTTTACGCGGAAACAAAGGAGGTTGATGTGATCGCCTTTGAAACGGTGCCGAACTTTGCTGAGGTTCAGGCGATTTTTAGCTTGATTGAGCAAATGTTCAACGCCAACTTGCACAAGGAATTCTACGTGAGTCTCAGTTGCAAGGACGCAGACCATTTGGTGGATGGAACACCCTTGGAACAAGTTATTCGCTACATTTTATCAAAAAAATCGTCACAAATTAGCGATAATTTAGTGGGGATCGGATGCAACTGCGTACCATTTGAAATAGTTAGCGACTTCATCGAAACCGTAAACCGGGTGTGTCAAAACAATGGCTCTGAGCAATTGTCTTTGCTCGTCTACCCCAATTTGGGTTTTGAGCCGACTGACACAGCCAATTACGCGTTTCGGTCTTCCACAGAAAAATGGGCTAGTTCGGTAGCGAAGTGGGCTCTCTATAGCAACGTTCGTGTCATAGGAGGCTGCTGCAGCACAGGGCCAGCGGAAATAGCTCAGATTAAGGATGTGGTGGAAAAAATTAAGAGTTAGCCAGTAAGGCTCAATAAATAGGACACAAACAACCTCAAAGAAAAATAAGGAAAGCAAAACAAAACTCAAAACAAAACAAAATAAAATCAAAGATAGAAGCATCAGCGACATTAAACTGCTTCACAAATAACACAGTCATAAAACATAAACAAACTTTTTCAGGTTTTTCATACTGCCCTGCGAGACGGAGCTTTGCGGCGAATTAACGCGTCTTTGATAGAAAAGACACACATCTCCCATGCCATCAAAAGCGCCACAAATCCGAGCGACACATTGAGAGTGAACATCGAAGTGTATCCGTAATACTCAAACAGGTGAACCACCGGATCGCAAGACTCCATGAAAATCAAGCCACCACACAACAAAGCAAACGCGACAACAATCTCCGTAAATGGGGCATGGGCGGCTGTCAAGCCGCGAGACTGAGATGGAACAAGCACTTGTATAAGGTACGACATCATTCTAAACACACAGCCAACAACAAACAAATTTCCCCATTGAATGTGGATCTCCGTAGATAATGCAGAGGCTTGTGTGTGCTTCGACATGAGAATTCCAGTCCAGTAGATCGTCAAGATGGGGAATGGGTTAGGCGAAAATCCTGGATGCGCTTTGGTTACCGCGGCCACATCCTTTGGATCAGTCGAGGCTGTCAAGTTATCCACCGCTTTAGTGTAACGCCAAGTGCTCAAACGCCTCTCAAGTAAGATTCCACAGAGGCCACATCCCAAATAGATGAATGCAATTGACACATGCTGCAAATCTTTAGCGGTCCAAGCACCTCCTGCGCCAGCCAAATGCTCCAAAAAGACATTAGTGGATCCGTAAAAGAAAATCAACGACGACTCAACAAATTCCATGGTCCAAAGACCTCTTGGTTGCCAACGGAGCCAGCCCCGGTTATCGTTTCTTGCAGTGACAAAGCGGTGATTCCATGCCCATCCTTTACCGCGGAAAGCACCACAGTAGCGAGCCAACGTCACCAAGCCCAATACGAAAAAGACACCGCCTTTGATGAAATGTGCGAGAAGATTGAAGATAGTGCCATCAGTACCATACACAGCATAGGTAGCCACGCCTGTTGGGAAGTAAATGAGGAAATATGCAAACAGGGCCCAGTTGGTTAAACCAGTAAGAGCAAGTGCTGTCTTTCCACCAAGCTGGGTAGCCTTTTTAAAAGCAGGGAATTTCAAGAACACCAGAGACATGCGAGAAGGCTGTGGTTGAAGCATTGAACCATTTGATGTTTTTAAGTGGCCATCAGGCTCACCAAATGATTCTAACTCGAAATCTTCAAAATGAGAGTTAGAATCGCGCAACGTAAGGTCGGGTGAGTGAACAGAAGACCCGTCTTCCGCATGCGCTAACTCAAAGTAGTCGAACTCATTGTCAATATTGAGGTAGCGATAGGCGACTGCCACCACGCTGATTGCCCAATGCATTAATGAACCCAAAAAGAGGAGAAGCGTCATAGGCTTGAAAGCGCTATGAGGGTATAACTCGCGGACCGAACCCGAGAAGATCCAAAATGTGAATGCAGAAGCGACCACGAGACCAGTATGCAAAGTTAAAGCAGGAAGATATAGCGAATGGCCCACGTTCCAAAAGACAAGCACAAGCGGGTACAAAAAGACGTAGGACCCTACGTAGAGCGCCAAGTGGGCGTACAATGCGCCACGTTTCGAAGAAGGGGTGTTAAAGTATGTCTCAGTCGAATATGACTCCCAATACAATTTTTCTTCGGGCGTGAGCTTTGTCTCGAGAATAGGCATACCGTGCTGGTGCTTAACCGAATGCGGTACCGGAATCAAAGTGGAGGACGCACTATCAGACGAATCTGTGTGGTCCGAAGTTATGCGATTGCTGTCATCGCTAGCTGGCTCAATTGCGTCGTTTGACATTTGATCGTGGTCCATGTCCATGTTCATGTCCATGTCCATGTCCCTTTTCACGGCCGCAACCATGGCAATAAGAAGACAAGGATAAAGGAAACGCATCGGAAAGTAAAGACAATTAGAAGAGAAAACCCACGCACTGCACTATAAAGGTCAATGGCGCTATGTCGGGGACTTCGGTAGACTTTAGGTCATATATATATGTGCTGGGAGACGATGGTCCTGCACAAAATCATAGCAGCCATCACTGAGAAAACGGTAGAAGCCGCATACCATCGGAACAGGCGGAACGGTCTACCGCACACCAAAACCTATATTCTACCGGTTTACGAGGATAAAAATAAACTGAGAGTTGGCGTAGTTGAGGTGGGATGTTGCTACATTATGTCCGGAAGCGCCGAACTAGTCCGAATCACCGAAGGCTGTGGTGGTCAACCGGCACGGCCCAATTATTAATAGGTTGTACCGTGCGCGCAGAAGCTTCGGCATACACACCTTTGCCTTATTCGGCTAATTGCCTGAGTCGATCCTGTTTACGAATGGGGTGATTGCGGTGGGCCAATCCAGGGCCAGGGTTCCTAGACACAGGGCTCTGAGACATACGCACTAGTAGCAATCTGAGACACGCCACCTTCAGATACCCGTACAGAATCTGAGACATTGAGCAACCACAAGTAGCCAAGAAGAATACACACTCTCCCCCACCCCCAGAATTCTTCTACACATCTTACCCACAGAAAGTGCTATTTATAGCTGCTTCAGTACTATTTGTGTCAGGGTAGTTTACCACTGTACTTTACCACTGTACATTCAATGCGCCACCAGTAAACATTCGCCACTTTCGATGATTCCTGAATAGTGGCTGCTGCGTAATCATTGAAAATTCCTTTACAACTGCCGCACCACAAAAATTCCGTCCTAACTCCGCGTCACGCATCCGCTGTCTTACAATGCATTCTTCCGCGTCAAGTAGTCGAACCGTGAGTATGTGTAGCCAATAAACGGGAGGTCCTCCTTGATATTCTTCCCCTGCTCTTGCAGCAGCTGTTGCTGTTGCTGCTGTGCTCGGCTCATCGCTGGACTATCTGGTACATTCTCCAATTCCTCTGTAGGGAAGAATCGAGTATCGGTGATAGAACGCAACTTTGGAATAAATGGTGCATCTACGCGTCGAATGGTGTCCCAGTCAACGCCACGGAAGAATGGATGTTGTTTGATCTCGTCCGCACCACCGTGGCGGCCCAAGCGCCGGTCACTGCTAGTTAATAAGCTGCGAATCAAGTCTTCAGCCTCAGGAGACAAGTGGATATCCTCTGGAATCACCAACGACTCCTGCCAGTTGACAATCTTACGATAAGTCTCGTGGGGAGTCTCAGAGCAGAATGGTGGCCAGCCTATCAAACACTCAAACATGATAGCCCCTAGAGACCACCAATCACACTCCTGACCGTAGCCTTGATGAATGAAAATCTCCGGAGCGATATAATCGGGCGTTCCAACAGTAGAGTATGCCATCAAACGACGGGACTTACGCCACGTCTGCATTTGCTGACGGTTGGACATGGTCAAGTGAATGGCATCCACCATCATGGAGTTACGCTGGCCGCCTTTGCCAGGAACAGCTAAGGAAGAACCCAGTTGCGTTTCCTTCTCTAACAATTTCTTATAATAATTGGAGTCATGTGTTTTATGGAATCCCGTGGACAAGCCAAAGTCGGAAAGTTTGATGTGGCCCCTTATGTCTATCAAAATATTATCAGGCTTGACATCACGATGAATAAAGCCCAATTTATGGATTGCCTCGATGGCTAACACGCATTCGGCCATGTAAAATCTCGTGATGTCTTCGGTGAAGATCTGCCACCTAATCAACATTGTCATCAAGTCTCCACCAGGTAGAAACTCCATAATCAAGTACAAGTTAACTGCATCCTGAAATGAGTAATACAAAGATACAACCCATGGCGAGTCACTGCCTGCCAACACATCACGTTCAGCCTTCACATGTGCAAGCTGGTCTTTCTTGTACATCTCGGATTTAAGTAACGTTTTCATGGCATAGATCTTGCCTGTATCACGTTTTTGAACTAAACGTACTTCCCCAAAAGCACCTTTTCCGATCACCTTCACGGTGATGAAATCTTCCAAAGACAACTTTGTGCGCCGGAGGCGCAAGAATTGTGATTCTTTCTTACCCAAGTTCTGCAATTGTCTGTTACGTCTTTCTTCACTCATGCCAGACTCTTGTGACATGAGTTTGTTTTCCAAGTCCAACCGCCGCTGGTTGCGTTCAATAGCATGGCCAACAGACATTTGGTAGTAGTTTTCGAGTTTCAACTTTATGGCCGCTGCCTTATCCTGTGACGCCTTGCTCATGAGCGATGGTTGGCGATTGAAATAAACATAGTTGCTGCTCTTTGTTTCTCCTTGTCCTGTAACCTGTGCTGGCGGAGTACGGGGTGCCTCTGTGGGAAACAGTGGTGGGCGCACATTCAGACGGAGTTGCTGTTGAAGCTGTTGCGCTGCTTGTGCCAGAGACTGGAATTGCAGTTGTTGTTGTTGTTGTTGTTGAAGTTGTTGTTGAAGTTGTTGCTGTTGCTGAAGTTGTTGTTGTTGCTGAAGTTGTTGCTGTTGATGTTTTTGCTGCTCTAGTTGTTGTTGAAGTTTTTGCTCTTGTAGCTTTTGCTGCTCAAGTTTTTGCTGCTGTTGTAGTTGTTGTTGTTGCTGTTGTTGTTGTTGCTGCTGCTGCTGCTGCTGTTGTTGTTGTTGTTGTTGTTGTTGTTGGTAAAGTTGATATTGGGCGTCCACCTTCTGTGGTGCTTCAAAGTACTGTGCTCCTTTAGACTGGAATGCAGCCAGATAGCTGTCATTCAAAGAGTTACCAGCAGAGTTGGCGTTGCTTGTTTCAGATAAATTGGTATACGACAGATTGTTCAATTCCATGAACCCCGACGGCGGCTGAAATGTCGCCGAGTTGCTTGAGTCTACCAGCTGGAAATTGCCGTTGCGGAGACTCTGATGGTGCTCAAACGAGCTTCCTGAAAACGTGGGCAGCAACTGAAACGTTGGCGGTTGATCGAACTCGCTGTGTGGTTGCGCCCGGATCTGAACAGGTGAGTTGGAAGCACTCCAGGCAGGCGTCTGTTCTGCGAAGTTAGGGGTGTCCTCGTCCATGGAAGAATCGTTCTGATAAGTCTCCTGCTGACCATAGGTTAAGTTGGGAATCTGTTGGTGCAGAAGCGCCTCGTTGGCGGCCGTATACTCAGCGTAGTGATGGTCCATGTTCTAAGATGGAATCGCTCGGACCAAGAAGGGGACAGTAATCGGAAGTGGAGGGGAATAGATACGGTCAAAAACTGGATCGGGTAAAAAACACGAGAAAAAAAATGTATACAAAATAGCGTGCTGGATCGCGCGTGGAATGGGCGTTGGTAAATAGAGCGCAATACGTCCCAGCAAGCGTTCTTGAAGTTGTTCGAGAGAATTGAAGGGCCGACAAACTATTTAATAAATGGTACGAACCAGAAAAGGCAAACAATAGTGCCCAAAGTGGCCAAGACAAATGAACAGGATAGGCATGGCACCCAGAACCCGTGCACCATGGGTATGAGGCGTACCGATAATCCCAGCACAAGCGCGCGGAAAAGAACAGAAGATTCGATGTAAAAAAGAGTAGTGTTATAACACGCCTACACACATGGATTTCAGTTTCTGTATTGAAGTATTAAACTATAGCAAACCGAACGTGATAATGTACAGCAACGGCATGCAAGAGCAATGTAAGCAAGACTCGCTTAAAATTGCAAAGCTTGACCCTTTTGCTTCTTGTCACCACCCAACTCAAAGTGCTTACATCTCTTCAAAGCCAATTGGGCCTTGGTCTTGCAGTTGACACATTCCAATCTCAAGACAACCTTCTTGGTGGTCTTAGCCTTCTTGTGGAAAACTGGCTTGGTTTGACCACCGAAACCGGATTGCTTACGGTCGTATCTTCTCTTACCTTGAGCGAACAAGGAAGCCTTACCAGCCTTGTATTGGGTGACCTTGTGTTGGGTGTGCTTTCTGCACTGCTTACCCTTACAGAAAGTCTTTCTAAGCTTTGGAACGTTAACTGAATGTTAGTAATGCCAAAAGAAAAAGGTGAAGCAACTGTCAGGAGGCGAGAGCGAAGGGAAAACCGAAGAATAATCTATGATTGACACTTGCAAATATCAGTCAAACTTCTGTCTTGTGCATGGCCAATATGGCAAACATACGTGAAGGGATCACGGTTGGACAGACATAAATAGGATAATGTGGATGTTGGATTTATTCTTCAGATCTTGTGGGATCGCATATCAAGTTGCTATTTGTGTTCGACATACCCATTGTTGCTGTTGATTTCTGTGTAGAGAAACTAGAATGTGTGGAAAAATTTTTGTTAATGAGGTTGGAGGTGCGAGCGACTAGAGACACATGCAGGCAAATTTTCCAACCTTGATGTGCAGGCATAGGGCACAAGCCCTAATATCAAATCCTCGCATCCTATGAAGAAATACATCAACTGCTATAAATGGTAAAAGGGGACAAGTCAGTTTTTACCAAGAACTATCAAGGAATTCATTAAGGCTTTAGTTCACGCTAACTAGTAGTTGGTTTTTTATGAAATAATCAGAGGAAAAAATTATATATATCACGTGTGGTTACAGGTCCGTAGTTAAGTAATGTCTCAAGTGTCTATCGACGAACGAAAAAAAGAAGACACATACTAGAGCTTCACAAAAAAGAATGCCTTCAGCCAGATTCGAACTGACGATCTCCTCATTACTAGTGAGGTGCCTTACCAACTTGGCCATAAAGGCATCGCAAAATCTCCCGGGGGTGAGTCGAACACCCGATCTCAAGATTACAAATTCCATTACAGTCTCGCGCCTTAGCCAGCTTGGCCACCGAGAGGTGATTTGCTGACTGAATTTCCTAGCAAAGGACCCAGTCAAGTCTGAGAATAGGTATGATGGTTTAATGAACCATTTAAACCCAACTGCACTAATTCAGTAAATCACATTCACAAATATATAGACGTAATATAAATATGTGCATTATTAAACAACATACAGCGGCTTGTTGCTCCCTCTCATTTTGCGAATCTCTTGTTCCACGAGCGTAATCAACATAGATACCACTATCAACGAGTCCTCAGGAATGTCTTTCTCTTCTTCACCCATGATGGTTGATTCGAAAAGACGAACCAAGCCTGTCACTCGTACTCCTTCTATTTTAGTGTCGCCATGGTCTGTATAAGAGGCAAAAGGGACTTCTACCACAAGCTTTGCGTTGTTGAGATAGTTCAGTACTTTTGTTCTCTCCTGGCGGACCACCGAATCGAAAAGGGGCGTCAGCGAGTTTTTTGAAAGATCCACATCCTTGATTGTCTCTGCAGCGTCCAAAGAATCGTAATCTAGGCCATCCACCAAAGTGGGTGTTTCTGGTTTTAGAAGAAGAAGCCGAAGAGACCCATTACTAAAGGCAGAAGCGCCGGAAGCACCCACCAATCTTATTTTTGTGTTTCTGAAGAGGGAGTCGCTGTGGGGTTTTAGCGCATTGTTAAATAACACAACTTTTTCACCCTTAGAGAACATGAGAACATAACAAGTTAGGTTGTTGCGGAGAATCTTGAAGTAGACTTTGCAAAACTCCGATTTAGAATCATCGCGATGGATAAAGATAGTCAAGAGGGGAGAGTTTTTCTTGAAAAAATGCAACTTGTTCAGTTGGATCGAGAAGAGAGGACTTTCGCCATTCTTCAAAGCTCCCAAAGACGGAAAAAGTTGGAGATCCAGCTTGATTTGTCCCACCACAAGCGGGAGCTCCCGTATTCTTGTGTATGACAGAATGGGTTTGTTGAAAATAGGATACGATGCCGCAGTTAATGTTTCCAGTGAAAAAAGCGATGTGACATCATCGTTTTCCGTTGATGAAGTACATAGTGTGGCAAGACTGTCCTCACTGGGTCTGGATCGAAGCATATTGCAGAATCTACTATCTTTAAAGGTAAAGAGTGCGTCTAGGCATAGGATCAATGATCGCATCAGTACACCAATAGTTCAACCACTTGAGCAAGAGGCATCGGCAATTGTAGGATAAATCGGTCAAGTCATATGACCCCGCCAGCAAGTTACTCCTTAATGCAATCCTGTGAATTTATCTCCAGACCCTTTTTTCGTCGGAAAGTCGGAACTTGTGACAAGAAAAGTGCGGGGCATCGTAGTGCGGATGTAAGGCATTTTCCATAAATGTGTGGCTAGTGACTGAGCTTAGAGGTTCACACGCAGAAATATACGAGACTTAGTGGGCCAACTCCTGAAATCCCTAGAATCTAGGGCAAAGAAGAGGAAAGAAGAATGAAAAATCTGGCGGTCTAAAGGGCTGATGATGTGCGCTATTCATCCCACCTTTCGGCTTTCACGTCTTCAGACATTGCTTAATGTGCTTGTGCTTGTGAATCGTCAATGCCGGAGTGCACAAAGTAGTGAAAGAACAAAGGACATAGGGAGCAACCGAAGATTATCGTGCACATAGTGCTATTATGATTCTTGATTGTTTCTTTTTCTTCTATTGCGAGCACTTTTCGGTGTTGGCGGTTGGAGCCACTGAATCTCGGCCTGCCAAGGGAATGTAAGTTTTGATACTGGATAACGGCGCAATTCCAGTAATGTGTTCATCAACAATGTAATGAACGGGACATCTATTGTCCGAAGTGCCCCCCGGAAATGGCTTTGCACGTGATGATGCACGTGAAGGCCCTACTCCGGCCGAAAGCCACCTATGCACATAATACGAAGGTGCGCTATTGGCGAAATAGCCACCCCGCTGCCGCTGCATGAATCATCTTGACTGATATTCCTGCAAATAGACCTTGTCCCACTTATGACTACCGGATATGATAACTCAAAAGAAGAGACAGAAAATGACATGTATTGAACTTTAACTATACGATCTCAGTTGCTGTCTTTCCGTGGACCCCTTGGTTTGCCATGTAGGGCTTCTGCCGAAAACGTATAGGTAACGGTAATAGAATGTCCTGCAGACGGGCGAACGGAGTCCTGTTGACAAGTTCTCCGGGGGATGTGGGGCCCCCTCAAATCCGGGGGTGGTGCAAAAATGCGGAGTATATTTCTTTCCACTACAGATGGCGGGGAAAGTTCTAGTCAGTTTTTTATACCAATCTTTTCGTCGTACTTTTGCATCTTCTCTTTTTTTTTTTCCTTCCGTTTCTCGCGAGGGTACTGTCGTCTCTTTTATAGAACTATCAGCTCTACTATTAGCACTACAATTACCGACTATTAGCATTTCTAGTTCTATTAGTTCCGCTACCCTACGATTACCTTCACTCCTATTACTTCTCGGTTCTTACTGGTTGTAATATTCTCACAACTATTTTAGTACTGTTTGATTCCATTACTTTTAGCTGCCAACTAGATAAGCCGCACTTCAGATCAACTATTGGAGTCCCCATTGTCCTACCCCACTATCGGTCAGTTTTGGTTCCGGATCCTTAGGTCTACACTGAAAATGGCTCCTCCTCAGAAAAAGTATGTTTGCGGTTATTGTGCCCGTGCGTTTACTCGCTCGGAACACAAGCAGCGCCATGAAAGATCACACACCAATGAGAAACCGTTCCATTGCCTCTACTGCCCGTCGGCTTTTGTTCGGCGTGATTTACTTCAGCGGCATTGCCGGACCGTGCACAATATCCGACTAGTCCTGAGATCTACCATCAAGGAATCTCCTGAAGCGGCTGCAAAGCACAATAGTGACGTAATATCCGTGGATGAAAAGGTTGTAAAGTCCAATCTGGATCCGGTCATTTCCGGCCTGAAAACAATGATTCCGAACAATAGCCCGAGGTCAGATGCAACCGAAGGACCAGTTTCGGGTGAGGTTGCGTCAGCACAAATGCTTCTCCAACTTGCTCCGGCTTGCCGGGCCCCAGAGGATTCAGACCGCTACTACAACTCCTTAGACAGGTCGGAACACAGCTCTAATGCTCGCAATCTCTATTCTGCGTCCAAGAAATTAGAGCTGCTATATGACAGCAGTGATTTACATTATCCAGTAGATGATATGTTCTTGGCAGGGTACTGGGTTCTCGCCAGAGACACATCATCTGGGTTTGAAGCACAAGAATTCGTTGACTATTTACACTCTCGAACTCCTGGGGCATTGGAGTTTTGTGATTACAAGGCTGGCATTGCCTATACCATTCTAGCTGCCGGTGCATTGACCATCCACTTGGAAGATTTCAGCCGGGAAGAAGTGGCCACATTATTCATGAATAAAGCCTGGAATATTTTGGTAGATCGGCTTATGATACAGAATAATAATGTGGACGCCCACAGTGAAATTCTTCGAAATTTGTATTTGTTGACTTATACGTATATCCGTTTCTTCAACAATTGTCTGATGGTTGCTTACTTGGAAGATAGTGCTCTTGCAATTTTGCAGAATTTGTCATCATACTCCGAAGCAGTGGCATCCCGTGTTGTCCTTCTGAATATCCAATTATTCTGGAGAATCTACACTTTGGTCTCGAAACATAAGACTAGCGATATGCCTCCTAAGTTCTACTCTTGGTATTTATCACAACCTATTGATGCAGCTTCGAATAATTCGTTGCTTTCGTTGATGAAGAGTTTCTCACTGGCCACATACCCTCTTTCAGACCCATTTATTTGTGACGTTGTCATCTGCACTTTGTCTAATGAGCTAAACAATTATGTCATCAACAAGAGTTTGTGGGTCTACGATCTGCGTGCAGCTTTGCACAATGCCATAATGATGGTTAATAAATCAATCGAGAAGTCTATGCTGCTGGCCAGCGTTGCTCCTCATGTTTTTGGTAGCTTCAAAGAGAAGCTTATTTTTAACGCACCACACGAATTCAAAAGCCTTTTGGACGATTATGTTTTTAATGTGTCCAAACCACACCATTGGGAATTACTCTCTCTCACATTGAGAGACTACAATACAAACTTCAATTTTCGTCTGTTTGTGAAAGAGAATTTAAATAGTCCATTTCAAAAATTTGGAAATGACTTACTTGCTTTCTTTTCAGGTACTTCTGATGAGCTATCCATACAAGAAGGCTATAAGAATGTTGGAATTGTTAGTTATCCGTTGATATTCAATTACTCTTTTCTCAGATTGAACCATATGACGTCTCCAATAATGGAAAACTTGGATATATTGGAGTTAACAAATTTGAGCTATTTGATTCTAGAGTGGCAAGTTACTGTTGTGAAAGTATTGATTAATCTCGTCTCGAACAGAAATGGAAATATGACAAAGACACTTCAGGAGAACGTAATTCTCCGAGGTCTCCTCTACATGATGGGTGATGGAGATTCACGAATTACACAGTTCTCGCCCGAGTATTTCTTGCTGGTTTTCAACAAGTTGACGAAAATCTGCGAGACGTGGTCTAACATTGTGGACAGGGCAGAGAGTTTAAATACATTACGAACAAACTTGAACCGATTCTTGAGTGATTTATTTGTCCTTGCATTGAATAACGACAGGTTGCTTATTGAGGATGTATACATCACAAACGAGTCAATCTTGCTCAGAAGCAAACGGTCAAAATCAATAGGCTCCATTGACATGGGCTTTTCGCCTTACAAGAGTGACGCGAGCTTGAGAACAAGTTCTAGCACTCAGAGCTCACATCTGTCATTTCCGTCGACAACAAGCAACCATAATTATGTGTTGATGAAAAAGTCGTCGCTGTTGCCTCAAACAAATGCTCACAAAACACCGTATCTCCCGGATGCATTATCACCCACTCAGTCTTTGCCTCCACTTCAAATGTTGTCGGTATTTACACCAGCCACCGGCTTGAGTACCTCTCCCAACAACATTACTCCATTGGCCCATCTGATTTTACCCCCTTTAAGAACGACTATAAAAGAGATGGTTGGAAGTACATTTCCTGTTTCGAAATGATGCATTAAACTAAGGTAAATATTATCAATAACAATTTCGTCGTAATATTATGAACAATTAAGCCGTCCATTGTATTTTAAAAGAAGAAAACTCACAATTTTGCATCCCTCTCGAAAATGTCCTTATGAGGTACATCAAGTTTCCATATCTGTTCTACTTCCTTCAGTAAAACTGAGTGGTCACGCCCGAGAACTTTTCGTTGGTAACACTCAATAACAAGCTCTATTGGTATGCATAATGCGAACAGGGGAACCTTCTCTGTCTTTGGCAGCTGCTTTCCATGTTTTGAAGGAACGTAGACTTGGGCATTACTGCAAATGATTCCCACGAGTTCTTTCTTCGAATTGAAGAGCCCACCACCTGAAGATCCGTTCCAGCATCGAGCCGAAGCAATTATCATGCATGGGATTGGCTTGCTTTGGAGAAAAGGGCGCAAACTAACTTTTGAAGATACGTGGCCCTCAGATATAAGAGGAGTCAAGACATTCTCGTTTAGCAAAAGACCGTAACCCGCTGTTCTAACAACATTTCCTTGCTTCAAGTGGTCACTTAATCCGAGATTGGCTGGCAAGATATAGGCTAGCTCCATTTGGTGACTTGGGGAAAGAAGAATAAAAGCCAAATCAAGTCCCTCGGCGGGAAAGATGATCTGGTCGTCTGGGCCAAGGGCAATTGACTTCTCTGCGTTGAGAATAATTGAGGCCAGTATCTCTTTGGACAGCGAAAATGATGCGACCACATGCTGGTTGGTCACAAGAGTTCTTTCGTTGAAAAGAACGCATGAGCCCCAACTCGTGCCCAAATCTTGCAGAGATAAAACAATAGGTAGCACTGGAGAATTATTGAGGATTCTCAGTTGATTTACAGCTTGCTTTTGGACCACGGCACTTTCCGGCTTTTTGGTGTACATCAATTGTTCCCAAAGCCACAGCCACAGACAAATCACGAGAAGATCACCATCACCGTTCAATTTGCGTAGATTCCCTAATACTAGACCGAGTGATTTCCCTGTATTTGAGTTAGCTATGGCCCCACACATGTTTTCCAAGTACTTGATATCACTAAGATACCCGTAGCAGGTTGTGCTGTCCTTCAAAACGCAATTTATATGTCCTGACGACGAAAAGTCAGCAAACATGGTGGGACTTGTAAAGCTGAATGGAGTCGAACGAACAACAGCAGCAGCAGGACTTTCCACTGCTCCAAATCGTAGTGGCGAAAATAAAGAAGCGGAGCTTTCAGTGTAGAAACTAGAACATCGGAGTTGAAGAACATTAATATTCTGAAGGGCTGATGGAGAGGAGCTATCGAGAGGAAAGATGTTGAATCCCAGGTTCAATGCGTTTCGAATATAATTATAGAGTGGGTCAGAGGGTGGACGAAAAACAGATACCGAGGCGGTAGTAGTAGCGTTTCGCCAAAAAATCGATTCCCGATTCAATTGGGGTGCTGATACATATATTTTGTGATCAGACTCTAGCTGGTCAGTGGATATATGACAGACCGTCAAGCAAAATGAATCTACTATAGTACCATCAATTTTCTTCACCACATAAATTCCAGAAACTGCCTGAGAATGCTCTGTTTGCTGTTTAGGCACGAATCGAATGCAAATAGGGAGGTAATGCCACAGCATGGGCTTATGAATAGGAAAATGTAATAGTCTCTAACCGCTGCTGGCCTGAAAGTAGTATGAATGTGACTTTGATGCAACTGATAGCGCGAAAGATAAAAAAAAAGTGGAGTACATTGTGCATATCAGTTGTGTGAGGTTTGAAGCTTACCTTCAATATACTAAAGTATCTGAATGTTTACATTCTGCGCCAAAGGTAGTCCTTACTGTTCATATATCTTGCTGAATTTAGATGGCTCGGCCTATTCACTCTGTCTATAATCACGAATGATGTTAGACATGATGTTGTATCATGCCAGAGTGGCTATAATTCATTTCCTACGTCATTGGCTCTATCTATCCAGCCAGTTACATGCCGTCACTCTTGTTCTATCGTCATGCTAATTTTTTTTCTCCTTAGGCTGTCTAACTCCTTTGAATGTTTTGCTTTTCTTAGTTTCTCGTTGCAAAAGGAAATTGCCGATGACACCGTGCAACCACCTGCAAGAAGTTAGGTTCATTCTGGGGCGTCACTAGACCGTGGCGGATCATAAAATCTACGATAACCACGGCACAATTCTTCTTGAACTCACCACGTAAAATGCGTTCTTGGATCTCTGCGAGAGACATGAGCCTGAAATCTTCAGCCTCTCCGTCAACAGTATGGGGGATATGGTCATCTTCCAGTTCGAAGCACAAGTCGTAAATGTATTCCACTTCTGGTTGTGGATGGCCCTTCGGTCCATAGGGCTGGCAGTAATACGACACCACGCCCGCAGATTGTATGTGCAGCTCAACAAACTCTTTGTCCAAGCCAGCTTCTTCATAACATTCTTTCACAGCGTTCTCCCAGATGCCGAGAGGATAGGCCAATCCTCCGGCGACGGTGTTGTCGAGCATTCCCGGGTATGTCTGTTTTGTAGCCAGGCGGCGGGGAATCCACATTTTGAGTACACCATCTTTTGTCTTATTGGCAGGAACGTATCCATTAATATGGACTCCATAGGTTACCACGCCCATGAGAACAGCCACCGCTCTCTCCATAAGGACATATGGCACAGTCAGCGGATTGTAGACAGCATAAAGTTCGTTGCGCCAAGCTCGAGCTACCTCTGTGTCTTCTTGACGAAGGGCATCCGCAAATTGAGCGAAGATTTCATTCCTCTGGGTGAAATCAGTCAAGTGTGGTGCGAATGCTACTGTCTGACAAGATTCATCAATGATGAAATGTTGTGACCACAGACCGAGTTTGCGCGCAACACTAGGCACCAAATAGCCCAAAAGTGCGCCTTCGTGGGATTTAAGCTCCCAAAAGAAGGGATCTTTGGTGAAGGGGAAAGAATCCAAAGATGCAACAAGAGGAAGAAATGACATTTGGGTTTTATGCGGAGTGCATTAATGCGGAAAAAGCATAATGGCTCTCAACGGTGGACAAGTAAGTGAGACTAATTATTTCTTTTACAATTTCAGTATGCAAAAATAAAAGCACTTAAAACAACGAATATAATGAGTGACTCTTACACCAATAGAAGAAAAAAAAAACTTTTAATACCAATAGGTAAGGCTCTATGCTTTACTATCCGTAAGTGCGGATGTTTGGTTTGAAGGACATTTCGGGTGCACACCCAAAATGGGTAAAAAAAAAAAAAACGCCTGTCAATTTATAGTGGGGTCTGGCACTAGTATAATTTACGACGCATGAATTTCGCTGTCAAAAGTGTCCGAGGGCAATGGTGTGGGTTTCTCATGTGTCAGCATCGCCATAGTTCCCATTGAATTCTCAATAAGAAGCCAGGATTGTAAAAGTTTAATCTTGGGTCTTTATGTGAGAGTAATCATGCGAAAAAACAAGAGGAAAGAAGCCCGGGCCGCTGCTGATGTACTGATTCGGCTAAAAACAACGCCCGCGCCGAGACGGTTCACGCACGACACAACACAAGGAGCTTTTTGTTTATCTGTGGTTTCTTAATCGCCTTCATTTCTGTTATTTCCGGATACCCCAGATCTTTACCACTGACTTTTTTTATGACCACCGAAACTCTGACTGAACCACTTACATCTGCAAGTGGCAATGACTCTACCACGCAAACCATAACATCCGACAATAACACAACACAAGTGGTCATGGTTGAGGTGTCGCAGGAGGAATCCGTACAGTCGCCTACAGCCTCTGTGGGTTCTGCACTGAGTATGGATTCAACAGAAAACCTCATCAAAAGTTTGTCTATGCATCGTTTGGATGCGGCAGACGCTGCTGAAAATGGACAAGCAAAGAAAGCTACACAAGACAGCACTGAACATTCAACGCGTACGGAACAATCACAATACTCACAACCAAAGGAGGAACGCGTCCATTCTGGGTCGCTGCAGACGTCGAGCGCTGAAAGCTCTACTTTGCTGCCCGTGCTACCTAAGGCTGGTGAGAAAAAGCCAGTCAAGTTTACTGTGAGAAAAGTTTCTCGCGATACCATTAGCATTCCAGAAAAACAAAAGACGCGAGAGGGCCGTGAGTACTTGTATGGAAATATCCCGGAAAACCGAGCACTCGCGCAACAACGCAAGGCCAGCGACAAGTTATCCCAACTACAATATAGCCAACAGAAGTATGACCAGTATGAGGCCCGCATAGAAAAGATCAACAAGGAAATTGCCTTTTTGACCAACTTGCTCCCGCCATATAATGTGGAGATTGACTACGCTACACGCAGCAAGATCACACGTGCTATTGAGAAGTTGCGCATGAAGCAGGATGAGATTGGCAAGAAGAAGTACAGTTTAGGCATCACCATCAGCCGCTTATGGCGCGAGCACGATGAAAACGATATTTGGGTGCGCTCTGTGAGCAATCAATAAAAGCGGCCACGGCGGGTCAGCATTTTGTATGGACATTTCATGAGCATGATTATAGATACTACACGTTATTTTTTTATGAGTTCCTGCGCTAATGTGCTCACCACACTAGCCTCGGCCAATGAGGCATCAGCTTCATGGCTGTTGTCAGCACGCGAGACCTCCACGAAAGACAGGTACAACCCAGTGAGCTCCAACAAGTCCGTGATGGAGTCTGGACGCAAGTCGTAGATTAGCTGCTGGAACGAGTGCAGCTTGAGCAACCGAATGGACAACTTATTGTCTGCTAAAAACTTGAGCAAGTGCCGGTGAAACTTGGATGCCAGATATGGAGCATTGTCGAAATGTGGCAGTATAAAACGGCGCCCGTAATCAGCATTCTGTGCGATGTTTGGTGCGCCGCCTGCACCGAGATTGACAATATTTGGGCCAAGACCCGGGCCGCTCGCGCCACCTGCGCCAATGTTGCCGCCACCTCCACCAAGATTGCCGTTTCCTGCCGCGAGACCCGCATTGCCGCCGCCCATGCCGGCCCCATTTGCACCATTGGCATTGGCATGCCCCGCTCCCAAGTTCGCCATGTTGTTCATGTTGCCCGCAAGCCGGCGGTATTTCTTCTTCGGTTCGTCGTCACTCTCTTCCATTCCCATGGGTGCCGGATATCCCGAATACGGCATCTGGAGTCCGCCGCCGTAGGCCATGGTATTATCCATTGGTAGCGCGCGCGCAGTATTGAGCAGCTCTTTGGTGAGCTTGTGCGTTTTCAAGTGCTCGCTCAATTTTTTTGGGGAGCCCTTGTCCGAGGGCATCCGAGTGATGATTTTACCGCAGTAGTCGCATACTGCTACGTTTGGGTCTCTCAGGTCCTGAACAAACCACGTCCACACCCACAGCTTTTTTTTCGCACCAAACTTTTGGCCCGGTCGGTTTTTTCGCTCGCGCTTGTGCGTGTTATCACCTTTGTCGTCTTGGTTTGACTGCAGCGCCTGGCCTGCCTGGACACTGCTTCCCGATGTGTTGTTGCCGGGATTATTCCCTGGGCCATTTCCAGCATTACTGCCGTTGTTGTTGCCGCCGTTGTTGTTTCCTGCGCTGTTATTGATATTATTGGCATTATTCATCATATTGGCATTATTATTGTTGTTATTGCTGCCGTTGTTGCTGTTGACAGCGCTGTTGTTCGTGGTGCTATTACCAGCGTTGACATTGTTGCCGCTATTAATATTATTGTTATTGTTGCTGCTGTTGTTGTTATTATTGTTATTGGCTGGATTGTTGGTGTTGACACCAGAGTTGTTGGACCCGGGGTTTGTATTCTGCAAGTGCGGAGGAAGTCGCTGCCTTTGGTACTGCTGGAGCTGATTCGGTACAAGACCTGAAAGGCCACGTTGAGGCACGTTTTGTTGGTTGTAGGAGGGAAATGTGAGCGGGTTGGAGCCTGGGGCCGGGTTGAAGTAGCTCATGACCGGAAGTGAAGAGGGAAAAACGGGGGTAAAGACGGGGGTTGCGCGATGCGAAAAACACACACCGGAAATGCGATCACGTGAATTGAGCCTGGTTGAGCTACAATACTGCACACTCGAACACTACTTTACATAGGCCAAGATAACCTGGATGTTTTCAGCCTGATTTAATAGTATCAGATAGTTGTGGTTTTTGCCGACATGGCGCTTGAATCTATTGACCGATATCAGAACTATAGGAGTGTTCTACGAATATTGCAAGTGGAAATAAATGTGAGACAGTTGGACTTCTCGCCTCAACCCTGAGTAACAGGCCAGCTTCTTGCCACCAGCAAATATCATTTTCCGTGATAAGAGATGCCATATATGTACTCTAGATCGACATGTTGAGTAGTTTTCCTGGCTGGGTAGAGAGATGTTTTTTCTAAGTAAGAGAAAGGTTCATTGAACATTCGACTGCATACATAGACTGACTTCAATTAAGCGTGTGTATCGCATTAACTCGACCAGCTCCGGCTTCGGCGGCTTGCTGGTGCATTTGTGTAGAACGCGAGGTTCTCGCTGTGTTCCTCTTCTGTGTGAATTTCGGTGCCGACATAGTATCTTTGGATTATGTTGGCACACCTCACATTGATTAGTCGCATTGTTTGAGATTCACCATATGGTCTAATGCTCATCATAAACACTAACCTGGTTCGTGACCCAGGACGTACCTCCCACCATGAGACGTAAGTTGACGTATTTTCTGTCTCAAGAATCTACCATCTGACGCCTGGTGCTGGCCCAGGCACTTTAGGAAAATTCCTTCCCTTTTGGGAAGCGCGCCCCAGCGGTTTCTGCATGCGCGCGCAACATCTACAACATCGTGCATTGAGCACCAACTGACAAGCTGCGCCAAATTTGCCCAAGGCATCTGCAAAATTGCTTGCAGCTACTTTCCTGCTGGTTCCTCTACGCATTGGGTCATTCCTGCCTTGACTTCCGTATCTTCTCGAATGACTTTCATCTTGGCGGCAGATAGGTGCATTCTGCAACTCCAAATTCATTTCGCAGCCAGCATGTTCGCTCACGTAGCTCACGCTCTATATAACCCTGTAATTAGCCAAAAAATCTGAAACCCCATTTTCGATACAAAAGAAACCACTCAAACGACAATCCTGCTTCTGAAACCTTTCCTGTTCATCTGAACTCGCTCATTTCCCCCCACCCTAGTCATTCATTCCTACTCACCTCCAGTCACTCATTATGCAGCTTTCTTTCCTTATTCCCCTTCTCTCTTTCCTTTGTCTTGTTTCTGCAGCACCAGCGAAACGTGGTGTTCGTGTTATCAAGGTCACTCAGACTGTCGACAACACAGTCACTAATACTGATGTCGTCAATGCTCCGGTACAGACATCCACCGGCTACCTGACCTCGACCGTCACAGTCACCACCACCCATTATACTTCGACGTACACGGCTACCGTTATGGGAAAGCAGTACACTTATACCAGCGTGTTTGAGTCGGCAGTTACCCTCAGCCCCAAGCCCGCAACGTCTCAAGCAGCGATTGTCGAATCACAACCACAACAAGAGCCTCAAGAATCGCAAAAAGCTCAAAATCCACCAGCCGCTCAGTCTTCAGCCCAAGTTGTCATCACATCTACTCTTGAACCAACAACATCCGCTGCGGCACCTTCGCCTGCTGCTACTAGTTCCTCTGTTCCAACATCTTCCGCTGCTGCTACCAGCCTGTTGGAGCCAACCTCTTCCCCTTCTGCCCCTTCGGTCACTTCTTCCATTTATGACGAAGTGTCCACTCTTCCTACCGATGCTCCCGCCACTGCCTCTTCAGTTCTCTCTGGTAGCTGGTTCCTCGAAGATGTGCTGACCAAAATCACTTCTGGTGTTTGCTACGTGGACTATGATTACTACTTGACCGACTACACCGAAACCGTGACTTCCACGTCCACGGTCTACTCTACCATCACCGTTTAAGTTTAGCTTGTGTATCATAGTTCTGAGCTGCCAGATCGCTAACAATTATGCAGTCCCTCTATAGTAATGAAACAACTTTAATATGCATAGAGTTCGTAATCTGAACGTGGCTCCATTTGCTGGTTCCGGTACAAAAATCAGTAGACACTCGCGGATCGTGTGTCAAGTCATTCTTTGCCCCCAATTTGCGCCTTCGCGCGCTGGATGATGCGGAGATTTTTGGCTGTGCATGCATTCTATTTCCTTCTTCGCATTTCGAGAAACTTCCAGACGCACTGGTTTGGGTGCAAATTCTCGAAGCTTCCAAGTTCCGTGACAAATGATCATTTATAAAAAGGCGATCGGAAACCTTTCATATTCTTTCGCCATTCAATAATCAAAATACCAATATCAGTCATGTTTGCCATTAACAGTTCGCCATACAATTTCACAAGTTTGTTCGATACTTTGCAAAGCTTGCAACAGTTTCAGAACTATCAAATGCAATTGCAGGCTCAGGAAACCAGACCTAAGATTGTGAAAAAGGTCGAAACTGAGGATGCATATCAGATCCAAATTTTCAAAAAGAGTGGAAACTTCAACTCCTATGAGGTTAAAGTTTTGAGAAATGCCTATCCTTATCACCACAACAAGAGCAACTTGGTCAATCTTGTCATTGAATCTGAAGAAGATGAATTCAGAAAGGTGTTCCAGTTCAACTTGCAGGACATTGATGTCAATGCCATTGATTGGGAGTACCATGAAGCTCAAAACGTTTTGGTCTTGAATGTTCCAAAAAAGGTTCATTATTGTTCTGATGACTACCCTAACAGCTTCCTCGCAAGTCTACTCGGTGTCCCTCAACCAATGAGATGTGTGTCTTGTGGCTCTTTTCCAATGAAGCAAGACTACTCCCTTGGATCTCGCCAGTCTGAAGCCGAAGAAAGAGCGGAAGAGAGCGAGAGTGAGCGTAGAAAGCTCGAAAGAGAGATCAGAAGACAAGAAGATGCGGAGCTTGCCGCTTCCAGAAAAGCCGAAAGGGAAAGAAGAGCAGCTGAGCTTGCTAGAATAGCTGAAGAAGAAGCAAAGAAAGCTGAACTTGCCAGACAGGAAGCTGCTAGAAAGGCTGAAGAAGCCAGAAAGAAGCAAGAGCATGCCAGAAAGGTAGCTGAAGAAAGAGCTAGACGGGAAGCCTTAGTCAGACAGAGGAAACAGGAAGAAGAAAGAAGGAGACAACAAGAAGAGAGGAAGAAACGGGAGGAAGAATATAGGAAAAACTTCGCCCAGCAACAGGAAATCATTAAGCAGCTTTTCGGTGGAAATGTCTTCCCATTTGGTAATTTTGTTGTGCCTCCAGAACCAAAACTGGAAGTTGAGCCTGAAAAGGTAGAGAACAACAAACCTGAAGGGTTCCAACAACTGGATGGCTCAAAACCTGAAATCCGTACGCAGAAAGAGGCCACAAAGGAAGAATCAAACCTGGTGTCCAACAAGAAGGAAGTTAATGATCACAGCGAGGCCGAGCTTTCTGAAACCGAGTCCATTAACTCCGATGCCGAAGAAGAGGCTGCTTCTGCATCAAACGCCTCCACTCCTTCTTCTAAGTCTTCCACTGATGATTCTGATGCCAGCATGAAAAAATTACATAAGCATCCATCTTTGGAGGAAGTTGAAGATGAGGAGTTTGTGATGTTCAGAAAGAAGTTCGGCCAATGATTGCATTTTCATTTTTAATTCATTACGTTTATATTTAATGCATTGACGAAATACGGTAACAAAAATTGGATAATTTATAATTGCAATCTAACATCAATGTAGACGACATATGAGTTTCCGCGATTTTGCAATTTTTGTACGGATTGCTCCCAAGTGGAAATATTCCTCTTGCACTGTCAAAAATACAAAAATGCAAACAGCCACAAAGAATTAAAGGTACTACTACAATCGATAGCAAATAAAGGAAAACATTGTAGCTAATTTTTCTTACTCCTCTCTTTTCGTAACAAACCATCGTTTTCCATTGTGTGGGCAATTTTTAACCTGCACAAGAAATGACACGGTATCTCTACGCTACTTCTCTTATGAACTCGATTGCAATTGTTGGAGGCAATGGCTTCCTAGGAAGAAAAATTTGTGAAGTCGGTGTTAGACTTGGCTGGTCGGTTACTTCTTTGTCTCGATCCGGTAAACCGCCTTCGCCTGTCTCGTATCTGGATAATGCTTGGATCTCCAAAGTCCAGTGGACACGAGCTGACTTATTTGAACCGGACACTTATAAGAAACATTTGGCCGGAAAGACGGCGGTTGTACATTCAGTGGGAATCTTGTTTGAAAATCAATCGTATAAACAAACTATCAACTCGAATTTCAATTTCTTGAATGACATTCAGAAATTGGGAAACATGATGCAGGGCCCGAACCCCATGGAACGTGATTCCAAACAAACATACGAAGCAATTCAACGGGACCTGGCTGTGCTTCTTGCTGATGCATATTTGGAGGAGCTGGGCTCTGAAGCAAAACCTACGTTTGTATACATTTCAGCAGACAATAAGCCTCCCATTGTCCCAGATGGCTATATCACTTCCAAAAGGGAGGCCGAATTTGAACTCTCGTGCAAAGAAGGCTTACGTTCCATTTTAATGAGACCAGGGATTATGTATGACGAAAACGAACCAATAAGCAACAACAGAAGATTGTTCTCCAAGTTTTTGGATTTAGGGTACAAGGTGAAGAGCAATGTATTAGGACATGGTATTCCAGGATTAGATGCTTTGGTGAGACCCCCAGTTTCGACAGAAAAAGTTGCCCTCAAGATTTTTGAAAAGATCGAAGACCCAACTTTCTCTGGCGTAGTGCTGCTTGAGGAGATAGCCAAGTTCTAGCTTGAATTACGACGCCTTCCATATATGGTTTCTTTTTATGACTCATAAAAAACTGCACTCTTAATAATGTATGAATCAAACATTCTCTTATGTAAGTTTATCTATAGAAGTCGCTAGCCCCTATCATCGATGCTAGACAGCATAGCTAAAACCAGCCACTAGTTGGTTTTTTCTTAATATGTATTTACGGATTTCGTCGCCAATAAAAACCGTACTAGTGATGACCAACAATGTGAATAAATCACCCAAGGACAATGCTTCTGTCTGGAAAATGGACTGGAAGAATGGAACATAAATAGCACATAATTGCCCAAGAAGTGAGCCTGCAACAGAGAAGTTAAACATTTTGTTTGTGAGTCCTAGCTCAAAAATTGACTTGGAGTAATGACGACATGACAACGCATTAAACATGTCGAACATGACAAAGCATGTGAATGTCATTGTTGTATCTCTAGCGGTGATCACATTATCTTGCATCTCCTTCACAAAAATGTACAAGGTTCCAAGAATAATCATGCATGCGCTTTGCAAAACTCGTTTGATTACTTGCTTGTTTAGGATTTTGTCGGTTCTCTTTCTAGGGGGTTTATTCATAACCTCATGATCCACTGGTTCAACTCCTAAAGATTGTGCTGGTGGACCGTCCATTAATATGTTAATCCACAAAATTTGCATGGCATTCAATGGGTTGGGGAGGCCGAAAAACGTCGACAAAGCAATTAAAGACAAGGCGGCAATGGAGGTTGACAATTGAAATGTGACAAAGTTTTGGATATTATAAAAGATTCCTTTTCCTTCCTCAATAGCGTTCAAGATAGTAGAGAAATCATCATCCGTGAGAACCATATCTGCAGCTTCCTTGGCAACATCAGTACCGTTTTTGCCCATGGCGATACCAATATCTGCTAACTTCAAAGCTGGTGCGTCATTGACACCATCACCAGTCATGGCAACAATATCACCTCTTCTTTGCAAGGCTTTAACAATAGACACCTTGTGTTCTGGCGTTGTTCTGGCAAAAACGGAAACATTATGGATGGCATGGCTTAAATTCTCTTCGTTCAATCTGTCCAACTGTTCTCCCGTCATTATGGAGTCGTTGCTGGTGACTGGAATTCCGATTTGTTTTGCAATGTTCGCCGCAGTTGTCGGAGAATCGCCAGTAATCATGATAACGTGAACACCACCTTTCATTAACATAGAAATAGACTGGCCAACATTTGGTCTTGGCGGATCTTTCATACCGACCATACCGCAGAAGATTAAATCTGACGGAAGTGCAGCATCATTGTCAGCAGAATATTTTTGGTTGTTACGGGCAAAACCCAATACTCTCAAACCCTCTTGAGCCAAAGCAATCGAGTTTTGATGAATGATTTCTTTAATCTCGTCAGTGATAGGCTTCACTTGTCCATTCTGATCCAAATACTTCGTAGATAACCGCAAAACGGCCTCTGTTGCACCTTTGACATGGGTCTCACATTTAGACAAGTCTCCACTATGTACACAAACGGCCATGAACTTCTTGCTGGACGAGAAAGGTAACTCGGAAACCCTAGGTTTAGTACCTCTAACGTCTTCTAGATCAAAGTGTGGTAAACATTCAACGAGAGCAATATCGGAAGGATTACCCACATACTTCCCATTTTCAGAAGAGAAACGTGCGTTGTTACAGAGGTTTGCTACCTCCAAGAGTTTCCTAACATTTTGAGTGAGTGAATGCTGCAAAACAGTATCGTTCATCTTCTCCACAACCAAAAACTGATTCTGTGACGACGAGTGCTTGTAATCAAGAGCCCAAATCTTTGTGACTGTCATGTGGTTTTGGGTCAAAGTTCCTGTCTTATCAGAGCAAATAACATTGACACTACCCAAAGTTTCGACACTAGGCAATCTGCGCACAATAGCCTTGTGTTTTGCCATTCTCAAGACACCAAGAGCCAAAGTAACAGTGACGATAATTGGCAAACCTTCTGGAATAGCAGCAACAGCCAAAGAAACAGAAATTTGGAACATATCTAACCACTTACGACCTTGGAGGATGCCCAACAAGCAAATTATACCGATAACACCAAAACTGAACAGGGAAAGGTCCTTGCCCAATTTATCCATGGCTTGTTGCAATGGTGTTTTTGGCTTCTCGATCTGGGCCATCATTTCGAAAACAGCGCCAAATTCAGTTTGAGCACCTGTTGCAACAACTATTCCGGACCCATGTCCGTCACGAACCAATGTGCCCATGAACGCTATGGAGGAACGGTCTGTGACAGGAACATCGTTAGAAAGGCCATTTTTCGCGTCAATCGGATCCACCTGTTTCTTTACGGGACGGTTTTCTCCAGTCAAGTTGGATTCGTCAATGGTGAGATGAACGGCTTCGGTTAAACGAATGTCGGCTGGTATACGGTCACCTTGTGAGAAATGAACTAAGTCGCCCGGAACCAATGCGGACGCTAGTACACTATTGGTGTTTCCGTTTCTAGTCAACTTGGCCACCGCGGGCACCAATTTGTTCAAAGCCTGAAGACTCTGCTCGGAGCGGTACTCTTGCACAAACCCGACAGTGACGACAATGGTGATGGCCAAGGTGATGGAAACGGCGTCGTCGACGTTGCCCATCCAGAAGCTCACCACTGCAGATCCAATCAATAAGAGAATCAAAGGGTCGGAATAGAATGACGAAACAAACTTCATTACCAAAGACTCTTCCTCATCTGAGCTTAACTCGTTAACACCGTGGATCAGGCGACGGTTCAAGACATCCTGGTTGCTAGATAGCCCGCTGGTTATGTCTGTACGGAGTTCTGAAATAGTGTCCTCAACAGTTTTCTGTGAAAATTTAATGGACGGCGTCGATGAGCGCGAGGGCGGTTTATCGCCCACAAGAAACGGATTGTCGCTCATTGTGCACTGGGGCCACTAAGTTACAGAGGCCGAAGGTTAGAGTAGAAGATGAAAAAACACCCGTGCGCATTTCCGTCGGGAGTGGATATTGGATATTGTGCCGAGCTGCGATCTGAGGCACAGACGAGAATCGAGACACGAGACAATGGAGGAAAAAAATGAAAGGAATAGGAATTGAAAGGGGAAAAGAGACCAGAGAGGAGAAGCAAGTGAGATAAATATCTACCACCAATAAATTGGGTACCAAAGTTCGAGGTACGTCCTGTTACATTTTTTATGTCGGAGTCTTGCTCCGTCAAATAGGGTCTGGAGCAGCGCGCTTGGTGCTCGCGTGTTCTATTTCCTGCATTGACACTGTTGACAGCTGGAATCATTCCTCCTAGTAAAGCCTGCAAAAAATAGCCAGAAGGCATGTGGGAACGAAGCAACTGCGAAAGTGAGATATGGAACTGATATTCGAACTGGGCCAAAGCATTTACAGAATACAGCAAGGCGCATTGTGCTGAATAAGAAAACATCTGCTTTTTCTAAGTTCTGCGATTATGCGAAACAAGTGGACGAATAACTTTTTCGGCGCATGTTTAATTTCGTTTACTGGACGCTTATTGCCAATCAAACGTAAAACATATGTAGCGAAAAAACTTAAAATATCCTTGTATCGCATAGGCGTTCGTAGCACTGATTGGTTAGTGGATCGTGAAACGGCAAGATTTTTTTTGGTAGTTGGGTGCTGAAAGCGTAATTTTCTTAAGATCTAATTCTGTGGAACTCCTTCACTGGGCTACTCGACAATTAAGTATCTTATACTACATTAGGTATGCATCTCAAAGTATGAAAACGCTACAATCGCTCGATACAAGCTATTATGGATTAGCTTTCTTGTTGAGATGAAGCACGGCACTGCAAAGTCAATGCTCTCCGTTTTTTCTCTAATTGTCTGCAATTTTGACAACTGATTCCAGCTTCGTTTATTAAACGTACATGCCCACGTCTATAAAAAATACAATAGAGTCATAAAACAAAGGGAACGTTCAGAGGCAGTCTCAGAATGCTCTCAGAGACGGATACGATTATTAAAACGCTCCAGTTGAATAGATATGAACTCCCCCTTTACTATTTTATGCTGACACTGGATGAATCAACCTCCATTTGAAGAGGGCTGACCGTCCAATAACCACACACCACAACATACTAGTTGCAATCGCCTTTTCCAACCACAGTCTCGGAGGCAGCTTTCGAAAGACGGTTCATCACTGCGAGCCCGTCTCCCACTTCGTCCACAGCCTCCACCAAAATCATGTCAACACCCGATTCATCAACCTCTCGAAGCAAACGGAATAGATTGCGTGCCACCTCTGCCGCGCTAGTGCCCATTTCCTTGTCTGACAGCACAGAGATCCCCATCTCGCTTGCTGGAACAAATTGTTTCGAACGTAAAAGGGCAACCCGACCCAGATGCTGATCAACATATTTACGAACTGCTGTACGACCGTCGCCACAGCCCACAAACAAAATCACACGTGCTGTTGGCGAATAATGACGATACTTCATGCCTGGAGTACGCACTGGCTCCGTCTTGCCTGCGGTCTTTTTAGCCAAAATCACTTCGTTCCACCCATAACCGCCAGATTCACGGATTTGCTCCGGTGACACGCCACCAGGACGAAGTAACATGGGTGGGCTTACAAGCCCATCCACCACTGTAGACTCGACCCCAACGGTGCAAGGGCCGCCGTCCAAGATGTAAGGAATACGGGTATCGAGGTCATATAGGACGTGCTCTGCAAGCGTGGGACTTGGCCGCGTTGATGCATTGGCTGAAGGAGCAGCCAAAGGAGTATCGCTGAGAGCTATAAGCGCTCTGGCCACTGAATCACTGGGCATGCGGACACCTACTGTGTTCTGCCCTGCAGTGACAAGCTGCAGCACTGGACTGCCTTTCTCAATGGGTAAGAGAATAGTCAACGGGCCTGGCCAGAATTTGGCGATGAGCTTTTCGTAAACAGCGGGGATTTGCCGCAGGCTTGGAAGAATGAGCCGCTGGATTTGATCAACCGATGCCACGTGAACGATCAAAGGATTGTCGGCAGGCCGGTTCTTCGCTGTGTAAATGGCACGCACAGAGTCATCGTCAAGGGCCGAGCCTCCAAGGCCATAGACCGTCTCTGTAGGAAACGCCACTATCGAGCCTGATTGACGTACATGAGAGGCAGCTAGACGGAGGTTTTCGAGCGTTTCCGCATCGGAAATTTGAGGCACATCGCCCGAAAAAGTAATGGACTCCTTGCGAACTTTTAGGACCCGAGTGTGGAACGACATTACGGTCTTTATTATGTTTGATGTCCGACAGCGAAGCATCCACCGTTGAGATAGAAGATGAGATGGCCCTGTGTGCACTACGTTCCATACTCATTAGAGTCATCACGTATATGCATTTCCGTATCTTGTGCGACTCAATTTTTAACAATGGGAAGATCCATGTCACACTGCTTTCGTGTACAACGAAGGTAAAAAAAAAAAAAAGAAAAAGAATTGTACGAAGACCAGAATAGAAGGGTCAGAATAGTTATTGCAAGAAAAGAGTAAAAAAGTAGAAGAAGTTAGGGATGTAAACGAGAGGAGAACTTCGACGCTATAGCCTAAACATTATGTTTGCAACGCAGCGTGCTACTTAATCTACTCTTTCCATCCTGAAGATTGCAGAAAAAATTAATATTAACGTGGGATCTCATGTTTTACTAAAATACTAAATTTTCAGTAATCACCTTCTTCTCGTCATCACTCATTGCCTCGTAGTACTGTTGAAAACCACCAAGATCTTTGCTTGTGCACTCCTTGAAAAATTGTACCAATATCTCCTTAATACCAGAATCGGCGTTATCTTCTTCTTCTTCATCAGAGTCGATGTAGGACTTCAATTTTTCATAGTTGGGAACTCCAATGTCATCCAAATCTTCCCAATCGCCGTCATTTTCTTCATCCTCCACTCGTTCAGGCAAGTAATCATTAGCATCTGGTTGCTGACACTGGAACTCCAACTCGCCTGCCAACAATTTCAAGATTTTAAGCGGTGCAGGGATCTGCGTATATCTCTCTGGCATTTTCTTGGACATTGAACGCGTGATGATCATATCACCTTCGTACGGAATAAGATCACCATCAACAATGATGCTTTTAACCCGATCATCGTTGAATGAAAAAATTCTGCCCAAGGCAAGAATGTTCTGCTTAATCTTTTCAAAACCACGAGTGACCTCAAAAGAACTAAACCAGATGGGCAACACAAGCTGCAAACCATTTTTATCCCCCTCCCGAACTTCTACCAAAGCATTGATCAAGTGTTCAGGCGAATAGTTAAGGACTAATTTGCAGAAGACCATGATCAAATTCTCGATAGTAACCACCTCCTTTGCAATCACTAAACGACGCACCGTCGCCTGAAGTAGCTGAAAGTAGAAGTTGTTATCAAGGTACTCCTGGAAGTTCTCAAACAAGGAAATAACAATCAACCCACAGCTCATGGCTGCACTATCTGATAACTCTGGGGACAAAAATTTATTAGCCACTTCCAAAAGTAATTCCATGCCCGACTGCTTTGTTTCCTCATCCACATATTCTACAAAAAGCTTAGAAGCACGCTTCAAGAGGTTGTTGAATACCTCACCACTGTTCTGTAAGATTTGGTCATCATTCGTTCTCAAGATCAAATTCTTCAAAACAGGGAAAATGAAGGTAAACACTTCAGAAGGAAAATTATCCCGTGAATCCTCACCTGGTGATGCTCCAACAATGTATCCAAGTATTTCAAGAGCTAGGTACAACTGTGGAGAATACTCAACCAGTTGCTGCGACAAAGAATTATTAATTATGTCAAGGATAAATGGAATCAGTTTTTGGCAAACTTGAATATACTCTTCGTTCAGCACATTTGCAAGCAAAACTTCGATACATTCCGTAGAATCAATTGTCAATTGCACATTCGCAGGGTCTTTGAATGAGATTTGGAAAATTAAATCAATCACACTAAATTGCTGTGCAACTACTGCCTTGAACGCCCAATGATGATCAATGTCAATGGCAACAGAGATAGCCTCCAAAAGAACCGGAAGAGTATCCTCTTCACTGTCAGAAAACATTGCATAAGCAACTTCAAAGATGTTAGCTTGGAGGTCAGTTCCCAAGTCAGGCAATTTTAATCCAGGCAAATTCTTCCAGAACGTTGCTGACACCAAAGCGCTTGCTTGAATGAGATCAAACAGGTCAAAGTTTTGTGGATGAGCAGCATATGCAAAAGTATTTTTAAACTCGATTGCACCAAAAGTATTAACAGATAACTTGTTGGAGAACTTTTCAAAAAACTTCGGAAGGACAAGAAAAACTCGCGAAATGAGAAGAGGATGGTTTGAAGGTCCTTGTTCTACGGAAACCAAGGCATTCAAGCTCTCCAAATATTTCGATAAGGGAAGGTTTGTACCTAAGTTTTCCGCATCCTCATTCAGAAGTAAAGCTTCAGTCAAAAACAAGTGAGCCTCTTTCAAAGCCCACGGAAGTTCAACATTGATCCACCTTTCGTTAATGACATGAAAAAGCTGTGTTGCGTCTTGGTCGTTGACATCCATTAAAAACTCAGAAATAGAATCTCGCACAGATGCTTGCGCAGACAACCCTGTAATCTCTGTGACAAAGGCGTTTGCGTCTGCAGTGAAGTCATCAACCATATCTTCAGAGAGGGTCGCACATTCAACTAAACACAGAAGAAACTGGGTGAATTCTTCTTTCGAAAGGGTCTGCGAAAGAGGAATACGGTGTTGCAATAACGAGAGACACTGCAAAAGATTGGCGAGGTAGTTTGTTACGCATTTTTGAGGATCAGAGAGATCATCAGGTATTTTAATGAAGACATCCAGGGAGGAAGAAGCCGCACGGAAAGCTCGCGAGCCAAACACGAGATCATGGCACAAAGTTTGGATAAATGCAACCTTTGCGTTCTCTGACACTAATTTCGAAAACGAGCTTAACACGCGAGAGAGAACTTTGTACAAATAGGCTCTGTAGTGAAGTTCGTTCAAAGCAACTGCTTCAGTAGACGTTGACGCAGTCATCAGTTTTTGCAAAAGTGTAAGAGTTAACTCTGAAAACTGCACGATATGCTGTGTCACCGATGAGCGGCGTTCTTTCACCTCCATCGCTTCAGCACTCAGCAATGTATTAAACACAGTCAAATACAACTTGAGCGCTGAGGTTTTGATGTCTGGTGATAATGCATCTTGGCCCAATACATGGGTCACGTTGGATATGAGCTGGGCTCCGACGCCACCACCCCAGAATTGGTCTTCCGTGATCAAATCGTCGAATAAGTCTGTAAGAACAGCCAATCCACCAACAACGGCTGGCTCATTGCTTAAGTCCGTAGTATGAGAGTACAATTGACCTAGCAAGTCAGGCCATTCATCCGGATAGTCCGAAGCAGCGATCTGGACAATGACATACGCTGCACCAGACCTGATTTTGGAGATCGTTGTGGAAGTCACCAACTGCACCAAGTTTTGGCGAATAACCCGTTTCAATTCCTGGTCAATGGCAGGCCCTATAAACAGCTCAAAGCCTATGGACCAGAATTTCGGAACTAATCGCTTCAAATGGAGCAAGCACGACTGTCTCACATCAACGCTGAGGTTTTCAGCCAAAGCAGATTGAATGAGATGAAAAGCGAGCTGAGATGGGTTTTGCGCCGCGAGATGATTGAACTCAAGCTCGGAGGACTTACGCAAATTATTGTCAGGACTGTTTTGGTCCACAACGAGACGCAAAACTACGCTGGGATCCGCCATTATTCTTTATTGGAGTGAGTGTAATGTACATTGAAGAGTAGCGCGTTGAGCACGTGAGAAACCCTGGGACTATGGAGAATAAGGGGGTGGGGAAAAAAACTATCGAGCCTTCACAGACGACTCACGAAAAAAAAAACATGCGGGTACTTCATCCAAGGGCTGTCAACTCAAGTGATGTAAATTTTAGCTTTTTCATGCACTTATGAAAATTGTAGATGGATCTTGAGCAACAGGTCAACCTGCATATGTGCGTACGGCCCCAGTCTTTAGTTAATCCGCGCCCGTCTTGCACTATAATCTATATTTAACCATGGACATGATAAGCGGTCTGGACATGAACGGAGCCTTTAAGTTAGCCAATCTTTCTGTTGCGGCGCTCTCGGTATGTTGAAGCTAATGTAATCACAGAAGAAGTCTTACTAACCCCAGGTCTTGTCAGGTCTCTCCCAGTTGTTCAGTGGAATGTACGTAAACAGCAAACAACTTTCCAATTGTTTTTACTAACATCCTAGCCAATCTGTATGTTGAAGCTATCTTTCACACCCTCATGTATTGTTTACTAATATCAGTTTGTCATTGGTGTCTACATAATTGCGTTTGGTGCCGCTATCGGTCTCCTTGGTATGTTTCCAGCAGATATCGTCCTTCGTCCTTTTACTAACATCAGAATTCCAAATCCCCCCTGAATTCCATACTTATGCGTCCTTTATGTTCTCCTTCATCGGTCGTGGTGTCTGTATGTATCTTTTCTTGCTATTTCTCACGAAGCTACTAATCCCCACCAGTCTACACACTTATCGGTGCCAGCATCAACGGTGCCAGCTGGTTCCGCACCTTTGCAGGTGTGATCATCTTCTGCGTGGGCCTTGTCTACATTGCCTTGGAGGGCGTTGGAAGCGTATCGCCTCCAGAGAACATGAGCCCAGAGGGTATCTCTGTCGGTATCCAAGATGAAGATATTGTATAGTCAATAAACCAGCCACGAAAGAACTGTCATGGTTTGCGGCCTGTTATTTACCAACGGATTATAAAGATGGAGAAAGGAGTAACATAAACTCTTTTCGTACGGGTACCCATGATGATTAACGGAGAGAAGCCCCAACGAACTCACAACGAAGTATAAATTACATTTGAACTTTTAATGTAGAAGTGACATCATGTTTGTAGTGGTAAACTAGGTCTTGAATAAAGTAGGCAAATGTGCTAGAGGTATCGGAAAGATAATTTAATGATTCCATTGATGAAGTCAGCAACAAATACAAATATCTACGAACAAGACGTCAAAAATTTAATAAATCAAAGTCAAGAATAAAGTCTTCACATCAAAAGAGAGAACTTAATTTGCTTATAAGTGTCCGAATGGTTACTACGACTTTAATTTGAGAATATAAAGAAGAGTGCCCATCCGAATCATATTTCAACGTGATACATGTTTCTTCTTTATCCATCCGGTCAAGAAACATACGGTGGAGGGTCAGACTTATCTTCAAGAATATATTGAGAAAGCATGAAATAAAATACTTTTCGGATTGTAAGCTTATCTAATTTTAGAGCTCAAGATTCGCAACTAATAGTGCCTTGCATTTTTCTTTAGGTGAACACAAAAGCTAATCATAATTTCTACTTAAATTCGTTCCAATTACCCTGAACAAAATTCTCTTCTATCCCATCATTCAAACTATCTTGTTCTCGATCCTACTTTCATTTAAGGTATCCACTACATTGGCATCTCGCACTGCTTCGGGAATTAATCAACTTTGATGTGCAGGTTCTTTGTTTGTGCCCATACTTGCCTTGCTTTGATAAGAAGCCATTCATTGTCCCCCATTCTTATGGTTCTTTAGCAAAACCAATAATTCCTTCTAACCTCGCCCCGATGGACCCGGTCCCTGAAAAGGATGAGCCGATATCAATTCCGAGAGATTCTTTCACTGCTTTTCGTCTTATGTATGCGCCAGCAGATGAAGTCAGCAAACTTTCCCAATGTGTATTCTTAGGACCAGTGCCTGATTTATGGTGGGGTGGAGAGCAAATGGGTCTCTTTGCTAGTCTTTCACACTGGTGCAAAAGCCTGGTGAAACGTAACTTCAATTCCACCACACAGCTAGTCAATGCTGCTCTTCGATTGTACGAGCAGCTGTCGCCAGAAATTGTTTCGCAGCCACTAAGCGAAGATCTGCAGTTTCAAACGCTCTACAACAACGTTGCGGACTCAAAATTGCTGTCTGTGTATCGAAATGTCTTAGAGGACTCGGATTTTGAAGATGACCTGACTTCTCTGAAAAACCTCAACTTATACCAAATGGAGACTCCCGTATCATGTTGTGACGAAAGAGAAAGGATAACACCGAGAACAAGTACTTCAAAACAGCCACCTGTTCCAAATATCGCCGTTAACCTGACCCTTCTCCCGCTGAAGTCTCAGTCTCCTTCCTTGAGAAGTGGGGATTCGTCTCTCTTTAACACAGTTCCAGCGCTTACGCATCTGACTTCTAGTATTGGCCACAATCCGAAAGTACGGTTTGAGTCCGCTAGCAATAAACCTCTGCCGCATGATTCTTACATTTCTTTTACGCTTCCTACTCCAAGAAAGCAAGAGGAAATTGACGATACAGAGTATGCTCGCGTAGAGCATGACTTCATTAGAAAAATCAATCAGATCCATTATCTTGCATCGAAGTCCAAAAAGAAGGCTAGCCGGAGTAGGCAGTTAGTGAAAAAGAAAGTTACTGTCAACTTCTTGAAGAATTACAAGGCTGGTGATATCCTTCGCATAGACAAAATGCTTGTGACCATAAACAATGAAGGCATTGCAGAGCAACCCGGGACGAACTCGAATGATGTTACAACAAAAGATCGAATGCGTGAATACGACGTCCTTCTCCGCAAGGGGTCAAAGTCTGAATACCCGCTCGTGGTACAGCTCTACGACGTGTCGAGGAGAGGTGACTTTTCTGGTCGTCCTGACCACTCTCTTAATATCCAGCGTGAAACAACAGTTCATCTTTACTCGAGTGTGGAAAAATCTTTTCGGATCATTGATCCGCGTAAAGGTGGTCGCATAGTTTATATCATGATTCCACGCTACTCCAGTGCCTGCTTTATGTGGGATATCTCTTGTGCAAAGTATCTTGGGCGACATCTTTGTTCCAATAATTACTGTTAAAGTTGGAGGCACTGACATCTCTACAAGTTTTACTATACCGAAGGACATAATCATTGGAAAACTGGTTGTGGACAAAATGCTAAATTTGTATCCTCTCCAAAAGGGATATCGTGTTCAGTACGACGAGTTGCTAGATTTTTTGCTAACAAACATTCGTGAAAGATTCAACCAGCTAAGGCAAAAGCATACTGAAATCGCCGAATGGATGTCCAGGGGAGAAGACCCGTGGTTCTGCTTCAAGTTTTTCGACCGGCTCGAATGGGTTCCTAATGATAGCCGGACTTTCTTGGTACAAAATCATATACAGCGTATCAATGCTCAGTTGGAGATTAGACAGAAAACACGAACGGCTATGAGCATTACTACCCCCGAGGGTAAAACGGTAGCTCGCCCACACGCTATAGAAGGTTTTCTCTCAAGAATTACTAACACATCTGGAGAAAAAATATCCAATTTGCGTGCGTTCTTTAAGATCCAATATTTTCACACAGCCAAAAATGTTCTATTTTTTGGCAAGTTGTTTCTGGCTGTTCCACCTTCCCCTAAGAATGCTTTGATGGATACTGAGCTTACGCGTGAAAACATGCCTCGAATGCCGGAAGTTTTTCTCCGTAACCCGTTTGAGGTCGATGAAGATGGCCATATTCATTGGCTTGCCTCCGAGAAATTCGATGAATACGACCGAGAAGCTGCTGAAGAATTTAGTAGAAGAGTTCAGCAAGTTTTGAAGGCAGACGCGGCGGTAGACTTATGTTCGGTAAGAGAAGTTTCTCCAATACGACCAGAAGAAATTTCCAACCAAATCCTCTTCTTGCAATCGTTTTTATGGCATGCAAGTACTACTTTGATTAAGGATGAAAACCTTATGGACTGCGGGTTTCAAATCTTACTTTTGAATGGTAGCAGCTTGAAGTTACTAGCGCCGTCAAGATTCATAAGGGACCAATGGGTCGCCAGACTTGGCAAGCTTGTTGAATATTGGCGGGGAAGAAGAACGTGTACGCTTTTGAGTCAACTCGAAGTCAGACGAAGTAATATGGAAAAATTTGGGATCCAAGAACACGTTGACTCAAACGCCACAAGTGAACTCCAGGGATTTTTTTCTCAGTCATCATTAGCGAATGACGCTCTATTCACTATTGGTACGCTTTCTATGCCTACTAGCCTAGTACACAGTGGTTATGTATATCACAAGTTCAGAAAGCATTCTGATTTCAGCCAGCGTTTCCTAGTTTTAAGCCCCGGATACCTTCTCATTTTTAATTTGTTCAAAAGGTCAAAAGTTACTGGTGTTTGGAAACGAACGCCATGTTACGAGCATTACATGACTCTTCCATTATCACTGTGTTATGTATATGGCGGGGAGCTCACACTTCAAGATTTGGTTGACAAGAACGACATTCATGGACCCGGGCAGGACCAACTTGCACGGTTCTATCCCGATGGGTGGAAGTCTTCAGAGGAGGATACTGAGCGTTGTTTCACAATATGGTATGGTAAAAAAAGAAAACTTCGGTATGCTACTGGCAAGGATGCATTGGGTAATAAGGGAAAGAAAAATCCCCGATTTTTGACAATGGTACGAAAACTGGGTATGACTGGCAAAAAGATGGTTTTCATGTGTAGATCGAGGCAGGAAAGGGAGTTATGGGTACACAGTATTGCTACTGAAATTGATCGTTTCTCTGCGAAGTAAGCGTGCTTATGAAAGGTACTGCTGATGCCGTTCGTGACTTTGGTTTCGTCAGAGAAGTTTTATTTTGGCTCTAGATCAATAATCGGATATTAATATTAATTCAATCGGGTAATTATTAAGTTTAATGAATATGCAACTTCCCACGAATAGCGTCACGGATAGCCTCGTCATCAGAGTCGGATTCCGATTCAGAATCAGAGTCGATGGGCGAAGACATAGAAGGTGCGGGGATTTTATAAATATTCAATGGAGTAGTGGGACTTGAAGAATACACATATGTTCCGATTTGAGAAGCACTCACTGGATCCACGTTCTTCTGCTTGACTTTCGAAGAGTCTAAGAGCAGTTCACTCAACCACGTCTGATTCTTAGTTCGGAAAATTTCGGAAAGTTCGTTTTCAAGCACCAGGCTACTCAAATCATTCACTAAAGGGCCCACATCATTTTCAGGTATTTCGCAGTTTACGTGACTCAAATCGTCACGATTTTTATCTGCCACAGCACTAGTTTCCTGCGATTCATTGTCTTCCCATATTGGTGAAACCTGCGCGACGAAAGATGTCTTATCCGGGATAACCTCGGAAAGGGAAATAGTAGAAGAGAAAATCTCTGACGGGAACAGTAACAGCGAATCTGAGAGAGCAATACCCCATTTTTGAATGATGGATTCAACATCAGAAAAAAGTTCCACTAGTGAAATTGGACTATCAACAAAGTGAAGCTGAAGTACCGAGAAGTCGGGAGAGCCAATATGTTTTAGCTTCGAGAAGCTGAAGAATTGGGGAGCTTTATTCTCGCAGCATATTACTAAATCGTTGAGAAAAAGGTAAACAATTGCCTCAAAGTAGTTCTCTCCAATGGACACACGCAAGCGGTCAACCAAGCGCAATGGACCGACGGCCACGAGAAGCAAGTAGTTCATTTCGTCGCATGACTCGACCATTTGTCGGATGAAATGGCTTTTAAGATGGTCTAGTGGCACCTGTTCGTGGAGACTAATGCGGACAGAGACCGTGGCATTAGTGACGCTACTTGGAGCAGGGGAAGATTCACGCTCAAAAGGCTTTTCCCCTGCAAAAGATTTGAAGTCCAGAAACGGTCTGTGAAGAAAAGGCTTTTCAGAGGTGTCAAACAGACTAGCGCGGCTGAAGCGAAAGTCGCTTCTGCTGTCATAGTCATGACGTCCGCTAATGATGCTGTCACTTCTACGACTAGGAATGCTTTCAGTTTTTCCACTCAAGAGACTTGAATCACTGTCTTTGCGTATTTTTCTTTCGCAAACCTCCCTTTTATCGTCTTCTGATCCGTCGGGCCAATCGAGTTGTGTGAACTCCGACGCGGCTTCAGAAATGCGCCCAACTGTGGAAAGTTTCAACGCGAGCAAGGCGTCATCTACAAGAGTGGTAGTGATATCGTCGTCGATTACAACCACAGGCGCATTCTTTTTGTGCGCCATACAATGGGCGCCACCGCACGTTGGGAAAATCGCTGCTTCGACCTTAATGCTGGAAGAGCGGTGCGACAACCGGCCGCAAGATAAGGCGCGATGCAATCCGCACTCAGTCGCGGTAGAAAGACATTCGCTATGAACGCAGTCGCCGCAAGCGAGCGGCACTAATTTCTCGCACTCCAATTTCGTTTCCAATGCCTCGCCACAAATGAAGCATTTTTGACCAAAAATAGGCGCCTTGCTCGCAGCAACAAACGGGCGCACTTTGGGGCGGCTCTCCTCGGGAACAGGAAGGGAAGCCCCGTAAGATAATTTGCGGCGCGGCGCCGGAGGAGGTGGTGGAAGTGTTTCGTCTCCGAGAGCTTTGCCCACATGGTCGGTCAAGGGCGTAAAATACTCTGGCTGGCGCACCTCGAGCGGTGTCAAGAAACACTGCGACTCCGGCAGACACCCTGATGCGATACTGTATGGCGAATCGCTAAGGCGGCCGTTGAACGAGAGCAGCCTGAGCTTGGTTTTCCACCGCGCTAGGCGCATGCGTGAAGAGGGCGACGACAGTGGCGATGACAACATACGGCTATAAATCTGGCCCCAACGCAGCTATATATGGTTGCCCTTATGGGATCGGAGCTGATTGCAACGGCGTGTGTCTGATGCATGCGACAAGGCTGAAACTTCATGCGGCCGGCACAGATTGCCCCTGTTTCGGCTGATGCGTTTCGATGTGGCTGAGGATGCGTCTTTTGATGGTTTTTTGGGCGTGGGCATTAATGGAAGGGAGGTTTCTTGTGCAGGGAAGTGGCACATCAAACGCCACGTTATGCTTCATTTGGATGAGAGGCATGCACCCTGATGATCTTATGCACAATTTTCTTGCAGTTGCTTTATCGCTGCGCTTGCATATGTATCGCTCGATTTAGGGCGCGTGCACATGAGTCAATTGGTCTGGGCTGGAAAGGGTGCAGAGGAGGAGTCTCTTGCTTTCTTCAAAACTCATTCCGAGTTCCCACAGGTCAGTAACTTCGATACCCCACTGTTTCAAATACGGCAAATCCAATCGCGAAGTACTGAACATGTATTACTTTTTGATAGGTATGAAGCTGCAAACTAACTGAAACAGAAGTCTCGCGAGTATGAAAACGAGCTGCGCATGCACGCCAATTTCATTAACTAGATAAGCCAGACTTTCATATTTTTTCATGTACCTTGGCCCCGTCAGCCACACTGCAGCTGCACTTTTACATCTATCCTCTTAAATTTTGCCACAGTATTTCCTAGAGTGGAATCGTAATTACCCCCGCCACAACCCCTAAGGGGTAAATTGAGAGATAGGTATGCAACAATCTGTGTGGGGCTTAAGCATTAGCCACATGGCTCCAAAGTCCACGAAACCTTGCGATATCCCACATCCTTATAACCCGCATGTTCTACACTTCCTCTAGTCTTGAATTCTGACGAAAAAGACTCATACGCAGAAAGATGGCAAAATATGATATCTTCATACATGTTTCTCTTCGGGCCGTGTGGGGTTAAGGGGAACAGAGATTATGAACAGCACATAATCTCTTGCAAGATACGGGAGAGAGATTTTCTAGAACAAGACGAAAAATGATAAGCTTCTTTGCGTGAACAAAGGGTCCTCGTAAACAGCTCTGCTAAAATCGCTTTAGATTTCGTGCATCGAATCGGCCTTCTTACTTGCAAACATTTAAGTTTTTCTTATCGGTGGGGAAAGCCGCGAGCGAAACGAGCCTGGGCTGCATTCGTAATTGTTTACATTCGAAAGAAATAAAAAAAAAGACCTTCTATCTAGGTCTTTTAGGGGATACTACGTTCGAAGGCGAAATGAATTTCTAATACTCCCGTTTAATACATATTTTACTTGTGCTTGACCGCCGCAGTCATAGAGTTGGCACAGAAATTTCAAAGAGAGCGATATATGGTTTTACAATGAAAGGGTCCCGAATGAGCCAACTATTACTATAGTGGAAATAAACGACGAAGTAGTCTGGGTTTTATGTTGTAGATAAAATGACCTCCACATGATTTATTTTGATTGAAATAAGCGTATTTTCAGATCCTATGATCAATATTCTCTCCTCCACCCTTTACAACGGTAACACTACTAGTGTACCTTCAATGAAACTCTTAGGCACGCAAGTAAGACAGTTCTTTTAGTCCACTGTGAAATGCAATGGCCAGTAGTGTGCTAGATGCACACCTAATCAGTGCTAAGTCAGTGATCTGGTAGTGACTATCCAAGAGAGATCTGACAGCTCAATCTTTCGATAGAGACAGGTGGGTTGGGCATTCACATAAGTGACGTTTAGTTACAATGATGTATCGGGAATCGATCCTTAGAGAAGAAACCCTAGAGAAAAAGAGTGATCTTACAAACCCGTGTCATCTACAAGAAACGACTTTCACCAAATATACGTAGACGGTAACAACATACCTAGTTGCAATGTGTATCTTCCCAGTATCTCCGGAGTATGTTCGGAGTAATGTCCCGTCTAGAGAATACGGTTGTGCATATGCAAAACAGGTAGCCACTCTCAACATTCACCAATCGTGTATACAATGCCCAAGGTTCAGATTGGGGACAAGGCTATACACCCGTGCCTTCTGCACTGTATGTCCCACAAAGAACGTTCTCACTAAGTCTCCTGTTCTAAACAAATTACATCGTCATGAGTTCCAAAGATACGGATGACGTTTTAGATTTCATCAACTCCCTTCCAGACTCCAAGCGTAGCACACCCAAACCGGTTCCGCAATCGGAAACAGGAGACGACCTCTTGGATTTTTTGGATGAGCTTAGTGCTCACGAAAAAGCCGCAAAGCCAGTGGGATCATCTCGGGGTAAGTTCGAGCCGAAGAAGAGGGAGGAAGAGAAGCCAAAAACAGAAGAAGCAGCTGTGCCAGCTAAAGAAACTGCATTGAAAGAAACAGCCAATCCTCTGGCTGAAGCTGAAGATACCTCAAACACTCAGAATACTCAGAACGCCCAGATTCCTGCTGAAAAACCATCACCAGATGAAGCAACCAAGGAAATTCCTGCTGAAAAGTCACTGTCTGCTGCAACAGATGAAGCTGCAGACCCAATTGCATCCATTCTGTCGTGGTGGAATAACGAAGGCTCATCTAAAGTATCATCGTTTTGGGGATCCTTAACTTCCAATGCACACCAATTGGGAGAAACTACGTTCCAAATTGCGTCTACAACTTCTCAACAGTTGAACCACCAGCGCCACAAGTTTATTTCTGAGCATGCGGGTGCGTCAGACACAGAACAGAACATTTTGCATATATCAGACCGGTTGAACTCCATCTTGACCACTATGTCGCAACAGATCAAGGACGGCTTAATCGACAAAGAGGATGAGCTCTTGAACATATTGTTAGTGCATGACTTGTCCAACGTGAATTACTTGGACAGCGTATGCTCGCAAAAATTCAATAAAGTAATGAGCCAGGTCGAAGGAGGCATCAAAGTAACTGTGAACAACTTCAACCATAAGCACGAGCAAGAGGATGGTCTGCTGCGCTTTTACGAATTGGACATGTTTCATGGAAAGGCTATTGATGGCGAGAAATTGTGTTTCGCCAACTTGGAAAGTGCCATCAAAGATTATTTGAAAATCACTGGCGCAGAGACAGAAGCTGATGTGTCCTTGACCTCTGAAAAGAAGCTGGAAGAAGACAACGAAGACGCGAATGATAAAATCAATAAGTCAAACATCTTTATTGCTATCCAGCCGATCACAACTTCTACTAGTGACAATGAAGGAAGAGCAGAAAATGACGGTATTGCCTTGATTGAGGCCAATAATGCAGATTCCTTCTCTTTTACGATGATTTTGAAAGATATAACCAATAACATCACTATAATCAGCAAGACCCAGCCATTCCCATTGAAGTGGGTTCGCTGGGTTTCTGGAGACAGGAACGATATTGAAGCCGTTTTCGGCAGCGCTACTGATGAAGACGCGATTGATCCTGGGGAGTGGGTTAAGGAGTGGTTGCGTGACGGCTTATCCTTGTGTTTTGCCGTGGTGGCCCAAGAATATGTCACTAAGAGAATGGGTATTTAAGAGGCGTATGTTCGATATGACGGAGGCGTGAGTGTAATTGAGAATTGCAGATGTGGGTATGGATCGAATAGGGCAGAATATCATGTTAGCAAAGCTATTGTATCTTGTGATTGCGTTATTGAACCAAGCGATCATTGTATCAGAGTTCGAAAAACAGATAACGATTGTATCGATCTCTAATTACAATTCACCGAACAGCTACTCCTTGTTTCTACAATTTATCATTGAAAAATCCTGATTACCCATTATAGTGCCATCTATAAATCAAAAGAGGTCGGCAAACTCTGCTATGTGAGGGTGGACAGCAATTGCATCAGAGCGAGCCTGTTTTCTCGTCTCTGGTTGTCCCGCCACGTCTATATGTTCCATTCTGCTCTTCTGCGTCCCGCACGAGAAGTAGTTTTGCATGATTCGATCCAAGCCCTCGTCGTCTGTGGCAATTAACCGGTTTTCCCAGTCCACGATGAATGGTGTCAAGTCGTCCACAGTGTGATTGGCAATCTTGTCAAGGTATCCACTTTCGGACTCCAACACCAAATCTGCGACAAACTGCTTCCGCTTTGAATTATTCTTCACCTGATGGTCACAGAACAGATGGTTTGTCGCAAGCAAGTTTGGGAAGATCGCTTCAAAAGCCTTGGCGTTCTGCGGATGTATGTTGATGCATTCCTCGTGTACAAAACGGTAGGTGAGGTACAGAGGCAACCTGTTGGTGCGAACATCCAAGGAGTAGCGTGAGTTGGAGGCAAGCCTAGAAAGCAAGTGGTTGGAAAGTGTGGATGAAGGCTTGTGAAAAATAGTTACTGTTGGCGCAGAAGCGGTGGTTAGCCGCGAAAAGGGCTTAAGAAAACGGAGCGCCATGGCCAATCGTTGCTAGCAAGAATATATGGAAAGGAAAAAGAGTTGTGCTGATGTTAGCAGAGTTACCGATGAGCCATATTTATAAGACACAAAACGTGTTTGCATTATACGATAAGGGAGGGGTATTCTCCTGTATACGAGGAGGGGAAATTATCCGAAGCTGCGGCCATCAACTTTGGGCCAACAACTCTTGTGCAGGTGAGACTCCCCGCCCTCCCCTCCTGTTTTGCCCCATTCTTGCAGAGTAAAAAAAAAAAAAAGTGAAGGGCATTCTGCCCAACCGAAAAACTGCAATCCCCTCATTTGAGTTGTTTTGTCGTTGCATTTGGCGCTCGTACCACAATACTACCAGACGATGCTCGTTAAGCAACGATAAGGTATATGCAAGATCAATCCTCTGCCAGGGCAGATCGCCACTACTCCTTGTATGGCAGATAGTGTAAGGGTTGACAGCAACTCGCGTATTGATAGCCTTTGCCATATAAAAGAAAAAACACCTTGGTCTAGACCTACACAGCCTTCGGCCCGGAAAGAGCCGTTACGTATCTTTTTTTCATATTGTGAACTTGAACGCAACGTAAGGTGCGGCGCTGTACAGTCCGATCGAGATTCCATGCGATGAAGGTTGCGATAAGCATAGAACACCTTCGAAAGCTCAAGCGACCAGACTCGCATTCACATACCAAGTACACATCTATTAGCTGCGGATGTCAATAGAAGTGGTAATTTCCACGGTTCAGATATCAATTCTTACAAAAGTACCGATGATTGTTCAATGGATCGGTAGTACTTCCAGAAATAGTTGAAAGGGAATTTACGTATGGTAGTAGGGGGCTCAGTACTTCTCATTTCTTTTGATTTAGGTAGGATTCTTTCGATAACTGAATTTTTTCCTGTGGGATGCTTTAAGCTTTCGTCTAGATTTTACTCCTCCACAGAAATCCTTGAATAATTCAATAACCATCCCAGATTTTCATTTATGAAGCATGTACACATTAACTATTTAGATTTAACATACTCCATACCTCAGGCACAGTCAATGCCAGGTGTCAGCAAAGTCATTGTGATTTAAACCAAACTCTGAAAATGATTACCAACTACAATCGAATAATAATTGCGATGACATTCTATTGCATTAGTCTAAATGGAGCACGCTATACACCTAGACCATCTCTTTCGGGAAGCAATACCAGGGTGATTTTCGACTCATCATTTACACTTCGTAGCCAAATACTTCTGGGCGTCGGTGGTCAAACACAGGCAAGTCCCTTCTAATGCGTTCCACATGGTCCAAATCAACATCTGCCGTCACAATCTCGTAGTAGTCTCCATCAGAATCAGTCTCACCTCGCTCATTATACGTCGGCGCCTGCGCCAACACTTCTCCCCATGGACCTATCACCACAGTCTGGCCATAGCTGACACGTGGACCGCCACCCTTCCGTTCTTCAGGTGGCAAGTCTGCCTCCACATCATGGGAACCGCATTGAGCCGCCATAACTACATAACATTGTGAATCTATCGCCCGTGCCCGTCCCAAAGCAAGCCAATGCGCCTCACCCGTCCGTGTGGTGAAGGCCGAAGGGTATGTGAGAATATTGGCGCCCAAGCGACGGAGACGGAGTGCAAGCTCTGGAAAGCGGATGTCGTAACAGATAGCAAGACCCACATGGAAGTTGCTCCACGAAGCATTGTTGACAGGAAATGGCTGCAAAAGCTCCATGCCCGCTTCTACAGACCGCGATTCTTGCAAAACTGGCCCGTTAGTGATGTTCACATCAAAAAGGTGGAGCTTCAGGTAGCGGTGCAAAATGCGGCCGCGGTTATCAATCCACAACTGGTTATTTTGCACCTTGGCTTCCTTATCATGGCCTGGCTCATGCACTCCCAACGCCACAAAAATCCCTCTGTCCTCTTCTGGACCCGACGACTCGTCAAACAAACGCTTAACCAGCTGTTGGACATGAGAAATAAAGTCTGTATGCGAGCGACTCGCCAAGCGGCGCGAGTGCGCTGCGTCTCGGGATATGTAATCAGCAGCTTCAGGAAGAAACAAAACTTTGGCGTTTTGGGCAGCGGCAGCAGCGACGAGTTTGGCCACCACTCGGGCATTTTGCGCTAAGTCTGCCGACGAGCACATTTGCCCAGCAGCGATTTTCAACATACCCATTTTTCAGTCACGATTGTGTCAATGAAACTGCAGTTAAAGTTGCAGCCAAAGAAAAGTAGCAGTAGTGTAGTACCAGGGTGTGGCAGGGAAATGTGGTTTTTGGACAATTGTGGTTCAGCCGTTTGAACCGACAGCGATTGCTTACCAAGAGCCTGGGAATTGAAGTTTTGAATGTAAATAGAGTGTCTATAACAGAGAATATCTAGCAAGTAGACTTCTTGTGACAGAGTATCGGTATTATTTGATCAACAATCCGTTTGTCTCTCCTATCACCTAATCGCGCCGTCTATCACGTGCACGGGTCTGTTTGGCAACTCAGCAGGAAACGGGACTCGAACAGTGGACGTGAAAGTGCCATTTCACGGAGATTCCCCTAACCGCAAAGGAGGAAGGCAATCCAAGATTGTGGTTCAGTTTGGAGCGGGGAAATGAAGACTTGGTGTCTATTGTTGGACATTGTGTGTGCAGGGCACAAACACTGTGGTTGTCGCATGTTTATTGATGCGAGATAGGCACAAGAAAAAAGAACCATGTGAATGTAGCGAAAATACTGTTTGCTCATGGCTCCAAATCCAGCACTAGCACGATTTCTTTGGCTCGTTTGCTAATGCTTTTGACCTCCTAAAGAAACATTAAAGATTTACAAGATTCTCTATCATTAACGTAACATCATGTATTGGACTATATTCTCTGGCTTAAGCCTTGTTCACTGGACCAGCAGTAAAAACTTCATCTGACGAAAACACAGTAGGTTCAAATGGTTGCTCAGTAGCCGAAACGTCTTCAGCCAGGAACGCATCGTCGTTGGATACGAGGTGGCGGTTTTCGTGGTCGACATTGTTGAAATTAATGCAACGCTGTCTTGAAGAGAAAAACCGACTAGCTGGTTGTTGAGCGTAGGCTGGCATCCAGCAGCGGGAAGCAGTCTTAAAAGTGGCGAGAGACAAGTATTGCTTGACCATGGTATGCTATTATTGTGTATGTGAGAGAAATGAAGGTGTGTAAATGCTGAAGAGGAAAAGGGAAGTGATTGTGGGAAAAATCTTGTCCTTATATATGCTGGAGAAACAGCTCCGATAGCCCGGCCTTGAGTCACGAATGATTCATCTGCGTCGTCCTGCAGAATACGGTGCAATCAAGCCACTGGATGCATTTTTGGTATGCCGATTTGGTGCTTTGTTCTTGTCCTTTTCACTTTTTTAACTTGTTGCTTGTTTCTACAAGCCAGTCTTTTTGCCCTTGACCAAATTTTCTTTCATTTTCTTTCTTTTGTAACGTTGGTTTCGCTCATGAGACAGAATAGTGTGATGACGCACGCTGATGTACCCCGGATCTGCGCTTGTATGACACACGACTATTTTCTGTCCATACGGGATGATTATGGTCCGATTCCGCGCTCTTAACCAAGGAACATTCCCTTTCCACCGGTGCGAACAGTTTCACATGGCGTCGCGGAAGGAGAAGCACAATTACAATGGAACAGTAACATAACCAAACCACGGTTGTCTATTCTACTGCATTACCACGTTTACAATTTTTTTCAATTAATTTTTTTCTCTCAGCATTGCCGCAAACCAAAAGGTATTAGGTCACGTGCACACAGTATCGCACAGTGTGCTTTTCCATTTCTCCGGACCCCGGTCCTTTTGTCCGCGGCAAAATCTGGGGAATCCACACTACACATTTTTTCTGAAAAAACAGACGAGAACAGCTCAACATGGGAACAGGCTGGGAGCTAACAAAAGCTCTAAGAGAAAAAATATACCAGTATGCCACGTATCCACAGACGTCTGTTAGCATTCGCCAGATGGTTCAGTTTGGTCCGTCGCCGTCGCCTGGCTCCATTTTTTTGGCTTCCCGCTTCATAGTCGAAGAACTACCTATTCGTCTTGCGTTGAAAGTGAAGGACCTAGAAAACTCTCCGATGGGCCTTCTGGAAATGCCATCCACCATCAAAGTCAAGAACTGGTACGCACAGTCCTTCGAGGAACTCACATCATTGCCCAAACCACATGTGGACGAAAAACTCCACCAGATGTTGTTCAACAGCGACTCCGCACAGCGGTTGAAAGGTGGAGACAGAGATTTTCTGGGTGTGGCTGAAACTTCTAACTTGGCACAAGAACAGAAGTCTAATCCAGCCGTCAACAATGAATTTTCTGATGATGGCATTGTAGTGAGACATTCTCCGTCGTCATGGGCGTCATCTTCTTCATCTGCATCCTCTTCTTCACAATCGTCTCTTGCGTCTTCCACTACGTCAGCTTCTTCTTCAGTGAGATCTGACTCTCCCACCTACGGCTTAACTTACTTCAATCCTTGTCCCATGAACATTGTTTGGCCTAAGGAAGTCTATGACTACAATAAGTTGGTCTACGATGCACTCACAAAAATAAAAAAAAGACACGATGCCACTGTTGCTACAATGGCCCAAGGTGTTCAAGAATGGAAAACGGAACATAAGTTAGTGACAGTGAACTCGGCCATCCAAACATTTTTGGATCGTTTCTATATGCTGCGGATCGGCATCCGTATGCTTATTGGACAGCATATTGCCCTCAACATGTCACAAGCTTCTCCTACAAGACAACGTCTACTGACTTTGATCAATGGCTCTAATGGCAATAGCAACAAAAACGGTAAAAGCAATTATGTGGGAGTCATTTGCACAGAATGCAATGTCAGTGAAATTGCTGAAGACGCTGTGGAGACTGCAAAATATATTTGTGAAGAATACTATGGCCTTTTCGAGGCGCCTGAGGTGCAGTTGATTGCACCACAACTGCTGGTGAGCTTTATGTATGTACCAGGTCACCTTATCCACATGTTTTTCGAAGTTTTGAAAAACTCACTTCGTGCTACTATTGAATTCCATACCCCTCGTCTCAAGCGGGAGATGATGGCCGAAAACCCAAATCTCAAAGAAGATGATATCGATATCAACGATTTGACATTTCCACCTATAAAAGTCATCATCAGCGAGGGCTCAGAAGACATTACTATTAAGATCTCCGACGAAGGTGGTGGTATAGCACGGAGTGAGATTCCATTAATTTGGACCTATTTGTATACCACGATGGATAAGACACCTACTTTGGATGCAGAGTACAATCAGACCAGTTTTAAGGCACCAATGGCAGGATTTGGGTACGGCTTACCAATATCACGGCTTTATGCCCAGTATTTTGGAGGTGACTTGAAGCTTATCTCTATGGAAGGCTATGGTACTGATGTGTACATTCACTTGAACAAGTTGAGTAGTTCACTGGAACCGCTTCCTTAAGTTATTCAGACAGAGAAGCTTGATGAATTCAAATCTTTTCTGAAAAGACACGCTTGGCTCAAATAACGGAGCCAGAAACGAAATTTAGTGACATGACAAACCTAGTTACATATACGTGACGATATACTTACGATAGTTCTACAATGCCAATAAAAACCATCTCACCTCTGAACACAAATGACTGTGTGGAAGAATGTAAAATCACAGTTACCATAATAACCAACAGCGACGATTCCTGTAGCCATAAGTTCACATGACATTAGTTTGTGAATCAATTTGATAACCTAACCCATTCGTTATAAAGTATTATTTTTTCTGGAAAGTTTACTCGCAAGCAACCTTTCTACATAGAAAGAATATAGGAGATAAAAGCTCAGCAAAGATATTAGGAAGGGCTATTGTTCTAAGTTGACCCGAGGATGCAAGTGTGGGGTGCGACTCAATATTTCTTTTTGAGTCACAAGGCAAATTTCCATTCCTCGGAGTGTGGAAGAATCCACACAATTACAAATTCGAAGGAAAGGATAATACCCTACCAGAAATAGCTGCCCTTGCAAGTGATACCCCCCACTTTTCGAAACCGAAATTTCTTTCCTTTGATAATTCTCCACTAGCAAAGTAGACCCTTGTGACCAGTTTTGTGTGCACTCCCCCAAGCTCTGCATTATCAACAGATTCTGAGGGAAAAAAAAAAATCCATATTCAATTTTTCTTCACCATGTCAACACCCAGAGCAAAACCATGGGAGGTTTCTAGCGGCACATCTACAGCAGCAGTGTCGGGTAGTACCACGCAGGCGCCGCTTGGTTCGGATTCAGAAGCCCCAGCGGCAGTTCCAGAACGTCCAACTTCTTTGACTGATCCGTCTTCCAGCTCCTCTTATAACTACGGCCAAGCGTCGTCAGGATATGGCTCCACTGGGTATGGTACCGGTTATGGTGGTTCTAGATATGGGTCAGGCTTAGGTGGCTCCATGTACGGCTCTGGATACGGCTCGTCTATGTATGGAGGTTATGGTTCAGGTATTGGTGGCTACGGTTCCTCTATGTACGGTGGCTACGGCTCAGGAATGGGCGGCTACGGAGGCTATGGATCAAGTATGTACGGAGGATACGGCGGTGGCATGTATGGACCAAACGGAATGCAAGGCCCTGGTGGAATCGCCGAAGGCACACAGGCCACGTTTCAACTTATCGAATCGATTATTGGTGCCGTCGGCGGGTTTGCGCAGATGCTTGAAGCTACGTATATGGCTACTCACTCTTCATTTTTCACGATGGTGTCTTTGGCAGAACAGTTTGGCAACTTAAAGAATACATTGGGTTCACTTTTAGGCATATTTGCCATCATCAAATTCGCCAAAAAGCTACTATACAAGATCTCCGGCCGCACTTATAACCACGGCATCAGTGCGGAGGATTTTGCCAAGTTCCAGAATAAACAAAAGAAGTTGGAGGAAAGTCTCCGCAAGTCGCCACAGGGTGCCAAATCCCGCATCTCCTTCAAACCACTTTTGTTGTTCTTGGCAGCCTCTATTGGCTTTCCATACTTACTCAGCAAGGCAATTCAAAAGCTCAATGAGCAACAACAATCGCAACAGCAGAGAAGACTTCAAGAACAACTGGGCATGGCTGCAGGCACCCGTAACCCTCTTGATCCCAAGAACTTGGAATTTGCTAAAGCGATTTATGAGTTCAATCCAGAAAATCCAAATGTGGAGATCGAGCTAAAGCCAAAGGAACTTGTGGCCATTTTGTCAAAATTGGACCCTCTCGGCAATGAAAGTCAGTGGTGGAAAGTGCGTTCTCGTTCAGGGAAAGTGGGCTATGTTCCTCTGAATTATTTAAGCATCATTGAGCGGGCACCGAAACAAGTCGAAGCTTCGCTGTCGGACCCTGTGGCCACGAAGTTTGTCGATGAATTCCAGAAACAATAAGGAAACACGCACATGTGTCATGGGTCAGGCCGTTTGTATCTTATCATTATCCAGATACAGATATGTAATATTTAAATCAACGGATGATGCAGAAAGGACTGGATACAATATTAGGAAGTATTATATGCCGCTTAGTTCACTCCTTTAGTCACTTTCAACGATTTTCTAGGTCAAATTAAAAAATTGACCTACTGGCACATAAAATACCTACTGGTGCATATAATGTAACCGACTGCTCTCTTGAGTTTAAATTAACCACTGGCATCATTTCTACAATTCATCTTTTAAATAAACTTCATTTCAGTACTCATATTTTATCTTCCGACAGCGTCGTCTGGGCGCTGTTGCTCCAACTCGACCTTAGAACCCTTGTCAGCCAAACTCTCGTATCCAGCGTGATTGGCCTCGACTCTAGCTCTTTCCTTGGCCTGGACCGCCGAATCCTTAACGTCTTCGGCCTTGTCTCCCAAAGTTTCCTTTGCTTCTTCGGCCTTGTCGCCCAAGGTCTCCTTGGCATTCTCAGCCTTTTTGCCCAAAGTTTCCTTGGCTTCTTCAGCCTTGTTGCCAGCTTTGTTTAAAGCTTCTTGAGCACTAGGAGCATCCTTAGTGACAGATTCGGCAGTTTCAATGCCGTCGGCCAAAACCTCGCCAACCTTCTTGTTGGTGATATCTAGGGCTTCCTTAGGATTAGGCACGTTTTCTGAAGCTTTCTTCGCTGTGGTTTCAGCAGTGTCAATGCCATCGGCCAATACTTTGCCCACTTTCTCGTTGGCCTTGCTTAAAACCTCTTTGGTTTTACCAACCACAGATCTTGATGCAAGGGAAGTTGAAAATGCTCTAGTTGCGGTGGGCGCGTAAGTAGGTAATCTGGAAAGGGCAAGTCTGAACATGGTGAATATTTTATAATGCTACATAGAAGCCTCTTATGGAGGGCAGCTAGTATTTATATCTCTGCAATAGCAAAGATTGCTTCCATAATCTCTAGGTCACGAGCGACAGCAAGTAGCAAGCAAGTGTTAAGGCGCGCAATACATACTCGTGTCGCTTATATAACTGAATATATAATATGTGGGGGTATCATATACTACAAATGCGCCGAAGGTTCCGTCCTGTCGCTTATTGTGTCCGTCGTAACATGATTTTAGATATGTTGTATGACATATTCCATTATCCCACTGCGTATGTATTATGATGAGGATTGAAATTGTGGGAGTGCATTTAAGTCACTCGCTAATTGAGTAGCAGTGACGTATGTAAGAGCTCTGCCCTCTAGCCAAAGAGACGGTTATAATTGCAAACCAAATTTAGATTTGTAAGATAACTATTATGGGTTATCTCGTGGCAAATAAAAAATATAGAAGTGGTTTCGTGGTCTAGTTGGTCATGGCATCTGCTTAACACGCAGAACGTCCCCAGTTCGATCCTGGGCGAAATCATTCTTTTTTGGTATCTTTTTTTTTTTTTGCAACTTCGTATTGTGAATGCAATGCCAAACTCCAACTGAGGTGTTGTCAATTGGATAATGTACTATGATCCACATTGGTATCCGCACTTGAAATGAGTAATTAGATATTGAGAGGTGCATGCAGTTACTTGAAAGAAGTACCTCATTTGTAGTTTTGACCTACACATTTCAACACTAATTCGTTTTAATGGATTGTTAAAGCCTTCGGTCGCTCTCAAAAGATTGAATCTGTTTATCATTATCTTCCATTTTCTCTTTTTCTGTGCTATTTAAGTGTGCTTCTCCTTTGTTGTAGTTTTTCTTTTCACTAGTCCGTTAATGTTGTTCACTGGTATAGTCTTCTCGCTAATCAGTGCAGTGATGTTACTCGTGGGTTGAGTTCTGGTCTCATTCGGCGCACTAACACCGTTTGTTGTTCGTGTTCTCTTTCTAATTAGCCCACTTATATTATTGACTTCGGGCTTCCTTTTCTTCACAAGTCCGCTCACATTATTGGGTTCCACCGCATGCTTCAAGGTTTTAAGGGAATCACTGGCGGATACATCAGTTTGCCCTTGTACTTGCTTCTTCTTCCCATCAACTCTTAACGGTGAAATATTCACGCCAAGCCTGCGAAACATTTCCGGTAGACTGTAGCGAGTTAAAGATTGAATGTCTTCCTTGATGCTAAAATTTTGGCCTTTGATGAGTTCGATGATTCTTTTGTATGTCCGCAAAGAAACGACAGTTGCATTCTCCGCTTCCGAAGAAAGTGCCTGTTCGAATTTTTGAACGCACCCAATTATTCCCACTGTGTTGCCCAATCTGAATTCCTGTCTGTATCCCAACTCATTCCAGAATTGAGTTTGAGTGACATTTTTGTACCGTCCTTCAACAATCAAATGCTCTAAAAATCTACCTTTGGGGTCGTCAGGGAAAACTGGGATGCGGAACACGGCCAAGTCCAGATTGTCGTCCGTGTATATATTGCCCACGCTCCAGTTCGATGCCTTTGGCAAATAACGTCTCACTTCTTGAGGATCAGAACCAGGGATGTCAGCCTTGCAATCCCAACAGTCACCAAGAGATTTATGGAGCACTGATATCCACCATTTTAAAAGACCATTGCCATCTGCAACGTGCTTCCCCGGGTTCTTCTCCGATTTGGGAAAGATATACGCGTTGGCGGAGCGGGTAAACAATGAAAGGCTCGTCGAAATTGAGTTGTAATTCCATCTCTTGTCTGTCGAATGGGCACTTGTTCTCGAAAGAGGCAAATCCCTAGCATGATAAAACAGGATAGAGTCGTAAAAGGCAGGGTCAGATTTGAGCTGATGGCTGAGATCCATAAGCGTGTTGACAACGCTGAATTCACTTTTCTTAGCGGATGCGGTCGTTTCTGTCTGGTGTTGTTTGCGCCAAGAGACGTTGGCCAAGTAAGCATCTGGGGCCAAGGAAACCAAGTACTTGATGAACTGGGCAATGATACCTGCCGCGGATAAGCGGCGCGTTCCCAATCCGCTTGTATCCGCTTTGGACACGAAGAAATGTCTATGGAGTACTCCGTTGTCACAGGTGAAATATACATACACTTCGACGGCTAGCACTAGGCATTGTGACGCTTCTTCGACAACGTATAACAAATGCTTCAGCTTCAAAGTCGGAGGACCTGACACAATTAGTGGTTTTACCTGGTATGCTATAGTGCGTAAATGCACTACATGATGGAGCCCTTCTAGATACGGAGAAAACTCCATTGGAGCTTAGATGGTGACGTTGGAGAACACGTTAGCGCGCGTCGCAAAGAACTTCTGTGCAGATTCAAAGTGCGCTAACTATGAATAGTAAGTCAAACCTTGGACATAAAGATAAGTCAGTGATATGCAGATAAGCTGAAATGTCTCCATCCCTTTTCATACTGCCCCATTTTGAAAATGTATTATGCTATACTGGTGTTATCCTGAAAGTTGTTATTCCTTTTGCTTCATACATGACATCCGTCAGTCGTGTTCTTGGTCTCAGGAATTCGAGAAGACTGTAGCACCAAAAACTTGTAATAATATTCGCCACGGCGATTCGCTTCGCCTAGCGCCTTGAAATATGGTTCTTGTGCATGCGTCGTCATTAGTACTTGCACGACTTTTATTTTCTCCGTATCTTTAGGCGCTATGAGGGTCATGGGAGATACTGGATTTCCCCGCATAGGAAAATGTTTACTTTCAGTTGAACTTTTTCGCCCTTTGTAATCTCTGGGCAATCTGTTTGGAGGTGTCACGTCAGAAGAGGCGGAACCTCAAGCCAGATGCGAAACGGAATGCGATATCAAGCCGTGGGTGTAGTGCATGCACTACTGTTGATAACGTGTGAACACGCATCCGGCTTCTTGATTGGGTGTGCAAACCTATCAAAATCGTACATGCAGTTCACTATCAGGTATCACTCGTATCTTCCCCGAAAAAAAGAAATGCACACAACATCCTCGCAGCCACTATATAGTCTTGGCCTCTTGCCCCTTCGGTGTCGTAACTTATCGTAGCGAATGTACTAAAGACTCAGAAATGTCAATGTTCTCTCCTAAAGTCTCTAAGCGAGACCCCGAGCTCCATCCGGTCAAGTCTCAAGTTGTTATCGATGACTTGCGTATCCAATCTGTTCTTTCAAACCAGTCGGTTGTGTTGAACATTGACCATGAGGTGGACTCGGATGAAGCCATGATCTTGGCCTTGGGTTACAAGCAAGAGTTCAAACGTGAGTTCTCTATGTTTTCTATCTTTGCTGTCTCTTTTTCCGTTTTGGGTTTGCTTCCTTCTGTCGCCTCTACATTTGATTACCAACAATTGGTGGTTGGTGCTTCTCCTTTGCCTTGGCTTTTCGCAATGATAGGTGTCACGGCTGTTGCCTATTCTATGGCTGAGGTTGCTTCGGCTTTCCCAACTTCTGCCGGTACTCCGTATGCCGTGTCTCAGTTGGCACCTAAAAAAGTGGCTCCCTTTTTAACATGGCTCACTTGTTTTTCTAACTGGATGTGTCAAATCACTGGTGCCCCTTCTGTGAATTACACGGGTGCGTGGTTGATGTACTCTTTGGGTTCCTATAATACTGGGTTTGTGCCAACCAACGGTCAAGTTTATGGATTGGCAACGGCCATTATGTTCTCGCATGCAATCATTTCGTCTTTGCCAACACGTTTTTTGGCGCATTTCAACAACGCTGGTACGACCGTCAATATGGTATTTTTGGTGATTGTGTTCATTGTGATTTTCGCTGGAAACGACAGAGTCAACATGTATGATGGAAAGATCCCCAAGTTTAACTCCAATAGTAAAGCCTGGAGCTTTACTAACCAAACGGAGTTTCCTTTGGGTGTTGCTGTTGTCTGTTCTTTCCTCGGTGTCATCTGGGCCATGTCCGGTTACGACTCGCCTTTCCACTTATCTGAAGAATGTGCCAATGCAGCTGTGGCAGCGCCAAGAGCCATTTGTCTCACGGCTACTTTTGGTGGCTCGGTCGGCTTCCTTTTCATGTTGGCGATTGCATACACCATGGTTTCCATCGAAGATGTGGCCGCGGACCCATTGGATTTGGGCCAGCCTTTTGTCACATACTTGGCTCAAATCATGTCTAAGAAGTTGGTGATGCTTTGCACAGCCTTAACTGTCGTCTCTTCATGGTTTATGGGTTGCTCTTGTATGTTAGCCGCTTCCCGTGTCACGTTTTCTTACTCCAGAGACGGACTTTTCCCTTTCTCCCGGATTTGGTCTCAGGTCAACCCAAGAACGGAGACTCCCATCTACGCGGTGTGGATCAACATGCTTTTGGGTCAGCTTTTTTTGCTCTTGATGTTTGCAGGTGATACTGCCATTGGAGCTATTTTCTCTGTGGGCGGTATTTCGTCAATGATATCTTTTGTCATGCCAGTGTTTTTTAGAATCACCACATCCTACGAGACTTTCAAGCCGGGACCTTGGAACTTGGGAAAATATTCTCGCCCCATTGGTATTGTTGCATGCGCCTTTGTCATCATGATGGTGCCATTCTTGTGTTTCCCTACGGTCAAGGGCAAGGACTTGGATGCTAACTCTATGAACTGGACAGTGGTGGTCTACTTTGGGCCCATGTTGATTTTCATCATCTGGTGGATTGTCGACGCACACAAGTGGTACGTTGGACCTAGACCTAATATCGGCGAGTATATGGTTCAAGAGCCCTCAGACAATGTTGAAATCTTGCAAGGGGTCGTAACGAGCAAGGACGAAAGCTCGACGGAAAAGAAGGAATAAATAACAATTTAATACTATACAATGTTTGCACGAGAGTAGCAGTGGTGTTGGACAAGAAGCGTCTCCTACCATGCCCGCGAAATGCATGCAAGAAACTTCTTCGCTCCACGAGACGCAGGGACATGGAGTCGCGGGCCCAATACTTATTACTCGTCGGATATTTCCGGACACAGTACTGTATTGGTGGCTGCTGCACTTGTGCATTTCAGTGCTTTGTTCCGGTTTTATAAGAAAATTTCTTTCCCATACTGGTTCTTGAATATCCCCCAGTGTCTGGTCCAGCGCCGTGTTCGGATAATCTTTCTCTTGTGGCACATTTCCCCAGCACGCTCGCCTCTCGGGCATGTCGTCCTGCACCAACGCAATAATTACCCATGTGGGCACTCTATGTCCTGTCTATTATCTAGTGGGTCATAAGACTACTAGCTGATTCAGGCATACATTTAGTGAAGAATCTTCCCAGCACAAAAGTCAAGTTAGAACTTCAGTGAGACTTTAAAGTCTGGCACGTCTCTACCACCAATTTATTCCGCGTTCCGACCTCTTCCGCAGGCCCATTTACGCCCCCATCCTGTCCGGACTTTCTTTTCACTCGGTTTTTTTTCCATCTCCACCTTGTTCAACGTCGGATTCAGCCAGACTATTTTGCATTGTTGACGCTCACCTCCCAAGCGTTCAAATATCTTCGAAAATCCAGCACCATGCAGTTTCATTACATGGCTCCGTGGATTCCCTGCTTTACGTCTGCCATCGAGGGCGAGTTGGCGGCAAAAGACCATAAACCACCTTTCACGCTGTTCCAATTTGCATCGGTGGACACAGATGGTTTTCCTCATAACAGAACTGTGGTTTTCCGTGGTTTTCTCTTTGATAATAAGAGTAATAATGTCTTGACGTTTTGCACAGACAAACGTATGGGCAAGTACGAGGAGTTGCTTCACAATGACAAATTTGAAGCGGTGTTTTACTTTGAAAAAGTCAAGAAACAGTTCCGGTTCCGCGGCCGTGCCAAGATCATCGACGATAACCACTCGCCCAACTTGGACTTGACTGTCATCCAGCCTAAGCATATCATCGCTAGCAGCATGAATTCGGAGGATTCCTCGGACGAAGACGAGGACTCCGAAAGTGAGCTTCGCATTACTGTTGCCTCGTCTCGATCATCTGCGTCTCCCTCCGAAGACCTCGACGTTTCGCCGCAACAAAGACCCATTCATTTCCCCATAATTTCGCCGTCATTGTTGCTGAACATCCAGCAAGAAAACTCAGCCATTTCGTTCTCATACCCCAATTTACACGAGCTTAGTGGCATAGACTTCAAGCCTCCCACTAAGGAAGAGTGGGATGGTGAGATTGCTAGAGTGTGGAACTCTCTTTCCAAGGGACTCAAGCTGTCGTTTAGAAGACCTGCACCAATGCTGCCAGTTACTGATGAAAACCATAATCTCATGGACAAGATCAGCCGAGGTGTGGACGGGAAAAAGGAAGAAAGTGGCATGAAAAACTTTGCTGTAGTAGCCATGTTTATTGACCAAGTCGACTACTATGAGATGGAGAAAGAGCGCAGGTATATCTATGTTAAGGACGACACCCATCTCTGGAGCGAACAAGAGGTATGTCCTTAATTCTGTTACGTGGGCTTAATCCAGTTTATATCCTCAATGAATTGTTACGACGGAAGTAAGTTTTGTGACTGTGCTTCCCAAATGAGTTAAGATACTTAGATTGCAGGGAAGAAGCGAATAGAAAAGAAAAATTTAAGGAAAAGGAACGGAGATGAAATGATTAGCATCTCGTTTTCCTCGAACGGTTTTTTCTTGTCTCGTTTCTGGCCCATATCGCTTTTAAGTCGCAAGAGAACAAGAAATACGGCGCGCAATAAAACACGCACTCCGCGTTTTTTGCCCAAAGATTTGCACTGTTGTTTACTCTTTAAATTCCCTGCTACATCTTTTTTTTCTCTCTTGTCAGAAATGCCTCCAAAAACTACTTCAGTATCTTCAAAGATGACTTATAAGGGTATGTCCTATTTTGAGCAGCAGAGAACTTTTAACGGTATATTCCTGCTTTTTTTAATAACTTCGCTAACATCAGACATGATTAAGTCCGCCATCATCTCTTTGAAGGAAAGAGCTGGATCCTCGTATGTGTGAATCTTGCTCAATTGAGTTTCGTATTCATCTGTGATACTAACCATTTAGTCGTCAGGCAGTCAAAAAATACATTTCTTCCCATTTCCAAATCAAAACTGCTACATTCGACTCATTGTTCAATTCTGCTTTGAGAAAAGGTGTTGAGGCCGGAGATTTTTCCCAACCCAAAGGACCTTCTGGTCCCATTAAAGTTGTTAGAAAAGAGAATATAGTGGCCCCAAAATCTTCCAAAATTGTGAAGAAGAAATCCTCCCCAAGCGCTTCCCGAACAAAATCTGCTACTACTTCCAAACCTCTGCCATCAAGTAAAGTGACAAAGACAAAAGTTGCGAAGTCCAAAACAGTTCCAAAGGTTGTGTCGAAACCTAAAGTGAGTAAACTGAAGACTGCTGAGAAGTCTAAAGCCGCTTCAAAGGCCAAGGCTTCTTCAAAGACTAAGGTCTCATCTAAAACTCAAGCTGTTTCGAAAACCAAAGCACCTTCTAAGCGTGTCGTGAAACCAAAACTGCTGGTGAAAATTGTTCCGCTCGCGTCTACTAAAGCTAAAAAGACATCCAAGACGACTCTGAAAGTGAAGAGTGCATCTAAGAAAGCCGTTTCAAATGCCTCTGGAAAGGTCACCAAACCTAAAGCGGCCCCTAAGAAGACGACGACGAAGAAAGCTCCAGTGAAGAAAGCTCCAGCGAAGAAAGCTCCAGTGACAAAAGCACCATTGAAGAAAGTTCCAGAGAAGAAAAATGCAGTGAAAAAAGCCACGAGGACTAAGGCTTGATAACTCTGGACCCTTTGTCTTATAGACCGAAACTATGTGTACATTAGAATTCTTTTTTTTTTTTTTTTTGTGTGTGTTGGCGTGAGCCACGGGAATTCATACCCAGTATACTTCCTACTTGTCTTACTACTTGTCTTACTACTTCCATTTTGAAGGCCCTCTTTTCTGGTTTTTTGCCCTACCTTTGTCTTAATATAATTGAAATGTTGTTTTTTTTCTGTCATCATTGAATTTTAAGCTCTAACTTCCATGTAGACCTCCATATGTTCAGTTGTGAACCTGGCAGACTGTTGTTCATACTGCATGGCTGCCTCATAATAAGTGCACGCGTCTCTTCAACATGGTTGCATCACATACATATGATAAAGTCGTTGAAGCCTGTTACGTCCGTCATTGTTGCGGCTTTACTGCCTAAATATGGCATCGGTGCACAAGGAAAGCTTCCGTGGAGATTGAAACAGGAAATGAAATACTTTAAGGATGTCACCTCTGCTGCAAGAGCAGGTTCAATCAACGCGGTGGTGATGGGCAGAAAAACATGGGAATCTATTCCTAAAAAGTTCAGACCTTTGCCAAATAGACTCAATATTGTTTTATCGAGATCGTTTTCGAATGAGGAAAAGGATGGCGTTCTCTATTTCAACAGTATCGACTCCATCATGTCTAACTTGGCCCAAAGCAATTACTGGTACCATGATAAACCTATAGACAAAATCTTCATTATCGGAGGAGCCGAGATATATAATTCAGTGATGAAAGGGGATTTGGTTGATAATTTGTTGGTTACGAACATCAGGTATGTCGGAAACCCTGAGGCGGAACCAGTTTTAGACACATTTTTGGACTGGGACATGTCTTTGTGGGAACAGAGTAATGTCTCCCGTATAAGAGAATTCCTGGACGTCGAATTTGAGGAGGGAATAATCAAAGAGGGTGACTATGAGTACGAGTACACAATGTGGGAAAGACGTAAATAATAGTGCAAATGCTTAGACAAAGACATTTAATTTTTGTGGTTATGCGTTACCAAATACTATCGGATCAAGTCCGACTTTTGTTAGCATGCTAATAATATTTCTACTAATGCTCTTACTTTAGTACGCGAAGTTGAGAGATTCGTAAGAAAGGCGGTTCCCTTCCATCATTGAATCATACTCAAGATCAAGATGCTTTCAGTTTATTCTTGGTAGCGAAGAAAGAATGATGACAAACCACCTACGGTTTTATTAATTTATTTTTCCTTCTTGTTGGTTCTTTTTTTCTCTATAATCTTTCGTGATAGGCGTATAAGATTACAGCTTCCGCGCACGAAGAATCTTTCGATCTTTCAATAACCATGTTCGCCTCTCTTAGAAGATTCCAAGCCACGCCCGCTTATGGGGCACTTCTTAGCTCCCTTAAAGTGGATTTGAAGAAAGCAATGATTGCCAAAAACAATATGGAAAAGACCACCATTCGTTCGATTTTGTCCACGATCAAGAACAATGAAATCGATGGTGGAGCACAGACGGAATTTGAGTTGAGCAAAGTGCTTGGCAAGATGGTTAAGCAAAGAGTTGATTCTGCACGTGAATTTCAGCAACAGAAGAGAGATGACTTGGCAGAAATCGAGAGCAAAGAGTCTGAAATCATAAAGAAGTATGTGGAATCTTTGCCAGTTGCATCAGATGAAGAAATCAAGGAAAAGTTGACCCATTTCTTGAACGAAATCAAAGCAAATGACGCCAACACACATGTCGGTGCTATCTTCAAACAAATCAATGATGACTTAGCTTCTTCATGGGGTGCTGCTCCTTCTGTGATCAAGTCAATGGTTCCTCTGTTGTACAAGGACATTTTCAAGAAGTAGTAGAGAGCTGACTGTGGTTGACAATGTTGTGACTGGGTGGTTTTCGCATGATGCTTGTATAGTTTTGCTCATCTGTATATATTTCTGGTCTATACTTGAACAGTGAAAGCACATTCCATAACATAGGACATTGTAGATCTAAACACTAGCGATACTACTATAATTCTCTATTGAGCAGCATCGTTTAGCAATATGAATCAACACAAAAGGGATGATGGCTATACGTTCTCTAGGTAACAAAAGAAGACAAGACGCAAACTGAAGTACTGAAGGGAAAGAGAACAAGATCGAAGAAAGTTATACAAATAATAGAAGTCTATGAAAAAAAAAAAAAATTTGAAAAATGATTTGTTCGGTCCTCAGAAAATTGCTAAGGAAGTCAGACGGATTAACTTTCAGCACACTGCTCCTGTTTTTCACTAAATACTGAACCTGATGGAAAATTATTAATTGCAATAGCTAAAGCAATTTCAGAATAATCGAGAATAAATATAAGACCATTTAAACAACCTTTTGTCATGGGGTGGTACTCTAAAGAGTGCACAAGGTAGTCTCATGGTAAAAAAAACAAAAATAAAATTGGGCGAGGAAGCAAACCCTATTGTCAACGGAAAATCACCACTACTTGGCTTCAAGAGATCATTGCGTTGGCATGTCGGAAGTATGTCTTTTATGATAAAGTTCTGCAAATAGAGCTTCAAACTTTCCTTTTTTTGGCTTCATCATATACTAACTGTGTTTCAGGTGAAGAGAACGATCAGAATCACCACCCACCAATTCATCTTAAAAGATGTTCCTGCTGTGGAAAATTATCCAATGAGACAGTGGTCCATTGAGATCTCTATGTTAAATGATCAGGGCCAGGAGATTCCTGCCAACATTCTAGATAAAGTGACGTATACTTTACACCCTACCTTCGCCAATCCAATCAGAACATTGAAGCAGGCGCCATTCAAAGTGGAAGAACAAGGCTGGGGAGAGTTTGACATTCCTATTTCTGTACACTTGGTGGGATTGCCCGGCAAACAAGGAGAGCGTAAGTTCAACCACGATTTGAACTTTTTGCAAGAGAAATACACAGTGGACCACCCTATTCTGATTCCATTGAAAAATGCCCAGTTGAATAAGCTTTTGGCAGAGTCTGGTCCTGTGCCAGCAGAAGGTGATGCCAAACGGAAGAATGAGTCAGACGCAGCATCCAAACTGAAAAAATTGAAGAGCGCCAACGGTAACGCAACAAAAGGTAGCATTGACTTGGAGAAGCTCGCAAATGGCTTGACTAAGCTCAGTGAAGACGACTTGATTGTCATTGTGCAGATGGTCACTGACAATAGAACTAGTGACATGAACATCAAAAACGACGTTGACAATGGCGAGTTTACTATGGACTTATATACTTTGCCGGAACTGTTGTTGAAGAGCTTGTGGGAGTACGTCAAGAAGCACACGGGTGAGGCCTAGACCCAATAGAAATACTCAGGCAAAGCTTATGGCGAGCAAAAAATAGCGTCGCCCCGTGGGTGCCTTATGTCGCCCAATGTTTCTATGTCAAAGAAGTTATCGGATTCATGTGCCTATGTAGACCACACCTTGATCGTAGAATCCCACGATGCTGTGGCCAAACCTTGTCCATCAGGACTGACCGCTACTTGCGAGATTCTGCCTGTGTGGCTTCCACCACCAATACCAATCAGCTCAATTATCTCGCATTTGATCAAATCCCATGCAATACATCCGTAATCGGCGTAGCATGCGTACATTATACGGCCAGAGTGGCTCACATCTAACGATACCACGCCAGGCGAGTCGAACCGCGACCACAAGCTTTCGGCGGATGAGGGCGACTCAAAGCTTTTGCGTGGCCGATCGAAATGCTCCTTCAAAGAGTACTCTTCTAACTGGCAGTCCGCCCGCAAGTCAAAGAGCTTGCAAATTCCCGAATCGCATCCAGCAACAAAAGAGTACCCTTGCGATAGCGGTGTTACACATTCCACATCTGACTTGGAGATACAGTACGAGTATTGCGGACCCTGTGTGCGAGTATCCCATACTTTGACATATCCATCAGCACCTGAGGAGAAAAATGTCTGTGGTGTCAAACTGCCGCTGCGTGCTACCAGTAACAGTAAAACGTCGCCCATGTGGTCCAAAAAATCCCTGACCTTGATATCTTTTGCAAAGTCCCAGAGTGCAATGGTCATGTCTCCTGACCCAGTTAAAACTTCATTATCGTTAAGAAATTCACACGCAGAAACGTAAGCCGTATGAGCTCGTGGTGTTTTGCGCCCGCCTCTTCTTTCGCTGAGCTCTACGCTATCAGCATATGAGGCACCCCCCTCGTTTTGGAAATTATTGACCCGATACACAGTGCACCTATTGTCCAACCCGGCCAGTGCAACAAAATTGCCTGAGTATGAGTAGGAGCACAGAAGCACCCATGAATTTTGCAACGGAATCGCCTGGAGTTTGAGCCCGGTCACTGTGTCCCATATTATCATAAACCCATCCTGACAAGCTGACAAGAGCTTAGTCGAATCCTGGCACCATTTGATTCCGGAGATTTTATCTCTGTGGCCCCTTAAGGTACCATATTGGCGAAGATATTTTTGAGGGGGAATCGATGCTATTTTTGCACCAATTTCTTTGAGTGTTGCGTCCTTAATGCCTGCATTTGTGCTTTGGACCTCGCCGTACAAGATTTGCGCCGTTTGACGAGCCTTGTTAAGCTCCACCAGAAGATTGTCAAATTTCTCCACCATGGTAGGATGTAGTTAAGGGCTGGACATTCAAGTATTTCTTTCAGGTACTCGTTTCATAAACTACGTGTGTATATCCTGCATCAGAAAACTTTAACCTTATAACATACAGATTGTAGGGAGCCGTATCTAACTGCATAATGCAAGATAAGCTGGCGCCGCGCATTCTTTAGTCCCAGATTAACGTTGGCTAGTCGCTCTCCAGTCCGAAAGGGGCCAATCAGAAACAATGAAAATCAGAACAAATGGCCATCAGATACAAAGAAAGAACGAAGGTAACTGAACAAATGGGGACACGACTGTTTCGGAAACGACACGACTATTTTTCAACCCCGCCACAATTTAAGGCTAGTTAACATCCCTAATAAGTTGCATTGCATACCCACGAGACTGCAATGCGTCTTTTAATACATTATAATTATGCATATAGTAACAAAAAAAAGGCCACTTATGCAACTTTCCTTCTCTTCCGAGCTGCATCCTGCGCGGCGCCGTTAAATGCTGTTTCACTTCCTTCTCCATCTTTCTTTGCCACAGTTGGAACAGGAGCTGCTGCAGTCTTTTTGTTTCGTGCATTTTTCGCTCTCAGCTTATCGTCACGTTCTAGATCTCCTGTCACCTTCAGAAGATAAGCGGGAACTGGAAGACCCGATTTGAGAAAAAACATCTTCCAGTTTCTTGCCTTATCTTTTAGTTGCACTTGTGTCCTATTCTTCAATGACTCGTTGATCCGACCACCCTGCCCAAAAAGTTCAAGTATTGTTGACCACAGCGGTCCTTTAAGTTCAAGCGCATGACGCAATGCTTTCTCCTCTTCCCTTGTCCAAGGGCGTCTATTCGTAACTTTCCCTTGCATACGAGGGTTGATTCGTATATGTATCTGTTGTTCCTGAATCTCGCTGGGCAAAAGCGCAGACGTGATATCATTAATCTCTTGGCTAGCCGCGGGATCTATGTGATCCACTGCTGTGTTCATACTAACTTCTCGAAGTGTTTCTTCACTGTGAGGTGTATTGGAAACGGGAGGAGTGGTGGTTGGTATAGGGGTGTTCAAATTTCTTTCAGAACGGGTATGTGGTTTTCCTCTCTTTCCCCAAATGAGGAAGCCCATATTCTTGGCCACGTAGTCAAACATTTCTTTTAGAAACTCAAACCATTCGTATTCTTCGCTTAGATTCGATCCTTCGGGGTAATTGAGTAAAGTTTCTTTCCGTGATTTGCACCTTGCAACGAAATCTACTTCTGATGGTGACAACGACTTAACACCTCTTCTTTCGAGAAGAATTTGTTCCAAATTGCTAGGCAAAATGTCTTCCAAGATCTCCTCCCTGGATCTTTCTCCTGCTTCAATTGCGGAAATGTAGGCTTGCGTCTTCAAATCAAGATACAAAACTGCCTGAGACTTCAAGAGTTTACCCACTTTATCTCCAATGATCGTGTTTACACCACTTTGAAGACTCATATTGGAAGGATTCATATTGGACATGGAGTTTGCCGGGTCTAAGTTGTTGTACGGACAAAAAACATCTAAGAACGACTCATTCAAGTAGAAGAAACCGACTTCGATTGTGCCCAATGTTGCAGCTAAAAAGGTGGCGAGATTCACTTTTCGTAACGTCGATTCTATAGTTTGTTCACGACTTCTAAACATGCTAGGGGTTTTTTCTCCTTCCTTCCACATTCCCGGAGCCAAATGTTCAACAGTTAAAAACGGGTCCTCTTCGGAGTAAAGACGTTTCGTGAACTCAAAAAGGGAGGTCAAATCACGGAAAGCAGCACCTGATGGCGTTTCTGGACTGGACGCCAAATCAATTATCTTCTGGTAGGGCCCTATGGCAAAAACACGGAGTAATTGGGACGCCAAGTTATCTAGAACAGGTAAAGAATTTATAAGAAGCTGGATCCGCGCAGGCAAATAGTCTGCTGCCACTATAGGTAAGGGAACGGCAGCTAATTGTACATTAGCCAACAGTGCAGCCGGGGGAACGTGGCTTGAAAGAGCATTGTACGCGGCTAACGCTGTATTCGTAGCTAAAAGTTCAGAGTCTGGAGGAATGTACCCTGGGAGATTATTTTGTTTTTGATCCAGAGTATTCTGGTTCTTTTCGTCTTGAGTGTTGTCCACCATCGCTTGGTCTGTTGTAGCCCGTTTAAGCTCATCTGCAATCATCTGGAGACTCAGCTTCTCAGCTTCAGAGCCCATCACGAGGTCATGAGTTTGGACGTTAAGCGGCTCCGATGGTTCCGTTTTAGCTTGTTTTTGTGAATTATCTTCTAGGTGTTGTTGTGGTTGTTGCTGTTGCTGTTGTTGTTGTTCATCCCCGCGGTGATTATCTGGCAGCTCTTGGTGTTGTGCTTGTTCTTGTTCTTGGTAGTTTTGTTGCTCTTGCCCCACTTCTAGCTCGGTTTGTTGCTTTTGTTGTTCTAATTGTCCCTGTTCTTCTTGTGCACCTTGTTCTTGTGTTTGTTGTGTTTGTTGTGGTTGTTGTGTTTGTTGTTCTGCCTCTTGTGCTTGTTCTTGACCTTCATGCTCCAGCTCATGGTTATTCGCGCCCATTTTACTCTCAGAATTGTCTGTCTCATTTTGCTGTTGGAGTTGTTGCGCTAAGTCGTGTTGAGCTATAGCCCTTTGGATTTCCTGGTCTAGTCCATACTCAGTTACAAACTGCTCCGCTTTTTGAGTCGACAGCGAGTCATCTTGGGCCAGCGACCCCGAACTTATAGAGCTTTGAACGAACTGATCAGACATTATAGAAGTCACTTTATGTGGGGAGAACTTGTCTGTTTTCTTTTGGTGCAACTTGGTGCTGTCAGAACTAGAGGGAAGTGTGTTTTTAGAGGTGCATACAAACGCATCATCGCGATGGCTTACGTTGGAGGTTAATACCAGAGCAGAATGAAAAGAAGTGATGCTGACTATAAATGATTTGTTTCCATATTGACTAATATTCAAATGCGTCTCCTCGTTCCGGTTCATTTATTTAGGTGTTGTCCGGACAGTTCGGATATTATAGCAAGGTGAAGACTATGTGCACTCTGCGCTAGTAGTCGTCTATGACAATTGAACGGTTGATAATGGCCAACGCAGTTCTTAAATCACCATTTGCGAAACTAAATGATTGGGTGGCACAATACTTGAGCTGAAGTAGGGGAGTATCAAGTGTCATCACTTGAGGATGAAAGTACGGCATTCGCGCCATGACTGAGATTAGACCAAAACTACTGGTCATGTTACAAAATTCTGACTTAATGATATTAAACATAACTTCACAGTTGCAGTATCATAACTTATTGCTTACATTTTCCTTCTTCACGCTTCTAACTTCATTTTTTTTTGAGCCCAATTTCTATGCTTGGTCTGCTCTTTCGCTTCCCAATCGCAATGCCTTACAATTGGCACTTTTCTGCAGGTGCGCCAAATACTTCCGCTATCGTATGCCTAATTCGGTAGAGTGCGCTAAGCTCCTAGACTGGCCACACTATATAAAGCAATGGTTGGACGCCTTCTTCCATCGACTACCACCAACGATGTCCATTTGTGAAAAGTACTTCCCTGAGGAGCCTAAAGAGCCTAAAGTGGCAACGTCCTTCCCTGGTCCAAAGTCCCAGGACGCCATCAAGTCTTTGGGCACTGTCTTTGACAGTAGACCTGTCTACTTTGTTGCCGACTACGAAAAGTCTGTTGGTAACTATATTGTTGATGTCGATGGCAACACATACTTGGATGTGTATGCTCAGATCGCATCCATTCCATTGGGCTACAATAACCCGGCTTTGATTGAAGCCGCAAAGTCCGATAAGATGGTGAGAGCAATTGTGGACCGTCCAGCATTAGGAAACTTCCCTGGCAAGGACACTGAAGAAATCATCTCTGAATTGTTGAAGGTGGCACCAAAGGGCCAGGACAAGGTCTGGTCCGGTTTGTCCGGAGCCGATGCTAACGAGTTGGCATTCAAGGCTGCATTCATGTGGTACCAAGCCAAGAAAAGAGGCTACACTGCATCCTTTACTGAAGAAGAAAATAGGTCTGTTATGGAAAATGCCGCTCCTGGCTCGCCAGACTTGGCCATTTTATCCTTCAAAAGAGCATTCCATGGCCGTTTGTTTGCATCTGCCTCCACCACATGTTCTAAGCCAGTTCATAAATTGGACTTGCCATCATTTAAATGGCCTAAGGCCGAATTTCCTTCCTACGCCTACCCATTGGATGCCAATGCTGAAGTCAACAAGAAAGAGGACGAGCGGTGTTTAGTCATGGTAGAGGAATATCTTAAGCACTGGAAATCACCAATTGCGGCAGTTTTGATCGAGCCAATCCAATCGGAAGGTGGTGACAACCACGCTTCTGCATTTTTCTTTCAGGGCTTGCGTGATCTCACATTGAAGTATGGCGCTCTTTTGATTGTCGACGAGGTCCAGACTGGTGTTGGTGCTACAGGGAAAATGTGGGCACATGAGCACTTTAACCTTTCTCCTGCCCCAGACATGGTCACTTTCTCTAAGAAGTTCCAGTCGGCCGGCTACTACTTCCATGACCCAGAGATCATTCCTAACCAGGCATATCGTCAATTCAACACTTGGTGCGGTGACCCAGCGAGAATGATTTTGGCTGGTGCTATTGGTCTGGAAGTGGTGAAGCACAATTTGGCTGAACACGCATCTCGCGTGGGTGACTACTTGTACGGGAAGTTGGAATCCTTGTTCAGCAAGTACTCTGAGCTTGTGACGGACTTGAGGGGAAAAAACCGTGCAACCTTTATCGCTTGGTCCTTCAAGAAACCAGAGTTGAGAAACAAGTTTTTGGTGGACATGAAAAGTGTTGGTATTAACATCGGAGGCTGTGCCGAAGATTCTGTCAGATTGAGACCTACATTGGTTTTCGAGGAGAAACACGCGGACATTTTAGTTGCTGGCATTGACAAGATCTTGTCTGGCTACTAGAGACATGTGACGATGCAGGTACCCCGGATTTGATGCGATAAGTGCATGCTATGGATATAGCTTAAAGTATGCAAGGTAAATTATGAAGGTGTAAAATGAAAATTATTGTAAAAGATACTCGCAGTGTTCCAGCTTTCCTTCCATATTTTAGTAGTAGTGGTCTAGATTTCCGTATTTCTATGACTCGACTAATCTAGATGAGAACACAGGAAACTCGTTGGTTCCCAGTTGGAGAAGAAGTACTCGGATATGAATGAAGGTTTACGTCGTTCACATCTAATGATTGTCTATACTAACTTGTAGACGTTCATTATGGTTCTACGTGCTGTTATTTGATGATCGAATGAAACGTCAAAACATAAATACACAAGCAGACGTGGTATAACCAGGGCATTTGTATGTAAACAATATTTGACCTGCCCAAGAAAATACAGTGCTCACCACGAATTCTTCCATTTTTCGTCCTTTTGAGGGCCAATCTTATTAAAAATACCTAGTGCGACGTTCAGTATGAATAATCAAAAGCTCTCACATGTTTTAGTCTTCCTTTCTACATTAATAACGCTGAACATTGGATGACTAGGTCTACGTTTTACGAAGCTGGTAACGATTCGTCTAGACTTGTTCGTTCCACACACCGACGTACTAACGCCGGGAGCGGAGACACAAATTTTGGTGCGCACGAATTTTTCGTCTACATTTCCAGTACTCGATGCTATGGTGACGCAAGAATCGGAGCTCTTCAGCGCCCTCAAAAGAACCATTAAGCAGGACTCCAATGCTTCTTTGATAGCAGGCGGCATTTCGGGCGCCGTTTCTCGAACTATTGTTTCGCCATTCGAACGCGCAAAGATTCTTCTCCAGCTTCAAGGACTGGAAGCACAGAAAGCTTATCAGGGTATGTTCGCCACAATCTGGAAAATGTACAAGGAAGAAGGTTGGCGAGGTTGGTTTCGTGGAAACACGCTAAACTGTATTCGAATCGTTCCTTATAGCGCTGTGCAATTCGCTGTTTTTGAAAAGTGCAAGGAACTCTTAGTGCGCCGAAAACCGCCGGGTCAGCAGACCTTGACCGACACGGATAGGCTTATAGCTGGGTCTATAGGTGGAATTGCTTCTGTTGCCGTTACTTATCCGCTTGACTTGGTCCGTGCTAGAATTACAGTTCAGACCGCGTCTTTGGCCAAACTCAATAAGGGAAAGTTAGTTGAGGCACCAGGCGTGTATGCAACGATGGTCAATGTTTACAGAAACGAAGGGGGCCTTCTTGCGTTGTACCGTGGCATAGTCCCCACAACTTTGGGTGTGGCACCATATGTGGCCATCAACTTTGCCCTATATGAGTACTTGCGAGACCTGATGGACTCATCCACCAAAGACTTTAGTAACCCTATGTGGAAGTTAGGCGCAGGGGCCTTCAGCAGTTTTGTTGGTGGAGTGCTTATCTATCCACTAGACTTGCTCCGAAAGCGTTACCAAGTTGCTAGCATGGCTCAGGGCGAATTGGGTTTTCAGTACCGTTCTGTTGCGCACGCACTTCAAACCATTTTCCAGAAAGAGGGCTTTTTTGGTGCATACAAGGGCTTGACTGCTAACTTGTACAAGATTGTCCCCTCAATGGCCGTCAGTTGGCTTTGCTATGATACGTTGAAAAGTGCAATTGCTAATTGGTAATACTGCCGGTCACACATATGGGTGGAGCAACAATCGATCATACGCAGGCTGATTAATCCCGATATTGGATGGGAATCGAGCCTCCTGAATATGGCCTCAGGCCGCTCTCTTCGCGCGGCTTTAAAGGTAGCTTTAGAGATAGCACAATGATACACACCAGAGCTCCATCGCTCCAGCTTAGTTGCTCCGGGTGTATGAACAAAAAGATATATTCTATTTCCTTTTTCCCTGTAGTTAGCGAGCTCCACACTACAAGCTCTTCTTAATCGTCAATTCTATGATTGAATCCTTTAGGTGTGCACGTGACCCGCCGGTCAGCCAACCAGCTTTCACTGAAACTTCGCACTACTCAAATGATACGATTTGTGAAAGGAAAAAACTTGCCCACTAGTAATTAATCCGTCCGAAATGAGAGCCTCCCGTGTTTTATTGAACGCTACCAAAAATGCTGGTCCAAAGAATACAGTCCCTGTTGAGATGTACCCATTGTTTGCTGCTGTTGGTGTCGCCATCACTTCTTTGGGCTACTTCACTTACAGACACTTTGCGTACGACAAGCAATTGAGATTGTGGAAAAACCCAAACTTGTCCAACTTGGACAACGTTTTGAACGAGGCCACTAAAAACGAAGAAAAGGCTGAAAAGTCCGAGTAAGGGCTTCATGTCGTGGGGCCCCTTGAAACAGCTTGTTTTCATGAACATCTCCATAAAACATATTCAGTGAGTTAGCATATAGTGGTTTATTGTGTGCATCTTGTCGATTTCGGAACGGCAAGCTGTTTTTTGTAATACGATAAATTCCTTTGGATCCATTACTATTTACATGACGTTTTTATTCGTCAATTCTTGTAGAAGAATATGCTCAACATGCACATATGTATGCGCTTCATCTCATGACTCACTCATCCCGGATGTTCGAATAGTAATTCGTCACTTCGCTTACCTCGTCCAAAAGCTCTAAACACTTGTTCAATGCCTTCTCGTGTTCTTCAGGAAAATCAACCTGGTTGTCCGCATCGGCGATAAACACTGCTTTGGAGTCCCTTAACTTGTATCCCATACTGGACAACTTGTTGGAAACATTGTGCAAGTCAGAAGGTTCAGTCACAATCCGGAAGAGCTTCTCTCCATTATAGTCTCCTTCAGGGTCCTTGAATTCCTCCACATCTTCAGCTCCGACTTCTATGGCAACTTCAAGCAATTCATCCAACTCCTCGTCCTCCTTGAGAGGCTCAAAAATTATCTCGCCTTTTCTTTGGAACATGTAATTACAAGGACTTAATGACGCATTGAACTTCGACATGGCATGCTTCACAAGACCAATAGTTCTGCTCTTGTTGTCCGTGTCGGCTTCCACAATAAATGCAACGCCACCGGGGCCCATGAACTCGTAAGTAACTTCAGCAGTATTTACGCCATCTTGTGTCAACTCGCCTGTACCTCTTTTGATAGCGTTTTCGATAATCTTCTTTGTGACGTTTAACTTTTTCGCCTTTTCCATCAATGTGATAAGCTGCGCATTACCTTCAACGCCGCCTGTTTTCACACTAGTGGTGATCCTAGTCGCCATGGCGTACGCTTCCTTGGACTTTTTGGCGTCGTTTTTAGCCTTGTCATGGCGAATGTTTTGCCATTTGGAGTGACCAGCGCCAATAATGGAGCTGGAAGAAAAGGCTCTGAAGTTTGATTTCAAAGCTCTTCGGGGAAGCAATTGAAGGAGCAGCATATCTTGAGTAGTCTTACGAATGTTTTGGAGAGTGAACAATATTTCTTTAGATCACGTGCGAAACATCCAATACTGTTACTTGTGGTTGAGCTTATTCTTTGTTAATCGGGTCCTGTTTCGACCGCCTAGAAAAGAGAACCAATGATGAGTTTGAGAGATCTCATTCCATTGTCAATGATGTTAATATGACCGATTTATCGGTCTTATGCTATTTTTTTTCGGGTCTCCAAAGATTATGATTTCTACGGTGTTCAGAATATGAACTAAATAGTGCGAAGTCTCGGAAAAGTTCCGAATTGAAGCACATGAATTTGTTAAACATCTATCCATTTTGCTCTTTAATTATATTTAGAGAAGAAACCAAATACCTATTGCGATATACTTGTAAAGTTTTCTACTAAAAAGTATTAATCATGGACGAAAACTTCTAACAGCCCATTACCTACTATCGGAAGCTAGTGGTGTGCACATTACTCGACGTAAATTGATAGCGAGAAGTTATCATCGTTCCCCAATCTTCACATCAAACATGAGTTCGAACGATGCGATGACCAAGAGGTCTTTGCTTGCAGTAATTGCTGATGAAGATTCAGTAACAGGATTATTATTGGCAGGTGTGGGCCAGGTGTCCAACGAGCCAGGGAAGGAATCCAATTTCCTTACGGTGGTTCCAGGTAAGACGTCTGTTGAAGAGGTTGAAGAAGCATTTGAGAGATTTACAACCTCAAGAGATGACATTGCCATCTTGTTGATTAATCAGCATATTGCAGACTTGATAAGACACAAGGTTGACACTTACACCAACGCATTTCCAGCTATTTTGGAAATTCCCTCTAAAGATCATCCTTATGATCCAGAGAAAGATTCCATCTTAAAGAAAGTCAGACGTCTCTTCGGAGAGTAAAAATGTTTTGCTTATACTTTGTTTAATACACTTCTAGATACTCGTACTTCACGTTGTACCTGAGCTATATCCCTGTCCTGTTTGTCGCATTATGCAACATTCAAGTTGAGTTCTCGCTGTTTAGTCCCGATGCATTACCTTCAGCATCAGCCAAATCCGCATGCTCCTCCTCTTGTAGTCCCTTGACATCCTTGTTTTCATCGACATCAGCCTCATCAGGCTTGTCTTCAGTCACATGAACCACATCAGCTTCTGTTTGGGAATCTTCTGCAGCCTTTTCTTCAGCATGCTCGTCTAATGCTTGTATTTGTTCGGTGACATCAGTAGGATCTGTAGCATGTTCGGGTTCCGTAAGGTCCACAGCCTCTGTAGTATCTGCATCCACATTTTGTTCCGCTGTCTCAGAAAGCAGTACTTCAGAATAGTCGTCATTATTAGAAGCTTTCGCCTTTTGTGAAACCTCATCCTTTGCCTCCACCTTTTCCTGAATTTGGGAAAGATCCATCAGTTCCTTTCCCTCGTTCACATTCTGTCCTCCTTCCAGAACTTTCTCCGAAGACTCTTTTGGTTCTTCCTCCTCTAATGTTGCGTCCGGCAACTCCTCTTTTTCTGGTGCTTCAGAAACTCTATCTTCATCTAGTGGGATCTGCTCAAAAGTTTCAGCCGGCGCTTCAATTGGCTCCTCCAGAGGCTGACCTGCCGACTCTGAGTTTTTTTCTGCTTCTTCCTTTGGATTTTCTAATCCCGAATCTGATATCTTGGTTTCCTCAGGAGTTTGAGAAATAGTTTCAGATTTTTCATTCACATTTGTGCTTGAATCTTCATGCATTTCATTATCACCTGTTACCAGAGCAGTTACTGAGGCATCAGAGTTACTAGCGTCCTTCTCAGGAACAGGAGGAGGAGGAGGTGGCTGAGAAGAATTATTCTTTTTCCAGTAGTCTTTCGCAAGAATATCTGGCAACACGCAATCCTTAACGTAAAAATCTCTTACTCCCACGATACGACGTTCCCTTTCACAAGCTTTCAACCATTCAGGTCTGATGATTGGAATATTCATCTCGTTTGCCTTCATATATTCAGGGTTCAGTTTATTCTCCCTCGTTGTAATGAAATGCGTTGTATCCACCAGCAACTTTTCTTGAGCAGGGTAGTGAGCACCCATATTTTTCAAAGTCTGCTGTATGTCATCCACGGTGAATTGATCATTGGTCGTAATGTCACCCAAACATACAGTAATACCGGACAAGTCTGTCATCTTATGTGTCTTTACTTCAACCAATTTGGAGGAATAAACACCAGCAGTTGTATCTAAGCGCAACTGAAATTTGAAAGTCTTATCGATCGGGAGACCAGACAACTTTGTCGTTCTATTGCTCAATGGCTGATGAATAGACCCAAGCTTCTTGTCATCTTTGAACAATACCAAATTCTTCAACGTGGCAGTTCCCAAGTCCAATGGGTCCCATTCCAAGACACAGGATGTTTGAGTCACGTTTTTAACCTTAAGCACGGGTGGTTTGGGGAGATTCTTGCCAAAAGTAGTAAGTATTTCATCCTGTATTTCCTGAAACTTTCTTCTTTCCTCTGCTTCTGTCTCCAAGTCACGTTCACACTTGATCTTCACAATAGAGCCGGCCTTGACTCCATTCGGTAACAAAATCGTCGGAAATTCGATAAGATGGTGATCTTTGGTTAGCAAAAGCGCTAAAGATGCGTCAAGCTTACCAACAGTAAGTGAGACTTCAACCATTATAGCGAGTAATTATAGTGCTGTCAGTAATTGATCCAAAATAGTGTAGGATACTGCGCCAGTCTCGACTACAATCACCATCGATGGAGGTACGGGTTTACTTGCTGAAATCATTACAATACACGAAACAAATAAAATACATATCCGAGTATAAACGAATGAGTGGATCTATATCATACATATGGATTTCTTCTAAAATATTCCCATAGCCAGGAGATCATCTTTGATCTCGTCCGGAGTTGCTTTTCGAAGCAAAAGCTCTTGTGTAGAGAAATCTTCCGCCTCAACCAAACCTGTTGATATCGCAGAGGGTATGCCATGGAATTCTTTCAAGCCATTGAGGATGCCTAGCTCTTGATTGAAGTTATTTCGTTGTTGAACCAAGTCCACTAGAGTGTTGAACTTGACTTCCTTCTTGTTAACAGGGTAATTCTCCAGATAATATTCAACAGAGCTGCCACCAGGAGCTATTGGGTTGCCTGTGGAAATCTTGTCTCCAGGAACGGCCGAAAAGTTGCATTCCGGCACGAGTTGGTCAAACAAGTTTCGCTCACGGTTGATTTTATACCACTGAGATGTTGTTTTCGTCACCATATCGTTTTTCATGTCCATCAACTTTCTCAAAAAGTCTTGATGGGATGGCGGTTCGTGTGGCAATGGTCTCATTGTTAATGCATTTTAGGCTGTAATTGAGCGTTGAGTTGGCCATTTTCATACTGTCTTGGTAGTACTCATTCACCTTATAGTATATCTCCAAAAGCTCTGGATGAGATCCATCCAAACAGAGTTGCAATTCTTTTTCCAAAAAGCTGAGCTTATCATGGTACAACTTATCCCGAAGGTGAGCAAAATCTGTTTCGATCAGAATCAATTCTTCGACAGCTAATCTCCGATGTTCGTCGAGGTTGATATCGCTCAATCCGTTCTCAAGCTCTCCATTATCTTCACCCACCTCGTCTTGTGTCTCCGATGGTTCAACTACCTCTCGTGTTTGTTCAGATTGTTCTTCAGCTTCAGCGGCAGATTGCTCTTGTTGTTCATCAAGTTCCTCCTGCTTTACAGTATCTTCTACATCTGCCTCTCCTGCTTCCGCATCTCCCTCTGAGGTAGGATTCACGTTATCTTTACTCTCTTCATCCTCCTTCTCGAGAGTATCCATTTCTTCTTCCTGCAGCACCTCATCCTTATCATCTGTTCCCTCTTCCTTGATAGTTTGGTCCACGGAAGTTGATTTGGGTTCATTGGTCGAAATGTGTGTGGTAGAGGAAGTATGCTTATCAGACATCTCTGATTCTGCGTTCACCACCACTTTGGTGTCGTCGTTTTCTTCTTCCTCTTCCTCTTCCTCTTCCTCCTCTTCCTCTTCTTCTTCTTCATCTTGCTGTTCTTCTTTTTCCATAGGCGAGGTCTTGACTTTTTTGAGAGAATGATTGTCACCTTGTTCAGAAATTTCGGCTATGGTATTGGAATCTTCATCGACTTCGTTGTGAAGCCTCTTGTTATTGGGTGAGACAGCTGGTGAAGCGGTCAGATTAGTTGGCGAGGCAGATTTTCTGAGTTGTTTGACGTAAATATCGCCTTCTTCATCCGAATCATCGGAATCCACTTCTTGGAGCCTTGCCAACTCTGTGAGCTCGGAAAGAGCTTGTAAGTCTGACACCTTTTCGCCCAGACCTGAGTTGGAATCGTCGTCTAGAAAATCCATCTTATCAGTTTCTGCTTCAGACTCCTCCGCACCTAAGTCACTCAATTCAGAGCTTTCGTACGAGTCTCTGGAATGTGCGCGTCTCTGGTCTAGTGTTTGGAGGTTAAAGGGAGGCGGAGATGTGCCGATGTCAGTCAAGGGCGAGTCCTTAGTTTGTGGAAGTTCTGCTGCTTGCAGGGAATCTGATTTGTTTTCTAGTAAGCTGTTGTGGGTTATTTCCGGGTCAGCGCCGTTCGCATCCGTGTTTGTCGATGTCTCTTGCTTGTCGAATAGAGGGCCAGAGACTTTCTCCATGTCTGACACTCTAATACTACTGAAGCGATGCTAGAGCTGAAAGCAGCAAAGGTCGGATGGAGAATCGGATTCGGGGTTCGTCTTCAATGGCTCGTTCGAGCAGTTGTAGCAAAGTGGTGAAAAAACTTTGAGTGGGGGATTGAAAAACAGTAACAAAGCACAGGTCTAACCGCCCCTGCATGCTGTCCACTGGGGCTTCATCTGGTGGTGGTAGGCTTGTGCGCAGGACTTGGCAATTAATGTCTTTCCGATATGCTCGACTCTTGAGCATGGATGGCCGAATCGGGAAACCACTGGACTAGTCGAAGACAAAGACCTTTTTTTTTTTATTTTCTTTCCTTTATATTAAAACCAAGTCTTCCAATATCAGCAAATAGTAGCAGTCGGCAGTAGAACATGTGACACGCTAGTGTTTCACTGTAAGGTCCAGATTTAGACCCGTACACCACGAAAACTTGTGAGATGAGATGCCTGATAGAGACGGAGATTGATTTCTTACTTTCTAGAACCTCCATGTCCGCATTCAGCTCGTTATTTGACAAGGCAAAGATAGATAAGGACTTGGATTCCTTGTTCGCCAGTTCTGCTGGCCCTGTTACAAAACATGACGTTAAGCCTAGAACCGTTATTGAGGTGCCTCCAGCAAAAGAAGAGGAGGCCAAGTCCCAACCCACCGAGGAGCAGGAGGAAGTGAACGAGAAGAGAGAAAAGCGCAAATCCAAGAAGGAGAAGAAAAATAAAAGAAAGACCGAGGATGAGAATGCAAACTTGGAAGCCGAGTACTTCACTCAGATAATGAAGGAAGAAAAGAAAACCGAGAAGACCGATGAAACAGACAAACCAGAGAAGGCTGAAGAAAGTGAAGACAATGATGACTCTTCAAGTTCTGATGAAGACGGAGACATTAAAAAAGATGAAGATGAAGGTGCAGAAGAGGGTGCAAAGGACCTGGAAAAGAAAAAAAAACTGAAGGACACGCGTGCCAAAAGTTTAGACTTGAAAGAGGAACAGCTAAATAGTGCTGAGAAGACTGTGTTCGTGGGAAATGTTTCGAACAACGTCATTACCTCGAGACAAACATACAAGCAATTTAAGAAGCTTTTCAAGAGCATAGGAAAAGTGTCATCGATCAGATTCAGATCGATTGCTTTTGATGAGGCTGTTCCAAGAAAAGTTGCATTTGTCAAGAAGGCCTTGCATAGCACAAGGGATACAGTCAATGCTTACGTTGTCTTTGCAGAGAAAGAAGCTTCTATGAAGGCCGCCTCTAGATTAAACGCTACTATTTTCGATCATCACCATATTCGGGTGGACCATGTGGCTCACCCAGCACCTAAAGATAATAAGAGAACCATTTTTGTTGGAAACTTGGACTTTGAGGAACAAGAGGAGAGATTATGGCGCTACTTCAATTCCAAAACCAACGACGATGTTGAGAGTGTTCGTATTGTGAGAGACTCGAAAACGAACCTTGGAAAGGGTTTTGCTTTGGTTCAATTCAAGGACTCTCTCTCAGTTGACAAGGCGTTGCTTTTGCATGAAAAACCCATGGTTGTCGAAGGAGACGTCAAGCAAAAGAGTAGAAAGCTCAGAATTCTGCGTGCCAAAGCCTATGCTAAACCATCTATTCTTTCACCTAATCATGTGGACAACGTGCGAAAGCAAAAGAAGGTCAGAGGTACTTTGACCGACGAGCAGAAGACCAAGTTGGGCCGTGCGAAGGCACTTTTGGGCAAGGCTGACAGAAACACTGCAGGAAAACTTATTGTTGAAGGTTCGAGAGCTGCACCAGGCCAGAAAATCGCTGGTATTAAGGGATTGAAGAGTGCTAAGGGCAGAGCGAAAAAGCCTAGAGTGACTGACAGATCCGCCAGATTTAAGAAGGACAGGGAAGAGATGGCCAAACAAGCGAAAGATGCTGGTGCCAAAACAGGCAAAGCAGGCCAGAAGAAGGATGAAGACAAGAGAAAGAAACCTTCTACCAACAGAGTTCACAAATAAAAAGCTGGTGGTGTGGTGAAAGCATTGACGTTTTAGGCATTATGTAGGAGATAATGCGCGAGTAACATTTAGACGCATTCGCGCCGTGGTTAGTGTGGCTCCAGCTACAATGAAACTATAATCCAAGGGGCATGTACCAGACAAGACTTTAATGATAAACAACGAACCAGTTCATATATATGTACACAGCAAGCAAATAACAGAGGAAAAAAAAAAGTTAAAGAGAATTACAAACTAACCATGAGCATATTTGGTGAAGGAGAAGGAGGCCGCTCAAACAAAATGTGGATGCGCGTGTGACTCGATTGGGCTGGTGTAGGTGCATAAGCTTATCGCATTTCGCCCCTCGATCCTGCGCTTTTTCGTACAGTAGCGGTTATGGGGCTCCAAATATAAATACGGCAAAAGCCCCACGTAAAGATGTTTCCCTTTTGCAATTGGAATTCAATGGGCTCAAATACATCCAAAGAAACAAGCTCGAACGGAGCTCCCGGCTCTTCGGGTCAGGAAATCCTCAATGAAAAATGCACATACTTTGACTCTACAAGCATATCCGAGTTGGTCAATGGCTTATCATTAGGTGCGAAAGACACATCCAATGCTATCACTGTATCCCATTTATCGAGCTGGGAAGCCAAGTTATTAGCTGATCCCAAAAATAGATTGGCACAAAATGCTTTGTCCAAGAATGACATTGCCGCCATCACTGCAACCAGTGGAACAAACTTGTCCTTAAAAGACAGATACTTTTTTAACGTCGAAGTTGACACCATTGGCTCCCCTTCCTATCTCAACAACCAAAAATCTTCTGGAAGATGCTGGATATTTGCCACTTGCAATGTGTTGAGAGCCCATGTTATCAAGAACTACAACTTGGACCCCCAAAAATTCCAATTGTCCCAAAGCTACTTGTTTTTCTACGATAAGTTGGAAAAAGCCAATTTCTTCTTGGAAAACATAATTGACACTGCCGAAGAAGATTTAGATTCACGCTTATTACAGTTTCTCTTTTCTGGATCCGTTAGTGATGGCGGTCAATGGGATATGATTGTCAATGTCATTAACAAGTATGGTATCGTGCCCAATGAAGTGTTCCCTGACAATGCTCAGGCAGTCTCAACTTCGAAATTGAACTATGTGTTGACAAACAAGTTGAGAGAATACGCCTTGATCTTGAGAAAATTGATCGCCAAGGGTGCAAGCAAAGAGGAGATTCTTGGCGCCAAAAATGCCATGAACAAAGAAGTTTACAACATCATTGCTTTGAGTTTAGGTACTCCTCCAAAACCTTCTGATCTGTTTTCTTGGGAATTCATCGACAAGGATGGGAAGTATAGTCACTTTGAGACTTCCCCTGTGGACTTTTACCAGTCGCATGTGAAGTATGATGTTTCCAAAAGGTTCTCTTTAATCAACGATCCTAGGAATGAGTACAATGCCTTGTACACCGTTGACAGGTTGAATAATGTTTACGAAGGTAAACCGATTGAATATGTTAACGTTGACTTGCCTAACATCAAAAAGGTCGCTATCAAGATGTTGAAAGATAACGAACCTATTTTTTTCGGTTCTGATGTTGGTAAGTTCGGAGACACTGCTTCTGGTGTTTTGGACACTGGAGCGTATGATTACTCTTTGGTTTTCAACACTAACATGAATATCACTAAACTTGAAAGATTGAAGACCGGCTCCTCTGCCATGACCCATGCAATGGTCATCACAGGTGTTCACTTGGACCCCAAGTCAGGAAAACCAATCAGATGGAAAATCGAGAATTCTTGGGGTGACGCAGTTGGTGACAAAGGCTATTTTGTCATGACAGATGCTTGGTTTGACGAGTATGTTTTCCAGATTGTCACGAGCAAGAAGTACGTGGAAAAGGCGACTTACGATATCTGGAAGGCGAAGGATTTCAAAGTGCTTCCTTTCTACGACCCAATGGGTGCTTTGGCGTAGGTTAGATGTTCAGTGCGCGAATCTGACCTTCGTAGTTTCATTAGCTCAAGCCAAAGAGAATGTACACTTTGAATTTGAGAGTAGTAGAAATTTATGCCACGTATGGACGGGAATCAGTATTCTCATGATATTATCGTAAAGTAATATGGAATATTGTTCCAGTAATGATACTATGTGTAGTTCGTACGGGGACTATTTCGGCCAACACAGACGTGCAGGAATTACTGTTCATACTACGATCTAGTATATTTCATTATGCAAGGAAACATGGAAGGTCAGACAGGGAAGCAAGGGGTTGCCAAACTTTTTCCTTCACTCCAGGAAACTGTCTTGGATCATCGTTATGCCCAACATTTGGAAAAGTTTCGGCACGCATCTTCTGTGAACGACTTGACGAGATTGATTCAAGAAATCGACCATGAAACCAAATCGCTTGACACAGATTTGGCGGCTTTCATAACAACAGCATCTCGAAAGCATACACTGGAAATAGCATCGGTCGAATTGTCTCGGGCAAAGTTATCGGGTGCTATAGCCAACTCCACACAATTAACCAAAGTCTTCTCCAGTGCTAATGATTTGGGTCACTCTTTAACGTCAAAGATCAAGGCATTAGACCAAGAAATTGGGAATGTGGATGCTGCTCTTTCGTTTGTTTCTGATATGCAAACACTTCGAAACAATATTAGTCAGATACAATACGCCATAGACAACAAAAATTGGGAGTTAGCTGCTATGTGCATCCATACAATTAACCACAAGCTTAGTCCCAATTTGGTCAACGGCCAATTCGCATCAGCAGTCATCCCTTCTACAGATATTCCGGAATTACCGGGTCCAACCATTGACAAGTGGATAGCACAGCTCAAAACCGAATTGCAGACGTTGTTTGACGACGCAGCTAAGCGCAAAAGCGTTCCAGAAATCTCCAAATACTTTCAGTTATTTCCGCTTATCGATCAGGAAGAAGTGGGTCTCAACTGCTACTCCAAGTTCATCTGTTCTATTATCACCGATACTTCTAGAACACTCATTAACTCTGCCATGCAAGGCGACGCCTCTTCGAAAAAGGGAATTTATGCTTCCATCACCAAAAACTTGTTTGAAAGTGTTTCCATGATGTTATCACAACATACTCCATTAATCAATAAGCATTATGGTGATTCTTATCCTGATGCTGTTGTGTTCGTTGTTAACAAAATCCAACGGGTGATCGATTCCCAAATTGGTTTAATCACCGACACTTTCTACGACGTCAACAGGATAGAAAAATTACTCCAAGATATTAAGCTTCACTCATTCAGTGACTTAAAAAACAGACTTACTGAGTTCCCTGAGGGCGACTCGAATGACGCGAACGATGTCGATCTTGTTTCCATTGTTGAAGTTGGTGATTTGATACATGAATTTTCTGCGATTTTGCACCATTGGGCACTTTATTGCAAGTTCATTGTTGTCAAGTATTTCAACCCCAAAATGCCAAGCCCGCCTGATGAAGGTTTGAAAGCACCAGATTTGCTCATTGAGTCACAGTTTAATAAGAAAATCCTGAGCAAATACCTTCCAGCATTTGAACATTTGTACACTTTCTACTTCCGTCGCTCATTTGAAAAAGCTTTATCAATCGAGGAATTACCTCGCTTAGAGCCGTATCTCATTACGGAAAAAGTGTCAAAATCGCCGGAACAGGCCCCCGTATCGTCTGTTATTGAAGACTTCACTCTTGTGTTCAACAATGTGTTGAGAAATATTCTTGAGTCAGCCCAACTTTCGACGGTGAGAAAGTTTGTGGTAGAATGCTTCAAGGTTGTGCAAAATGACCTCTTGGACGGCTTCATCGAGAAAGCCTTGCACGAAAACCTGCCAAAGTATAATCAGACCTTATCCTTGATAGCATCGAATATAGAGAATGGTGCTCTGAGTACCATGGTGAGCCCATCGAATTCTCATAGTGGAACTCCAGCTCCTGAGACCGTGAGTGGTTTTTTTAAAGGCGCTTCAAATGCTTTGGGGAATGTTGTTGGTACTGGTTCATCAATGGTGAATCCTAACACTGTTGTTAACAGTCCAAAGCTCATTAATTTTGTCATTTACATGAACACTGTGGCTTCAGGACAAGATTTCGTCAGTCAAATTATCAATAACGTGACAAAGAAAAACCCAGCTTATTTGAAAAATAGTTTCCCTTTTGGAATTGATGAGAAAAAAGTAACCAATATCATTGAAAATGATTTGCTTGAACCTTTCATGACGGCATCAAGCAGCATTCTAAAACAGAACCTTGTCAATTTTTACAATCAGTCGCTTAAAAATAAGATTGTCACCTTGATCAATGATTGTTTTCCTGAATCTAGTGAGTCACATTATATCATCTACTCGTCCAACGTACTCAATGATCCAACGTCCATCTTAAAGTTCAAACAAGGTTGGGATCAGTTAATGAGGCCATACAAACAAACTTTCCACAAGAAATATGTCTACGACAAGCTACTTAGATTAGTGGTGGTAAATATTGTGCTGCTCATCGAGAGGAAGCTCATGGCAGTGATGAAGAAGTTCAAAATCAATGAGCTTGGTGCATTGAAACTCGATAAGGATCTTTCGTTCATTATCAATGAAGTATGTGAAGACGACTACGAATTAAGAGAGAAGTTTGTGCGGGTCACACAAATTGTGTTACTCGTTGGAATGGATAATGAAGAGTACGAATTGAGTTCATTCAAGGGAGAGGATGATCAAGAAGAAGTAGGAATTAATTGGGTGCTCACCCCACTCCAAAGAAAGCAGATTCGCCGGTTCAGAATCTAAAGTATAATAGTGAATAAAAAATAGCTACGCGTCAATCAAATAATGATGTAAATTATGATAATAAAACTATGGAGCAAGGCGATCGCAGCCCATTACCTTCTATCTCTAACGACTTCCGTGAGTGGTTGGTCATACGAAATCTTCTCGACTTCTTTAGTTTCACCCTTTATAAGCCTCTTGTGCTCCACCCTAAGTTTAGGAGGTAGATTGTCGAATTTAGGATGGCTATAATCACAGTCAGGGCCCTTCGGACAGAATCCAGTCAAATAAAGCGGGCACATAATCTTCCTAATATGACGATTTGGGCATTTGGGTCCCTCAGGACAAAACCCTTTTTCATATTGCAGACACTCAGGTATCTTTTGTTGTGGATCAATATGCAAATAAAGACATTCTGGAGTTTGGGTACAGTAACCGTTCTTCAGATAAAATAAGCACTCGGGCATTTTTCTCAAATTGTACTCGTGCAAGAACTCACAGTGGTCATTCTTTTTACACAACCCTCTCAACCAATGCTTACAAACAATCTTGTTATTGTACATGGCTGGAACATGCTTGTTCGGACAAAATGGTCCATTGGGACAAGAGTCAGGCTGGCTAGGTTTATAAAACTGACAGATAGGTCTGTCGGGATCAAGACCAAAACTGTATTCTTTGCGTAGGAAATTCTCGAACTTGAACTTTTTGTTAGCGAGTATCAGGATGTATCATAGGATTTAGGCGGATTCATTGTGGGATGAAAGATGGTTACTAATGGCATTTCCTGCAAGCATAGAATTATAGATATTTGCAGGAGGTACGGATGCATTGCGCGTGACCCCACCATCTTTGGCACAATGCATACTGATCTAGTTGATCAGCTGATAATGTATATTTGGTTCGGCTTTTCGTACACGCAGCCTTGAAGTATATAAACACTTCCCATCTCATCCTCAAAGGTTTTAGCTACTTAGAGGGTTTTTTTATATCTGTCCTTTGCCATCATTGCGTGTTTATTTGCTCGAATTCTGAGGTTGATCCTATACGCCTCAGCATTTTTGATTGTCGTGTCTTATTTGAATAATAATTTGTTTCATAAAGCAGCTGTTCCCACCATGCTGACCAATAAAAGGATCTACGATGCCATTGTTGTGGGCTCTGGTCTTGCTGGGCTTACTGCCAGCTTAGAATTACAGGCCAAAGGTTTATCTGTTGCTTTGATTGAGAAGACAGACAAGCTTGGAGGAAATTCAGCAAAAGCCTCTTCAGGCATAAGTGGAGCTCCAACAAGGTTCCAGGACCCTAACGAAGGAGACTCTGTGGAGTCATTTCGCGGGGACACGATCAAGTCAGGAAAGGGATTGTCCAATCCTATGTTGGTGGATATTTTGACCAAAAATTCAGCGGATGCCATAAATTGGCTCTCAGATAAGTTTAATGTGGACTTAACTGCTGTTGCCAGGCTTGGTGGCCATTCTCATTCGCGGACCCATAGAGGAAGTGGAGCATTGCCTCCTGGCTTTGCTATTGTGTCCGCACTCTCCAAAAGATTGCAAGAATCAAGCAATGTGGAGATCATGAAACTGTGTCGCTTTCAGGGCTTTTTGAAAAATGACGGAAAAGTAGATGGCATCAGTGTGTCCAACTCAGACAACGAAAACTTGTCTGTTAATGGGAAAAACGTCATTATTGCCACTGGTGGATACTCAGCAGATTTCACAGACCAGGCCAGCTTATTGAAGCGCTTTAGACCGGATCTCGTGGATTTCCCCTCTACTAATGGTCAACAAACTACTGGAGATGGCCAGAAATTTGCTGAGCGGGATTTAGGTGCTAAACTCTTGCACATGGACCAGATTCAAGTACACCCAACTGGTTTCATTCAGTTGAAAGACAGTGATACTATCCACAGCAAATGGAAGTTTTTGTGTGGCGAGTTAATGAGAGGTATTGGTGGTATTTTGTTGTCGCCAATCAATGGCAGGCGTTTTGTGAATGAGTTGACAACGAGAGACAACGTCACACAAGGAATATTGTCGCATTGCATGATTTCTAAGGATCGCCCTGCTATATCCATCATTGTCATCGGTGAGGAAGACTATTCGAAAGCGAAATCGCACATCGGATTTTACATGTCGCAACAGTTGATATTCAAAGGCACATACGCTGATGTGTTGAATAAACTTGAAACGGTCATACCAGGACATAACCTTTCGGCAGATGACATTGAAGCAGGTTTGGAGGAATATAATCGTAAGATCACCAGTGTGGATGATTTGGGAAGAGAATATTTTGGTAACTCAGTGGGACCCGAATTTTATTTTGGTTTCATCACTCCAGTCTTACATTTTTCTATGGGTGGTATCGAAATCAATGAAAACGCCCAAGTCGTCACCACCAGTGGAACAATTGAGGAAAACGTTTTTGCAATTGGCGAGGCAAGTGGAGGTATCCACGGCGGTAATAGATTAGGTGGGTGTGCATTGCTTGAAAGTGTTGTCTTTGGTAGACATGTTGCTAACTACATTACCAAGCAATAGTGATATACGAATTCCAGTATGAAGAAATTTACGATTCACAGTTCAACAAAGTAGGCATGAATTGTATTTCAGTGCTATGTAGATTGATATGGCGTGAGTGAATCGGGACTCAAAGTACCTAATGCCTTTAGATTTTCTTCATTGAGGTTAGAATTCTGCGATGGTGGTGCCGCAGAAAGTTTCCGCTTAGGCCGGCGTTCCTTGCGATCTTTCTTGATGATTTTCGTCTCTTGTGCTTTCAGGATGAAGGACATCATGTTTTTCCGTCTTCTTATGCCTTCGTTTATCCAAAATTCGTTACGGTAAACTTCCCACCCTTCTCTTATATCTGTGCTAAAACTCCTTGGCATTAGTGAAAGCTTAACATCATTAAGACCAACTTTAGGCTGACACCGCAGCTGGCCAGCCACTAACCATACTTCCAATTTGACGTTGGGATTTCGTTTAGCCGATGGAACCACGGTATGGAGACATTTCAATGCCATAGTGCACAAAAATAAGACAAGCTCTCGGATCAAATCCGCTAAGCTGTCGGCATATGAAGACTTTATCTTCACCAACCGCACATTTAGCTGCCGCAAGCCTTTATTGGTAGATGATAGGAATTTCCTAGGTAGAACGATGGTTTTTTGATACTCGCCAGATAGATGATAAAGAACAAGCGTTACACAAAGCGCTAGGAGCACAAGCTGTAGAACAACGCGTGATGCCGCTGTTTGCGGAGCAAAATATAGATGATGCGAGATAGATGCAATCAAAGAACAAAGCATGGCTAGAAAGGTCAAATACTTTCTTCGGAGTGTCTTTTGTTGGATGACTTGCTGCCGAAGAGTTTCTTCAAGGATAAGTAAGTTCCTGAAGATCTTTCCTGCCGCAGGCGTCAGAGTGTAGCCACTGCCAGTAAATCCTTCTGAACGATGCAGTTTCTCTGACGGAGCTTCTGAAGTTCGGGACTTTCGCCGAAGTTTTCGTTTTGTACGAGGAGAGCCCGACAGCAGTCCACTGGGCGAGCCCCTTCGGCTTCGTAAACGCTCTTTTGGTTTTTCCCCATGGTTCTGAGACTCCGACTCCAGTGCACTGGAGTAGAAAGTTACGCCATTCATCTCGCGTTCACGCACTGAGTCTGTATCCGAGATGGTCATTGGACCCAACTCCATCAGTGAGACTGAGTTCAATTTGCCGAGGGCCTCCATGGTTTCTCTATCGCTGGGTGAAAATGGGGAACCCAACGAACTGGTAGGAGTACTTTGCTCCAACTCAGAGCTATTGCGTCTGCTTCTAGACAAAGACTCTGATGACCCCATCGTGAGAAGCTTACTCTTGAATCACCTTACCGTTTCTTGGCTAGGAATGTGTTCTCGTGTGAAAGGCGGAGAAGTGAGGATTTCTGTCGCACGCGAAATGAGATGTAAACTCATGCTCTACTACAAAGAACTAGTTTAGCCAAAATCTGAGTTCCACTGCTTGCACCAACCTTTTTCCAAGTCGGCTCCCCTAATCTCTCCCGTTTCCATCACTTCTTATTTCACGTATCGTTCGTTTACTGCTTCGTTCATTGTCATTCGGTCAATTCACTACTCGATGCAAAGAACTCACTATGTTAAGATGCCCTACTAGTCCCACTTCGGAATACTGCATTGTATCATTGAGTATAAAATGACTTTAGCGCCTATTATGTTAACGTAGATAACAATATTTCTTGTATGCTCTCCCAATTTCTTCGTAAAGTGGGTTGTGCACGGTCGTTCAACGGAACATCAGTACACACCCGACGCTCTGCATTCTATCGATGTATTAAAGGTCTCATGTCACTCAAGGAACTCAAGGAGAAATTTGTTTCAGATCTTTCAGGTGGGCCTATCGACGAAATTTATGCGGTTACAGCAATTGCCCTCGCTGGGTTTTTCTCGCATAGTATACTAAAGAAATATGTGTTCCCCAACTTTGATGTGCTCAATAGCCAACCGGCAAAGTTTTTGGTGGAGTTTTACTTTGACGTTATGCTCTTGCTACAGTCTATAACGATATATAGCTCCCAGATTGGAAAGCTATATTTCAACGCGTTATTTGTCCCAATTGTCGCCATGATCTACGTTGCATTCACCTCCACGAAGAAAGGACCAAGCAAACAGAAACATAAGACATCAACAGAACTTTTAGGTCGCAAGCTGTTTATCACCGCATACAGAGCTCAAATGATGATTATTACCAACTTGGCGATTTTGGCCGTTGACTTTCACGCGTTCCCAAGGCGTTTTGCCAAAGTAGAAACATGGGGCACTTCACTTATGGACATGGGGGTGGGTCTGTTTGTGTTCTCCATGGGTTTGGCTAACTCACGAGCAGTAATTAAAAAGAGAGCCGCTCCTTCTACACAGAAGGATGGCTACTTTCGTTTGGTCTACAATAGCACAGTGAAGGCATTTCCAGTGTTGATTCTCGGCATCATTCGCTTAGTCTCAGTCAAGTCATTGGAGTATCAAGAACATGAGAGTGAGTATGGTATTCACTGGAATTTTTTCATCACATTGGGACTCCTACCAGTTGTTCTCGGCCTCCTCGACCCTATCTTAAATTTTGTCCCCCGGTTCTTTGTTGCCTTGGCAATTGGGAGTGTCTACGAATTTGCTTTACAAAAGACTGGTCTTACTGCATTTATATTAAATCCAGCGAACAGGAAAGAGAACCTTTTGACCATGAACAAGGAAGGCATCTGTTCTTTCTTTGGCTATTTGAGCATCTTTATTTTCGGTCAATCCCTTGGTTCGTTCGTGTTAACGACTCGGAAAACTCCCAACAATCTTTTGGGAATGTACTCTTTGAAAAGCAAAGGAAAAAAATGGCTAACAGTCTCAACAACAGAGGGTTTGCTCATTGCAAGCGTTATTACGATGACTATATTTTATTTTGTCAAGGAAAGCGTCTACACGGGCAACATATCGCGTCGTCTCGCGAACTTCCCTTATGTAATGTGGGTGGTAAGTTACAATTGTGCATTCTTATTGGGATACGATGTGATTGAGAAGTTAGTGGGCCCAATATCATCATCAATTCTCGACTCCATCAACAACAATGGTCTAGCGATTTTTTTGTCAGCCAACCTTCTTACTGGTCTCGTGAACATGTCCATAAACACTTTGGCTGTCGGTCATGGCATTACTTATGTCATCCTTACTGTTTATGCGTTGATCTGGACAATGCTCGCAATGTTCTTGCATGCCCGTAAGATCTATATTAAGCTTTAGATGTGTGGTTTCAAGCGACGCAGCTAAACCAAAAATGGCATTAAAGAAGACAGTGAATACACTGGACAATGCAAATGGGTAAGGAAAAACATATATAAGAAAGCCGTTTAAGAATAAAAGGAAAGAATTAGCGAGGGCAAGTAATGTATTCAAGGATCACCTAACGCACTGAGCATAATCGCAATGGGAGGTGGCACATAAATCAGACCCGTACATCCCCAGCTATCCCAGACGGCTCGGTTCGGGGCATTCGTATGCGATTAGCTTCGTTAAGGTTTTTCCTGATACAAACTTCCCTTCTTGACAGGTTTTGTCTTTTTCAACATGGCTCTGAGTGCTTCGTGGACTTCTTTTCTCAAGTCGATCGCTTCCTTTAATGGTGATTTGTCCTCCTTGACTGCTCCACCATTCATCTTATCACCAACGTCTTTGGTAGAGTATACGCAATATTGGGGAGAGCACCCGGACCTTTTGGTAGAGCCTAGTTTCATCCGTGGTGATGGCTCTAAAGAAGAAATTGAGTCCGTTTCGGCAAAGAGAATGCTTGCCGTCACTAAATGGTTTATTTCCACATTAAGATCTCAGTACTGTTCGAGAAACGAAAGTATGGGATCGGAGAAGAAACCATTGAATCCGTTTCTAGGTGAGGTTTTCGTGGGCAAATGGAAGGACACTTCTCTGGACGAAAGATTGGGTGAGACTGTTCTTGTGAGTGAACAAGTAAGCCACCACCCTCCCGTCACCGCTTACGCTATTCTCAATGAGAAGAACAACTTGTTGTTACAAGGTTACTTTGGAATTAGAGCAACTATTAGCACCACTTCCATCAACGTGAAGCAATATGGTCATACGCTTTTGGAGTTTGGAGATCTCAACGAAACATATCTCATTACACTTCCACCTTTGCACATTGAAGGTCTCATCACTGCGTCGCCATTTGTTGAATTAGAAGGAACCTCTTACATTCAAAGTTCTTCCGGATACATTTCCGTGATTGAGTATTCTGGCAGGGGCTACTTTACTGGCAAGAAGAACACATTCAAGGCGAGAGTGTACAGAGATAAGTTGTCAAGCAGTAAGAAGGAGAATGCGTTGTTCACAATCAGTGGGCAATGGTCAGACAAGTCGTATGTTGCTAAAGGACCCACTACCCCAACAAGCAAGGATGAACTCTTTTATGACGCCAACGCTAAAAACCCCGAGCATTTGGTGGTGAAACCCATAGAGGAGCAACACGAATTGGAGTCAAGAAGAGCTTGGTCCAAGGTTGCAGATGCCATCAAAGAAGGAGACTACGACACGATCCACAAAGAAAAGTCTCTCATTGAAAATGCCCAAAGGCAGTTGAGAAAAGAAGAGGCTGCGGCAGACACCAAGTGGGATGTGCGTTGGTTTGACCAGGTCGACTTGTTAACTAAGAAAGACGATCCTATGGTTCCATTAGCCAATATCGCTGGATTGTCTGTGGAGAATGTTCCATCTGGATCTACTGTAGGATCCAAATATGAAAAGGGAGAAGCGCTTCATTGGAGAGTTAACATTGACAAGTGGCATGCCGAGGATAAGATTACTGTCTGAGTTACACGTTAAGTTTAATATAGTACTGTGTTGATAGGAATTAGCAATAATGATATTTTAAGAAAAAGCTCTGAAGAATGCGTACATGAGAGAGAATTGGCTCTTATGCTTTATTACCAGATATCTACTCCATCTTATCGGTCTTAGGGCTTCTCACGTGCGTACAATAAGGGCTGAATCGCCAAGCACGTGAAGAGAGTGCACCTAATGCCCAAGGGTCCCAGTTGCCAGTAAGAGAGCGCATGAGGTGTACAGGTTTAAAACCTACCAGACGATACAGTCGCAGTCACTGGTCACAGGAACACATGCAGTACCGCGAAGAATTTTCTCTCACGCTGGAGGAAAAAAATTGACCTTTTTTCATAGTGAAGAAACCTTTTTTTCATATCATCAACTCGATCCACAATGGCTGAATCTCACAGATGTATGTACACATATCAATGAAGCATAGAAACTGTCACAATACTATGGTGACTATGGCATCCGTACTGCTGTGACTTTTTCTTGACTCTTCGGTTCATGTCCTTGACCGGATGGTCTCTTAGTTGAGACCAGATAAATTTTGACAAATACTAACTTTACAGTGTACGTTAAGGGTAAGCACATCTCCTACCAACGTTCTAAGAACGTCACCAACCCAAACGTCTCTTTGATCCAAATCGAAGGTGTTCAAAACCCAAAGGACGCTAAGTTCTACTTGGGTAAGAGAATCGCTTACGTCTACAGAGCTTCCAAGGAGGTCAGAGGCACCAAGATCAGAGTTATCTGGGGTAAGGTGACCAGAACTCACGGTAACAACGGTGTTGTCAGAGCCAACTTCAAGAAGAACTTGCCACCAAAGACCTTCGGTGCTTCTGTTAGAGTCATGTTGTACCCATCCAACATCTAAGTTGAATGAAGTCACGATATCTTTACCCTTCCACAACTCTATTGTTGGGCCCATTGTTTGCATGTAATCTACGACGGGACATGGACGTGTCTTGGGTAGTCGCATGCTGGCCATTGGTTCAGCGTGTATAAAATGAATTCTTTCACCTTAATAAAACGAATCAAAGTTAACTATTTTGTATGTCTTCTGTGTGTTTAGTCTCTCACATGACTTTTAAGTTGTACGTGTTTAGGAAATTTTGCTTAGGGTCTTGTTCTCCAAGTTTCTTAAACCTACTCAATCCGCGTTTTTTATTCCTGCAGCCAGTCACGTTAGTCGACACTTGACTTCTGGTGTCTTGGAGGAATCTCAAAAAACAATGGAGAATAACTCGAGTAATGAGGCCGAGTTAGGATCGACCAAACCCGTGTCACAAGAAAAGCCACAAGCGGCCGTGTTGTCTGATCCAGAGACAAATGCCTCCGACGGCTGGGATGAACAAGAATCAGATTTGTGGGATGAATCAGAGCCAGCATCCACTACTAATGGGCCGCTCACAAATAATGGCCACCATAAGAAAGAAGTAGAAGAAGAAAATCATACAGAGGATGCATTAGCTGAGTTGCGGTCTCGATTATCTAGGTGTGAGATTGAAATTTCGGAGAAACGGCGCGAGTTGGAACTTAAATCAGAAGAGTTGGCTCAAAAGACTACGGAGTTGGACTCAAAAGAGCAAGAACTCACTGAATTGAGAGCTATATCTCTGAAGAAGCTTGAAGAGTCTGATTCCGAAAGTAGTCAGAAGCACATCAAGGAACTAGAAGCAGAGTTGGAGGCGACTAAAAAAGAAAGAGATGACACAAAGCAGCAATTAGAGGGCTTCTTATCAAAAATTTCAAGCATGAAGACGGTATTCCAAAACTACAAGGTTACTCAAAGCGAGTTAGAAGAGCTCAAGCTGGAAATGGAGACCGTACAAGCAGAGTCGGCTACTCTTAAGCTGGAAGTAGAATCCCTCAAGCTGTCAAAGGGGAATTTAGAAACCCAGCTTCATGATAAGGAGGAAGAGAATCAATCGTTGAAGCAGACGCTTGAACAGCTCAAAGCACAGGCAGCAGACTTGAATAATGAATGTGATAGATTGAGCCTGCAATTGACCAATCTCCGTCGCGAATACCAACTTAAAGAGGAAACAGGGCAAGACGAAAAGTACTCCTTAGAAAACGAGGTGAGTCGGTTGACTAAAAAACTCAATGAGCAAAAACATGCCTATAATGAGCTTGAAGTCGCCCAGGAAGAATTAACAATGGAGAACAAAAACCTCTCGGCGACAATCGAAGAACTCAGCAATAAAGTTGAGCAAAAAGAAAGTGAGATTTCACATTACGCTCAACTAGTAGAAAACCTGGAGGAAAAATGGGAAGCGAAGGTGAAGGAGCTCGACGAACTTGTGAAGAAGAAAGAACAGGAGATAAGAATTTTAGAAGAGGAAAAAGCAGGTTTCCAGTCACAGGAAGGTAAGCATGAGGCAATCATAGCGGATAAGGATGAGGAGATTGCGAAACTCAAAGAAGAAAACAGCAAGATTGCTAGTCTTCAGGAAGAGGTTCACACAAAACAGCTTATAATAGGGAAATTGCGACACGAAGCAGTGATTTTGAATGAGCACTTGACAAAATCTATGGGTATGCTTAAGCAGCAACTGAATCAATCGAAAAACACAGTTGACAGGGACTTGATTTCGAACCTTTTCTTGAACTTTTTGCAGTTTCCTCGTGGAGATACAAAGAAGTTCGAGTCTCTTCAGCTTATTAGTGATTTACTAGAATGGGACGAGTCTCGAAGAGTTCAGGCTGGTCTTGCTCACACTGTCGGAGGAGCAAAGGCACGAGATGAAGAAGGAAGACCTTTGAGACAGAGCTTCATCTCCTTATGGACAGATTTCTTGGAAAAAGAAAGTTCCAAAACAGCTAAATAAGCAGCATTTACACATCGTATACCTCTTTATTATTTTCGTTCTAGTCCATAGTTACCTTGGGAGTTTTCCCAATTAATGAACACATTCGCATTGTTAATCATCCTATGCGCGCACCATGCTTGATGCAAGACAGAAATTTGTAAGGCGCGTCTTCAACTCTTCTTTCAAAAGATCCAATTCCAGCACAATGGTGGATATCCGGCAATTTTTTAACGGAGGTGGGGCTCCAAATGTATGTTTTTGTTCTCTGCAATCCGATTTGTATTACTAACGAACATAGACGAAGAAGCGAGCAGCGCCGCCCAAAACCAAGGACACAGCATCTAAGGGAAGCAAACTGGAGCCAATTGAGCTCTCTGAAAAGGAAGAGCCTCAACCGAAAAGAGCGAAAATTGCAGAGGATAAGAACAAGCATTCCTCTGAAGATAAGAAAACAGGAATTAAGAGTGAACCAGAAAAAGTTGAAAGCAAATCAACTAAGAAACAGCGGACTAGAACACCGAAGAGATCATATGTCAATCTTGATTCAGATATGGAAGACTCAGAAGAGGAATTCAAGCCTAATGACGAAGAGGAAGAAGAAGAGGATGATTTCGAACCAGAAGTCGTCGAGGAAGAAGACAGCGAAGCTCCAGTGGATGAAGACGAAGACCTTCTCGTACAAGAGATAGAACCAGAGCCAAAGCCAAGAAAAAGAAAGAGGGAGTCAGCATCGCCTGCTCCAAAAGCTTCTCCGGCAAAGAAGCAACCAACCGCTACATCGGGATCAACCACACGCAACGTAGCCCAGGATTCATCATCTGGCACGGCTGACGAGATCCTTTCTCAAATAGATGATGCGGAGTTGCCAGAGGCCATGGAAACAGAAGGAAAATTGAACTATTTCGCCTTAAAGAACAAGCAACAGAATGTTGCAGCTCCGTCAGGAAATGTTGAGCTTCCTATCGCGGCCCCAAACTGTTTAGGTGGCCTCACGATTGTTTTCACAGGTGTTCTTCCTAATTTAGACAGAGATGCCGCTGAGTCTATTGCCAAACAATATGGTGCAAGGGTAACAAAGTCCATACTGAAAAAGACGAGCTTGGTTGTTATTGGAGAGGAAGCGGGCCCTTCCAAGGTGAAGAAAATCAAAGACTTCAAAATCAAAGCTATCAGTGAAGATGGTTTCATCGAGTTGTTACGAAGAATGCCTGCCGATGGTGGTGATGGCTCTAATGCTCAGGCTGCTAAGAAGAAGAGGGAGGAGGAGGAAAGAATTATAAGGGAAGAAGCACTAGCGCAAGAAAGATTGGAGCAGAAGAAAGAGTTGGAGAGAAAGAAGGCTGCCGAGAAGGCTACCAAAGCTGCACAAGGACCAAAGCAGGAGTCATCGCGTGCTGCTTCTCCTCCAAGAGAAATTCCCAACAGCGAAAAATTGTGGACAGTCAAGTATGCACCAACATCTACAGCCCAACTTTGTGGTAATAAGGGACAAATTCAAAAGTTGAAGAACTGGTTGGCAAATTGGTTTGACAATGCCAAGACCAACTTTAAGAATAAGGGTGCCGACGGATCGGGTATTTTCCGTGCTGCATTGATCAGTGGACCTCCTGGTATTGGTAAAACAAGTGCTGCCCACCTCGTTGCGCAAGAGTTGGGGTTTGACATTTTGGAAAAAAATGCATCTGATGTAAGATCGAAATCATTGCTTAACAGTAACATCAAATCAGTACTCAACAACACTTCTGTTGTTGGTTTTTTCAAGCATCAGGGCGAGAAAGAACACCAAACCAATGAGAGAAGATTTTGCTTGATTATGGATGAAGTGGATGGTATGTCTAGTGGTGATCATGGTAGTGCTGGTGCGTTATCTGCTTTTTGCCGTATTACGAACATGCCTATGATTTTGATTTGCAACGACAAATCGCTTCCCAAAATGAGAACATTTGACAGAGTAACGTTGGATTTACCTTTCAGGAGGCCATCCGAAATGGAAATGAAGTCCAGATTGCTAACTATTGCTTTCAGAGAAAAGCTCAAGTTGGATCCAACCGTCATTGGTCAACTAGTTCAAGCCACTGGTAATGATATTCGGCAGATTATAAACTTGATGTCTACGGTTTCCAAAACGCAAAAGAACATCAACCATGATAATGCCAAAGAGATTGCAAATAGCTGGAAGAAGCACTCGATGTTAAAACCATTTGCAATTGTGCTGCAGTTTTTAGGTGGTGGGATTTTCAACCCCAATGCTCATCACTCTTTGAATGACAAGATAGAAATGTACTTCAATGACATTGATTTTACCCCGTTGATGATCCAGGAGAACTATCTTAATCTGCTTCCTAGCGTCCTGACACCAAAGGAACATTTGGAGAGAGTAGCAGCTGCTGCTGATGCGATTAGTCAGTCGGATCAGATTAATTCTTTGATTCGTTCGAGTGAACAGCAGTGGAGCTTGTTACCTTTCCATGCGGTGATGTCAACAGTGGTTCCCGCGAAAGAGGTGAGTGGGCGTATGACGTCTTATCCAGCATTCACAAGTTGGCTAGGGCAAAATTCGAAAACGATGAAGTACACGCGGATGCTTCAAGAATTGCAATACCATACCCGGATGAGAACTTCCACAAGCAAGAGCGAATTACGGTTAGATTATGTCCCAGTTCTTAGTAAGAAGCTTTCGCAGCCGCTAATTGACGAAGGTGAAGCTGGTATTGAAGAAGTTATGGATAATATGGACTACTACTACATCACGAAGGAAGACTGGGACAACTTGATTGACTTTGGTGTGGGACCCAACAAAGGTGCCAACATCTTGGCGCAAATTCCCTCCAACGTCAAAGGAGCGTTCACCAGAAGGTACAACGGTGCAGCACATCCAATGGCCATTCTCAAGACGGGTAACTCTGTCGGAGGTGGAGTGGGTAAGCAAAAGGCAGACTTTGAGGATGTGGTTGAAGATGATACGATAAATGATGATGAGGAGCCAGAGGTTGAAGACAATGGCAAGTTTGATCCGAAAAAGGACAAATTCATCAAAGAAGTTAAGCCCAAAAAGGGCAGGAAAACGGGCACGACAGGAAGTGCTGCGTCTAAGAAAAGTACTACATCGAAAGCCAGAGCTAGTGCATCCAAGAATACTACCAGTCTGCCGGCATCGAAAAAACGCAAAGTTACAAAATAAATAGTGTTCTTCTTTTCACTGTATCATCAGCCGCGCAGTTGCAACAGTGGTTTTATAGTGGTGTCGCGCGCCTTCTGGAACTTGAGTCCGCGACACGAGAAATATAATCAGTTACTTTCATGGAACATGTCCAGTATAGTGCAAGACAATGTGTATATGTCTGGTATCTTTCTTCCCTGTCACTCTCACTGCTTTTCTTATGTTGTAGCGTACTGGCTCCAATGTGGTGGTTCCCCTCCCTTACTCTGCCTTGGCACTGATGGAGATCGATTACGCAGGCACACCCCACTATGCACGCTGCATATTATCACGCGCAAAAGCTCCACCCGAAAACCATCGTCTTAGTGTCGAAAACATCCGTTTACACTTCTTCCATCTACTGTCCATGGCCCGCTCAGAATGTCTGATCCGAGCCCCATGTTTAAAGCGCCGATCAAGCGCTCTTATAACCCACAACTGCCACTGATACCTTCGCCGATCTCGCTTGGTCATGGTCAGAACGACTCTTCTGACACCAATCTCACCAGCGACTCCCATAATCCCGCGCCCGAGACTGTTGTACCGCTTCCGTTTACTGTATTGCCTCAGAAACAACGCGCTCCACGCCGAAAACCGCCTCCAATCGACTTTACCAAAATAGATGGCTCCACCTCGTATACACCTGACTCCCATCCTCAGCCACGCTCAGAGGTTACTAATACCAGTCCAGAGTCGCAGCAAGATTCGCCTGCCGCCGCTACTGTCAGTAATACGCCGCTCTCGGGTCAGAGTATCGACCATTTGACACCAGGCGACTGGAATATTCTCGCTAATACAGACCAAATCGTCGAGCTCAGCAAACTCGGAGAAGGCAATGGTGGCTGTGTGTCCAAATGCGTTCTTCGTAGCCGGTCGCTGGTTTTTGCCTTGAAGTTGATAAACGCCGATCCAGATCCAAATATCCAGAAGCAAATACTCCGCGAGTTGCAGTATAACCGGCTCTGTAACTCGCCGAACATTGTTAAATACTACGGCACATTCATAGTGCAAAAGCTGTCAATGATTGGAATTGCTATGGAATACATGGCAGGCCGATCGTTGGATGCCATTTATAAGCGAGTGATAGAGTTGGATCCGACAAACAGAATTAATGAAAAGGTCTTAGGGAAGATCGCAGAATCTGTCCTCCGGGGTTTAAGCTACCTACACCTGCAGCGAATCATTCACCGTGACATCAAACCTTCTAATATCTTGCTTGATCGCCAAGGAAACGTGAAAATCTGCGATTTTGGCGTCAGTGGTGAAGTGGACAATTCTGTAGCCACCACATTCGTGGGTACGCAGTACTATATGGCACCCGAGAGAATCATGGGCAAGCCTTACTCTGTGAGCTGTGATGTATGGTCGTTGGGACTTACGTTGTTGGAAGTTGCACGGGGTCTGTTTCCCTATCATTTACAGATGGACTCAAATCCGTTAGGCCCAATCGAACTATTGTCTTTAATCTTGGAGTACCAGCCGCGCTTGGAAGACATTCCTGAGGACGGCATATTTTGGTCAGACTCACTCAAAAATTTCATTTCCTACTGTTTGAAGAAGAACGCGGAAGAGAGGCCGAGCCCGCAGCAAATGCTCCAACATCCTTGGTGTGTTGGTCAACGTAATATTCGGGTCAATATGCAGAAGTTTGTTTACCGGCTTTGGGGCGACGATTTGGACTGATTACAGAATCGTCCGTTAATAGATTATTTACGATAATGATATGCTTGGTGGATGGCGCATTGAAATTTGTAATCTTCTTGTATTTCTTTTTCGGTTGTTACAAGGTTATTTCACCTTACTTTTAGATTTTCGCAGTTCTTTCGTGAATTTTCCAATTACATGAGAAGGTGAATTTGATACGAAAAAAAGCAATACTAAGTCCAAAAGAAAGGTATACTAGAGTATGCAGATTTAGGTAAAAACTACATGATTGAAAGCGGAAAAGCATTATTTGAGCTATAACATCATGTTTTACAGCCAAATTTCTTTTCCCAAGCTCATGTTGGCTGGTCTGGCTAGTAATAAATTGAGCACCGCACGCCGCGCGGGCCAATCAACTGAACTACAAAGAAAAGCATCGAGCCAACTTACCAAACTCAGCACTTAAAATGCCAGTTCCCTTTGAAGGCTTATTGCCTTATGCCATCATGACTGCATTTTTCGGTATCGCCGGCCACGGTGTTGGCTACATCAGATACTGGGACAACGGTTGGAAGAACGACAGATTCGACTTGGACCAATGGGACCACAAAATGATGGAAAGAGACCTTTTGTTGACCGGAGTCAAAAGAGGCCAGTCCAGTGAAGCGGTTGCTCCCGAACATTTCAAGACCGCTCACATCACTAAGGAAAGATACTGGACTCCGTACAGAGACCAGTTCTTCTCTTTCAGAGAGAGATTATACAGAGGCTATGTTACCGGTAACTGGGACTTCAGCTAGACTGGAGAGTTTTAAGTTAAAACTATTCGAATACACAAGCATACAGAATCAAATGTAGCCTACTGGCGAAAACGCTGCTCTCACAAAAGTAAAATGCAATTACTAGTATACACCCAACATGAAATGTCTTCCCGAAATCATTTAAAATCTTTGTAGCTCCATTTTCGGTGATCTGACTGCTTTCTCTATGCTTTGAGGAACTGTGCGCAACTTACTGTGCTGCACTGTACATCTGATCATATAGAGTACTTCTGGTTCATGGTCTCAATGCTGGTCATCATCGAAACTCCCCTCATTCGTGAACCAACTTCATGTTTACCATGACGACGGTATTTTCTCTCAGATCTCTTCTTAACAGACAGCAACTTCTTTTCAACTTCGCTTTCAATTGTTTCCAAGTTGGACAAGTCATGAATTTGCTTTTTCAAGTCTTTAAGCTTCTTCTCAAGTTCTAATCTCTGCTTATGTCTCATTTCTTTATTTCTGCGTGTTTTCGTCTTGATCTTCAATTCTGTTCTTTCATTGAGTGAAAGCTTGTAGGAATCGTCTTCGTCTTCGTTTTCTCCAGCACCTTCTTCCTCCTTTCCTTCTTCGTCATCAGACTCTTCGAATTCCTTGTCATCCAACGTGGCAATCAAGTACTGAATGCGCTTTTGGTGCTCCTCCATCTCTTGACGCTTCATTTCTATGCTATTTTCGAGGTTAAATTCCTTGTTGATCAAATCCTTCCAGGATTTTAAGTCCGGGTTGTAAGACTTACCAGCGTGGATCACAGTTTCAAGTGGAGCTGGAGTTTCAAGAGCCACAGGCTGATGAGATAAAGTTTTTGGAGCCTTCTTCGCTGCGGTGTAAGACAAAAAGGGCGTCTTCTTGTATACTTCAGGCAACTCCTCCTCAGAGGCAGTACCCCAGACATCAAGCGAAGATGCTCTGATAATGCCTTCCTTTTCACTTCTAGCTTGAACTTTCGATGTGGTAACCAGACGACCAGCCAAAGCCATCAATCTATTCGCCTGGGACTTGCTGACTTTGTGCTTGACTTTTCTCGAGGAAACAGAAGGAACTTTGGACTTGTTGGCCAAGATCTCAGACGTCTTCCTTATAAAGGCTGGGGTCTTCGATTTGCTGTCACCCTCGTTATCAATTATGAAATCCGAGTCATCTCCCAATAAAACCTCATTCTCTCTCTTTGCTTCCAAGCCAGCCTGGATGTCATCAACATCAATGTTTTTTCTCCATGCCTTTTTACCGTGTCTTGAGGGTTGGCCCTTGGGTTTGCTTTCCATTTTGGGAGTGGAGATATTTGGAGATGAGCCTGAGGTGGTTTTTTCGAGATGAGGGTGCATTACGACAATGTCGCGCAAAATGTCGCACTTGTTCACCTACACCATGTTTTCTCTTTGGCGAGGGCCCAGGAGTGAGCCAAACGAGACACTGCTGGCACTCTTACCATGTGGTGTGATTTTTTTCTTCTCTGCTTCCTTAAAGTTTCGTGAACATATTAAGTCATTCACAACCATTAGTCATCCACTTTCAATGATTGTTCTATTGAATGACAAATAATACACGTTTGGCCGTAGTGGTCGCAGGATACATTACAATCAGCGACCCCCATATTGTAACAGTACAATCGGGCGGAAACAATATTCCACCATCGAATAAGGGCTCCAAATGCAAACTTGTTTTGACGATGGTTCCCAAGTGACATAATCACTTTACGCATATTAATGCACCTCGGCTGTTGAGATACATCGGTAGAGGATTACAAATGAGTCTGCTCAGTATACGCAAAATTGATGCTTGCCCTTACAATTCGATGGAACAAGATTAATTACGCTTGTACCATGTACGCGATCGAATTAAATCGATATTGTCAACTCTACCTGGGTACACCACCGTTCATACCGTCAATGTGGTCAAAATTTGAAAGACGGCCTAGGCCACGCGTATGTGATTTCACTTTTTGCTGAAGGTCGCTTGCCCTTGCTGAGGACAAAGGGTATCTCGTAACGGATGATGCCCATTATCTCGGCAAGAGTAGTACAGTTTTCACACCAGCATTCTTCCCTCTTGACTGCATGCGCAACAAAGCAAGTCAGCAGGGGAACTAGTGAATTCTGGCCTTAGAGACAAGCGATTCGGAAGAGCCACCCAGATTTTAGAGTGACTCAAAGAATCCAAAAAGACGTTCCAAGAGAATGTTCTGTCGAAACCTTTGGAGTTTGACGCTAAAAGACTGCTCCCAATGTAGACATTCTGCACACTAGTCGCTTCGCATGAAGATGGCATTTCCCCTGCAGCACTTATCATAGAACAATGAGAAGTATATATCTTTCTATAGACTATCGGCTAACTTAGAGACTTCTCTCGAAAGCTAATCATGCAATTGAAAGCTTTGTAGTCCATAAAATATCTTCAGCTAATGTGAAGGCGATGAATTATTTTCCAGGGATGCTATTTTAGCCCTTCTACGCCAAGCAAAGAACGCTTGCTTCCTACGATCCTTTAGCGGGCTTCGTATTTGGCCAAATTTTGGCCATGCACGGATCTGAAACTTTGGACACATTGTTTTATGCATCTACAAAGTCTTCAATGGGAAAAGTGGCGAAGGTGGATCCGCAAAGGACCGAACTGCCAGCGAACAGGACAACAACGGGAGAAAAAAAAAAAGTGATAATGCCCGCATAAAACGAACAAATATAGATGACTTCAAACGATCTCAAGAAAGAATGTGCCAAGTTTTCTAGCGCACAGCTTCAGAATCGACATCCCCGTCTTACTCTACGGACCCAAATTGGAGCGCAATAGGTGCAACAAATTACCACATCCGAGGTACATGTAATCGACCTCACGTCAAGTTATCTTCTGCATCAGCTGCAGATTTATGCAAAGTAGACTTAGTCGAACGGTTGAAACTGCCAACGTGTAGTACTAGGCGGTCACTGCTCACATGCCAAAATACATCAACAATCCTATAGGCAGATAGCTGCACGGAGCTCCCAACCACGGACTGTTCCAGATGGTCCACAAGTTGCAGAACGCGCATAAGGCTACTGTGAAACGGCACAGACTTGCAATTGGTGCTGGCAATTACATACGGATGCGTAGGCCCAAAAGCTACCAGTTTTTTCTCTATTTATCTTTATTTGTGTAACCCTTGATCGAAGAAACTGACCAATGCCTGACGGATGCGGGAAAGGCATTCATGTCCGCGAAACTTCACTTCCCAGTTATTATGTAAATCTTTTTTCCCTGTCCTCTTAATTAGGCGCAACAAACCCATGGCTCGCATGACAAGTAAGCAATATTATACGCTCACATGCATTGGGCAACGACAAAACTAGAGACTTCGCCATAATCGTACATCGACAAAGACCCGCTCATGCACACATACGACGGTGCCGCAAATCTTCGGGTCAACACCCGTCCCAAGTTGGCAGCCAAGTCCTGGATGGTCATACTTTCACCTTGCTGAAGTACACTGGTGTAGGTTTCTGTTCCCTTGCCAATTGTGTAGACGTAGGCGCCAATACTAGAGTTCCCTACTTGATTGACATAGACCATGGTGGGGGCCTTGGCATTCGCTTTGTCTCTATGGAAAATCACTTGGTAGTCATTTCCTCCGACAGAAATGACGGCAGATTTCATGATTGTTGTGGGCACAAAGTGCTTCGAATTGGACCTTTCAACAACAAGAGATAGCTTAAATGGGTGAGGCGCCTAAGAAAAATGCCTGTGGACACAGGTTGGGCGCGACTTAGAGGAGTCTATATGCATACAAAAACCCGGGCGGCGTGGTTTTGAGTGATGCAGCCAGACTATTTTCCGCTTCTACTAGGCTACGAGCGAATAAATACCTGCGAGGGGTCACCACGTAAGAGATTAAACTTCAGTTCCTGCTTTTCCCGATTTCTGCTTTCCATTTGAAAGCTGCAAGTTGTTTCTACAGAATTTTCTTTTTACTACTTTTCTTCTAATTTGTTCTTTTGTCCTCCGCTTACTCACAGCTATCGGAAATTGAGCACCACGCATAACGCTTTTGCCTAGCCCATTGTCTAGTCATTACTTTTTACACGACGACAATCTGAAAAGCCACATCTAAAATTTTGTTTACTACTTCAATCGCTTCTTTTCCTTAATCTTTCGGCTTCAAGGTTACGTGTTCCTTACGCACTTGTGATTGCAAAATCCATTCCAAAAACAGTCAGGTACCCCTCCCCCACCAAAACAAAGATAAGCAAAGATAAACAGAAAAACCAGACAAAGAAAAAGAGAACGACTGCTAAAACAACAGCGAACAAGAAGAAAGATTGACGAACAGAAACATCAAGAATAAAAGAATAATACTATATCGTCCTCAATTATTTGACTCACCAAAATCCTCAGTAGTAACATGACCCAAAGTTCGGACCAAAGTGCGTCGTTTGTCAGTACAATTACAAAAATTGTTTTCGAAAGTGGAGGTGGAGAAAGAATTGAGAATAATGAATCCACAGCCGAATTTCCTTTGAAGATTATTGTTGACCCATCAAATTCTTCGTCTACTCAATCTAGCCAGGAATTGAAAAACCATTTGACAATGAATGGGTACTCATGGAAACCAGCTCATCAGAACATTGAGGTTTCGTTGCTAAGATTAGAGGAGAGTAATAATCTAGTTAATCATCTTGCGGAACACGCATGGAACTTTAGCTTCGATTACTCCTCTTTTGCAAACCACCCGGGACTACTTCTAGTTAAAGGTCTTAACCGTTCAAAGTCATCTGAAGAAGAATTAAAAAGCTTCTTTAATTCTAAATCCAGATTCAGGTCGTTAAACGAAGTTTCCTTCATTAGTCTTTCCGCGGAGGACAATACACCCACTGTTGCTGCTGTATTAAAATTTGAAAATTATGTTGATGCAGACATGCTATTGGAAAATCCTCCAGATGCAACAAATTTTGCAGCTGAGGGGCCCTTGACTTTATGTCGCTATGTGAAAAAAAGAGATAGATCCAAAAACCAAGCAGATGGTCTGATAACTGGGTTACCTTCCAGTTCTGCAAATTTTGATACTACCCAAGATGATTCCATGGAATACGACACAGTTGTAATTGAAAATTTTTGTGACTTCCTTGGTGGGCCTACTACTGTTGAAGTAATTCAGCAAATAATTGCGAAGTTTCTGTTGTTTCACAAAATTGAGAGGGTATACTTCCCAGTTACGAAAGTGGATTCAGAAAAGTTCGCCTTCAAAAAATGTGGTTACATTAAATTCACTCATTCAAGAGAATTGATGAGCGATACGTTGAAGTGCTTATACTACTTGAATGATTTGACTCAGAAAGAATTACTTGACTTTTCGAGCAGTAACATCTATGAAATTCAAAATGATGTTAATGCGCCAACCCCAATAAGAAAGGGTTCAAAGAATTCTGTTCTCAAGTTGGTAATTGCCCAAAGAAAGCACAACCACTACTTGTTCCAGAATAGAGATAACGCTTTCCTAACATCCATCGGACTGCCCGAGTTAACTTTCGTTGAATCACCTTTAGATGATCTTGTTCTCGTAAACGATATTGCTAAATCTTTCACGAAGAATTCTAACTACCAAGAAACAAATGTTTACGTGAACAATTTCCCAATACTTTTTGAAAACAATGATGAGTTATGGGCTGAATTTTGGAACCAATTTGGGGTTGATTGCATCAAATCTGCTAGAATCATTAAACCCCAATTTTACTCGAAGAGATCCGAAGGACCTTTGGGGAAGATTGGTTTTGTTTTCTACGAGGATTTTAGAATGGCATTACGGGCCATAATCTTGACAAACAATAAAGTTGTCACTTACAAAAATCACCCGAGTATCCTCATACAAACCTCATTTGCAATCCAGAAAGGTGGCCATTCTTCAGTTTCAAATGGAAAGATGCCACCTTCTAAGTATTCACTAAACTCCACTCCCGAATACAACTACTTTCCCCCTCCAGACAACCCATACATGCATCGGATGAACTTGCATATGAATGATTCATACTACTTCATGGATTTACCTTACGCAAGAAATGAGTCTCCTCCTCAAAGCCCGCCATTTTTCAACCCAGGAGATGGATTTGTATACAACCCATACATTCTTCCAATACAGTATCCGTCTAACCATACGGACGAGGACACCAGAAAAGAGGAAGAAGGGCTCAATCCCCACAAGTCGTTGAAGACAATATCCGCTGGGCAACCTATGCCAAGCAACCAGTATCCAGTTCCTTATGGATATTATTATTTATATTATCCGTATTCTTCTCCAATGAGGATGAATCCAATGCAGCCTGTACCCATGAATGGACCATTGCTTCCTGTTGCTCCAAATGTCCCATTCAAGCATTTTCCATCACTGAAAAATGGGAGAGACAAAAGAAATGCACAAGAGAAAGAAGGTGTATAATTCGAAGGATGACATTAATGGTTCGACTTAAATAATTGCAAAAGTAACACACATTTATTTACAAGGATGGGGGTGTGCTTGCGTCTCCTCTTCTTTGGGGCGTGACGGTAGCCGCTTCGAAATCAGGTACTGTAGTTTCCTCAATAGGATCAGTTTCATCAACAGGCCTCACTTCCTGAACTTCCTCAATGTAGTATTTAAGCATACTTTCAATACCGTTTTTCAATGTAACAGATGAAGAATCACAAGAACGGCATGCACCCTTCAATCGCAAATAAACAACCCCAGTGTTTTCTTCAAAGCTCACAAATTCGATGTCGCCTCCATCATCTTGGATTGCGGGTCTGATTCTCGTGAAGATAAGTTCTTTGATCATAGAAACAATTTCGTCATCATCTTCACTGAACTGCATGTCATTTGTTAACTGTGCATCGTCAGATATTATAGGAGTCCCGTTAGTTAAGAATTCAGTCAAAATGGAAAAAATCTCCGGCTTGAGAACAGCCCATTCGATGTCGTCGGTCGATTTCTCAATAGTGATGAAATTAGAGCCCAACATGATAGATTTCACCCCATCTACCGAAAATAGCTTCATTGCCAACGGACTTATAACAGCTTCTCTACCACTTAGAAATTCACGAGTTTCATTCTCTTGTAGAAGCTTGGTGGAAGGCAAAAATTTCAATGCATTCTCGTTGGGAGTCTCAGCTGTCTGGATGAAAAGGTTACGGAGAGAGAAAATCCCTTGTCTTCTGGGTAATCCGAAAACACGCAGTGCTCTTGCAAACATGTTTAAAGTCCCGGAGATAGTATTTATTCTATAATGAATGTAGTATGTAAATGGCAAGTAGCAAAGCAGATCTCTCGCTACAATATACACTCCAAAATGTAGATGAACACCAGTACCTCATGAATCATCAATTTCCGACTTTTAATTCAACCACCGAAGAGGAGCTTCTCAAACATAGAAGACGCCTTCTCTTCGAATTTGGATTCATTTGGTTCGTTGCTAATAGATTGATCCAACTGTAGCTTGTTTTCTGCTAGCATCAAAATATTCTCATCTATAGTATTTTCTGATATGAGTTTGGTGACCATCACCTCATTAGTTTGGCCAACACGATGTGCTCGATCTTCCGCTTGTTTGTCATCATGGGGATTAAAAGACTGATCGAATATTACCACATTGTTGGCAGCAACCAAGTTGATACCAAATCCACCAGCTTTTGTTGATAGGAGGAACACGGGAATATCCTCATCTTCGTAAAATCGATCAATAATGTCTTGTCTTGTATCAACACTAGTTTGTCCATCAAGTCTCAAGAAGCTGATATTAGCGAAACTTAAAACTTTTTCGAGAATATCGAGCATCTGAGTGAAGAGGGAAAAAACCAAAATCTTCTCTTTCTTCATGATAGTTTGCTTAATTAAATCCAAAAGTTTGGCAACCTTTCCACTATCATGCCATTTTTCCTTGTCCAACACGTAACTGGATAATGTATTTGGGAATTTTTCGCATAAGGCATTAAGTTCGTAGTCGCTCATCACCAGCATATCTTCCTCGATGTAAGCCCGGCTTGCATTAACGTACTCGGGTTCCTTCATGATTCTTTTGGACATTTCCTTCAACATGTCGTCTGTGTAGTTCTTCCTAAAAAGAAGAGGATGCATAGATGCCTTTCTCAATGACATCATAACGTTAGACGATGAAGCAACGGGACTCTTTCTTGCCAATTCCGCATCCTTACCCGTTAACTGTTTCCTCCGCTCCCTTTCAAGTTTAGTAGATTTTCCCTTTTCGATGTACTCATCATAGATAGCTCTTTGGGTTGGAGTCATAGGACATCTCACTATATCATGGTGCTTCTTAGGCAAATACTTTAACACTTGGGCCTTTTTTCTCCGCAAGACAAATGGGGTCATCATCGTCTTCGCTTTATTAATTGCCTGTTGAGAAAGTAATGGGTTATAATCCTTTGTTGAATCCACACTAGCTTTCTTATTAAAAAGCCCTTGTAAATCTTCACGTTTTTCGACAAACAATTGAGGTAACATAAAAGCCAACAAAGAGACAAGCTCCTTCAAGTTATTCTGCAAAGGCGTACCTGTCAATAACAATCTGAAGTCTGCCTTTAACCTCATCAACTTATTGTATCTTTCGCTGTTCGAGTTTTTCAACATATGACCCTCATCATAAACTATCATATCGAAATGCTGATTCTTCAAAAACTTAAAGTCCGATGGTGCACCCGTGGCCAAATTGTAAGTAGTGACAAGAACATCAAATTCAGTTTCCTGTAACTCATATCTCAAATCTTCACGCTCCAGTTGAGAGCCGTAGTATGCTTGAACAATTAAATCAGGACAAAATTTGTTGAATTCTCTTAGCCAATTTTCTAATGTAGATGATGGTACAACCACTAAGTGAGGACGTTTCTTTTCAGAGGTTGCTTTCAAATATGCCATGAATGAAATAACCTGACATGTTTTGCCAAGCCCCATTTCATCGGCTAAGATACATGAAAGATTATTGTGGTATAGCAAATTGAGCCAGTTAATACCAACTTGCTGATACGTCTTCAATTCTATTTCTGGAGCAAGAAGCGTAGGCTTATGTTTGACATAAGGGAGATTTCTCTTTTTTGAGCCGATATCGTCATCATCATAATCGTCTCCATCATTATTTGGCTTTTCTAAGTCATCCACTTCGACATCCACCATGCTTAACTCTCCTTCTCCTGTAACTTTGACACCCCACCTACTCATTTGGCGCGATATCAAGTTTCCATACTCTGAACACTTCTTCACCAATGAATCAACTGCTCTATAACCCTTCAAGCTGAATTCCGTACTCTCGACTATCTTCATGCCTAAAGTTTTCCTCTGGTTTCTCTTTTTCACTTCAGGTTCAGGAGTATCCTGTTCAAACCTGTCTTCAGCAACTTCGTAGATAGTATTAAATGGCCTTTTGGAAATCAATAATTCTGCAACATTGGGTTGAATATTACAGATTTCAACAATATCATTGATAGGAGCTTTGTTTAAAAAATCCAAAATTTGACCATCAATACTGGTGAGTCCAGTAGAGTACATGCCCTCGTCGTCTTCAGCGGACATGTCGTCACTAAAGACCTCATCCTCCAACTCTTCGTCGCTATCCACAACTTTAGAACCCTTTTTCTTTCTCTTATTCTCCTTAATTCTCTCTTCCAACCTCTCCAACTCATCAATATCGCCAGTACCACCCAACTGAGGCGCATTGTTTTTCAACCTGGGGATACTGTCATCGGAATATCCAAAGGCAGAAGTAAGAGCACCAGGATTGCCCAAAGAAATAGGCGGTGACGCAGAGGAGGGTTCGGGCGTAGCAACGTACATGTCATTTGCACGTACAAGTCTTCTTTTCTTGCGGTCCTCCAACTCTGGTGGATTTTTGAAAATCGAATCAATCCGCATCTGTTGCCGGTTCCTATACTTTTCCAAGATGGACACCTTTGGTTTCAGAAGCTGCACCTTGGTGTCTGGTGCCTTCACCGTGTCAATGGCCGATAGCGATCTCTTCTGGCGAGCCTTTCCAGCAATTTTGATGGGTGATGCATCTTCATCTGCATATTCTTCTTTAATTGGAGTAGCAGGCGATTCTCTAGTTGCATTTTCAACCGGAGCACCAACTTCTACTTTCGTTTCGGATGAAACAGGATAATCTTGATGGTTTGAAACTGCATTCGGCGAAAATTTTGAAAGCACTTGTTTTCGATTCTCTGCATCAGCAGCTTGCATTTTCCTCTTGGCATCGTCAAATTGCTTCATTCGGCTACCCAAATTGTGATTCTCAGCTAGCCACTGGCTGATATCGCGTAGATTTCCCTTTCCTTTCACCATAGCCTTGAAAAGCTCGCCCTCATTTAAGTAATAAAAGCGCTTGCTAATAATCGGCCAATTTTTGTGTGAGTAGAATCGTTTTCTCACCTCCTCCTTATGCCTCTCATCAGATGATCTACTCTCGTTGATGCTAGGCGGCATGGCAGAAGTCAGCACGGGAGAAGATCTCACGTTTATAGGGGAAGAGCTCGGCACCTGAAGAACATTTTCCTTCCGTGGAGTTTCCTGTGGTTTCGTCATGGCACAGGACCTAGAAGAGATGAAGCCAGATTCTTTTTTTTTTTTCGAAGCGCGTTCGATAAGAACGCATAAAAGAAACTGAACTATCACAGGCAACACAAAAGTACAATATCTGGGCTCATAAAAAAATACTACAAGCCTATTTCTTGGGAACAATTCCTTACGGTCTCTATAAAAACAGGCTTAACGGCACATGTAAAGGGACATAAGAGTATCAGTTGTGACGACGCGCTAGTTCCATCATAGGAAGGCAAAAAAAAACAAAGTTCAATAAAAAAGTAGCAGTCATAGGGACGGAAATAAGTAATCCCATTTAAGAATATTAGCTTGAACTTTGCTAGGTACTCTCAAACCTTGCTGTACTTTTTGGCATCATGACGTTTGATGAACTTTCTGCAGTACGATAAGTACCAACATAATGAACTACAAAGTTCTAACATGTGGGTCAAATGGCAACTATCAACTAGGAACAGGCGATAATGAAGACCATGACAAACTACAGGAGGTGGCACTTCCACCAGAGGCCAAGCTATCTGGGGTAAGACAGTTTGCTTTCGGCGGAAACCACACTTTTATTTTGCTTGAGGATGGCCTGCTCTTTGCAACAGGAAATAATGAACATGGCCAATGTGGCATACCTGGGCCTCAAACGCTTTTCAACTTCACCAAAGTAACAGGATCCTGGAAACATGTATCTGCCGGGTGGGAGTTTTCTGTTCTTTGTTCGATCGACAACAGAGTCTTCACGTGCGGTTACGGACCAAAAGGCGAATTGGGACTTGGGCCTAAAATAACGAGAGCAGAAACTTTACACGACTTGAAGAAAGAGTGGAAGGATGTGGTAGCAATGGAACTGTCCATCAACCACACTATTGTAAAATTAGCGGATGGCACATTTTTCGGGTGGGGTGCAAGTAGGAAACACCAAATGGGGGAGTTTCCTGGTGTCCCCAATAAAAAAGGTGACTTAAAACCTCTTGCTCAGTTATGGGAACCAACAAAGCTAAACTTAACTGCAGAATCAGTAAAATTGGGGCGAGAGAGAACGTTGTTACTAGGCGAGTCATTGCGAGTCATCGGAAAAGATCCTTTAGAGATTGATGTGAGGGCAAACAAAGCCCGAGCGATGTGGTCATCAATCCACTATAGCCATGAAGTGGATGGAAGCTTGGTGGTGTCGTCTGTTGGAAACAATTCTCATGGACAGCTTTTTCAATACGATGTGCCAGAAAAGATCGTTGATTTTGAAGTAGGGAGTGAACATGGAATCCTTCTAACAGAATCAGGGAAAGTCTACGCTTGGGGATGGGGCGAGCACGGTAATTGTGGGGAAAGGAAAGACGATTCAGTCACTTTCAACTTCTTGAACCTAATTTACAATGGAACATCAAAAGTCACCAAAATGGCTTGTGGCTTGGCCACAACATGGTTAGTTGTGGAATAAATAATAAGAAAAGGTGAAGTAAACGAGAGGAGAGAAAAAACAATAGAGAAGAACAATTAGAATAATAAAGACATAATACTGCAATATTGGTAATGTAGCGAGGTATCTTTCCCATATTCATCTAATGCGTTAGATGTCGGACATCTGTGCTCAAAGATGGAAAATATGTTCAACGTCGTTTATATAGGACAACAGTATCGGAGGGCAATCAAGAGATACAAAAATTCTATACAGAATCGATGCAGCTGAAGGCCCCCCTTCTTAGTTATCCAACCCAAATCGCAAGCCCATAATCCTTTATGGAGCTGTCATTTGGGCTAATGAAAAGAATTTAGGTATAGAAAAGTATGGAAGAGATGCGATTTTTCTAGATGTCATACCTTTGTGCGGGTAACTCCAACATCGGCTCCATACTTCAGTGTGGGCTACACCACACGATAACACAGTAGCATAATTATTGCATAAACCTTTACAGAAGAATGTTTGGGGCAGTTTGTTCGGGTCGTCCAATACAGCTAGCGCAGCAAGTGGAACCCATGAAATGGGTTTTCACGATGAACAACGCTTCTAACATAAATCATATTGCAATCTTCTTACTTCCCCAATCGGAATTTACAGATCCAAACTACACCGCCTTGGTATATTTCCAATTGCCCAACTCAACCGAGTTCAAGTTGCTTGGTGGTTTGAATCCGAATAAGCCATCAGCCATTTTCAAGCTTAACAACACTGCAACAAAAGCGTCCCAGTCATACTTTGCTGACGACGATGCTATGAATGACGACTTGGGTGCAAGTGTAGACAACGTCGTTCTTAATATTGGAATCGCAATTGAACCGACGCCTCAAGCGGAAGTTCTCTTGCTACAAGAGAAACAGAAGGCATCTAAATCCATACTTCCAGCCGTGCAACCACCACCAGCACCACAAGCTCCTCTGGATATTGCAAGTTTAGCTAACAAGATTGTCAAACATGCCTACAACTTTTTGGGAAGTTTTGTTGACGGTACAGGAAAAGTCCCCATGAAGGCGTTCGACAACTGGTGGGACAAATTTAAAGTGAAGCTTGCCAACAACCCTAATTTTTTGAACGAGTTGGATTAGAAAATCTAACTTGGTGACATGATGAAAAGAGACTACAGAAAATATGGTTCGAACATATGATGTATTTCATGGGCTTCAAAGTAATAACATAGAGATTCCTGCAGCAAAAGCTCCAATAGCATAAATGGGGCCTGGCCTTCCAGCTTCAGCCAGGGAAGAGGAAGAGCTAGAACCAGAGGAGGTGCTGCTGGTTTCAGACGAGCCTGAACTTTCACCACTCGATTCGGACTGCTCGGTTTGAGACAGATCTGCGGAGGATGCAGTAATTGCTTCAGAGCCAGCACTGGATCCAGACCCGGATTCAGATTCAGAACCAGTCTCGGAAGCAGAACCAGATTCAGTACCAGATACGTTGTGTTTAGATGCTTTGGCAGTGATGGACGCAATGATAGCAGCAACAGAACTGTCAACAGAAGTTGGAAAAGAGTATGAGCCTGGAGAGTCTTCTGTTTTGGATCCTGCTTCAGCGTGCAAGGTCTTCGAATACTGACCCAAGAAACTCATAAGCCATGAGTTTTGTGCAGCTGAGTTCTTTGGGAGATTGGAATAATCCGCCAAAGCAGCAGAAATCCCGCCATCAGCAGCAAGAACTAGGGGCAATGATAACAAGGCAATAGAAGTAATACGCATGTATTTGGGTTTAGGTTGTAGATCATTGTAAGGCTAGCAGCAGTTTATATACGTCGCCTAGAAAGTGTGGGGATATTACCTACACGGCTGAGATGCAGTTTCTTCCCTTTCAGGCAATAATTCTCTGCAACGAAAGGAACGGCAGAAAATTAACCATTTATTCCTGTCTATTATTCACGAAAGACTAAACTTCTTCTGAAATTATTATTATAGTTGTGGAGGGGTCCCATTCAGGCATATCCTGCAGACAACTTTTACCTGAACAGGTAATAACCTAAGACTTGTAGAGAATTTTACACATGGAGAGACGACAAGCCTCGTTTGTTGTAACCTCGTTTGTTGTAGCCACGTTTTAGAAATAAAGACCAAGGCGTAAAGTTGGTACAGGAAATGGTTAATCCCAGATTATTGTGAGCACAAACAGGAGTCCTGGATGATGTTTCACATAATGTTGGACCACGAATGATGCTCATCGTATTCAAAGTGTGGGCACTTTAACTCTTAGTTCTGTAGCCAAGTTTACTCGTCTCAATGGAATATCTTAACAGTGTTATATAGCAAGAAATTCATGCGTTATGAAATCCTCTCGGTGGCCAAGCTGGCTAAGGCGCGAGACTGTAATGGAATTGTAATCTTGAGATCGGGTGTTCGACTCACCCCCGGGAGATTTTTTTTTGCGAATCCTCCTGTTAGCTCATCTCCCTCTTCTCCCTGTACACACACCACAGAAAGATATTTTTCTACTTGCCGTCATCACATTGATAAACAAGAAATGCCTTCAAGAAATTCTGTTAACAAACCAAAGGGCAAGCTCCAAGCGGCCCACAGGAGCAATGTGATTTCCAAGAAAAAGGCCTACCGTGCTAACCGCGTCGTCCCAACTAGATCTTCGAACGGTAGATACAACACAGACACTGCACCAAGACCAACCGATTCCAAGGCTTTAGCCTTATACAGCGGCGGGCTCGCTTCTACAGGCAATGGAGTCACTACCACCACGTTATCCAAGAAAAGAGCGAAGAAGATTGAGCGTAACAAGAGATATGTGGCGAAGAGAAATGAGCAGTTGAACATTGATCTCGCTGTCAAACAAGAGGGCATGGATATCGACATGGAACCACAGGGGAAAAGAGTGAAGCCTCAAAAGGCTCCAACCACTTTGGACAAGGTGAAAGAGGCTCTTTGGGCTGCTGTGGAAGACAGCACGTCTGGCGACATGGGATTGAATGTTCTGAGCGAGGGCACCACCATTGGAATCCAAGCTTTTTAGGCTGGATGCATTTCTGAATTCTGCACTGGGACGCTATGTAATATAGAAATATATGACTTTGGTATTTTGACTCGTTTTCTCTATTTTAAAACATCCGTTTCACAAAAACCTATCTTTGGTCCCTTTTCTTGGTTGATTGTGAAATCTACTTGAAGCATGCTTTGCAAATTTCAATGTATTTACCATGGCTATTAGTACTGCTTTGATATAGATTGTGCACTGGGTAGTGTAACTTGAAACGCCACATCAAGTAATTTCTTCGATGGACAACTGATCCAAAATTGTTCAATGACGAGATAACTACTTATCACTCTAAATACACATGGACGTACACATCCACTCTTCATACTACTGGTTTACGACGCCACTGAAGCTACTCCCCCTTTAAATCCACACCATGCATTCTCCACAAACCTACTAACTAACACCTATTCCGTATAGTATCCCTTAGCCCGCAAGCTGTTGTTGACGGTTTCTCTCATGAAATCAATGAGCACAACAGGGTCCGGAGCAGTGAAACACGAAGTGCCAGCTACAATTACATTAGCTCCTGCCTCAGCTGCAGCTGGCACGGTTTCCTTGCCCAAACCACCATCAACCTGGATGTTCAAATGAGGGAACTTGGTTCTCAACTTCTCCACTTTTGGCATCATGTCAGCCATGAATTTTTGCCCACCAAAGCCAGGTTCAACAGTCATAACCAAAGCCATATCCAACTCCAGCCCAATCTCATACAAGACATCCACAGAGGTTCCTGGCTTGATAGCACAGGCCGCCTTCATTCCATTTTCCTTGATCAATTTGATCAACGCTAATGGGTCCTTGGTGGACTCGTAATGGAAGGTGTATTGGTCACCTCCTGCTTTCGCAATTTCCGGAACCCACTTTTCAGGCTCCAGCACCATCATATGACAGTCGAAAAACGTCTTTTCTGCTTTGCGGGGAATTTCCTTTCTCAAGCTGGTGATGATTGGCGGTCCGAGAGAAATGTTGGGCACAAAATGGCCGTCCATAACATCAATGTGGAGCCAATCGGCACCAGAGTCATACATTTTGTGGCAATTGCATCCTAAGTTGGCGAAATCCGATGCAAGGATGGATGGCGCAATGATAGCTTTAACCATTGTTGGAGATTGATGAAATGTGTTAAAGCAATAAAACAAATCTTGTGCGCGCTCTCACTAATTAGTTTGACAACCGAAGGAATACAATGTAATTAAATGCTTACAATCAACCTTTTACCAAAACCCAAGCTGGGAAACCAAATATCCCTTAGACCATCTCGTTAACTTTCTCAAATAATGTAGTATTTTTTATTTATTTATTTATTTTTTGTGTTTCACTCTTACCCTTCGGATCTGTCATCCCACTAAAGAAAGTCTTTGTTGACTTCTCTGGGTGCACCGATTTCGCATACAAATCCCTAAGGGCAATAAAGTTTAACCTGTAAAGTTTATCGACCCTGAAATCCATGAAGCCTCATGAAATTTGCCTGTCTATTTTTGTCACTTCCCAAATTCCTCCGTCGAGTACCGATTCGCACCCAGACACCACTCCGATACACGATAAACCTCCGCCTCATATCCAACTTCCGACCCCGTCACCATGTCTACAGAAAACCAAATTGAAGGCGCTTCCTACTCGGAACAGATTTTGGAATGTGCAAGAAGGAACAATACGGAACTCTTGAAAGAAATCATTCACTCCTTGGACCTGGACCATGCCAAGTTGGCTAACTTGATTAATGAAACAAAAGAAGTGATCACGAACAATTCGCCTTTGCATATTGCCACTCTGTTGGGTAACTGGGAATTTATAGATATGGTCCTTGATGTGGAGGGAGTGGAGATCGATCCCTTGAACAGAGAAGGTGACTCGCCTTTGCATTTGGCGGTTAAGTACGCCAGCAACGAACCGGAATACGGCTACTTCATTATAGACAATTTACTTGATGCCGGATCAGACCCTACTGTTGTGGATAAGCACGGTTTGAAACCCGTCAATTACGTCAAGCAAGACGAGAAGCTTCGGAACCTATTGGAAAGTGCAGAGTATGCTGCTACAGCACAGGCTGATTTGGAGGCCAATGAGGAGGTGGAGGACGATGACGAAGGAAGTGCATCGGAATCGGACTGAATAGTATTCAATACATGCATTAGAGTGGAACCACATCGTAGAATCAGATAACCTTCTAGGCGGTGAGACAATTAGTGTGCAACTGTATACTCAATGGAAATGAATCTGGAAGAGACTCGGGCCACAGACCAAGAATATTTCTCGCGCTTGCTTTTATACTTTCCCTTTGCTTGTTCGAACGTTTCAACTCTTCGTAACTCAGAAATGGAGGGAGTAAATGGCATGCGTGCTCATAAAGTTTTCGTTTGCAGATGAAACTAGCCCCAGAGGGCTTAGGTGGCTTGTTTTTAATGTATGCACCATTCTTCACCCCATTGACTATAACCTGACTTGTTTTAGATGGGACCACATACAAAAGACTTGCTGGCAGAGGAGAAGAAAGCTCATTCCGCTCATACTGGTATTCGCTTTCTTTGTACGTTAGTGGAGTCAATGGGTGAATTTCTAAAGAGGATTCACTGATTCTTCCTTTGAAACACCGATCGAAATCTTTCCTGCTGAACTTATCTTGCCGCAAAACCAAGTACAGTAGGTAGATGGGTTCTATTAGTAAACTGTTCACACAGTTGAGCACACCAGTGAATTGTTTCATGCATAGTTTATCCGAGCAAGATTTAGAGTATGTCGGTCTACTATCGGCTCGACCAGGTTTTGTTCGGACAATACCATGTAGATCAAAATGGGCCCTGCCTCTCACTACCTTCTGCTTCTTCGGTTTAGGTCCTTCCCATGCTACTTTATCTTCCGAAAGAAAACTCATAGAGGCATCTCCACACGGTGGTTCAGAAATGTAAAGTGCCAACTTGACTCCGTCTCGTAGTTTATACTTCATCGATGTTGATCTTTCCAAGAGCTTCGAGTGGTCTTTCCCCAGTTCAATGAGTTTGATCTGATCCAATAGAAGATAGTTGAATAGACGGAGACAAAGTATTTCTGCATGACAATCTTGGACAATCCACCCATGTGAGTATTTTCTAACCTCATTCGGCATTGCTTTCACTCCCGTGCTGAGAGCCAAAACTGTGATGATGCCATCTTCGAGCGCAACAATTCCAGACAAAACTGACCATTCACTGACGCCATTGGACCTCACACCTGGCTTTCCTGACTTAAGTGCTAGTGAATTGAACTCTTTTTCGACAGCAGAAGCTATCTCTTGTCCAAGAAACTCGGTCATCTCGATCTGGCATACAAGTTCTTTCGAAACTATCTTAATAAGACTATAGGAAGATGTTAAGGGACACGCACCCATGATAAGAAACACATATTCATTAAAAAAAAAAAGAAAGCAAACTTCAATGACCTAGGATATCTTTAGATCTCCCCCCCCCCACCCCCTTTTTTTTTTTTTTGTAGTCAGAGTGATACTGGCCCGGATGGGTTGTGTCTTCCAAAACTTTACTCTCATTCGTACTTACATCTCAACAATGAATTTCATGATATAAAAGATTACGTATTGGTGTTTTCTATCTCTTTTTTCTCATAAGCGCCCCCATAACACCGAGCCCAATAGCCAAAACGCCGCCTGCGACGCCGAGCCCAATAAGTCCGTCTTGCGTCACCTGATCGTCGATCGCTTGCTTTAATGCTTTGAACTGAGTGTTATCCGGCTCCTTTTCAAGCAAAGCCTCGGCATAGCGACGCGCATTAGAATATTCTCCAATCTTAACGCTTCCAAGCGACAAGTAATACAACGCTTCTCTTCTTAGCAGAGGAACATCGCGGTAAAGCACGGCTAGAATATCAAGCGCTTCTTTTTGGGACGCAAGGCTGTCTGTTTTGAGTAGAGCCCATGCGTAATTGAATTCGGACTGTGGGGTAGGAGGATGTTCCGACTCAAGCTGGTCCTTGAGTACACGTATTTGCTCAGGGGAAATGTTCTGGTTGAGCTCCTCTAAAGCTGGATACGAGCGTCTGAACATTACAGTTGTAGAAGAATGAATAAATGGGGAAAAAAGGGTTGTAGAAGAGTGACGCAAGGACAGGTAGATGTCTGGAAAGTGGCAATAGAATTTAGCTAGTGCGAATCCCAGGCAAATTCAGGCGCAAATCAAAGTGCCTTAGTGCGAAGGTACAGACATAATAATGAACGGTAACTCAAGATTCAGATATTTTTCTACAATGCAAGGACACGAATTTACTACTATTTGGTTGATGACCGAATTAAAGTAGATAAAGAAGTAAAAAAAAAAAAAAAAAAGAAAAAGGTCAAAGTAACATGCCTCGATATGTAGCCCATTTATTGTGAGCTCATTTCCTCACCTAACTACCGCGAACTCCACGGAATAGATAATACAGACATTGCACATAAAGAACCGACATGCCAGACACAAAGTCTGTCAATCACTCTGATGGCGATGAGAATACACGCAGGTACTCTCTATTCAACATATGGTGTGCTTCGCTTGCGTTGAAAGCTTTGCTTGCAGTGGGCTACCATTCCACCGACTTTGATGTACACCGAAATTGGCTAGCCATCACATACAATTTACCGGTAGCAAAGTGGTACCTTGAAAATACATCGCAATGGACACTAGACTATCCACCATTCTTCGCTTATTTCGAATGGTTCTTATCACACATGGTGCCAAATTTCGTCATGGAGGATGGATGCTTGTCTATCGTGGAAAAGGGCCTCTACAGCCTACCAACCATTTTGTTCCAGAGACTTTCAGTCATTGCAAGCGAGGTTGTCTTATTCGTGTCCTTGCAATGGTATCTAGACACATCCAAATCCAAAAGAGAAGCCAGTAGAGCGTTCGTTGTTGCGCTGTGTTTGGTTCTCTCGCCTGGTTTGATGATTATTGATCATATTCACTTCCAATACAATGGAATGATGTATGGAATTTTGGTTTTAATGATCAATTCTGCAAGATTAGAAAGATACTTATTGTGTGGATTCTGGTTCAGTGTTTTACTATGCTTCAAGCACATCTACTTGTATTTGGCCCCAGCCGTTTTCATATACTTGTTGCGTGCTTATTGTCTCAATATGTCCTATGATACTAAAAAGAGCTTTTTGCACAATGCTTTCAAAATGGTGAGATGGATGAACTTGATCAAATTGGGATCTATAGTGGTATCTGTCTTCACTGTTGCATTTGGCCCTTTTATCTACTACAATGTCATTCCCAACCTACTTGAAAGACTTTTTCCTTTTAGTAGAGGCTTAACTCATGCGTATTGGGCTCCAAATATTTGGGCTATATATTCCTTCTTGGATCGCATCCTCATTCAGGTCTACCTCCGAATTCCCCTTTTGAGAGTCCCCCTACACAAAATCCTCATGTTTGATGAAAGTAATTTAACCAATACAAAGATGTTAAGTTCGTCTACCAGAGGTATCGTGGGAGACATTGAGTTCTTGATTTTGCCTACCATCACGCCCAAATTAACTTTCTATCTTACACTCTTTTACCAAACTATGGCCCTCATTCCTTTGTTTCTTCAACCAAACTTTCAAAGATTCATTGGGGCCTTGACTCTTTGTGGTTATGCATCGTTTTTATTTGGCTGGCATGTTCATGAGAAGGCCATTTTGATTGTGATTTTCCCCATCACGTTCCTTGTCACGCGTGACAAAAGACTTTTGAACCCATTCAACCTTTTGGTCAGTTGTGGATATGTCTCTTTGTTCCCGCTAATCTATACATGCGAGGAATGGCTCATCAAAGTCACGTTTACCCTATTCTGGTATATCATATACTATTTCCAGTTTCGTAAAGTGGTTAGAGTCCCCAATAACGTGCACAAGGAAGCAAGTTTCTTTCTGGTCGAAAGGGTTACTAACCTTTACATTTTAGGACTTATTCCAATTATTACTCTGGTGACTTTGATTGACTTATTTCAACACAAATTTGAGATATTACAAAAGTTGGAGTTTTTGAAACTTATGTTAGTGAGTGTTTACTGTGGGATAGGAATCATTTGCTCATGGAATGGGTTCAATTGGCTTTACTTTGTCGATGAGAGTATCTGGGACGACATTGATTCTTGAGCGTATCATGCCATTTTCTGCAAACATGGTGTAACTAAGATTAATACACAATGCGTTCTTTGATAATTCCAGTCTAATGATGCACTCCTGGAACAAAAAAGAAGTCCTTTGCATCAACTGTATAGTTGCAAGACAGGACATTGCACTTTTAGCGCTTAGAAAGCCAGATCAAGAACAAAGTACGCATTTGAGAAGGTTCATGATTTGTTTTGGTGTGTCAAGTCATTATACTTTAACCATTGAAATTGTTCACCGCAATGTAACTCACACGTAAATTCCTAGGAAGCATACATAAAATGCATACATGTACTGTGTCATTCGAAGGGAAATCGAAACGGATTATGCATAAACAGAGACCAATTGGGAACCAACACTAGAATAGAATGCGTTATAGTCAAAAGATGAGTCCAGCGACTCTGGTCTCCCCCCCCTCATATGGCACAAGGGTGAGAAAACAGACAAATGGTACATGTTTGTAAAGTCGTCATGCGCTTAAATATACTGCTCTAGTGCGTAAAATTAAATTATATGAGTATTGTCATACCCATTCTTGCAGATTCCCATTGTATTGTAATTGCTTCATATTCAGTACTTAAAATGATCGAATATGATCTCGCAACCTTTTATCTAAGTACGCTAGTGCATGCAAGGGACCGAGCTTCCGGTACAGGAAACCAGAATCGGACTAAGCATGAGTAACAAACCGGAATCGACTAATGGCACAGTTTCGGGGGTTGCAGGGGCGAGCCTAGACGGAGATTATTTTAGTGATCGGCCCGAGTTTTTGCCACGCCACTCTCCTGTAGGTGAAGACCCGGACGACATTCCTTGCACAATTGCTTTAAGGTAGGCGGCAATTGCTGGTATCCTAACCAGAGAGCAGAGTATAAAGCTTTGTAGGTTTCCCTTTCAGAGACACTGATTAATATTATTATCATGTCTGACTCTATTTCCTTAGGCACTTATTTGTTTGCGAGACTCAACCAAAAGCCTCTTGGCTTGAATTCTATTTTTGGTGTACCAGGAGACTTCAATTTAACGTTGCTTGACAAGATCTCTGAGGTGAAAGATTTACATTGGCGGGGTTGCACCAACGAATTAAATGCTGCTTATGCGTGTGATGGATACTCGAGAGTGAAGGGTAATGGCAGTGCCGAGGGTCTTGGCTTTGGTGCCTTAGTCACTACTTTTGGAGTAGGAGAATTGAGTGCTCTCAACGGTGTGGCAGGCTCTTATGCTGAACATGTTGGAATGTTACATATTGTTGGAATTCCGTCTGTGGATGCTCAAAAGAACCAATTGTTATTGCATCATACTTTGGGTAACGGCGATTTCTCTGTATTCCACAAGATGTCATCACACATCAGTGGTACAACAGGCGTGATCAATGATCCAGCTCTTGCTCCCGATGTCATTGACAGAGTCATTAGGGAAGCATATATTAACCAGCGTCCATCATACTTAGCTTTTCCAGCGAACATGGTGGATGTGCCTGTTCCTAAGGAAAGATTGAACAAACCATTGGATTTAAACATCCCTAAGAATGACCCAGAACTCCAAGAAGAGGTAATTGAGGAGGTAATTGATAAGATCAGGAAAGCGAAGGATCCGGTAATTATTGTGGATGCTTGTTGCGCCCGTCACAATGCAAACAAAGAGGCCAGCGAGTTAATCAAAATATCTAACTTCAAGTATGCTACTACCCCAATGGGTAAAGGTACTAAAGATATCGACGAGCAAAACCCAAAATTCACAGGTGTCTATGTTGGTTCACTTTCCTACCCTCATGTGAAAGAGGCTGTAGAAAAGTCGGATTTGGTGCTTTCTGTGGGTGCACTTCTTAGTGACTTTAACACAGGTTCTTTCTCGTATTCAATCCAGACAAAGAATGTTGTGGAATTCCACTCTGACTACACCAAGGTAAAGGGAGCCACATACCCTGAAATCAGGATGAAAGAGTTGTTAGGAAAGCTTATTCAATCTCAGGCATTGAAACAAGTGTTCAAAGAACACCTCCATCAGTCAAACTGTGAAAGAACCTTTACAACACCTGACGCTCAGAAACTCCGGGGACTAAAATAACACAGCAATGGTTGTGGTCTCGTTTTATCGAAGTTTTTGAAACTCAAATGACATCGTCATTACCTGAGACAGGTACTTTCTTTCTTTTTGGAATCGTCCAGACCAGTCTTTCCTAAACCAAGTTTTACGGAATTTTCGCAGATTCTTTTGGGAGTTCCATTGGGCTACCTCAGTGAGGTTGCACATATGGTGTCCGTAACCTGGCAGCAGAGGAGTTGGACCCATCAAGAAGAGTGCTTCTCTTTGTCGGAGACGGTTCCCTTCAATTAACTTTTACAGAAATCTCATCTATGGTCAGGAACAACAGAAAGCCTTACCTTTTTGTCTTGAACAACAATGGATATACAATCGAGAAGTTGATTCATGGTGCCGACGCCGAGTATAAGGCTATATCGACGCGCACTGGGACCTTCAATTAGCGCTTCCATTGTTCAATGCCAATGAACTATGAAAACTATAAAGTCAGTGAAGCCAAGGAGTTGGAGGAGTTATTCACCAGTAAGGAATTTGCTAAAAACGATAAAATTCGTTTTATTGAGGTTATGCTTGAGGAGATGGACGCACCTGAAAACTTGGTGAAGCAAGCCGAATTATCTAGTAAAGCCAACTCAGAATAGAGTACATAGGTTAAGAAGTTTGCTTTTTGCTATTCTTTATGTATTAATGGCTGTGGTTCCCCATTTTGCTGAAAATGGAATCGGGAAACAATGCCTCCCAGTCTTCATTGAATAAGTCAGATGTCATCAACACGGGAGGACCGCCCGAAGAATTCGACGCTGCCGTCAATGAAGTCGGTATAATTTTCTAGTGTGTGGAAGGAAGATTTACCATCTTCCAAATTAGCTTCATTTCCGTTATCAATAAGGTTATTCACACCAGGAAAGGACGAATTGTCCTCATGGCTTTCGACGTTAGATGCATCTTCCTTTGTTGTTTCCCAGGACTATAGGTGATTCACTTTCTTTCTTTTTTTACAGCACCAGTAATTTCTGGGGTAGAAGCCATAACACTTACGCTCCTCTTAGCTTTGGGTTTTCCGTGAATTTAGAAATAATTTGGCTTGAAATTCCGGGTCGTTATCAAACTGGAAGATAGTAATTTGATTTCAATCCCTTATTATAGGATTTTTTCTGGCTACGCCCTAGGTTTTTGAACACCCTGCTAAGACACGAAGAAAATACTTCAACTTCGTCTTCTTATCGTCTTGCAACTGTTCAGTCGTAGCAGTTAGGAGAATAACAGAAATGGATAAAATACTGCAATAGACAATAAATATCGAAGCTCGGCGTAGCCCATGAGCCAGTTCAAATCTCTGGATGGCAACGTAGAGGTCCTCAATAGCATTATGACAAAACACTGAAGGTGATAAATGTTCTTTATCTTTGAAATCTCTAACAATTCCAACGAAGGGACGATTCAAACAAAGAATGACGATGTAATAGTAATACCTAACAACAGAAATGGTTGGGTTGTCTGATGTGTTCTTCAAACTCTCCTGATCCCAATTTAAGTCCTGAGGTAGATTAGCTTTCCATTGCATTATTTGTTCGTTGTATGAAAACAATTTATTGAGTCTGGAAACCAAGTTTAGGTCCTCGTTTTGCTCCAGCTCCTTATGAGACACAGACTCATGATCTGAACGAGTGAAAATATCATTAAGCATCTTGTCCGAGATGCTGATGAGATTAATGATGTTTTTCAATGGATCGGAGATGTTGGTTACATTCTCTGGAATATACTTATAATCGTCAATCCATTCTAACTCAGGCAAGTCCAGTGTTTCTGGTATAGATGCATCCAGCAGCTTTAAAAGCGAGGGTCTCCCTAAAATCAAACTTATAAAATGATCTGCCATGTAACAGCCCCAGTAGATTCTGCTGCGAATGGCCATATCCAAAGGCTTGAAATCTGTGCCATGTCTCTTTAAGAACCAAACTTCAGGATTAAGTTGGAATCCTAAATCAAACCCCATTCGCATTGCGTCTCCCAGTAGCATCCAACCAGTAGAGTTGTTTCCATTGCATATATCATAAAAAGCAAGAAGAAGAAAACTCTGTACGGATGTAATGGAAGGATGCTCCAAATTTGAAAGCAAGAAACTTCTAGCCTCATTATAATATGAAATGGACCTGGAGTATATGGTATCAACATCGGACATCCTTGAGCCCAATGCACAAATGCTATAGACAAGAACCAGCAGGCAGTAAAGAGAGTTGGGTTTCGGGTTAAAAAAATCTATGAAAAATGCCTCTCGAAAGACAAACATATTATGATCCGGGTACTGCCATGTAAAAAAAAGTTTGAGGCAATGGAGAACGTCGGGATCCTTGCTTAGGTTTTGTAAGACAGTCATTTCTCTCAGCTCTTTTCTTAGCGATTGCGTTTTCGGACGGTGATGATCAGTGTAATTATCATAAACACTGGTTGGGCCGTAAACGGGTCTGATCTTCGTAATAGGTGTTGGAGAAGGAGTACTCCGAACATCTTCAGTTTTTCTCTTTTTTCCTGAAGATGGGACTTTGCCATCAGCAGAACTGGCCTTTGCTTGAGTATTATCCTCGTTTAAGTACGAAGCTATGTTAGTGGCATTCGCCTCAAAGAATTTATTTCTGTCTTCCGCAGGTACTCTTTGCATGGACGTGAAAAACTTCGAAAGAGCATCTATCTTTTTCTCCATCGACAGTATGTAGTTTGCCGGAGGACGCTTCTTCCTCATATCATTGGGCACCTGAATGCATTCAACTCCTAATTTGACACAACTTGAGCAGGGATGAGCAAAGTTGCATTTGACTTTTCTCAACCGACATCTCTGACAGGAGAGGGGCATCTCCTTTTTAGGAGCAGTTTTACCTCGCTTCAGCGATGCAGAAGGTGCCCCAACTTCCTCATTTATCATTACTTAGCTCAGTGTGTATTCTATGTTTTTGTGCTTGAAGAGCGGAATTTGATGTCGCGAGATGTGGGGTTTTTCTACGTGTTGAACTCAAACGGGCGCGAAGATAGCGAAGATGCTATTGTATCATAAATTATAATATGGAGTATATACGTACACCTAATCAAATGGAAAAAAGGATCTGGTACGTGGTATAAACCATTGCAAGGGTACCAACAATAATCAAAAGGACATCAAACACCTTAATTATTTTCGATTGCTGAGGTTCTGCGTTGTAGGTCTTCAAATGAATCATAGGTGGGTAAATGTACACAAGAGGGATACAAGCAAAACATCCGTTGAAGCTGACAAACTTGTCGATATTGTCCGCATTTAAGTAAGCTACTGTGGATATAAGTACCACAGACAACGACCTCAAAACGTTTTTCATCCACTTGATGTGTGGGTTATGTTTCCCTGAGTTTTGCATCAACTTACCGTTATTTTCAGACTGTTGCTCTTTGGTCAAGAACAAACGAGAGTTGAAGAGTGCCAGTTCACCGATTCTAATAGCTGGGAAGAGCTGCAATGGTCCCGTTAAGAACACGGCGACCGAGTAAAGAAGCATAATCAGTTGCACTGCTGCATTTCCCAGGGGTAGATTCAAAATGATGATAGACTGAACATTCTCTCCAAAGCTGGTGTAGCCAATTACACCAATTGAGACAAATAAGAGGGTAATTACAAACATGCTCATACTCAACACAAATGGAAACTTCTCTGGCTGTGCCATAGAGGCTTGAATGGGGAGAATTAAACCAATACCTTCAAACGCTGTTACCGCAACACCAATAAGCATGGACCACGTTCTGCCATTGAATTGGACGATATTGGGCCCCAATCCTTCATGTGCAAGTTGTTCACCACAAAAGAAAAAAATGATGAGTAATCCGATGACGATGAAGGTAGATGAAAGAAGGGACGTGAACGAAAGCTTGGTTAAGTCCCTAATCAATACCAAAGGAATAAGCAAAATGCATTGAATAATGACTAAAGTAGACTTTTCAATGGAAATATGCAAGGAATTGTGAATGAATGATTTCATGTTTTCGGCGGTGAACAAAATATAAGTGGCGACGAACCCAATCTGAGATAAGATGATGGACACCATGATGCAATACTTCAATGGGTTGCCGTAAGTCAAGTAACCCAATTCTCCGAAAGAGGATTTTCCCAATACACTTTTGCTTTTAATCAACACCACATAACAGGCGTATGTCAATACACCAAACAAAACCATAGTAACTGTTGAAAAAAGTAATCCACCATGCATAAAAGCACCGGGTAGGAACAAAATACCTGACCCTACCAATGCCTTAAAGAGCAAAAAGAAAACTTTCAACTGACTGGCAGTACCCTTTTGCTCATGCTTTTTAGGCTTTTTCCGCTTCTGGGGGCCTCTTCTCTCGTGAAGTAGCAGCGATTCCTCATCAAAAACCTCCTCGTAACCTTCATCAAAGGATGATTCGTCATCATCTTCATCGGTGAAATCCTCACCTGCAAAATTGGCCATAAATACTCAAAAACTCCACGAAATTCCGAGTTACAAAATTCGGCGGCGGCTTGTTCTCTTGTAACGACTTATTGATTAGAAACTCCCTTCTAAACCCACCTGGGACATTGATATCGCTCGCGGTAGACTCTCTTCTAGATTCTGAAAGAAATGTGGAAAAGGAAGAGGATCTGGTACGTCTCCTGTCACGAGGCTCACTGGATTTCGAGGCATTTTCGATTTGCTGATACAAATAGCGAGCCACATCACCACCTTGCATCTTCAAACTTTCATCTGGACTTACAAGATGCTTTCCAACAGTTTTGTAATCTATGTTAGATGGGCTGATATTATTCAATGTAGAAATGTGATCCTCATACGACAAAGGGTCAGGATGCTGTTTGCTTGAAGGCGGCGAACTGGATTCGCTGCCATAAGCGGCGGTATTGCTATGCATAGAAGCTAGATTGGTGTGGGAAGTTGACGAATGAACCAGAGGAGCTGTATTAGGAAATAGTGGTTTTTGGCTCAGCGGGGAATTGTGAAAAGAGGAGTTCGATAGATACGATGACGAATCAAACCCATGGGTGCTTCTTTTGAAAGACGACATGTTGCGGCTGTCCTTCACTTAAAAAGAAGAATATGAGTTACTAGAGGTGAAGAGATTATGTAAAGTTCGCATAACTGTCACCGTGCTATATGCATACAGTGGAAACACTTGCTGGAAAAGACACCTGCAGCTAAGACGAGATAGATTACTTTTCCGAGATCAGTGATTCGAAGACGGATTCATTTCAAAGACTTTGAGTTGAGCGATGTTTGAAACATCTTCAGTCATGTGGTCACCTGATAATAACCTTATAAGGAAAAGGCTCGCGAAGCAAGTAGATGACTTGTAGTTGTAATCATTAACACTGTGGACTGTGGTTAGATGGAAATTTTGTCATTCGCGTGCTCTTTCCACTGCGAACGAGCCTGTATGATCGTCTAGAGTACGAAAAATCTGTGGCTTCTATGAAAACCTGTCTGCGCATGACAGGTGTAAAGGACATATAGAAAATATCCTGAAGAATTAATACTATCCCAGATGCAGAAATTCAAGTAATTACGACATGGCTCGTGAAGACAAAAAAAGAAAAGTAATGAAATAAATGAGGAAGCGACACCAAATTTTGTTGGGTCTTCCCTTTTGGGAACGATTCCGCTTTTAACTTTCGGGCCACTTGAGAAGACGGACATCTTGAATGTAGGAAGGCGAACGTGGCAAACGCTTTCCTTTTCTGGACTCTTTCATCAACAAGGCAACTTCTGCCCCAACCTAAATTTTTGAAAGGGAGACTGTATTCGTTAGACTGTGAAGATGAAGCATAGATGATGAATTGCAGATATCTTTACATGGGTTATCGCGTAGGCCATTACTTTCTCGAATAGTATGCAAGTTAATATGCGATTTCTCCACTTTGAATAGGGTAAACAGAAACCAACTAAGAAAAATTCAGTTGCTATATTTTTGGGCTCGGACTTAAAGGCTGCATCTTTATTACACTACTGATCTCCTTTGTAAAGACTTTTACTTTGCTGAGTGGGCCCAATTTGTGACTTTTGTGTCTGGGCTTTTCATTTAAGTACTTCGTTGAAAAAAAAAAAAAATAACGTGCTATGTAAGACCGCTATTAACTATTTTCTCAACTAAAAGGTTAGACAAAGATGATTGTATAAAGATAGGCTGCGTTCTTCGATGTCTCACCTTCAGACAGGGAGTGTATATATTGCTTCTCACTGTAGATCCGTGAGTGATACTATCCAGACTTGAGAAATCCAATGATCAGTGACCCTTCAGTATGTCAGTGTCGACGTCTTTTCTAGACAATGTTAAGGAGCCTGAGAACTTTAATCCTGAACCGGCACCATTTGATCTTATCATCTCGGAGCTAGTTTTAAAGTTGGAATCTACAAACCATGAAAATATGGCTCCCTTTGGCACGGTGAGCGCTAAAAAGGTGAATATCATTGAAGAGTTCATAAAATTATGGAGAACGCACTTTGGTGTCAATATCTCTCCTGCGCTTTCCCTCATTTTCCCCAATAAAGACAGTAGGAAGTATTTTATTAAAGATGTTGCTCTAACACGGCTAGTGATTAAACTCTTGCGACTACAGCAAGGATCGACTGACTATCTGATAATAAAAAATTGGAAGAAATCTTACCAACAAAAGATTCAATTAACGGGCTCTAATGAACATCGACTGACTGGCGACTTGCCCTTGATTATCGCTCGAATAATGCTGAGAAGAAGAGATCCTAATTCCGTGGTTGAAACTTCTGTCACTGTAACTGAAGTAAACGATGTTCTTGATAAACTCAGCCAAAATACCCTGGCATCTGATCAATTGGAAGTATTGGACCCATTCTTGGACAGATTAACAATCACTGAAGTCCGTTTTTTCTTTCAAATCATCTTGAAAGAATCAATGTTGTCCTTCTTTGAGCGCAGCTTTTTTATTGCGTGGCATCCTGATGCATTTAATCTTTACAAGGTTTGTAATGACATAAAGAAGGTATTCTGGCTCCTAACAGACCCAGAGAAGAGATTGACCCCACAGCAATTATGTGTTCAACCGATGTATTCATTTATTCCACAGTCGTCGAAATCCTTAACACTTTCTTACGAAAATTTGTGCAAGAAAATGAAGTCTGGGATGTCTTTATCAGACAAGGATCCTAAACTCGTTAACTTATACAAGGATGAAGGAATTCAGGACCATTTTTTAATTGAAGAAAAAATCGATGGAGATAGAATGCTTATGCATATGGTGGAAGGAAACTTCAAGTGGCACACCAGAAGAAGGAGAGACTATACTTTCATTTATGGTGAGAACTATCATCTTGGATCCTTGACCAAACACTTAACCGGCGCTTTTCATAAGAATGTGAAAAGTATTGTTCTTGACGGTGAAATGGTAGCATGGAGCAAAGATCGTCAATTAGTACTTCCATTTGGAACTCTCAGGTCCGCTGCGGTTCAAGAAGCACTAAGACAATTCGATGTGGTTGATGTCTATGAAGGGAACAATAGCTGGCCATTGTTCATCATTTTCGATATTCTACATCTAAATGGACAAGACTTGAGCAACTTGCCGTTATTCTACCGTAAGGATTTGTTGAGCAAAGTTGTTACCAATGTTCCACATAGGTTCGAAATCCTTGAATGGGTTAAGGCTAGCACACCTGATGATATCAAGCGAAATATGCAACGCATCGTATCCGAAAGAAACGAGGGAATTATGGTGAAGTCATTCTTGCTGAAGTATCGTGTCCATAGCAGAGATTCCACGTGGATAAAAGTAAAACCTGAGTACTTGGAAAACTTCGGCGAAAACCTTGATTTAGTGGTTGTGGGCAAAATTGGAAGAATTAAAACATCGTATATTTGTGGGCTTCGGGATGAAGAAGAAGAAGGATGCTTCAAGCTGTTTTGTATGGTTGCTAATGGCTTCCTGAAGGCAGTATACCGTCAGATTGAATCAAAGTTATATAATTTTTGGGTAAATTACAAAGAAAGAAAGCCACCTGAAGACTTAGTGAAGTTTGGGACAAGGAAACCAGATTTTTGGATCAATCCTGCAAATCTGATTGTTTTGGAAATCAAAGCGAGGTCCATTGAGGTTACCGCTGAGACACCTTATGCGGCTGGACTGACTTTACATAATCTATGGTGCCGTGCTGTCAGAGAAGACAAGGGGTACGAGGAGTGTATTACTTTGCAGCAGTACCAGGAACTTAAAATGAGATACTCGACGGATGTCTTCAAACAACAAACAGTCAACCGTGCAAGGAAGAGAGGATTTGAAAATTCCATTTATGATAGGTTCGCTACTAAGAAGAGACAGCGGATCGTGCCAAAAAGCGACGTATTTCAAGGGCTACATTTTGTTGTTGCCACAGACGCGAGAGATCTCCAGAGCCATGAGCTTATAACAAAAGAAGAGATAGAGCGTCGTGTGAAGGAATATGGTGGGTCGATATTGCTACACCCAAAACAGGAAAATATCCAGGCACGAAACATCATAATTTTGGGTCAATACGTTACCCCTCGAATATCAATGTGGGTTAAGGAAGGTTTTGATATCATTCGACCGCAATGGGTTTTTGACTGTATACGCTACCATACTATACTAGGGATTGAACCACAACATATCGAGCAATCTGGAAATGCAAAATTAAGACGCTCTGCTTCAGAAACAACAGACAAGTATGGGGATAGTTATGTAATAAGCTTCCCCAGTAGCAAAGGATTGTTCAAGTGGCTCAAAAAAATACCCATGTCTCAGCAACTTTCGGCAGGATGTCTCGAAGATTGCCGCAAAGACTTTTACAATGCGGAGAAGTTGTCCAACATGTCGCTATTCGCAGGTTCGCATTTTTATGTCTTAGAAGGCGGAGACAATAGTACAGATAACGCAATTCATAAACAAGCACAAAGAAGAATTCTCCGCTTTGGTGGCTCCCTATCCTTGGATGCCACTAATTGCACATACGTGGTTGTACCAGATGAAGTTCTCACGAATAAGAAGCTACAAGAAGCGGTTCGAATTACAAGCCGGAAAATTGCTGAGGGATACGAAGAGGGCAAAAAAATACCCATAATAGTAATGCAGTCTTTTATCGATGAGAGCATTCACCAAGCCGAAATTGTGGCTAGTGAGGATTTTAGAGTGGTCATATGAGCCCACTAGCGGGGTGAGCTGCAAAGAACACACTATATGTCGGATCCGCTTAGGTATGATTCTTTTGGATCTTACCAAATATACTTTGAGCACTGTGCATCGCCACTCATGTTTCGCTTGCCAGAAGCAAAAGCACACATAGGTTAACAGATCATCTCACCGAGTAGCTTCATTCAAAAGAGCTTCTTGGGTTTTTCACGGTACTATACTGTTAATGAGCACATGTATAATCTATATCATTCCGAAATTCTCCGCGAATACTGCCATAACGAGTCATGCGAAAAACCTCAAAGTGCAGACCGCGGACGTGAAAAAAAGAAATGAAGTCGGATAAATTATGTAATCGCTCTACATCGTATATGCAATAAACATACCTACACAGGAAGAATTGGGCATAGCCAAGCCTGTCTTTTTAAGACTGGCATGAGATGCGACTTGAACACTTGTATACTTTGGGTTAGAAATGCTCCCAATCTTTCGAAACAATAACGTGAGGCGTAGGGAAGTCAAAACCTAATTCTTCGCCTCCTGAAGTTATATTAAGCAATGAATATTTTCTTGCCATTGTTTCCCCCACAAGTCCATGCATCCGTACATCGGGGTTTCCGCGAAGATTCCCCTCATGCGTGAGTGGCTTAAGCATGTTCTGCATGTCAATCGAAGAAGTATGCATCCAGGAATTTCCCGGATTTTGGCAGGTGAGGGCGGAGAAGTATATATGGCAAGGTTGCCCAATCTCGTAACTTCTTTATTCGCCATCCATTTCGCTTCCTTTATATTCAACTGAATTTCTTATTATCACACATATCTTTATTTCTTCATATTCCTTGCCAACAAACTGATTAAACTGCTTTCCAATGGATGACCTATATATCCGCCCCAAGTACAATTTCCTGGAGAATATTGATTACATGGACAAGTCGGACATTTCTGTCTACCATCTTTATCTTTGCTGGAAGCAAAACAACTCCCTAAGCATCAAAAGTGGCTCAGATGACATCTCCTCAAGAATCCCATCTACTGTTTCCCGCCGGTTGGAGAACATTTGTTGGAGACGAGTGCAGAAAGAGTTGAACAATTTGGGGGAGATTTCACCATCCCAGATAAACTGGAACAAGGATATGGACATCACATGGCTCTATGGTCCTAAATTTACAAACGAAGACCCATTTGACACGCGCCTTACTTCGGATACCCTTTCCAAGTTTAATTCTCAAAATGCATCTGGGTTAGAGAACGACGATCTTTCTTCTGTTGGGCTGGTCTCATCATTGTCGTTCTACGAATCCTCGTCTTTAGCCAGCTCGGAAGAAGACTGCTCTGACTTTGACCACTTGCGGTTGAAGCCAGTATTGAAAGTTTCTAATGATTACTCGAAACTCACCAACGACAAGAAGGCGAGGAAGACCCGCAAACTGGTTCAATTCAGCTCCATTGTGAATTCACGTGAATATCTCAACGAGTTGCTGTTTGACTATAATTTCTTGGACACTCTGTGTGACTAAGCTACGAAAAGAGTAATGGCAAGCATGACAACCGAAACCAAAAACAAATTTTTTTCCACTGCATATAGGCTGTACTGATTACAAGTTCTACTTACATAATACATTGTAGCCCTTATCGTGTCTATTTTGCTTTGTTGCTTGCAACAATTTGGGGGTTCAGGTTTGCTTGCCGTAAGAGGGGTTGACTGGAGACACTTCCCCATGCGGCACATTTCCAGAACCAATGTTCGCGTACCATCATCATGTGTGCACACCATTACTTGCAGACAAGCCGTCTCACAGTATACTACGGCTAAGCACATGCAACCTTAATTGATCTTTTCGACTTCGTGGGGGCGACTTGAAATCCAAAGTATCCAATTAACACTCGTAGATACTAATATACCCATAGCTTTAGAATATACTAGTCACATGAGAATGGAAAGCGGTTGTAATGGAATAGCAAACCGGCCGTACGGCGTTCGCAAGGCGTACTCCTCAAATGCAATATGGCGGAAATACCATCCCGGAGGATCTTTCATGCGCCCTCCTCCGCCAACCCAGCCCGCGGACAATTCCGAAAGTTTCTTCCGCGGGGCGTTCCTCGCCCCATCTTTAGTAATCACTCAGCACTAGGCCGTCAAAAAATCATGAGATTAAACCCACAATGTCTTAAAAAGGGCATTATCATAGCAAACTGTAGCATTATAAACAATCGAAAAAGTCTTTGCGTATCATCTTTTACTTTTTCCTCTTCATTTTAGCTTGTGGTATCATATAGTACGCTTATGACCGAACTCTCGCATGCCCATTATAGGGCCGAGAACTTCCATGTATTGGCGTATGCCATTCCATGTATTGGGGTACGCCATTTACTATGCCTCTTACATTGGGATGCTCTGCCAAGGTTTTCATTTCCATTACGGAAACTAGTGTGAAAATACTTCTGGAAAGACTGTACCTTTGCTCGGCGTTAATGCCTTTTCTCAATATCTCAACATCTAGCCAAGCGGATCTCGCAAATTTCACATGTACGAATACAATTCATGCGCGGCCTTGCCTTCATCAGCATAGCTACAGACATGAGCCATTTGGCACTGAGACATATGAATAGTTTCAAACTTTTACATATGACCTAGTTAGTGATGCGCAGTCTCCTAACTTCTTTCTTTCCTGTTCGTCAAAACGCAAGTGCGGGGCTCTTCGAGCATTCGTTCACCGCCGAAAATGACTCAGGCTAGCCTCCCTTCCAGTACTTGTTAGGTTCGCTAGTAACTCCTGAAATAATGCTAGGTAACAATGCAACTGTTAGAGAAACCCGCCCTAATTTTGCGTGGTTTTGCTTTCTAGCGCTCCTTCTAGGCTTTTTCTGAACAGCCGCATTGAGCGGATACTATTGACGGACTCAACATTTTGAAGCACAAAGTCATGATGGATGGCTGTCAATGTAGTGAGAGGATTTTTCATTCGCACCAACGCTGTTTCCAACTCCTTGTAAGGATTTTGCCTCTCCATGTCTAGAGTCTTGGAGAAGCTGTGAAGCGATTATAGATGTTGTTGCATGGTGATGAGAGGTATGGATGCACATGCGAAGATGTCAGTCGCGACTGTACTCTTAAGTGACTAGTCTATTCCCATTCATGACAAATGACAGTACTCTGGATAATGATTTATTGAATGATGATCTTGACCTCCACTTACTTGAAAAAGCGGAATATGAGCTAATGGAGAAAAAGAACTCTCAACGGAGAATCACTCATCATGAGGTTGATGAATCGAATCTTGCAACCTACATATATCCAACTAATCTTCAAGTTCGAGATTACCAGTACAATATTGTGTATAGAGCCATATTTGACAATGTTCTTGTGGCCTTACCAACTGGTTTGGGGAAAACATTCATTGCCAGCACTGTCATGCTCAATTTTCTCCGCTGGTTTCCACGCCTGAAAATCATATTTATGGCGCCCACAAAACCTCTCGTGGCGCAGCAGATCAAAGCATGTTGTGGTATCACTGGGATATCTTCTTCACAGGTGGCTATTCTTTTAGATAAAACGCGAAAGAATAGGTCAACAATATGGAATGAGAAGCAAGTATTCTTCACGACTCCTCAGGTAGTTGAAAATGACTTAACAAGAGGTATAGTTAACCCCAAAGATGTCGTGTTACTCGTTATCGATGAAGCTCATCGCGCCAGAGGCAATTATGCTTATAATAACGTGGTTAAGTTTTTGAACAGATTCAACAACTCCTTCCGAATACTAGCATTGACTGCAACTCCAGCCTCTGATGTCGATGGGGTCCAGGAAATCATTGATAACCTATGCATTTCGAAGGTTGAAGTTCGAACAGAAAGAAGCATTGATATTTTCAAGTATTTGAAACGGAAGGTTATTGAAAGAATCACAGTCAGCCCTTCTCCTGAAATTGTGGACGCCATTGACATGATATGTCAAGCTATAGAGCCAATTTTGGAAACCGCAAACCAGAGAAAGATTTATGAGATTACAGATCCAGCTAAGATTAATGCGTTTGCCGCCCTCGACGCTCAGCAAAAGATTATCAAAAATCCAAACATTCCAGAGGGTCTAAAGTGGTCAAATTATTTCATTTTGCAGCTACTAGTTGTTGTAGGTCAATGCTTTCGACGTCTTAACATCTATGGCATCCGGAGTTTCTACAGCTACTTCTATGACAAGTACACGGAGTTCTCTACGAAATACAACAACAAAAAGTCTACCAACCATCTAGCTGCAAAGTTCTACTTTCATAGCTCTATTAAAGGGTTGTTGCACAAGTGTGAGGGTCTTGTGAAAGATCCCACTTTCTTGGGGCATCCAAAACTAGAAGTGCTAATATCAGAACTCACAAGCTTCTTCGAGAACACAAACAATTCAAATTCTAGAGTAATCGTTTTCACAGAATTTCGTGAATCCGCTCTTGATATTGTTAGAGCTTTGGAGGCCAAAGGAGATCATTTGAAACCTCATATTTTCATTGGGCAAGCGAAGGAAAAAGAAAAGTTTGATGAAGAAAAGTTCTTAAAAAAGGGTAAAAAGTCAAAAGGAAAGGACAAAAAACAAAACTCAGAGCAGAAGCAGATGCTTGAAAGACCAGGAAGTTCTTCAGAACGGGCTCAAATTAGTGGAATGAACCAAAAGATGCAGAAGCAATTGATCAAAGACTTTAAGAAGGGATCCTACAACATTTTGGTCGCAACATCTATTGGTGAGGAAGGTTTGGATATTGGTGAAGTTGATCTCATTGTTTGCTATGATTCTACATCGTCTCCCATCAAGAATGTGCAGAGAATGGGTAGAACAGGTCGTAATAGGGATGGAAAAGTTCTTTTGTTGTTTTCTAGCAACGAGGAACTGAAATTCGATAAGGCGATGGGAGGATATGAATATATTCAACAACACATCATAAACGGTAATATGGTTACTTTGCATGATCAGAACAGAATTCTTCCTCCAGGAATAACTCCTGTTGCGGAAGAAAAGTTAATCGAAATCCCCAAAGAGAATGAAGATATCAAGGCTGAAGACGATGAAGATGAAATCATCAAAATTGCCACGAAGTACATGACCAAAACTAAGACTAAACTGAACAAACTTGATGCTAAGAAGGGACCGAAAACGCCAGCTCCAAAAGCACAGAAGCAGTTTTTCATGCCAGAAAACGTCAACCAAGGGTTTACTCCTGTAAGTACAATGCTAAAAAGAAGAGGTGAAGATGAAAGTATTCGAGATAAACGACAGCGTTTGAATTCGGAAAAGGAAGACAAGAGAGACCCTGATATTCTAGACTCGTTTCTTGATTCCGATAACGATCATGATTTGTTACAGACTGGGTCCAACAATGAATCAGCTGGTCTACTGAATGACTATGAAAATGGTAAACATCTTGAGCAGAATCCCACATATGGCGACTCAGAACGAATTTCCAATAAATCACTGCTACCAATTGTACTGAACGAGAATCTCAATTCTAGCGACCTGTCGCAAGTGGGAAAAGAAATTGAATATGAACATAATGCCGACCCACTGAAGAGACAATTGACGATTGTCGACCAACTTCAAGCTGTACAGAAAAGATCATTCAGTGATGACGCTAACAATGATAACGGTGACGATGCATTTGATGATGACGACGATGAAATATTGGCCTTAGCACGGAGTTCTTCTTTTAGCTTTCCCCAGAGCTCATATGGTGTTACAGCAGAGGAATCGAACCTTGTCCCGATTTTCACTCAAAATGAAGGCTTTTTAACGGATGAGCAGAATCTGGAGTTGTACTTGAGCTACTACGTCCCTACAGATGCGAGCGCCCTTGCTGAGTGTTATGTTCCTCTGCGAACTCCTCAGAGAGGCGGTAGAATTGGACATGGAAAAGTTTCTCTCTCAATACTCAAATCCCAAGAATATATGGAGAAGACCAATCGGCAAGACAAAAGGGATCTCCTTGAGGTATATAAGGAAGTTGATACACTGGCTCCCACGTTAGGAGAATTTATAGAGTTTTAATTATCACGATTAACGAATATGTAAACTCATTAAGTAGGTGTGTCTATTAGTGAAGAAAGTCTGTTGTTACCCGGATTCAATTCATAAATATATAAGACAGCTACGCCCGCGCTCCAAAGGAATTTTTGTTCTCCATCTTTATGCAGGGGCATTACGTGTATCAGTGAGGATTCGTCCGAGATCATGTTTTTGCTGGTTGAAAACTATAACCTGACAACTCCTTGGTAGACCTTGCCTTGTGCTTGGGCTGCCCGGGGAATTTTTGGATTTGCCTGATTTTGCTTTGTGGCACTTCTTGAAGGCCCAGCATTTCTTCTTTTTCTCTGCTTAATTGTGGACATTTATTCAGAAAAAAGGATGAACTTGATAGACCTGAGTACGAATAAAACTCTCGTAGTGTTGTCTTGCCTCGTGCCTCGCTCGGCGTATCGTTCCTAAGATACGTCTTGAGCTGGATGCATCTTTGCTTTCGCAATGTAATGCAAAAGGCCATATGAACTAGGGCTTCTTTTGAGTGCGGTGACACCAAGGTTTTCCGGATGGTGGCACTGTAATTATCTGCCTTGACATTTCTATTTATTCTTTTAGTGCTTGACCAAAACGTAGATCAGAACACGACTTTGTTTTGCATACAAAGGCACTTCTCAAGATTTGAGAATTCTCATCGGACTTCGATACATCACGTACCATTTGCCCACATGTTCAAAAAGTTCGGAAAGGACGAGATCCATTCCCGTTCCAATATAAAATCTTCAGTGCAAAGAGGATTGAAATCCAACTTTGTCTCCCAGTTTGAAAAATTAGAGCCTGTCATTGATGCCATCATTCCCAAAAAATCTCAAGCAATCTTGATCAAATGTGAAGGAAAACTCTCGTTGTACAGTGTTGACGGTGAGGTTGTATTATTCCAACACTTTGATGATTTGATTCCTGACTTGCATATCGTTCACAAGTACCCTGATTGCTTCCCTAAGATTCAAGTTGACAGAGGAGCGATTAAGTTCGTTTTATCTGGCGCCAATGTTATGTGTCCTGGTTTGACATCTGCTGGAGCCAAGTTACCTGACGAAAACTTGGAAAAGGATACCATTGTTACTATCTACGCCGAAGGAAAGGAACATGCATTGGCAGTTGGAAAGTTAACTATGAGCACCGACGACATCAAGTCGATCAACAAAGGTGTTGGTATTGAATTGTTTCACTACTTAGGGGATGGGTTGTGGCATCTTGATGAAAGTAACTAATTCCCTTTTTCAAGCAAGATCCCACGTAATGAATATACTTTGGCCATTATGTAAGCCTAGACTTTGAAGTGTAGCAGTGTCATCCACTAAATAGCGCAATAAATCCGGCTCATGTAACTGATTTTCATCCACAGAGACAAATATGTGAAATTCAAGAATTGGTTTTTTAATTTGTCGGGAAATGACACCTTTAAGTCGCAAGACAGTGTTGCTTTTGAGAAATACGCGGGAAGAAACCTCCATCTCAGAACTATTGGCTGTTTTTAAATAAAGCAAAACCTTATCAGAATCGTTCAATGAAGAATGGATACGCTCTAATGACATGTGGTGCTTGTGGATTAGGCGTTCCCATTGTTCTTCGTTCGTAATAACCGTATGACCTTGTCGCACCTTCGAAATGAAATACAATTCCGCATTCTCGACTTCTTGATCCAGTATAGAGCTACCATTGATCTTGCGGATGTTGCTTGTGAAGGGATTCGAAATCCGTGCTATTAGATTTGCCATTACCTCATCAATTGATAGTTGTGCAAATATAGGGCAGTTCTCGATGCGAATTTCTTCGAGTGACGGGAACACTTTGGATAGACGGTCAATATCTTCCCACAGACTTAAATCATTATTTCGAAGATCAAGAACTTTAACCGACATATACGTTTCTTTTTCTGTTATATGATTGACTCTGTTGTCTGCCAAAATTAATTCCGTCACCGAAGAGGCTGCAACAACAGAAGGTAACGCGTGTAACTGGTTGAACGAAAGATCTAGTTTTGATAAGCTCCTCCCCAATATGAGATGATTACAATGATTATCGGTGAGTTTGTTTCCCGCCAAACATAAACTGTGCAAACCATCAAAATCCAAGGTCTTCAACTGTTCCTCTTTTAGATGCATCGCTGCTAAAGATAAGTCACGAAGAGAATGGGGGATTCTTAATTCAAAAGTAGTCAAAAACCTATTACCATTGAGATTCAAGCTCTGCAAATTGGAAAACAGCTGAAGAATTTGCTCGACATCGTTCCATTGACTCAATAAGTTGAAGCTTATGTCTAACAGTTGCGTGCCTGGAAATTGGGGCAAGTCGGAACAATATCCTATGTTCTGCTTATCCAACATGATAGTTGCTAGACTCGAGACATCCTTCATTATCGTGTTCAATTTCTCAAACCCGTAATTCTCCACCGTTTTCAGTCCAAACTTTATTGAGTGCGTTAAGGACCGGGCATTCTCTTCGCTGGCATACCGGTTCATAAGAGCTTCTAAAAACAGCACGGGATATTGAATCTTGTGGTTTGATGCCTTAATGAAAGAGCCTGCTCCTTCAACGTCGGTGATGAAATATCGAAAACCTTCCAACTGTCCATCGTTCTTTCCGCGTTGGGGATTATCCCATTCAACTCCGTATGCGATCACATCATCTCCCCAAGGAGGAATATGGCCAACAAATTTAATGGTTGCGAAATCATCCTCAATCCGAATTCTTTGACCACATTTTAGTATCTTCGAAACCATGTTCGTATTTGGTGGCCATCAGTGCAAGATTAATGTAAAACTCAATGCGCGTTTTGCTCCACATACTCGGATTTATTAGTACACTAAAAATAATACACTATGCTGCATGATTCCTTGGTTAGAACGTTGGTCGTCGGTAAATAATAGAAGTTAGTAAGTCCATGCGTACATTTCTCACCACAACACACATGTGAGTTTATTGTAAATATGCTACATAATCCTAAAGACCGAAGTTTTCACCCAACAAGCCGCCCAAGTCGAACTCTTCCGCCCACTGAGTAACAATAGTAGTATTTTCGACCTTAGGTGGCTCTTTCTCGCCTCTGGCAGCACTCTTAGGTGCATCCAAGTCCACTTCGACCGCCTGGGCTTTAGAAGAGTTTGGCAAGACCCAGCCCGTAATTCTGCCATCTCTCCAGTCATTCAAAACATTGAGAGCTGCAGACTCAATATTAGGGACACCTCCACGACTTAATCTTCCTCTAGCTCTCGCCACATGAATCAAAAATTGCTTAGTGAAGTCTTCCAAGTCAGAAGAAGGCAATGGAGGAACCAGGTAATATTGTTTCAATGCATCGGCCATGGTATCATCCTTAGACAATCTCTTGAGCAAATGCTTGACCACAGACACAGGGTCTTTGATGTTTTTTGGAGAAATGGCTGACAAAAGCGCTAATTTTGCTTCAGACACATTCTTCTTGGAGGATACCTCTTCTGGGAAGACGATACCAGGGGAATCCAAAATTTTGAGTTTATTGTCAACCTTCACTTCTCTCATGGAAGTGGTAACACCAGCTAAGTTTCCAACAGGACAAGCTTTCAGCTGGCCATGTCTATTGGTCAATGCATTGATAATCGAGGACTTTCCGACGTTTGGATATCCGATAACACCAACAACAATAGAACGCTTTAGGTTGGACTTGGTAGCATAACTTTTGAGCGCTTGTAACAAGGTGTTAGAAGTCATGGCATTTGAAAGATTCTTGTTGTATGTGCTCAGACCAACAGCTCCCGGAGAAGCTTTGATAGGAATTGTAGGGAACGACAGCTTCAAGAAGTCAAGCCATTTGGTTAACACAGGTGTTGGCACCAAATCAACCTTGTTCAAAACCAAGATCAATCTCTTGTTTCCACTCTGCAAAACTGCCTGCTCCACTTTCTTGGAACGAGTTGACTCAGGATCGCGTGCGTCCAAAACATACAATATGACATCTGCAGCATCCACCACTGTCTTGAAAATTTTGTCATATGCTTTTCTGGATTTGTCCAAATCAGCTCTGTCCACTTCAACATCGCTAATATCGTATTCAACATCGTCATCGGAGTCCTCCTCCATCTCATCACCATCAATTTCACCATCGAACTCACGAGCAGCCTGTTGAGCAGACTCTAACAATGCACCCAAACCACCCTCATTCGCATCTTCTTCTTCTGCGTCTTCGATCATCTCATCAATAGTTTCTCCTCGTGCCAATGCAGCTTCACGTTCCTGCTGTTTTTGCAAACGAAGTGCTTCTTTTCTTTCCTTCTCCAATCTTCTTTCCTCCTCTAACTCCAGAATGATCTTATCCTTGTAAGGGAAACTTGCAGGTATACCTGGATCCTTTTTATGCCTAGATTTCCAAGTAACATCTTTCTTAGCCAATTTCCTGTTTTTTCTATTCTGAGCAGCAGCCTTCTTTTTGATACCCTCTTTCATACGGGTTGTCGATCTTTTGGACGTAGGCTTTTTCACTCTCATGATGTATTTTTTTTGTTAAAGAACCTAGCTTGATGTTTCTATGGATGAATTTTTTGTGCGATGGCCATCTTGATCGCGGTTTGCATACAACATCTACAGTAATCCCAGAATTCTATGTCCTTTAAGTAAAGTACACAAAAAATAGATACAAAGAGTAATAGTGATATAGTGTGCTGTCGTTAGTCTGTTTCTCAATATCACAGGAAATCCATTCAGTTTTATGTATGTTTTCCACGCAGCAATGATGCAGAGCTTGACATGCGCGATAGTGAGTCCCTGCTGTCACCTCTGTGAGTATAGAACAGGTTTGATTTCTTAACGTTGACAAAAGGCTTATTCATAAAATCGACTGGAGAGTTTCCTTCGTCTAGATCAGACAAGTTTATAGTAGACCGTGTGCGTAAAACAGATATATCGGGAGGGTTTGCCGGCTGGCTGGAAGGCGATGAAATCATGCTTCCCTCTTCTAAATCTAAATTGATATCATCTTGCTCTTGTAATTCCATATAGTTGATTGCTTTGTTGATACGATACCGTATGGATGAGGGACTATGAGCTTTGACTCTATTAAGGACTGCTTTGCAAGTGGAAGGAAGTTTGACGTTGCCCTGCTTTCTCAAAAGTTTGCCGATCTTGCGCAACAGGGAATTGCCAAATCGGTAAAAGAAGAGAACAAACAATAGTAAAAATAGGAAGCTGTAAACAAAATTCATTGATGGCCCAAACTCCTCATCTGAGTCGTATTCGTCCAGAGACGTAGAAAGTGACATAGCACTTGGCTTAATGCCCACGTGAACCTCATCGTTAGAAGGCACTTGTGATGAAGCCACAAGTAAAATCTTACCGAGTGTCCATGAAAGTTCCTCACCATTTACTGAGTCAGCTATTTTGAGTGGCACATGCGCATTATCCAATTCTTTGGTCGCCGAGCTTTCGGAAGGTTCCTTCACCTCTATACCCAAACGAGGAAGCTCGAAACCCTCATGCAATACATTGATTACCCAACTTGCTTTGAAGCAGGCTTCAAGTAAAACCTTATCGGGTAGGTTAGAGTATTCACCGTTTTTTGAGTTCTTCATGATGTCGTCCCACAGGCTCTCACAAAAAGCCTTTGCTTTCTCATTAAAGCTATGGAAATTGTACTCTCCGCTACTATGAAAGACATCATTTGCAGTGTACCAGTACTCAGAAACGCCCACAAATTTGTCTTTCTCGAAGTTCATCTTAGGGGCATGGACACCATTGAAGAGGCACGGCTCATCTTTGCAAGACAAATGCTTCATTAGCAATGGAAAAATGTCCTTCAAGCAGCTTTCATAATTTCCGGTTCCCTGAATGATGTATTCTTTATTTTCAAACTTGTAGTCCTCGATGACGGCTCCAGAAGGCATACATGGATCTTGTATGACCTTTGCTTTACCCTTTGAATGCGAATCAGCAGATAAAGCAAGAGTGTTCTTTAAATACCGTGCACGCGCCTGGTTAGCTCCGAATTTGAGCCAGGTTTCGACAAATACTCTCCAAACTTGACCATCTCCATTAATGTTCTTGATAACAACCGTAGAAAGATCTTCGTCATGCTTCGCAATCTCTTCTTGCGAAGATGGGACAAAAGCGATTTGTGTTGAAGCGCCGCCCATGTCCATGAAACCAATTGATTCGTGATCGGCTTGGTCTGGCTTAAAGTTGTTGAATTGTCCCATCAAGTAATTGAGAGCCAACCACCCATAAATTCCCTCTGTAGCACCGTCTATAACCTGAATATGTTCGTCACAGTCGGAAATAAAATATTTCGTATTCTTCTGAAGCTCCAGGCAAGTTTTCTTCAATATTTTTTCTCTTTTTGATTTCGGCAAGAGCCTCATCCCTGCGGTAGAAAGAATATAGATCGGAGTTTCCGAGATTTTGTTAGCGGGAATCACTTTCAGTGCAAAATCAATTAGCTGCTTGTAGTGCTGACTCCAGACTTTGGAAGGCTTTTCAGCAAAGGTAGATATACCCGGGGAGATCTTGTGACTCCATCCATCTTCTTGAATGATCTTTGGTGGAGATGCCAACTCCTCGGGCGAAGCGTGTTCTTTCTTCTTCGAAGGGTCTTCCCAACGGTATATTTGTATTCTTGATCCAGAAGAACCCGAATCAATGACAATACCGTACTTGTCGTCAGCCATGGCGAAGGAAGAAAAATATACGCCTCGTGTCTTCGTTACTACATCGATGCAGGTTGAAATGTACGCGGTTATCATAATGCGTATGCCATTTACAGTGTACGTTTAATCAATTACTCACAATCAATCACGTATCTCTTTTTTATGATCGTTTTACCTGATACCCCACCCTCTCCAAAGACATGGAAACTCGATACATCAACTCAGTTTTTTAGTCAATTGTCTGCACTCCGTTCATCTCTTGATGCTAGTGCCCCCTCTACTTACAGTGATTCGGTCAGGTTAGTTGCTCAACTCGAAGAATATTTGGAGGGAATCTTTCAGCTCTTGCTATCGGAAGAGAATATTTCAGAATTGAAGGGAGCTACAACTTTTTCACTGTCATTGGTTGTCTGCAAATCAGTCCCCTGGGAGAATGTGATCAGCGCTCTGGAAAAGAAGAATGAACTCAAGCTACGTTCTAATAATGCGGAAAATTGCTTATGGACTCTAGCTTGTGAAATCGAGACAGTGATCACTGCAATCTCATTTGCCTATACCAGGTTAGGTGCTGAGATCACAAATGAACTTTGTGAGTCCGATAGTCAAGATGTGCAAACGGACGACAAGTGGAAGCTGGTGACAAATTTTTACAAGAAAGCAATAGCAATGGCGTATTTTGGATCAGAATTTGCACAACACGCATCTGCGCCACTTTTGGACTCACGGGTATTTATCTTGTTGGATAGTATAGGCAATATTGGTATCCAGACGTCTATCTTATGCAAGTTTTCCACGTTAAATCGAAACTTGTACAATGATCAAGATAAATTCACTGATGGAAACAATGCTGTTTTATGTCGAGTTGCTATTTGGATTCTTGATGAGATTAAGAAATGCCAACGTTTGTCTTCCGAAATGACTCCTACGGGAGATCTTATGGTGCCCAAAACAGACAAGTGGGACCAATACTTCAAACTATTCTCTCGGTATGCATCTGCGTACGCTGGTCTCTTTCTTTCAATCGAGTACTATCAGAAGGGACAACTTGGCATGGCTATCGGTCTCACTAATTTTTCACTACTCTCGCTTCAAAGCAAAAAGCTAAACACCGATTACAAACGCAACAAAATAATGGTCCGATTTAAGGAAAAATTTAGGGGAAAGAAGAATGAACATTATATCTCGCGATTACAGTCTACCACTACCCTTTGTTGCGATAAATCAGTTTTTCAAGCACTGCTGGGAATCGTACTCAGTGATGTTGCACTTCTTTTTGACTTGTTGGTCCAATGCAGACTAAAATACACAAAAGAGAATGACAACCTCACTTTTGACGATGTTGTTGATTGGCAGGATATACACAGTGATAGCAAGTGGCCAATTGGCTGTAAGATTCCTGTCTCCACCGTCAATTCATTTACGCCTAAGGCACTTCAAAAAGAGCCACCCGACGGCTTGAAATCAAATTTCACGGGCCGTGGTAGCTATTATTAACAAAGGATCGATCTCGAATATTTCTTAAAATGTTGATGCACGTAATACACTTAATACACCAGAGGAACCTCCGTACAACATCTCAATTTCTCTAATTCGTGGGGAGTCGTTGTCTGATTATAGTCTATATACTGGGCAATCTTGTGCCCACAAACCGGGATAACGTGTCATGGTACAAACATTCAATTTCTTATACAATAAAAAATTTGAACGGGGTAACGCAGTGTCCGCTTACAACTTTTGCATAGCAGCAACGTCGGTGGATTGAACGTGGTCCTCGTCTTCCTCAATGTTGGCTTGCAATTCATCCAAGGAAACCTTAGCATCCTCGATAACCAAGTTGATTTGCAACTTCTTGATACCGAAACCAACTGGAATCCATTGGTGGGCACCCCAGGTCAAACCATCCATCTCGATAGCCTTGACGTTGGCCAACAATTCCTCCAAGTCGGTCTCATCGTCCCATGGCTTAACATCCAAGGTGACAATAGACTTGGCAGCTGGCTTTGGACCCTTAGAGGCCTTCTTGGCAGCGTACTCAGCCAATCTTTGTTGCTTCAACTTCTCGGCCTCCTCGTCAACTTCATCGTCGTCGGAACCGAACAAGTCAACTTCATCGTCATCTTCTTCAGCAGCAGCGGCAGCAGCTGGAGCCTTACCAGCAGGCAAGGTGTCGAATTCTTCAGTGAAAGAAGCGATGTGGTTGAACCATCTGGTGAATTGTGGGAACTCCTTTTGGAAAGCCTTGTAGACAGAAACGTCAGCCTGAGTGGCGGAAGTACTAGGAGATGTTAGTATACCAGCGCCCACAAATTTTTTTACCTCAAACAACCCTTGTAGGGGAATTGACTCAGCTAACAGATTAAAATCTCCTTTGTCACTCATGCGGTGGGTCTTAAGCACCTCATAAACACGGACCAAAGATTGCGATCATCATAGAAAATGCACCAGGAACCATAATACATGGGTCAAGTGTTATTTGAGTTTATTACCATGAATTCGAATGAACATACCCGTCGACGTAAGACTTGTCAGTCAAAAATTCGTTCAAAGACTTGAGGGTCTCGACCTTAGAGAAATCGGAGAAAGACATTGTAGTAAATGAGCAATGGAAGAGAGAAGAATTTATGGAAAATTTTTTTGTCCCCGTGTTGAGTTCTCAGCAGTATTTGTTGAATACACGACTTAATACCATTAGGGCTAGCTCTGCTAGCGTATGCAGGTAGAGAATCTTTAGTTACAGCTCAAATCATACAAGAGAGAAATGTGGCACAATGATGAAGTCTACAAATGTATACCCCGAATTCCAAGCTGTAAGTTCTTGGAGTAAACTTTTGTAACCAAAGCCACATATTCCAAGTTTCTGGTATATGTAGGACACCAGCGATCCTCAATATACTGATTTTTAGGTTGGGCGCGCTTGTCACTATGGCGTTAAACTTCTACGGTCTCGAATAAGTTAGGTGTATCCGATTATCTACATTTTTGATTCACTCACTTACACATTGTCATCGAAGTTCCAGTATGGACATTCGAATGAGGCGTAGCATCTGAATTCGTTGCTCAAGCCATTCTTGTGCTCCGGTAAAAACGAAGTGAGGTGAGTTTCTGGATATGTTTCCTTGATAATGTCTCTCATTCTTTCTCCCGTTGAAGAGATTAATTTGAACTTGCGATCTCCATTTTTTGTTTTCAGACCATCATCAGAGGACAAAAGGTTTCTAGCTGCCTGAGCAGACTTGGTCTGGCACTCCCTTTCCAAGAATGGTGGGTCTATAAGTAATCTGTGGCATTTGTTCCTGATCACGCTAGGAATATTATCTGGCTCGTTGTAATCGTAGAAAAAGAAGTGGTCCTTGCCCGCCAAAACAGAAAACCGCTTGTCATATTCAAGCAAATAAATATGTTTTGTAGGTACTAGTTCCTTTGGTAGCTTCCTGATGGCAGCATAGACAGAAGGGGCACTTGCAATACAAATGATAGTGTCCTCATCCGCTCCCTCAAGAAGTGCTTTCGCTAAAATCTCAGCTGTTTCGTCGCTATACCAGAACTGAGAAAGTTGCCAATCCTCTTTAAAATCATCAATACTGACTTGCTGGTCTTCGAATCTGTCCTCCAGCTCTTGATACAACTTCTCAAATTGTTTTTTCCGAGTTTCCTCCTCGTCTTTAAATTGTTGAAGGGCAGCTAAAGCGTGGGAGGAAAGAGTCAAAGGTTCGTCGTCTGAGTCCATAGGGAAATGAAAGCTCTATTGCCATCTCACCTCGACTTATGTACCACCTCAAGTCTTCCGGTCGTGCATGCCCATTATTGAGATGCGCGACTTCACTTCACAACAGAGCCATGAATCAATACAGTCTGCGAAGAATAAAAGTGACGTTGGTCAACAAACAAAAAAAAAACGAAGAACAATTTACACGACTGTTCGCTAAAGTATGCTGTTTCTTTGTTCTCAGGCGCAATTGGTGACGCATATTTTGGGAGCACTAGCTGTGTCTGACAAGCTTTCATTACCCCAGTTATGGGCCATAGCTGCCTCGCAAACAGAAAATAAAGAACTAGATGACTTTCAAAAACAAATAGCGTGGAAAGGGCTTTTCGCTGGCCTGGGTCCTAAACTCTTAAAAATTGAGTGTGAAGATCCAGACGATGATTGGTCTACCGACTATTCTTACGATCGTCTCCTTGAGAGATCCGAACTGAAGATCTTCATCCTTCCAACGGAAGAGTGCCAATTCCGCTACTTGACTGGTACAGAAAATTACCAGACCATGAAGTCTAACTTGGGGGACTTACCTTTCCAATTGCTTGTCGTCATTGCACGTCACGGCTCAGACGGAATTTTGAATCCAGACTTGGCTAGGGAATCCGGTCAAGACGCACGGTCCTTGAGAATTCGTCTTCAAAAACTCGAACAGGCGGGTCTTGTTCTATGCCGTAATGTGTACGTTAATAAGAAACACACAACACATTCCGTGCATGTCAAATTTGCCGAGGATAGCATTATTGCATGCGACCTGCGAGAGGCAGAAGAAGATTTGGATGCCTCGCGGGACGTGAGCAAGCTCAAAAGACACATCATGGAGGCAATAAAAGCTGCACCAAATCAACTTCGAGGCTTTTCGGATTTAAGAAAGGAATTGAAACTTGATGGTTCTCATTCTGCGTCCAAGTTTTTTCGGAGTGTCTGCTTAAAGCTTCATCGTGCGGGATACATCGAAAAGCTTCATGTGGAGTTACCAGAGACCAAGCAAAGGTTGTACGCAATTAAATTTGTTAAGGACCTTCCAAAAGATATGGAAGATGTGTCTGACTTTCCTGACACAGGCAATCCGGTGAACGACGCATTCGGTGATTCCGAAGACGAGTCTATATCTCAGGATGCACCGAAGTCACAGAATCCTCCAATATATAATCAAGTGTTCCCTATATTTCATCAAATTTTTCAGCAGATTCACTCGAGAAAGGAGACGGGAATAACATCAGGTGAAATAGCCAAAAATTTATTGGGTGTATCTGATTACAGACCATACACGCGACTTTATGAGGTTCTTCCTACTTACTTGAGTAATTCGAAGAAGTTGAAGTCTTGCAAGAAGTACACTGATCCGTACGATGGTTATACTATTGCGAAACTCTATGATAATGAGGGAAAACTCAAATTCTATCGCTACTTCGCTAAAGAATTTTGTACAGAAGAGAAACCACCTGTAAAGCCATATAAGCCTATAGCAGCAGGTCCACAGAATTCTATTGTTGCTCTCAATAAGAGGTTGCATACAACGCTTGGAAAAACGTCTAAAGAAGCTTTAATGGAGAAGAAGAAACGGCTTGTTCAAGTTAGCAACCTCCCTTCGAAACGACCTCTCGTGGATAATCAAGACAAGCAATCCTTAAAAGAACCTTCACCGGAGCTTCCTACTAAAAGGCGAACCCGCAATGTGAAGTCATATGCATCTGAATCTTTTCTAGATATCGACATGAGCGTTTCTGGAGACGAATACGTACCTAATGAAGAGCAGCCAGAGGAACCAACTTCAGCTCTAACATCCAACGACTTACCTTCGTTTGTTCCGGCTCCCAAGGAATCAAAGCGAAAAAGAGCGCAGCCTCAGACTTATAAAACCGAAAGCTCTGTCAAGTCGATGACGAGGAGGAACTTGCTCATAGAGATTATTCGTGAAGAGGGCGGTGCGTGTTTTAGTAGCTCCGTCTTGTGCCGCAAATTGGATACGAGAATGGCAAATTCTACTGTGACGGATCTTAAAACATTAGCCCGGGATGCTCGACATTTAGCATCTGAGGGCATATTGGAAATACAGAAGGCCAAAATTGAAGTTGGAGGCCAAGCGACTGAGAAGAATTTGATGGTGTTGATGAACCCAAAAGATCGCCCATCGGAAAAAACGCTAGAAGAACTTAAGGGAAATTACGGTCATTTAACTAGCAGAAAAGATATGAAAGTATTCACAAGTCGTGTCATACAATCTGATATGAAGCTTTATGTCGAGGAGCCTAGTGCTAAGAAAGTATCAGTTGGTACTAAGAAAAGAAGAGGTAAGAACAGGTTACGTGCATTGGGTGATGAAGATGAAAATGCTACAATCAAGCAAGAAGCAACAGAAGCACCGCTTGTGTCAGAGTCAGCTACAGCAGACGATATCTTTTCCGGTTTGAAGAAGTCTCGGAGGGCAAAGAAGTTTTCTACGTCGCAAGCGCCAGAAACTTCGTCCTCGACATTGAAGAGACCACGCCGTAATATTAAGCTAGAAAAGTCTGATGCTACTACTCTCTACCGTTCCGTGGTGATTTCTAAAGCTTTCTCAAGAGATGCAATTGATTTCAACCACATCGCAACGTTGCTTGGAGACCTTGATGGTAAATTAGTAAAGCAAAAGTGGGGAACCTTACGAAGACTGTATGGAGGAGCTGAAGCAGTTGGCAAAGGTGTCGATACATTCAAGAACATGGTCATGCAAGGAATAGATGATGGGTCCATTACTGAAGAGGATCTTGTTACTGGCGACTTGAAGTTTTTTTTGGAGTACTGGAAAGCATTCGACACAAATACGGAGTTTGCGTCAACAGACGAAATGCCATTGTATTCCAATTACCATCAAAATTGCAAGGAGTACGAGTTTTCGGCAAGCACTTCGGATAATTCAAATCTTAGCTATGCTGAGAAGATTGAAGACTGTTCTATGAGACAGAAGGAGAGTGTCCTAGCCACTGCTATCTTCAGCTACGAACCGAATATTCAACCTGTTGCTAAAAAGAATGATGAACTAAGATCTATACTCAAAGCGATATTCTCTACAAAGGAAGAGCATTTTGACCCAATTATGGTCAAAAGTATTTTGAATCCATACGGCGAAGTCACTGTACGAGAAGCAACTGATGCTTTGTTACATGACCGAGAAATTTTGTACGTGTCTTTAGATCTGGACACCAGATTTGTATTGAGCGATCGCTTCAATAACAGCTTTTCTCAGCGAAGCTTTACTACCAAATTTTTTAACCAAGCATCGGGTTTCTATTCAACATTACATTCTGTGTCTAAAGGTGGGAAAGGCCTCATTCTTTCTCAAGGGATAATGCCAGGAGAAATGGCGACTCTCCTCGAATTGGTTTCCGATAATCAGGTGGACTTCATAAGGATAGATCGTGCATTCCGTTTTGAAAATTATGAATCCAGATTGATTGATAAGGAGCAAATTGCGTGCGATATTGTGGTTAAGTGCAAGTCCTTCTTGACTAAAAAGGATGACATAAAGGTTGTTCCTGTTCCTAGTGTAAGACCATGCCAGCCAATATGGATTGACTTAACTGGACAAGTCAACAAACAGCTATGGGTAAAGATCATTACTAGTTTGCTTTACCATATTGTTTTCAAGCCTGGAATTGGTGACCTAGCCCTATATGAGAAGTTACAAGCTGCTTTGAGCTTGTCTGATTACAACAAGGCCATTGAGTGGTTGGTTGATAGCAAGTGTATTGTAAAAAACCAACTTAACGGTTATATAGCCAGCAATGTTTGGCAGTTTATTCTTGGTTAATATATTTGTTCTCATGCCTATTACAAGACGATGCAATGATGTGCAGGTCATCGCACTATTCTTTTTTCTCATCTCTTCGTAGAGAAATGTATTATCATCAGCATAAGACAAGATGGGTTTGGCAGGTACAAAAGTGAAGCAAAGATTCGGTCTAGATCCAAGGAATACCGCATGGTCCAACAATACAGAGAGATTTGGTCATCAGTATTTAGAGAAGATGGGGTGGACGCCAGGAAAGGGTTTGGGTCTAGTAAACCATGCAACCACTACGCATGTAAAAGTCTCGATCAAAATGGATAATGCTGGTCTTGGAGCCAAATTAGCAAAAAAGACAAAGAAAGATGAATTTGATAGTGGAGAATGTGCCGGTCTCGACGTCTTCCAAAGAATATTGGGCAGATTGAATGGAAAAGAAGAGCAGGTCAATAATGAGTTAGAGAGAAAGAGAATTGACAATTTCGTTAATGGAAAATGGGGTATGCACTTTATTCGTGGAGAAACTTTGAAGAGTACGTGGGATGCCGATTGTAAAAAGCTTGTGGGAGGAAGCGCCACAGGTACGAAGAGAAGACCATCGATGAGTGAAGAAAGCCCCAGTAAGAAACGAAAAGCTGGAACTGATCTAGATGTGAAGAAGAAGGAGAAGAAAGAGAAGAAAGAGAAGAAGGAAAAGAAGGAAAAGAAGGAAAAGAAGGAAAAGAAGGAAAAGAAGGAAAAGAAGGAAAAGAAGGAAAAGAAGGAAAAGAAAGAGAAGAAAGAGAAGAAAGAGAAGAAAGAGAAGAAAGAGAAGAAGGAGAAGAAAGAGAAGAAGGAGAAGAAGGAGAAGAAACAGAATTTGGTAGCTACCGAAGAGGTCACCAAGGCTAGCATGCTCCAACCTAGAGACAACAAAGATAAGGAGATCGCAACTCGTCTTTCTGCGAGAGCTAAATGGATCCGGCAAAAGCGGGCATCTGTGATGGATGCAAAGGCACTTAATGAAATCTTCATGGTTACGAAGTAAATATAAATATATGGGACACTTTAATACTTAATATTAAAAGAGGAATGAACTGAAACCACCAACAAAGCACAAGGCCATTGCAACAATGGCGGCCAATTCACCTTTACTTGCTGGACGAGCAGCAACATATCCACTGCTCTTCTTGGAAGACGAGGATGATGAAGAAGAACTAGACTGGGAGTCGGAGTTGGAGGAGCCAGAACCTGATTCGGAACTAGAGCCGGAACTAGAGCCGCTAGAAGAATCAGATGAACCAGTCACAACCGCACCAGCCGACACAGATGAGACCATTGCAGAACAGGACTTTGGAAGCAGGCTGGTGCTTCTAAGAGAGGCAGAACCACTGAAGTCACAAGCAGAAGAGTGCTGGTCTTGGTCTTCATAGTACATGTTAAGAAGGTAAGACAATTTGTCCTTGCTGGAACAGAAAGAGACAGCACCGTATTTACCCTTGTCACCATCTGCAGATACTGCCGAACAATTCACCAAACCACAAAGAGTACCGAAGAAATCACCGTAGTCATCTTCGTCCACTTTGTCAGAAAGAACACATTGCAAAGAGCTAGAGACACAGTCACACACGTCCTGGTCTGGCTTAGGAGGCAAGCTTGGGGAAGCTTTCCATGTAGAAGCAGAGGCGGGACAAGAAAGGGTGACTGTCGAGGAAGAACCGACATCAGCAGTCTTGGCAAGAGAGGGGCTGATGCTGTTCATTTCCTTAGAGTAGTAGCTGAAATCCTCCAAGGTGCTAACAGAGTCGCCTGAGGCAGACACAAGACCATACTTGTTGGCTTCTTCGAAATACATGTAGACAATACCACCCGACCAAACGTCAGTCATCTCATCACTGTAGATTGTACCGATTTCAGTGAACTTTCTTGGTCTTTCGGCGTTACAGCCATATTCGGAGAAAAAGACGGGAATAGTCAAGTTCTTGTATTCCTCAGTTCTGTCCTTGTATCCAGAAGATTGGAAATTTGCATCACCACACCACTCGTACATGTTGATACCAAAAAAGTCGGCTCTTTCTTCAAGCTCACCACAAGAGAAATAGTCTGCAATGGCCACTCTAATGTCTTCGTCATCGTTAGAAGAGTAACCAACTGGGAATTTCCAACCTTTGCCCTTGATGTAGGATTTCATGTCTCTGACTGCAGCCTTAACAAAAGCAGATGCGTCAGTATTGGACTTATTGTTAGAAACCTCATTCCGGCAAAGAAACCCAAGACGTTAGTGTAGTTTGCAAACATGTCGACGACTGAGGTGTATCTCTCGTACAAATCAATGTTCCAGGCTGGAGAGTCTCTGTTGATGGAGGTTTCAGGTTCAGACAAGTCAGCAATGATGTAAATACCGGCATCGGCAAAAGTCTTCATACATTCATCGTGGTCCTTCTCTGGGTCGACAGCATAGACTCTCAAAACGTTGGTGTTAGAAGCAGCGAAATACTTAACATCACGCTTACAAGCGTCGCCATCCGCCAAAGGATCGACGTACTTGGCACTGTCAGAGGAAGTAGCATTTTCAAAGTTTTGTTGGTAAGCGACACCACGGATCAAGAACTGGGAACCGTTGTTGGAGTAAAAAAATTTGTTGCCCACAACCTCAATACTTGGCAAGTCTGCGGCTATAGCGAATGAAAAGGCAAACACTGCTGAGAGAAGATAAATCACTTGTCTCATGCTGGAAAACGATTGCTAGGTTTAGGAATGAAAAGAAGGAAAAGTTACAGAAGGGATTACGTCCGTCCTGTGGGCGGCAAGAATTATTTATATCTGGCTCTACGCGAAAACCAATACACGTAAAGTGGAAAATGTTTTTTGATCGGCCTGGGTGCAAATGTTGCGAGCCTTGTCGTGCTAGGTGTGTATAGTGTCCAAGGTTCGCGAATAAAATTAGACGATTCCCCCATGGTTGGGAACACATTCCATACAGGAAGGCTATGCCAGGAGGTGCGGCCAAGTCGGCAACTCCATAGAACTACGCCATGCCTTTCTCCTCTTGGCAGCACTTAAAGAAATCAGCTATGAGATTCATGTGGATTTTTTCTGACAGAAACGCCAAGGCTGTAAATCTGTGAGATTCTGTCAGTACTTTTCTCGGTATTATTGTATGTCGAATTTATTTGTCTCGTGCTTGGTGCTGAACCCTGATAAAGAGTATCGTGCCGGAACATATCCATCTGCATACAAAACAAGATGTGTGGGCGGGACCACCAAGGCTTGCGCTTTGGGACATACCGTTGTTTCTGCAGGCCGTAGTGCATTTGGTCCAGGTGCTTTATGTTATGGTGACGTTCACCTGCAGCAACCGGATTCTTTCTTGTTTAGGACAATATGGCGCGATTAGGAGGCATGAGTTATGAGAGTATCTCTACCAGCCAGGATATTGAATAGTCGATTTAAAAATCAGGAACCACGAGCGTAGTCAGGGGAGATTTGCGTCTGCCTCTTTTAAGACTCTTGATTTGTGTCTTTTTTTAGTCATATTGTACACCGCTGGCAAAAATTCATAGAATATGGAAATTCGCGTCAGGCAGCGTAGAAGTTTACCTGATTCGATATGTAGCCATGATTTACAAATAATCGCCTTGTGGCAAGAAAAGACTTATCAGAGAGAAGACAAAGATTAGAGAAGGTGCCAAGTGGTGTGCTGCACGAATCCAGACCAATTTTTTTTTTTCTTTTTAGCTTTGCTACTTTTCTTAGTGTACTCTAATGTCAGCTCTGTATCCAGGGCGAGATTTGCGGCTTTAAATGAGTCGCAAGTCCGTGAAACTAAGTATATCTTTTAAACTAATTTATCGTACATGAAATCATATGACTGCTCTTGATTGTTTAGTCCTTATGTGTCTCGTAGATCCAATCGAGAGTATGCTTGATTCCTTCTTCGAGGGAAACCTCAGGTACATATCCCAAAAGCTCTTTGGCCTTCGTAATGTCATGATAACGGGTAGCACAGGTGATTTTCGCCCGGAATGCCGTTAAACCCGGCTCTTTATTCAAAAGCTTCGAGAAAAACTGCGACAAGTAACCTGCTGCAATGGCCACCGGTCTGCTCAATACGATGTTATACTTATCAATGTGTCCATCAGCTTTCCAGACTGTTCTTGCCAATGTCCAAAAGTAGGTTGGAGCATCGTTAGTGATGAAAAATGTCTCTCCACCAAGTATTTCCTCGTTTTTTTCCTCCAAGATCTTTTGTGCAGCCAATACATGCGCGTCTGCAACGTTACCAGCATAAGTCCAATCGAAAAGGTTGTTGTTATCGCCCAACTGGAATTTGGATTGGCCCAAACGCGCAGCAGTTCTCAATCCTGGTACTAACTGTCTGTCACCGGGCCCAAAAATACCTGCTGGTCTCAAGCAAACTGTCAATAAATTGTCAGGATCGTTACTTTCCATGACATACTGTTCTGCAATGGCCTTCGTTTCATTGTAGCCGTCCATATGCACGCGAGGGTATGGCCAATCTTCATTGGCATTGAAAACGTCTTTTCCATTGAAAATAACACCGGCTGAGGAAGTGTAAACTAAAGCCTTCACTGGCGAAGACTTTGCCACGTACACAAGATTTTTTGTTCCCACGACGTTTACCTTATAGTATATATCTTGTGCCATGCCGTGAATTGGAGAGGCAGAGTGGACAATAACCTCACACTTTGAGGCTTCCACAGCCTTTCTAACATCCTTTTCCGATGTTAAGTCACCTTTGTGGAAAACAATTTCGGATGGATCGAAAGTGAAGTACTTGGATAACTTTTCTGGAATGGGGCGAATGTCGAACACATGAATTTTCACATTGGGACATTTGTTACGGAATTGCTGTACAAGGTGCAAACCAAGAAAGCCGGAGCCACCGACAAGCAAGACGGAAGTGAGTTCGGTCATAGATATATGGCGTTTATGATCCCGAGAGTTGAAGTTGATAGTTTCGCACTCTTATACGAGCGCGACTATCGTATATGGATTAATTATTCATGGGCGCAAATACACTATGCGCCGCAATATATATTGAAATGACGAGATGATTATTTCCTATGTATTTATACACAAAACTCTTAGTATCAACAATCAGAATTCGAATAGCAGCTTGTATTGTTCAACCTGTGCTTCGTCCACATTCGCAGTGAATGTTTCGACAGGAGGAAACGAAAATTCAAATGATTCACGTTTTCCGCTCCCATTCACTGATTTCCCATTTGCTGATGAAAAAGTAGGAGCTTGACTGGATTGTGCTTTTGCAGAATTGAATCCATTGGAAGGCTGCTCCGGCTTATTTGTGTCAGCAAACTTGAGCGTGGAAGTGGCATTGTCGTTAGAAGTAGAATTGGGTTTAGTGGATTGTGAAGCAAATGAGAATGATTGGAGAGGCGCTTGATCCTTTTTGGCCCCAAAACTGAATCCATTGGAAGCCGATGCAGGTTTTTGTGCATTTGATTCAGGTTCAAATGAAGGATTCTTAACTTTTTCAAGTTTCGAAGTGGGTTTGGTTGTTGCACCAAAATTGAAAGATGGTTTTGTACCATTTGTGGTTGCAAGGAAGGGACCATTAGAGTTAGAACCGAAAAGCGATTGCTGTGGTTTAGACTCTGGCATTGGGGAGGCACTTTCAGTGCTTGTTTGCATGGATTTGAATCCCTTTTGCGACAAGTCTGGGCTCCCAGATTCCAAGCCTGTTTCCTCCGCTGGAGCAGCTTCTTTTGCGCTTTTGGCCTCTGCCATTGACTTTTGGGCTTTCTCATTACTCGACGAGAACGAGAGTGTGTCAGGAACCAGCCTTGGCACAGCAGACTGGGATATAGGGGCTGAGCTAGAAGACTCTTCCCTTATACTCTGCGGCAAATCCTCAGATTTATTGTAGGAAACTGTTTTTGTAATGTCATCAGCGCCTAGGACTGGTTTCTTGGTGACCCGCTCCTCTTCAACATTGAATCTCCGCTTGTTTGTTGCGTAAGGGTTATGAAGTGGTCTATAAACTTCCTGTGACTGTTCTTTCTCATTTGCATCATTACCACCCAAAATTGACAAAAGGGAATTAGCGGTGTTACTCATAACCTTGGTTGAGGTAGAATCAACTGTTTGATTAGATGGCAATAATGTCGAATTAGAGCCTGATTGTGCGACGGTGTCAATACGCCTAGCTTTGCGAGACACCATGTTGGGTGCTTTGATCCTTGTTCTGTATGGAGAAGGCAATCCCGAAAACTGATACACTCTTTTGACCGAAACATTTGCCCTAGAATTATCAGAAAAAGTATGATAAACGGGCTTATAGTCTGGAGTTGCAAAAGATGTGGAATTGCCTTCGTACATGCTTGTGTTTCGTAAAGTTGTTTGCGAGTAAGGTGCGAATGTGTGATTATGCTGGACAGTAGATGAACTCGATACATCTGCACCACTTGTTTTTTTCTTCTCTGAGGGAGAGTCTGGAAGAGGCAATGTGATAGAGGCTTTCGACTTTTCTAAAAGGGACATGACACCTTCGTATTCTATTTGAGACAACGGTTGATCGCCCTTCTCTTGGAAGAAGCTAGACAACACTCGATTTGTGGATTGATCTGCAATCATAGTATTGTTTGCTGGAGTAGATGATTCGGGTAAGATATAACCCGACTTATTCGCGGCAGTTTCTGCTACTTGCGTTGGTCTTCTAGTTTGCTCATGTTGTCGATTATTGGGTATAGCGCTTCCGGAAAAGTATCTCTTCACCCTAGAGAATAAGCCGGCCCTAGATGGATAGGGTAAAACCTTTTCCTTTACCCTATCTCTGTAGGCTTTCATGACTCTGCGGTTGTCCATTGTACAAACCTTTTCGTCTTGTTGAACACACGATAATTGCATGTAAGACAAATTTTTGAAATCCATCAGAGCGCACGTGACTGCACACCACTAAGGAAAGGGGACTAAGCGGTTAACTTTGGCCCAAGGAACGAGGATTGAAAGGCCTATATTGAGGGTGGGATAGGCTAAATATAATTGAGATGGAACCATCGGTACAGTGGCTGGAAATATTGACCACAAGAAATGGTTCTTCAATTGCCACCGAACAGATTACGTGTAATTCTCTATTCTCCGAAGTACAAGAGGACTATCATCCTTGAATTTTCTACAAGGTCTTAAGGTGTAACCAATTTCATTGGGTTTTATATTCCATTGTTGCCTTTGGCCATTTTAATACTAATGTATTGAGGCTTCCCAAGACGCGAATAATTACGCCTCCTGCACTTATTAGCATCATCATTACACGTCCCCAAGGTTACAAATCCAACTAGCTGATATATTGTTTCAAACAAAGAAAAGCAAAACTTTCATTCAAGACTACAAACTTCATAATACCACAGCTATTCATGTCTTTCCAGTCTTTCAAGTTCTATGTCTGAATTGCAGTACATTTCAGACTCCGATGGCGATAACTCGCTACCGCAGCTACCTGAATCCGCTATAGACATGAGCCTACTAAATGATTTTTATTCTTTCTTATCCGGTTCTTCAAAGGAAAGACTTCGAATCGAGGTCAGAAATACCCTGCTTTGGCTGTTATTTAACCACTTGGACAATGACTTTGAAGACGCAAATCCAAACTCTTCACAGCTTTTACCATCTCCAACCAGGACAGAGTTACCCAGCACACTTCAAACGGAACCGAATGAGTTGGATCAGATTTCTGCTGCAGCGCATGCTCCAAATGATTCCTCCATGACGTCATTGAAGACATCTTCGACGGAAACCGCATTTCGAAGTCTACGAAAGAGAAATTTCTCAAGTCGCCATCCTTACATTGCAGATCAAGCCGACTGGTTGGGGATTTGTACAATAGACAGTATTAACGAGATGTTCACTGCTGATGAAGATCTACAGAAAGTTGTGCGAGCGTTGAATACCCTATACCTCAAAAGAAAGAAAAGATATCCTGATGAAGATCGCTACAAAGCCAAAAATTTCTATGCTCATTTGGGACAAAACAAATTACTCGCCCTTCAAGGGGATCCAGATGCCAAGCCGGCTTCCAAATCTGAGGATGAATCCTTACTGGTACTCGAAGAAAATGACGATACTCTACAGAATGAAGAAATGGATCATGACCACGAGGAAGATGATGACGACGAGGACCTTATCAGGCTTGAGGACATTCAAGTCCCTCCCGTCCCTTCAAAGCAGAGACACATCCACAGTTACCAGCACCCCACGTATGAGTCGGCGGAAGATACGGAAACATCTGTATCCGATGAAAATGATGATTACGAGGATGAGTATGTGAGAGTAGGAGGACGCTTTCGGAAACTTAAAACAATCCTCCGAGGAGTGTTGCCTGAATCTGCAAAGAGGCTTGACTACTTTAAACATGATTTACGGAAGACAAAAAGGAGAAAGATACCTGAGCGTGAATTAGAACCACGAAAAGGACTTGCCATTCGAAAAATCCCATCCATATCTAAAAAAAGCAATCAAGAAGGGCTAAAATCGTTCGTTAATGATGAGGAATCGAAGGAAGAGTATACCCCGAACTATCTACGCATTTCCCATTCCCCAACTGCATCCTTTGAAGATTTAAGGGCTTTCCGATCTACGTATATTAATTCTAATTCTGATTCTGGCTCCGGTTCAGATTCAAATCATGAAGTATTCACAGATTTGGAATCTACCCCCATGCGCAACCTTACGTTGAATTCGAACCCAAATGAAATAACTTTAGTGACCAGTGGAAGTGAGTCAATAGAAGAGGAAGATCATATTGATTATATGTTTGCATCGAAAGGTACAACTAAAGTTGCGAAGCCGAGGCAGAAAGGATTACATCAAAGACACATTAAAACATCACCATTTACTGGACGAAGTTTCACCAATATGCATAGTCCGTATCAATCAATATCCCTTTCGGGAAAACGTCTGAAAAATGCTGTTATCGGACGACGAACTAATAAATTGAGGAAGAAAAGACGTCCTCAATTATCTCAACAAGGATTTGAGCATACAAACAAAAATACATACCCACAAGAGGATGCACTGACTGCACAACACAATGCAAACTCTGTGACACATAACTTACTTCCAGCTACAGAGAAAGAGGAAGGTGAAGGAAAACTTAATAAGAAGACACAAGTCTTTCATCCTATTGCACCATTTTTTAGACGTGATCCAGTAATGAGCACCACTGCGTTTGAGGTTGAGAGCGATTCAAAGTTTATACGCGATCGGAACGTACGCCCTACATCTCATGCCCTTTCTTTTCTTCACAGACCACAATCTATTCCAGAAAACTCCTATGCATTGATACCCCTAGCGCCCATTGATATACCTAGAATTCACACCATTGGCGATGGGCACATTTTCTGCGCTAATGAGAATGCGGTTTCCATCAGCCTCGTTGAGAAAAAGTACTCATTGGGCTTATACAAATTAGATTCTTCTATTCGGGAGACGGAAAAATATTTTGTTCAATTGCGAACTCTCTTGCTGAATACGAATATGCTTTCCAACCCCATTCTCCGAACTGATATTAAAATATCGTTACAAAGAATGACTAAATGGATTTTGATCGTACGTGAAGGCATTCCCAATACTATATTAAAGCAACTACAATTGACGTTGGATGTATTAGCGAAGATGCATACAAAGAAGATTAGATTATATCTATCAGTATTTCACGCTCAGCTCCTTTTCATTTTATTCATCGCTATCAAATTAGATTCAAGTTTGCAACAGTCAGAAAAATTAAAGGAGCTTGACGACTATTGCACAGAGTACTGGTCTATGTTTTTTCTGGCCATAAGCATCTCAGATATAAATAAACTCTGCGATGATGACGGCACAAATTCTTCTCTATTCGACTCGATTCAACTCATTCATTTCCTCTACGTCGGTAGAACGTGCAGTTGGTGGGTTCCCATAACGGAATCGTTGAAAGAGATCGGCTTTTTCAATGAAGAAAATGCGTCACTATTGGATGCATTATATGTACTTGCCTCGTGGTTTCCACGCGAAAGCGACTGGAGTCCGTTTTTGATTATTTTCGAAAAATTCAAAAATGCCAAGGTATCCGTCGACCATCACCATTTCCTAGATATTTGCGAACTAGCAATCGAGAAGCTTGAATGGCCTATCGAAGAACGCTTGATTATTCACCTTTATTCTTCTTATGGAAAAAGAAAGTTTGGAAACTTTGCTGACGAGACGGTAGTACCCCGACCCCTTCACTACGTGTATTCAAAACATGATATCCCTAAGACGAGCGTTTTTGAAAGATTTTTACGTCTTGTCTACACCTATGTGTCCCAGCTTGAATCCAAAAAGTCCATCAAGAGGTTGGTCTCTAAGTTAGTTGCGTCGAGTCAATATCATTATCAGAAGGGCAGAAGATATCAAATAATGTTTGTCAATCGAATTAATCTCATTTCACTTCTCTGTCAAATATCTGAAGTTGATTTAAAAAACCAGCTTTCCAATCTTGTCGAACAAGTAAGGGACTCTCGGGATATGTTCGTTTTCGGAATGGCAGTGAGTGCGATCCAGTTGCAATGTGACGTAGCGCACAAAAAATCCTTCTTCATGCCATGGTCTGGTATTCAATGTCTATTAGAGTCATTCTGTACCTATTACGACTCCCTTTTTGGTTTACCTTCGCTATTTCAGTCATTTGTCAATTACATCGGATCAAAATTGATCAGCATGCAAAGTTGCAAAGAGATAATTTTATTTTTCAAACTTTGTGAACGTTGCAGTCTTGATAAATTTCCAGATCCTATTCTTATCGATGTATTGAAATATATGGCAAGCATTGATTTCGAAAGCCTTGCCTCTTCTACCGAATTTGTCACTAATTATGAGAAGGATTTCGTCGAATTTCAGAAGTATTTGCTCATGTTCTTGAGTACAGAAATGCTGAGACTTCCAGTATCTCAAGAGCGATTTCAAATAAAAATCGACCAGATAGTTGAACAAACGATAAAAATTTGGTTTCTGATTAGCAAATGTACCAACACATGCAATTGGAATATCGTTATGCTACAGAAGTATTCTTATCTTGGCAATGCGTTTCTGAGAGATCGCTATCTAATGTTTATGTGCATTCAATTTGCTAGTAATCACACTTTAACGAGTTATGAGATTACTGAAATCGACATCATACTTTTGAAAAGTTTATTGGCATTCGATTTGTCCACCTATACCCCCCATTTATTAAACATACTCAGTAAACGGAATGGTTCTGTTTTTAATTTCAAGAGAATACTCCTTGGAGATTTCCAGTCCGTCACGCAGGTATTGGCTACGCGTGTTCAAATCTTATCACTTGTTATTCAGTCTGTATGTTCTCTTAGCTTTGATGAAAGGGAACAAAGAGAATATCTTCTCGTTTTAGTGAAACGATTACAAGATGAATACTCGATCCACTTTAGGAACCATACATTCAAAGACTTCTGCAAACGTACGATGGAATTACTTCTTCGTTTTTCTCAGGATAAACTTGACGGTCTTGATGATATTTGGAATTTTGCAGCTAAGTTAGGTTTCCCTAGGAGAAAGAATAAGGAACTCTGGAAGAATGTATCAGAACAAGAACGATTGCAGAAAGTTAATAATGAATTCATTGATGCTCTTCATTACAACAGAGACTATCATATGGTTTTGGATGAGTTGCTTGCTCCAGATGATATTGATACTATTTATTCCCTCATTCAAGTGTATGTCGAGGCGGTGACAATTAATACGGACTATTGGGCACAGTTATCCTACCTTTTAAAATACTTGCTCGTAAAGCTTTCTCGCTTTCAAGTTCAAACACAAGATAATAAGTTTAAGATATTTCTAGATTTTTTATGCGACTTGTCATTAGTTTCTTGCCGTTGGAAGAACAAAAATCTGGTCATTTTTGAACTTGAGTCACTCACCACAGCTTCGCATATTCTTCACAAAGCATACTACATCTACCAGGGGTACAAAGATCGACGTGAAATTATTTCTTACATCCATGATTTTTTAACGATGATAGACCAGTGTTCTCTGAAATTCCAGTCAAGGAATTTGTTTACGGAAATCACATTTGGGATGTTGAGAAGCGTATGTCACCCCAATTTCAACCTTAATTTCCAGCATTCAGAGGAGGAATACAAAGCAGCATACAAGCGACAAGATGAGCTTATGCTTGCCCTAAAGGGATTAGTAAAAACCACAGAGAAACGTGAATTCGATACTGAGATATCAACAGACTTTGAATTTCGGTTATAAAAGTACTAACTTCGAATATACATTGCATTATAATACAAATCATGAATATTACACCGTTAGTAAGTATCATCATTGCAAACCCCGTTGGCTCTTTATGAGTTCGATTTCTGCTTCTAATTTGTCCTTTCCCTTTTTAACATCAAGAAGAGCCACAACAGCCCTTATCAATTCATCATATTTTGCCATCGTCTTTCTAGTAGGCATCACTGGTTTCCATGTAGTGCTACCTGCTGTTGGAATATCCAATTCCTGCAACATACTGTTGACAGATTTAAATACAGATTGCCGCTGTTGCAACCCAGGGAGACGTTGGGTAGAACGTAAAATAACACCAGGAGTCAATCTCTCATTAGCATGATAATGTAAACCATATGCCTCCTCCTCTTTCGTTGTAAGTCTCTTAGAGAGAAGCTGTTGAATTGGACTTGGCTCGCCCTTTGTACTCAGTTGCTTAACCAAACCAGATAAGTATTGCTGAAGATGAGTTTGAAACCCGCGGTCCTTCTTGTATGAGGATGACGAGGCTGCGACAGGGATTGATGGCGGAACAGGATCAGTGTTTGCAGAATTGGACTTGTTGCTCATTTTCTTCTTTTGTTGCTTGTCCATGATCATAAGCTTATTATACAAGTTAGTCATGCCCAGAGAAGAGAGGTATTGTTGAACAGATTGGGAAGACTGTGGTGAGTCTAGCAACGTCAATAAATGCGATCTCTCCATAAGCATTTTTTTCGCAGCGAGTTCAAAGCGACGGGCTTCGATAACAAGCGATTCTTCCTCTGCGATTTCAGCAGGAGTCCGCTTGAGAAGACTCTCAAGATATTGCTTTCGATCTATTTCAGCATCTTTGGAATAAGATTCTAGAGATTCAACCAAATGAGGATTTGCGTTTCCTTGGTGATTTAGTATTTTGGCCGAGATTCGATAAAACTGTTCTTTCAACTCCTCCATAGTCCGGTCATAGGGAAACCTGTCTGCAATAACATACCACTTGAGCTCAAAAACTTTGCAGTAGTCGAAAAGAAGTTGCGTTTCCTTATATGACCAAGGGGGGTTAGTGTGTTTGTCCGTTATGCTGTTATTATCCTGAACATCTGTAGTAGCCTTCAGGGAGTTGGCCACTTTAGTCTGGCGTGCTTTCTCATCCTTTTCCTTCTTGTCTGATTCTTTCTCCTCCTGACTGCCTTCATTGTCTTTTACCTCATCTTCATCTTCATCGTCTTCCTCTTCATCTTCATCAATCTCGTCACCTTCTTTTGCTTCCTTTTCTTCCTCCGCGCCACCATCGCCTGACTTATTTAGCCCTCGAGTCTTCTGCTGTGTTCCAGGAGTATCAGTTTCAGTCTTAACTTTGCCATCTGTCCGTCCATTACTTTTCGTATCCTTCATATCCTTCAGTAGCTTTACTGCTTGTTCATTCTTCAAAGTAGCCACTTTTTCAGAACTGCCATCCGTTGTAGTTTCGCTGCTTGGTACAGAATCTTCTTCTTCCTTGTCCTTCAACTCTTGCTCATTACGTCTCTTTTCTTCTTGCAAGATCTCTTCCATGAAGTGGTCATACGTGGCTTCATCCACAAGTTCAGGAATGTCCAATGAAACAGAGAACTTATCGAAGAAGTAAGGTTTGCCTGCACTTTCCTGCTTCAAAAGTTCTTCGCTACCCTTCTGCCAGTGGTAGAGCTGCGGAGCATGTTCGTTCTTTTTATTTGGCTTGAAAGGCATTTTTGTCCACGGAGACACTTTTTGCTTCCGATCTCTTGCTTTGTTTGCGCCTAAACTGAGGCTGACTGGAGGAGTGTTTGGACCCAAAAGGTTATACAATTCACGGGCCATAGCACCCTTCTGAGGGGCAGCATACTCCACTTTTTGCTTCTTCTTCGCCGGTTGCGGAGTATCGTCCCGCTTAATATTCAAAACGTCAAGAATATCATTCGCTGACATGATGAATGGAACCGGCTTATATCTGTGTATTCAAACTCTAGAATAGAAATTGATGAAATCTAAAAGTGCGCGCTAGATGCAAACCCTATGAATGCATATAATCAATGCTTCTCGCTCACCGATTCAACCCAGTCTACTGTCCCCATTTGGGTCAAACGACTCAATGCCCTGGCAAAGGCGAATTTTTCCTCATCATTGACAAACATCGAAGCCTTTTTGGCAACCAGCTTGTCGAAGCCATGCTTCAAGACCAAATCATCGTTTTCAAATGTCTCTTCTTCACCTTTGTCACTCTCATGTTTGAAGAGTTGGTAATTGTCCTTTTGTAGATCCTCAGGTTCGACAAATATATCCAGGAATGGTGCAGCAGCCGTGGTGGCTATGCATCCATGTGCATCATAAACTGCGTCTAGGAACGTAATGAATCGTCTGACTTTGTCTCTCACATCAGTACTTAAGTAAGGAATGTCTGTGATAATGAACGATTGAAATGTATTGGCCAACGTCAAATAATCGCCAGCGCTCAAATTTTTACCGCAAAGCTCTTCGAATGTGAACTGTGCCACGTATGGCCGCGAACTAAGAGGAACTTTTAGTGTTCTACCCCAAACAGTTAACGTATCATTGATGACCGCATCCTTTTCCGTATTGTGACGATTGAAATAGTTATACCACGTTTCAATATGCTTTCTGCAAGCGGAAATGTTTGTCTTACTGTGATACTTCACACCGGGTTTGGGATAGTGATAAACGGAAGATAACGGCCGGGGCACTTTTCGATAATCTGTTGGAGAGTTAAGATAGATGACACGAGTCTGTTTCTTGATCAACTGGATGCATGGAATGAACAGAACTCTTTGGATTCCGTTCAAGTACAAATCGTCTGGTGCTCTATTGGAAGTTGCAAATAAAATAACTCCATACTCGGGACTGAGAAGCAAGAACATCAATCTGCGAAGAAGCATGGCATCGGCAACATCAGTAACTTGAAACTCATCAAAGCATAGGACTGTAGATGACCTCGCAATTTCACTTGCCAATAAAGGAATGACGTCCAAGTCAAAATGGTTATGTTCCACTTTAAGCTGATGAGAGCGCTTGTGCAAATTCTGCATGAATTGATGGAAGTGGAATCTTCTCTTGGGCAAATGCTCAGGAACAGTCAGATAGAAGAGGTCCATCAACATTGTTTTCCCGCACCCAACATCACCCCATAAATAAATACCTTTGACTTTGTTCTCGACAATTTCCAGAACCGTCCGATCCTGCTTCTTCTTGCCAAAGTACGAGTCGAAAAACTTAGCAACACCGATCTTGGGCTTTAGACTCTCAACGTCAGGCATCCCCACATCCGGAGGCTTATAGTCAGCTAGCTGGCCATGCAAAATGGAAAGATTCAGTATGATTTTCCGCTGGTAGGGGTCATCCCTTAGTTTATTCTCTGCTACTCGAATGTCGTAAGCTTCTATCGGAGTAAGAGGTTTGGTGCTCAAGAATCGTACGCGCACCACAGTACATCGGCGCAAAGCCACACAATTCCGGAAGAGCATGGCAGTATTTGTAGAGCATGCAATGGCCGGTCAAATGCGGAAATGATGGAAAGAGGACGAAGTTGCAGATTTGGGATTTCTCGCTTGTAGTTCCTGTACCTCCCAAGTAGCGAAGTGCACTTAGCCTGACTGGCCTTACAAAATGCAGTGTTGGCGCGAAATGTACCCCATATTCCGCAAGTGAGAGATGTACCCCACTTTCACAAGCCAATAGAGCTCCGGGTTTGCTAAGCACAACTGGGCACCACAAGTTACAATTTGATACGCTACATATTTTTGCAATTTTACAAAAATCCAACCGTGAAGTAAACTTTTATTGACGAACACATGATTAGACACGCAGACACCTTCTCCCCAAGTGGCTGTTCCCATGTAGTCCCTTGTAGCAAATTCGAACCATCAATATCCAAACAATGCTTAGAAGCCACAGTCGCAAGCTACACTTTTTCATTTCACTTGGTATCGGTCATTTCGAAAAGCAAGTCGTCATTGTCGTTATCATAGCTCATGTCGTTGTCTCGGCCCTGTGAATGCCTTTTACCTCCTTCCGGCGAATGATAAAATCCACCCGCGTCTTCGTCATCTTCGAATACATCCTCATATCTTATGGGATGCTTGGCCTCCGAGTAGATTGACGGAGAAGTGGCAAGACCCTTGATGCCTTCCTTGTGCACTGTCCCTGGATGGTGGGTCGCATGCGCTATAGTGGTTGCAGTCAGAGGAGATGCCGCAAGTTTATTAGTAGAAGGCTTGAAATATGAAAGATTAGGAGATGTGTAGCTTCCCTTCAGTCCCATCAACGATCTCGGGCTGGCACTACCTACGCGGCTGTCTATCCCACTAGTATGTAGCCGAGAAGAAATAGACGGCAACGGGCCATTGTCATAGGAATTGGGCAGAAATGAAGGTTGTGGGGAACTTGAATGGGAAGACTTGTGACTTGCAGCCTTGCTGCTACCACTGACTCCGTGACTTTCTCGAGATCCGCTCCGGTTGCGATGAAGAATCAAACTGGCACTAACACTGTCACCGAGTTGTTGGTGCTGGCTCTTCAAAAGCTGGAAACGGCTCAACGCCTCCAAATGAGAGTTGCTATCGCTTGAGTGAGGAACAGTTTTTGAGTCCGTATTACTGTTAGTAAGTTTCAACGTGGACTTGCCATCAATCATCCGTACAAACGAACTGATATCGTCGTCAATATACAATCCGCTTAAAAGCGCACCCGAGGAACCCAGTTCCATACTAGTGCCTAGCAATGATGCATTGGTATCATTATTTCGTCCACTAGCACCACTAAACCGCCGGCTTTGACGAGACCCAAAAGACGATGAAAATCTAGGAGTGCTCGACACATTTTCTCCATAGTGTTCATCGCTTTGAAGGTGTGAGCCATGTGACGAAGAAATGGATCTTGGAAACAGCATTGCATTTGAATTGTTCTGCGAGTTCGAGATGGCGATCGTTGTTGGTGTATTGGACGAAGACAAGCTACCCTTCGGGTTCCTCAATAGTGCAGCAAGAGATGCATTAGAGCCAGACCTGTGACTCGTTATCGATATTCGCCGCTCAATAGATCCCGACGCATAACTTGTAGGTGTCCCAGATAGTCCCGAAGGGGGAGGAGATGTACTGATGGAACCAACTTTGAACGGCTGTATACTAGGACGCACAGCACCAGTACCTGTAATGCCTATTTTGGGCCTTTGGTTGGCATCTTGTTGGATGGATGTACACGGAGAAACAGAAAACTTCTCTTCATCTTCTGTTCTGTGGAGATAATCCTCATGGCGGCGATCGATCCGTGCAGCCCCAATGTGATTTGTCGTCTCGTTGTCAGAATAGCTGATAGAATTGGTTCGTGAAACCATCCCTTGTGAGTTTGCGTTCTGTAGTTTTTCTGCTTCGTCCGCCTTCTCTTTATCTGTAAGCAAAAATTGATCAGACAATCTCTCTTCATGGTCAACAACTTTGAAATTGAAGTGGTTACGATAAGCAACAGATACACGTAAGCTTCCAAGCGTTGTACGTATTGGGGAAAATGATTTCTGTGTCATATGCGAGCCGCTCAAATGTTGGGAAGGGATAATTGATCGAGACAATCCTATTCTGCCTTTGGAGCTAATAGGCTGCTTACCGTCAATTAGCCGGTTACAAAGAGCTAAGTTCTTTGATGACACCTTCGACACAATCTTTTTCAATTTAAATGCCGGTAACAATCGGGTGATGGTGAACACCACCCGAAGAAGAACGATAGCTTGCTTGTATATTAGGGGAAGCTCGTCCAAACCTGAATCCAAAACATCTAGCTGGTCAAACTCGATAAGCCATCTTTCAATGACTACTTCCTGTTTCTTCGATTTCCCTTCTGCTACTGTCCACAATTTGCCGTGTTCATCCTCGAGCATTACGATTTCCCTGGCGTTCAATTGTCTCAAATCCAAATATGTCTCGATTATCATTGGAGGTAGTAAGGACGCTTCAGCTTGAGACTTCCAGAGCTTTATTTCTGATCGAAGCCACTCATCTGTTGGTGTGGCAATGTTAAGATTGAACCATTTATTGATCTTGAAGGAGCGGGTGTTATCGGCCGTTGAGGACGGCGAATCTGAAGCAGATCTTGCCAGAACGATAATCAGCAGAGTTTTTGTAAAAAAGTTCTGGAATACCTGAATCACTTTTGCATTCTGCTTTTGGATGGATTGTTGGTCTGACATTGTGATGGAGGCCCCAATGTGCGATTGCCACTATCGATTATACGAGGTGTTTGATTTCCAGAAACTAAACCGACAAAGATCTTAGTGAAAGGACCCTGCTGTTAATCGACAGATTGAACGATTCCACTGATGCTTAGCTACTGATCTGCTTAAGGAGCAGAATCAAATTGGTAGTTTGACACACCTTTTATCGTGTAGTGAATTGTGGCAGATACCCAATCAGTAGCAATCAAAAGAAAACAAAATGAGGTGTTATGTTCGCTTCCAATTTCACAGCCAAATGGGAAGACTGCAAAAAATATATATATTGGATGGGAAAAATGGAGGTTTGTTGGGATAGTTTCCTTTTAACTACCAGCGATAAGTCATAAGCCTACATTGAGATCCTGCACATGTTCCTATGTACACCACGGTCGCACAATCTCGCGGCCTGCTGCGAAAACCGACATGCATGTGTGGACACATTTTCTTGAGAATGTTTAATAAGTCTCATTCTTCGGCTAACTATACAAATATTGGCGGCCGAGTCCCGAGGATTGGTATTTTATATAGCTTGCATATGCTACAGATGGGCTTATGGAGCACCAGTCAGCTTAGTTAACATTGGACCGTATCATCAATAGGATATTTTTAGTTGTATTTACTCAAAAGTGCAGCATGCGCTTCGTGGTTATCGCCACATATAAGAAGAGCCCTTTGCACTTCTCTTCTAGTCCCCTTTTGCAAATAAGCATCTGAAACTTCACGAGCAGTACATTTCGTATCGGTCAACATTGCAGTTGACAACGCCATAGATGCATCAAGATTCTTCCAGATATTAAAATCTCCAGGGAACAACATCGCAAATTTCTGCCACACTCTTGTATCATTGTTGGTCTTGAAGGAGAGTTCCTGTAACATCGTAGGTAGTAGGCGAGACGTGTCGTCAACAAGATCGGTCGGCTTAAGAGATTCAAGCTCTTCTTTGATGGGTGTAAAGTACTCTTCCAAATTGTCCACAATGGAAATTGCTCCTAAGGTTAGTACAACAATCAACGAAGAACCGTACTCTTCTATGAATGCGAAAAGCTCGTCCAAAGCCGCCTGCTTGGTTTCCGTTGTGTTGCGAGCATGCAAAACTTGCGCAATCAAAGTTACGACTCTTTGTGACAGATTATGTTCGGCAAGAATTATCTGAAATTCTTCCAAAGCTTCTTTAAATTGACCATTGAAGAAGAAAGCCAATCCAATAACAATCCTCGAGGAAAGTAAGGATTGAGTGATTTCCTTCGTGAGCTCTTCTTCTGCAAGGCAATCCATAGTAAATTGCGCACAATCAACAGCCTTTTCATAATCCTCCATACCCAAGTATACTCTAGCCAACAGAGTTTTCGTTTCTGCGAATTCGATAAGCGTATCGATGTCTTCAGTCCGCTCGTATTTTTCTTCTAGCAAGCGGCAAAGGGTTTCGCCAACCTCAACACTTATCTTATAAGTTTGGCATCGCTCACTCAAAAGAAGACATAGTTTCAAACCTTCCACATCATCTGGATGAAATTTCAAGAAATTTTGAATGGCAAAATTAGCTATACTAAACTCTTGGGCCGCTTCAACGTCTCGAACATCTTTAGCATGACCAACGCGTTTGTTCACAATGCTTACTGCGTAATATAACTGAGACAATGGAGACCTGCCCTTGGAAAGAATGTATGCATGCGTTGTCAATCGAGATGCAGTTTCCATATCATTAGATAAGTCTGCTGCTAAAGCATTTCCCAACCAAGAGGTAGCCTGATCTGGAGCTAAAGAGGTTGCCTTGTCAAAAGCTTCCCTAGCTAACTCCACATCTCCATACCTTAAGTAAAACGCAGCCAAATTGGTCCACACGCTAACGTCCCTAGCATCCAATGTACTCGCCTTAATGAAACAATGTTGTGCTATCTGTGGCTTCGTTGATGTATAAGCATTTGCTAACGCAATCCAGTATTGCGCATTGCCTGGTTCAAGCTGAATAGCACTCTTTATGGCAATAATAGCTGCTTCTTGACACTGTTCTTTCCGTTCCGAATCATGTTGAGCGTTCACCAAAAATGCACGGCCTAAATTGAATTGACAGGAAGCCCTTAACAACTTGTTAACCTTCTTTGGTAAGACTGCTATGGCTGCTCTGGCAGAAAGGATAGCGAGCGAGCATATCGCATTTACCCACATATTATTTTCAAAGAGATCGAGTGCACGTTTGCTTGATATCATATTATCATCAATATTGGGGACCTGGTTCACAATCAGTATAACAGTTGCTATAGGAAACTTTTGGATCTCTTGTTGAACACTCGTGGCCAAATTTAAACAGTCGCATAGAGACTTCCACAAGTTTTGAGAAGTGCTGTTTATTTTAACAGCTCGCGAAATAGTTTCAATGGTCTCAATATTTGTTTCAAGCATTCGCTTTGTGAATCCTCCTTGTAATAACTGGGCGCTATGATTAATCGATTGCTCATAGATAGCATTTAAGATACATTCTTCATCGGGAGACATTGCTAACGCTTTTTTAAGGAGGGCTAAACCGTCAGAGAAATCTCCAATCGCACAAACAGATAAACCTAGCATGTAGAAATTTGTCCAGGAATCAGGTACTATTGTTGTAGTGTGCTTGAATACCTTAATGGCAGCATCGATCCGACCGCAGTTGTAATAAGCTTCACCTAAACCTGTCCAACATTCTGGATCCATTGCTTTCATTCTAAGAGCGGTTTGAAACCATTCTATAGCTTTTGCGTCATCTTGCTTGTTTAAGGCAGAACATCCCAAGACACGGTATGGCCAGGACTTATCTGAATCGTCGTACAACTGACTGAATAGAATTCTTCTACTTTTCTCTGATGTAACGACTCTTTGACAAATAACCTCAGTGATATCCCATTCTTGCTTTTCTGCGAAATCAGAAGCAAGATACTTGGCAGCCTCAATTTCTGAAACGTCAAGTTCAAAAGCCTTGTAAAAGCACTTTTGTGCTCTAGCTTCGTTATGGTAATATTCCTTATACAAAGTCCCCAATAACGTATAAGATGGGGCATATGTTGGATGGTCCTTGAGTGATTGGATAAGGTTATCGAAGGCAATCTTCAAGTTTTCTTCAGATGGAGATCCCTCAAGTAAATAACTTTTGGCAATCCTGGCACGAATTGTTGCACGCATTTCCATTTGATGCACTGACGCGCCTTCAATATAAACCAAAGCTTTCTCCAACATCTCTCTACCTTCGTTGAAATTCTTCATCAAAATATGACACCAGCCTAATTCCTTGAGAGCTCTAACGTCCTTGGGATAAGACTTAGCGACCTGAGAGAGTATCTCTTTAGCCAGTTCCAAATCTCTTTTTTCGAGCAAAATCAACCCTTTTCCAATGAGAGCCTGCTTATTGTTTGGCCTGTCTTTGAGAATACGATCATATAATTGAAGTGCTCGAGAAAAGTTTTTCGGAGCCTCATAGTACGTATAGACTGTTGCAAGCAGGCACAAGATGTCCTGCTTAGCATTTGCAAGGTCAATACCATAAGTTCTCTGTAGTTCAGCGAGGTGGTGTATAGCTGTAGTGCATTTTGAGGAGCCAGCTTCATACTCGTTCAAGTGGATGTAAAAGTTGCAAATTACACGATCAGCCAAAGTTGAATTAGAACATTTGGAGTAACCTTCCACCATCATATCAAGAATTTCACTAGGGGTGAGGGAGTTTTCAGTTACGGCTTCATCCTCCTCAAGATTCTTCAATTCACCATCCCCTTCCTTGAAACTCGGATTTTTAAGTTTCGCTTCATTGATTTCAGCCTTGAAGGCTGCGATTCGTGCTTTATCAAAGGGACACATGTCGCTCATTACAAAAGCCAAAAGTAAAACACCCAATCCTTCCTTCTGGAATTTGCGAATAAATCTGAAAACAATTCCCTCATCCAAGTCCGCTAGGCTTTTGGGGTCTTGTAAATCAAAGTAGAGAGACCAGGCGAACATGTCATTCGTGTCAATAACGACCATATCGCTACACATTTCCTTTATCTCTTGCAAAAGAGTTTTCTTCTCGGGAACCACTCGCAACAATTCGTATCTGTACTTCAAAAACTCTTGCTCATATTTCCTTCTGAGCTCGTCGTCATTGGAGAAGTGCAAAAATTTCTTGTACAATTCCGAAAGGTTGTATTGTTGTCTGATAGACCATTCGATCTCATTCAAATGGGCTTTATGTTGTGGGTTGAGAACACGAGGCAAGCGAAGTTTTTCTTTTGCTAATTTAGTTCTCAACTCTTGAGCTTCCTTATCCCTCACCAATGTAATTAGCTGCTGTAATATTTCTTCAGGCTTACCCATGGCACCATCAAGCAAATCTCCTAATTCCGTTCCTGGAAGAATAGACAGAAGAAACATCTCACTTAGCTCCGCATCACTGTGATACTTGTGGGCATTCAAGTAATTGTACACTTCTTTAATCACATCGCCAATTCCAATACCCTGGTGAATCAATACTTTCAAATAACTAGTTAGCACTTGAAAGAACTGTGCGTAGTCATCTTGTGATCTCACAACCTGAAAATAACCTTTCCATCCTAACAAAGTGTCTGGCTCGATCGATGTCGCCTTGGCGAACGACGCGCTAGCCTTGTCCAACTTGTTTAGAAGTTGATATGACTTGCCACGAAAAATATGAGCATAGTAATTATTTGGTTCTTCCAGTAGCACCTCATCCACATGCTCTAATGCTAGTTCAGGATCGTCCCCTTCTAGAGCCTTCTTAGCGGCTTTCAATTGCTTCATCGACATGATATGCTAAAGGTGGATCTTTGCACAACTGAGATTTGAAGTTTTCAACTGTGGAAGGTCACGTGCGACAACCACAAATGTTGAACGTATTACAAGTAGCATACAATGTCTATAGGGTGATTACAGTACTTAAACATGTTTGAGGATGAACCTATATTCGCTGCATTGGTTTTTAAATTCATCATCTTCTGGTCCCATTAATGTTGCCCAGTCTGAGGCTAAACTTGCGATCTTATACTTCATCAGAAACATGTCAAAAGCAAAATGATAGAATATAAGTTGAAATATTTCTAACCATCTGACTAGCCAGGTAGCTATTCTATGCTCTTTCATGGTATTCTTTGAAGTGCCCATTCACCAGTGAAAAACAGTCACGTGCGCAAATCTCTCATCACGTCGCAAAATTATTTTACGTAGGTCCAGAACTCATAGAGAAACATCTCTTAAAAAAACATATTACATGACGTCTGCGTTGACGGAGTCTGCTAAAACGCAGTCTCCCTTCTCCTATTTGTATACGAGAGTGGCTTTGAACCATCTAGGTGAAACTTCTGCCATCATCATCTCCACATTGATCTCGTATGGTCGCTTAACTGCCAAAGATATTAGCATTAAAAGCAAGCTTACTCTTAAACAGGTGAAAATTGCATTGGTATCTTTGATACAGCTTAATTGCATACAATACTGGAAGGAAAACTCATCGAAATCAGTCTTTTACACGTTTAACGACAGGGGAATCATAACTCTTTTGCATGCTGGTGATATCATCGCTCGGATAAAGCTGCAATACGGCGAAAAGGCAGCTGAACTCGTGCAAAACATCATCGAGAACGGGAACATCACAGTGAAGGATTTCATCTCCACGCTATCTGATGAACAGGAAAAGTATGACAACATGGCGATCCTTGTGAAGCTATTCAATGATGGCTGGTTGCACAGACTCCAAATATTCAACTATCACCCGGCTGAAGATTTATGGAATAAAATGTACCAGGAAACGTTGAAGAATACGCCTCGTTCTGCAACGACCAGTGAAATCAAGAGGGTCGCTGAAGCCACCGAGAAAACCAAAATAAAGTTCAATGATTTGTTCTTATCAGGTAACGAATCCAAGGATGTTTTCATTGTGGAATCCGGAATTCATCAGCTCAAGTCATCAATTACCCTTGGCTTTAATTTAAGCCGATTTGAAAAACACTTAAGAAGCCGGGCGTTGTCTGATATGGCAAAATCAAGATTAGGGCTTTTAACCGGTTTTATTTACGAGCAATGCTGCTCCTTGATAGAACAGAAATCTGCGGATTTGCGTCATCGCTATCAGGATATCTCAGGATTGATCACTAACCCTGAGGAAGAAAGAGTGTTCTTAAGCTCGGTAGAAAATGCATTGGTGGACAGTAAAATGACTGTGTTCACTATCAGAGATTTGATGAGACATTTACCCCCCGACTTGGATTTGCGAAACTCCATCTTAACTCAAAACTTTTTGAAACCTGCAAAACGAGTTAATGTAAATGGCACTGACCAACCGCACAAGAAAATTAAGCTAGAAGATGGGCTGGCAATAACAGAAATGGACATTGAGTTTGAAAGTGACTTTCATGCTGAAAATGGGGATGGGCCTTTGTCAATGACCTTGGTTGCTGAGCATTTGAGACTTTTAACTTTCAACACTGTACCCTTCTTGTTCGAAGTTGCGCCAGGATCATACACTATTCCCTTCCTTCAATTATCTAAACATGTCAAGCAATTTCACTACGAAGCTCTCATTAAAACCACTATGGGCACAAACGCATTGCGAATTCTTAAATGTATAAAAGCCATGAAGTTGGTTGATGAGAAGGCTATTTCAAACCTGGTTTTGTTGAAAGAACGTACGGTCAAAAACGAGTTATATCATTTGATTAACATGAATGTTATTGAAATCCAGGAGGTTCCTAGAAGTGCAGACAGAGCAGCATCCAAAACTTTTTATCTTTTCCGTCACAAGGATGCATCGCTGTATCGCTTCTTAAGTCATGCATTGGCGTTTAATATGGGAGACATATTAACCAATATTGAACTGTTCAAAGCTGAACATAAAATCTTGCTAGAAAAGTGTGAGAGAGAAGATGTGAAGGGTCATGAGGAAGAGCTTTTGCTTGAATCTGAGTTAAAAACACTCCGGGATTTGCAACTCCGGGAGATCAGTAATATTGGCCGCTTTAACCGTGTGAAGTGGCTTTTTACTGTTTTCGGAACACTATAGATATCTCTTGTATGCATCAATCTAAATTCTAAGCACCATTATTTCATAGGTTTCGTATGCATGTATGCACACTAAGTAGGTGAGACACTGTGGTAAATGTTCATGCACACTTGTTACTATACGAGGAGAATAACAAATATACGATATTTTCATTAAGAGCGTACTTAAAGGATAAAGGGTCCCAGCTTGATTATGTTGCAGATTATAAGCAATCTCCAAGCAACGTGAGATTGTGAATTAGGTAAGTAAACTAGGAAACCCTCGATACATTTTGCTTCCACAAATCTAGTGGTCAGCATCTTGGCCTGGGTTACAAGTGTGGTAGTCCAAGACCTTGAAGATCTTCCAGATACCCCACGCGATGGCAGAACCCAACAAAGGACCGACCCAGTAAACCCAGTGGTAGTTAGGGAAAGATCTGCTAGCGATACATGGACCGAAAGATCTAGCAGGGTTCAAACCAGCACCAGTTTAGTAAACGGAAATCAAGTGTCCCAAGAACAAGGCAAAACCAATCACCAAAGGAGCCATAAATGTAGCTTTAGCTTTCTCAACAGCCATGAACAAGACAGCCAAACACAAAAGACAAGTAGCAAAAGCTTCAATGAAGACAGCTCTAGATTTGGAGCATCCGCCACCCAAAGCATTAGCGAAAGCAATTGGGCCTGGGGTCATGGCGGAAGCAGCACCGGCAGCGGCCATACCAGCAACCATCTGGGCGAAAACCATAAAGGCAGCTCTAACAGGAGGCACAGCACCAGCCAAAACCAAAGAGAAGGTGACAGCCGGGTTTAAGTTACCACCAGAGATTCTGAAGAACATGAACACAGGAACCATGACACCAAAACCGAAACCGATGGAAATCATAATCAATTGACCTGGGTCAGAACCAACAGTTGGAATAGTTGGGTCCTGGTTGGCAATTTGAGCAATGACAAACGCAGTCCACAAGAACACAAAAGTACCAAAGAACTCACCCAAAAAAGCAATGAGGTGGTTCTTCATGGCAGATGGTTCACTACGGACAGTGCCAGCGTATGGCTCCTGAACGGCTTGAGCTTCGACGTCAGACGCAGTCATTTTGATGGAAAAAAAATAGTCTACATAAGTCAATTAAAGGCGACATGGGTGTGCTTTTATATTGTGGGTATTTTTCTGGGAAGGAGCTGCAGGAGACCTCATAGGATTCACTCGGGCTTAAAGTACATCGGAAACTGTTCCGAATCGTTTCTCAATGCAGGTAGTACATAATTATCTGCTTCTGGCAGTTTCACTTCAAATCTCACTCGCAAATAATACTGTTCCAAATTCTCAATACCTCTCTGGTCGCCTTCAATTGTAGAACCCCATGTCTCATTTGGAATTCGAAATGGTCATGAGTGGGCGGTTTGGCATACACATCACCCCCTTCATACCCGATTGGACAAAAAAAAATCTAGAAGGGTCATCTTATATGCACTCTGTACATGTAATGCGTGTGAAGATATCGGTTTGCGAAATCCCCTCTCCGAAAGATTCTGAGACATCATTTCACGGTAACATCTCAATGCTTCCTCTCTTAGTCCTGGTGATCAATACCTATTTCCATTGACTGAATTGAATTGAAACAATTATTAATGATTGTATTTTCCCTTGTTGTTGTATGTTGGAATTCTGTTTTTTTCTTTTTTTTCTTTCCATCTCATCCTGCTGCAGCGCGTCTAAAGAAGTACAAAATAAAACGAGAAAGGTTCTTTTACTATGCAAATGCGGAAGATTTACTCAGAAATTTCAGAAACTTACGCGATGAGCATGATGAGTCTGTACATTCTTGTTCACTTGCAGCTGCTGGTAATTTCCCAATTCATACAATGGCAGTTTCACGTCCATGCACATTCCGTTGCGCAGACACTTCACTAGTTCTCAGTTGCTTCCATGTTCATTCGTTTGTTCCCCTTTTCGCTCATGTTAAGCAACCTCCATCCCACCGCTATGAAAAATTTTATGCACATATGTGGTCATGCCCTGGGAACAAGTATCATGCATCTTTTAAGCGCCAAGCATATTTGTGGTCTGCTCTCGAATATGGCATCGTAAGTTAACCTATTGAACTGTCTGATGTCATCGAGATCTTTAACAATAGGTGCAATTGCTGCAGTTGCATCAGCCACGAATCTAATTATAACTTGATGTATGTCCTCCGCACTAAGCTAACTGGCAGGCTTCCATGTACCTCTTCGAAGTTTCTTCGCAAGTGCGAACGTGTGCAGAAAATAAGTAGGTCATGCAAAGCAGAATTTTTACACATGTTAGCTGGAAGGACGGACAACACATTCTCTGTAAGACATCTGCGATATTTCGGCAATATTACGGACTTGCCCATTTTTCACAAGTAATGGGCCGATACGAGACTTGCTTTGTTATCATATCACGTTTCTGTTTCACCTACGCGCTGCTTTTTATTGTGAAGGATATACTGTAATCAGAATTAAGCTTTCGGCTTTCCTTTGTGTTGGTTATTTTTCCTGTTCAATATTTAAACATAAAAAATATTATGCACTCGGAACGGTTGAAGGTGGATTATCCAACGGGTATTCTCCCGCATACCCGAACTCTTCTTGGCACCATGATGTGGTGTACCTTGACTTTAAAAAAAAATGCATAGAGGCAGGACCTTACACTTCCCGTTGGGAGTGTCACTAAAATAGACTAACGATTATGATAGACTTCAGGGTCTACCATGTGATATGCTGGTACCTACATTTCACATATACTCCGTAAGTGCAGGAAACAGCAAGGAAACGGGAAAGTAAGTACGGATACATTAGATTTATAAATCGTACCCAGTGAATGCATTCGTAAATGCTTCCTCTTTGTGTATATCTCTGGCACAATTTCGGTAATGATTATTACTATTTGTAGACTGAAGATGGGCTTCAATGGTCTCATACACTTGTCCATAAGGATCTGAAACGAGCGTGCATACATTGTGGAGGACTTATACGTCCTAGATAGAAAATGAGAAACGTTGCACAGAATTCTTCATCTTAATGCCTCCACTTTCCTTGGACTTTCTTAGAATGCAATTTAACTTGTAAAAGTGCTCTAATTGCATTAGTGGTGTTTTTGCAATTTCTAATGGACATTTCTAATGTTCCTGTATATCCACCTACTGAAGATACAACATCACGTGCATCACAAAAGACCTTTGTGTAGCTCCATAAACAGGTTCATCTATCGTGCCAATGACCAATAATAAGTTTCCCATTAGCCCCAGACGAAAGCTAAGTAAAACTCCACAAAGCCCAGATGCACTGAATGTTTCGCTACTACCGAATTCCAGCAATCCAAACATTCCACTGTTTGACGATGAATCCATCCTTTCTTGGATAGATAGCATAAAACTACGAGCGTCGGAGACATTTTTCAAGCCAGCAATTGGAATTGAAGCAACTTCGCGATGAGACGCAGAAAGAATCGCTCCGGGAGAAGTATCGGCACGAAATTGTTCTGGAACAGTTTGACCGGTTATCAGAGTATCTAAAAACCAAAGCAGATACGAAAATACCTTCAAATTCTCTTGATGATTCAGCCCATCTTAAAGGGCACCCCACTTCCCTGGGACCAAATGAAGAAAGTTTCCATTCGCTGCTGAGTGATTCCGACATCATAGAAATCATATCAAGCGAAGGAGAAGATGAATCCGAGCAACCCTCTCACGACGAAGAACTTTCTTCAACAAGTGAATCAGGATTAGAGAAAAGCGCTGAGCACATTCGTAGTGATATTGTGGATGTGGATTCCGATATGGATGATAATTCTTTGAGCGAGTATCATAGTGAGCAGTATCATAGTGGGCTGATCATCGAGGAAGAGGAGGAGAATGTCCCTGGAGGGCCTAATATATCAACAAATCATAAGGAAGTGATTGCTTCCATCGATGAAGATCATAGCCTTGATTATGATCATGACATCGATCAAATGGATGAGTACGATGAGTTATCACAAGAGGAAGGCCATGCAGATGATGTGGAGAGTAATAGCTATGAGCAAGTGTCCCAACAGCCGTTCCATTCGCTCCCCAACAGAAGACCAAAATTATCCGATACCACAGGAGGAAAATTCGATCCATCCCTTTTCGAGCATGGTGGAATGAGCAGTTCGTCGGCAGAAGAGGAAAGTGGAATATATAATGACGACAGTGAAGTTTCAGAGGCAGATATGACCCCCGGAGTTGACATTGACATGGCTAGTCATCTCCTAAATGCTATGAACAATACTCAAGTAATTGACGGGGAAGACGAATATGACATTGGTCAAAGCATGGAACATTCATTCAAACCTAAAGTGGAAGACCAAGAGGACTATGAGTATAGTTTCAAGGATGATGATGAAAATCAAGAGACGATAAGACACCTTGAAGAGGAAGAACGAAAATCGCAAAATGATGAAATCGTGGTTCTTTCCAGTGAAGACGAAGAAGACATGTCTGGTCCTGAAAATGCTTCATCTGACTCCGAAGAAGATTCACATTTATCTGGCCCTACCAAATCTGACAATGAATCAAATCGAAACCTCGACGAAGCACACGACTTGTTCACTAATGAAGAACGCAGAATTTCTCTTAATGTGATAAATCATATTTCTTATAATGATGAACAGCATGAAGAATGGACAGAAGAGGCTACTCATGCTAACACTACTATCGATCCACTGTTGAACTCTAACCTATTCGCAAACATTGCACAAGAAGCGCTTGCTGACATTCCTTCAACTTCTAATGCGCTTTCCAGTGACTACCCTGCAGATGTTGAATCTGATTTCAATCGTGGGCAAGTTGCCGAGATAGAGCAGAGCTCTGAGATTATCGACGATATGGTGAAAGGAAATGAGCAGGCAGAAATCGATTTGCACTCTAAAACCACTGAAGAACAAGAAAATATTGTCAGCGAGGGCTCATTAGCTGATTCGGAGGCGGATGTTGAAAATATTCAAGATCAGGGTATCATGATACCTAAAGCTAATCTCAAATATCCTGTCTTCAAAACGATCAAGCAAGAACTGCCAGAAGTAGTCTTGCATAAATTGGAAGAAACAGAGAAGAGGTTCCACATAAAGTTACACACTCTTGAAAATTTAAAATCTGAACTTGGAATTACTTCAATAGAGCCCGAGGAGTCAGACTCCTTTTCGGCCACTGGTAATACTATATATGAGGATGCCCAGGCGCTTGAAGATGAACTAATGCAAGATATCCTGCGAGTGGCTCAAGAAATGGCCGAAGTTCATGAACAAATAGAAGCTATTGAAAATCCTCAGAAATTCGTGGAAACTGAACTGATTTTTCACGAGAAGGAAAATGAAGATATGAACTCAGAGGACAAAATAACGTACAATCACAGTTCCTCGCTTATGGCTACTCTGTCGAATTTAAACGATCCTAAGGAATTTGTGGGCCTACAGGCTCTGAATATACTTAGTGAGAACGCGAGTATTGAACCTGAGCCTAAAACTCAAATCGTCCCAACCGTTTTGCCAAGAAATGACGATCCAATTGAAAAGGATAATGCAGATGAAACTGATGTACTGCCTAATCAAATGGAGCCTGAATCAATCAATGATATTCCTCAAGGTATTGTACAAGACGAAAACGCACTGGAAGAAGAGATCTTTCACGATGCCACAAGCAGTTTGAAAGTTGATAGGCAAAAGTCGACTATTGACAACGAATGCGAAAATAAGTCTGTGAGTGATAGTGTGCCCAGAGACACATGTCTCAACACTAGCTTCATGAATACAAATGAGAATGCTGACAGTGTGAAAACAAATGCTAATACGAATGGGAGAAAGTCAGATGATGAATGTAACTTCTCTCAAAATTTTCAAGAGGGCATTACCAATCAACATACGGATGAAGAAATGTTCAGCGCAACAGATGACTATGCTGAAAATCCCGTATCTGATACAGCTTCAGTTATTCAGGAAGATCTTTCATTTGATTCCCAGGATGCTGAAAACCATCCAGGGCAAGATTCCTCTAATGCTGAAGAGACGCTTGAAAGAGAAAGAGATAGAATATTTGAAAATGCTGCTGAACCCCAGTGCTGATTTTAAGAAAGCATTCTGTGAGTTTGAAGTGTCAAGTGGTAATAAAGTCACAGTCATTGAACCTGTCACCTCTGAGGAAGTGTTGATGACGTTCGAAACCGAAACTATAGTCGAACTGAAGTCAATTTTTCCAACATCAATCGAGGAACCTACTGAAATCATCGCAGAGACAACTGAGGCAGACGTCATAGGTGAGCTTATTGAAATAACTGATAACTTACCTCCTGATATCCAAACTCCAACAGAAGTAATCGAACCCGAAGATATTGATGGTGAAATGATTGTTGAATCTTTTGAGGAGACAACTGATGTAGTTTTACCAACATTCATCCAAGAAATGGAGTCTTTGAGAGGTACGCCAGTGGATCGAGATGTATATCCTTCATTCTCAATACTGAATAAGAAATCCGACGATGAATCGTTGCATGATGAACCATCCAGAAAGCGTTTAAGTGATATTCAAGAAGAATCTTCTCGGATTAAAAGACCAAAACCTTCATTGTCCTCTTTTAACCCGTTGAAATGGTTTTTTCCTAATACAAAACTTAGAAAAAAACCATCTATTCCAGTTCCGCATCTTGAAGATGTCCCGACGGAAAATGAAAGTGAGTCTTCCTCTGAAGCTTTTATTGAGGGTGGAGCGAAGGCTGATCAACATGATTCCTCCTCTGGCGGTGAGGGTGAGTCACCCATAGACTCCGGGGTAGGATTTGGAAATAACCTCATAGAAGAAGATACAGCGTTAAAAGATGAGGGCGATTTGTTCACTTCAAGTGAAGAAAGCAATGTCGTTGAAGAGTTTATGGTGAATGAAGATAGGAATGAGAAAGAGAATATCAAACATGAGAATCCTACAGACCCTCTAGAACTGACAAAAGAGAGCACTCCTCTTGACTCATCTGAGATGTCTGAACCCTCTAATGTTGCGGATGCAAAGAAATTAACACACAATGATCCGAAGGAGAAAGAAGAAGGAGCAGAACTTCCAATAGCCGGAACACAGACTGTCCTCGACACTGGTGAAGATGAAGCCAAAGTTCGCTTCCTCTCACGTTTCTCTCCCGAAGTTGATGGCGATGATGATGATGATGATGATGATAATGATTTCGTCGACGCAAGTGGTGAATTTGGGAATTTGGAAGGGAAAGAAACTACTATTGGGGGTTTTCAATTCAATATCATTGCTCCTCTGTCTGAAAATCTCCTTAATAAAGGCAAAACGATTATGAAGGAGCTTGAAAGCTTGTCTGAAGCATCTAATGATGAGTCCGATGAAGGCATAGAGAATGAGGATATGAATATGTCTTCGAATAATTATGAAGAGAACAGGGGGTCTTCAGGAAAGGAGATAGGTGATGAAGTTGAAATGTATAAAAGTGAAAACGCAAGCAATTCTGCAAATACGAGTGAAAAGTTTCTTCCAGAGAAGGAAGAACAGAAAAGCCAAAAGACTCCCGATAATATTGCCCTAGCACCAGTTGAATCTATTCTTGCAGTATTTAAGGACAAAGTCAATCATGTTATAAAAGAGAGAGATAATCGAATTTCCAGCAAGGCAAACGAACCCGAAGTGAAGAAGGGACCTCTCAATGGCATTGAATCTCCAGAGGATAATCATCAGCAAGAATTAGATTGTCAAATTCCTCAAAAGGGAAGTGAGATTCCAGAGATACAACAAAACGTGGGTAAGCATCAGGATGACGGAAGTCTGTTGATGCAAGAGAAATCCACTCGAAATGTCAATGATTCTGAAATGACTATGCATCCAGTTGCAGAAAAACGGACACACCCTAAAACGGGAAAAAGAAAAATCCTAGGATTGGAAATTTCTGAGGATTCGACCCCGCCTCCAAGGAAGCGTACATTGCGGAGTCAAACCAAGCACGAGTTGGGTGACGAAAATGCTGAACTGGTGGAGCATGAAGAAAAAAACTGGAAGGAAGAAAAACCACAAGAAGCTGAGGTCCCTATGACTCCTGTCTTAGGAGAAGACCTAGAAGCAAAAAACAATGAACCTGCGAATTTTTTCCATTCGCCGCTCAAAGTGACAAAATCTAGGTCCCAAAGGAAACCAATCCAAGAACATTCTTCACCTACATTAGATGTGCCACTGCTGCCCGGTCGTAGGCGTGTTTCAAGTGGTAAGTGGTTGCTCGATCTGACGGACCATCCGGCTTTGAGAACAAGGTCGAAGTCTCCGATAAAAAGGACAATTCAACAACTATCTTCGGATATCGATGATGAACCGCTCAAGCGCAGGAGGGTAACGAGAAGTAGCAAGAAGAAAGCTGAAGAAGAAAAAACGAAGGAGGAAGAGTTACGAGGTCGCGCTAGAGAGCGTCGATAAATTAATGTTTATGCTGAATGTAAATACGCTAACCAATAAATAGAATTCGGAAGGATTGACAATAAGTCAATTTAGATGAAATTTTTCATGCTTAATTCGTAAACGCCAAAAAATACCATATTGACAATAAACGATCTTGTCATGGAGATGCCTAATCCTCGGTACATATCCTTCGAAGGATGTATCTTTCGCTTCTTTAATGGCAAAGGTTGTAGTCTTCTTCTTTTCGCATGATATTAGTTACGCAATCTTTCTGGATGAGTGTTTTTGTCGTGTCTATAGGGAAAACAATAGCCCAACAAGTCAAACCAGACATCCCACCGGCGAGAAGGATTGAGAAAGGAGAGGAGATTGACAGATCAGAATTGATAAGCACATTTGTAGCCCATTTTAAAGACTCATAAACGGCAAAATAAACTCCAGATCCCAAGAAATCCCTGAAGAAATGGTACCGATAACCTGAATACAACCCAAAAATCCCTTCATACTTTATGATATTAGTTGCTGTGCTGCGTAAGGATGGTTTGTATGGTTCCATCTCCTGTTTAAAGCCCATTTGTTTGTGGGTTAGATTCACGGGCTCGTTTCTGTGCTAACATAGCAATCTGCGCATAAACCTTGGAGAACTCAAAGGGACATGCTAAAATAGACACACCTGCCCCTGCCGCTGCACCAGCAGCGAAACATACAGGAAGGTTTCTGATAAGTGGATGTACTACTGTTTCTCCTGGCGTATCCCAGCCATAGAATGCTTCGTAGAAATAAGGCTTTGTTGTTGTGAAAATAGACACACTGATTGATCTCACAAATGAGGTGGAAACAAGAGGAGCCATTATGCCACGATAGAATCCCCGAATCCCCTCTGCTTTGAACGTCTTAACGATGCAATCCATGTTGGAAGTAAAGTTTTTGTAAGTTTGTAACCTGGTTTTGACAGTGTCAAAAGGGAATCCAATGGTTGTGGACAAGAATGATGTTCCGTAAGCTAAGATTGTAGATCGGTACGGCAGCAATGCCGAGGGGAATATCTGAATGGCTTGGGACCGATCAATTTCCCCTGTGATGGCCGGAATGCCTGCAGAGCGTTTATTGTCCATATTGTTATAAACTAGTAATACTCAAGATGCAAATAACCAGTGTGCATGCTATCAGATACTCGGGATGGCTCAAAGTCCGATTTAGCACCTGTGCACGACTGAGTCATCCGCAAGGAATAATGACTGTAAATCATGTGTCAAAGCATCTTATGGAATGAATGAAATAAAAGGACAGAGGACTAAAGAAAATGAGTGTCAAAGTTCATCGAATGTTAAATCGACTTCGTATCGCACTTTTGCATTTATCTTGGCTTTTAACAAAAGTCAATCAATGACTTTCGGACAATAAAATAAGTCATCAGATAGAAAAAATAGAAAATAGAGGATTATGGTCCTTTTTACCCATGAAAGTATATGGGGAAAACATCAACAGCCTATTTAGTGACTAAACTGGATTTCTGTGATTTATCGTGGTGTTATAGCCCCAGTTGTGTTTCTCCTGCATATTGCATGAAAGTAGGCAGTGTCTCAAAACTCCAATCGTGGTAGTTTCTACAGAGAACATGAACTTTTTACGTCGGAGAAAGAAGAGCGACGATGACGATTTAGGCGAGGAGACAGTATCGCGGATTCAGAAGTCAAGAAAGCCCCCAAATACTGCCTTCCGGCAACAGAGATTGAAAGCATGGCAGCCTATTCTTACGCCTAAGACGGTGATCCCTTTCCTCTTTTTGCTCGCCGCTATTTTTGCTCCATTAGGTGTAGCTATTGTCTACTACACATATAATGTGGAAAAGTTGCAGATTGATTATTCCAAATGTGCCACTTTGGCCACAGATTCGTACGCGAAAGTTCCTTCCAAGTACACTAATTGGCATTTCCGACACAAAAACACCGATCCAGACTTCCAGTGGAGAGTGATCAATGGAACAGATGCAGATGGTGATAGAACAGAGACGTGTTTCGTGAAGTTCAATTTACCACGTGATTTGAAACCTCCAATCTACTTGTACTACAGACTTACGAATTTCTACCAGAATCACAGAAAGTACGTGGATTCTGTGGACCCAAAGCAAATAGCTGGACACGCCCTTGATGCAGACAGCTTGTCAACAAATTGCAAGCCTTTGCGGCTGGTAGGTGATGGCTCTGATGAAAAAGTGATTTATCCCTGCGGATTGATTGCAAACTCGCTTTTCAATGACACATTCATCAGTCCTGTGTTACTCAACTCGAAGACAGGAAGCGACAACGAAACTTATGTCTTAACATCGAAAGGAATCTCATGGGCATCTGACAGAAAACACCAATTCAAGAAAACTACTTACAAACCTGAAGATATTGTACCTCCACCCAACTGGGCAAAAATGTTCCCCCAAGGTTACAATCTGAGTAACATCCCGGACTTGTCTCAGTGGGAGCAGCTACAAAACTGGATGAGAACTGCGGGTTTGCCCACATTTTTCAAGCTCTACCTGAAGAATACAACAACAACATTCACTCTGGGAACCTACGAGATACAGATTGGTTTGAACTACCCTGCTTCAATGTATGGTGGCACCAAGTCGTTGGTGATCACGACAAATTCAGTTTTCGGTGGCCGCAACATGACATTGGGAATTGTCTACCTCATTGTTGCTATAGTGTGCTTGGTGTGTGCCATTGGTTTCTTCCTGCAACATTTGATCAAGCCTAGAAGGATAGGAAACCATAATTTCTTGCAAGAAGGAGGCGCAGAACAAGCTCCCGCTCACTTCAGAGAGCAGCTCTAACAATAGACAGGAAACAAAATGATTGAATATACTTTTTAATGACTATGCTATGTATGTATGCTCCTAGTCTCTATCTTTGATGTAGATGTTTGAAGTCATGGCGCGCCTCAGATTTTGTTGGAGGTCGTGCTCACGTCAAAACATCTACATGCTTTTCGGCTTGCGTTCAGTGAAAATATACACGCTATCTTTGTCCCAAACTTAACAACATCTTGTCAGTTTTAAAGTTTTCAAAGCTCCTGAATAAGAGTGTTCCAAGGTTTCCGTCACAAACAAATACTTCATACTAAGTGACGAAAAGAATTGTCTTTCCTCCCTGGCGCCATGAACATCAATCCTCATCTCCAGTACTTGCAACAACAGCAATCTGGATCTAACCAAAATGGCCAGTCGCCACAAATGTCTCCCATGCAAATGCAGCAGCGCCATTTACAACAGCAGCGTCAACAACTACTCAGTCAGCACCTTCAGCAACAACAGCAGCCTCAGCAGCCTCAGCAGCCTCAGCAGCAGCAGCAACAGCCACAACAACCGCAACAACCCCAGCAACCCCAGCAACAGAACTCTAATGCGAATCCCTTATTAGCAGTGCTCAATGGAGGAATGAATGTACAGAACGGCAACAATATCAACCCTGGTGGAAATGCTTCGAATATGAATTTCAATCAGAATGTGAATCCTTTGTTGCAGATGCAATTACAACAATTACAGCAACAACCTTCACGGGCTCAACATAGTCAGTCTCAACAACAGGGTCCACAGAGACCTTTCCAAAACCAACATCATATTCCTATTCAGCAACAACAGCAAGTGCCCATCATAAAGGAGGTATGGAACTTCAATTTGGAGCACGAGTTCAATGCATTGCGGTCATTTGTTAATGACAAAACATCCTCGGTCTTTGTTTCGATCCATCAAGAGATCCCAGGCATCGTTGCGAGACCTGTGGGTACTTTCAAGTCTTCTTCGGACTATCATTTTCAGACATTAAGATCAAATGCCGATTTATTAAATCTCATTCAGTTGTCATTATGCGCTGTCAAGGTTAGAAACAACGAGATCAGTAACTCGGTCATTTGGCAATTCAATTTTGCGTACGATTTGGCAGTCGAAATGTTCAACGAAGAACACTTATCTATGTTGTCCCAGACAGCGCAAATTAACTTTGCCTCTCATATGAGCAGAGGCATTCCTCATTTCAATTTTGCAGAATTGATGATGGAGAGCGGGTTGCTCTTGGACACATCTATAAACTGGTTGAGTTATCACTCAGGATATGATTTGGGGTTCCTCATCAGTTTGTTAACGAATGACATTCTTCCAAACGATGAAAAGGAGTTCTTCTGGTGGACATCGAAGTACTTTCCGAACTTTTTTGATATGAAACATATCGGCACTCAATTATTGTCGTCTTCAGGTGGCAAAATTGGAAATAGTGGTTTAAACAATATTGGGAATGATAAGGATCCCTTAGGACCATCTGGGATCAGTGGAGCTGCAGGTGATTTGAACAAGAGCCTCACTTCAAATAACAAACCATCTGTTGAATATCTTGCGGAAGAATTGCATTTGCTACCAATTTCTCCTGTGATTCGTCAATATTTTGCGTCATCATCCCTTGGACAATTTGCAAGCCATCAGCATCAGCAGATGACTTCTACTTTGCATGCCTACTTACTAATGGAATGTTTCAAGGAGTTGCTTAGGCAAGCAAATTTCGATTTTTCGATCTTTGAGAAATTCAAAGGTTATTTATGGGGGCTCGGAGACGTTGTTGAAAAGTCACTGATACCAAATGAAAAAACAAAAGTGACTACTTCCATGAAGCAACTATGGTAGCTTGCGTTCTTTTAACTTTACAATAGCTGAGAAGAGATTAGCAATACGATCCATCCGTCCGATTAATGCAGATACCTAATGTACATGAATAGAAATGTAAACCTGAAAAGTTTTTGTCCCCAGGGATATTATAATTCCTCTTTAGCTTCAACTTCTTCTTCTTCTTTATCGTCAGACTCGCCCTCTGAAGAGTCCATCTTCAACCTCTTCGCACTGTCTTTGGAGTCTTTTTCAGCTTCTCTCTCAGCTCTCGCCCTCTTAAACAGAGCCTTCTTATCCTCGCCTGTTCTCACCTCTTCATCCTTAGGAGGCTGAACGAACCATGGAATCTTTCCTCTATTAAAGTCATTCAAGACCTGTTTGGCGACTGCTCCTTCATCCGGTTCACCTCCTTTCAACAATCTTCCTTGTTTTCTAGCGATGAGCTCTATGAACTCCGCACTGGCCTGCTCCAATAAAGACGAATCTTCTTCATAATTACTCCAGCCCTTGATTTCGTATGTCCGCTCCAAATGCTTGCGTTCACATTTCTGAAGCATATCAGGAATATATTGTTCTGGGTTGGATACGTGCTCAACTCTGACGACACCTCTGAACAAAATGTCTGATTCTGTGTCTTTGTTACTCGGAGGAACAATACCAGGACAATCAATCAAAAAAATTCTCTTCATCAAAGTAATGTATTGCCAGACCTTAGTCTCACCAGGGATTGGAGCCACCTGACATACCTTCTTTTGACGCAAAGTGTTGATAATTGAAGACTTACCAGTGTTAGGGTATCCAATGAAACCAACAGAAATTTGCTTTCTGTCTGAATGTAAAGTAGAAAACTGACGCAACAATTGAATTAAGGAACCCTTTCCAAAAGAGTTCTTAATCGATGCGTGGAATGCAAGTGTTGGGAAAGATTTGGATAAATGTTTCACCCATGCAGCCTGAGTTGTTAGTAAAACCGAAAAATAGAAAATTCAGTGAAGATAAAACAAAGAAGAGGCACAGAGTAAGTAAGACAAAAAAAAGGGAAAAATAGAAAAAAGATGTCGGCTTCTAGACTACGGACAAGCCTAAAAGAGAGACTAAAAAGTCTCAAAGCAGGTCCAACTCAATAAGATTCCGATACTACCCTGAAAAACCAATAAAGACTATTGGTAAATGTGGACAAAATTCAAGTCAGAACGACAAGAATTCTGCTCGAAAGCAGGACCACGGGCGGATAGCATTGTTCTTCCAAAGACGTAACAGGCAACAATGTAGATATGCGATGTAAAATCGATTGCCACCCTGACAAAAGGCTTTGGGTCAAAGAGAAAGAAAATCATAAAAAGCTTCACTGGAGAAAAGAAAAAAATGAACACATACCGCAACCCAAGTGGGAACTAAATCACACTTGTTCAACACATAAATCAAGTGCTTATGAGCACATTCCTCTTTAATGTACTTCTCAACGGACTCACATCGGGTTCCTAATGGATTTCTTGCATCCAATACATGGATAACAACATCTGAAGAGTCAATAACCTTGTACAACTCGTTCCAAATTCTTTTAGATTGACCCTTGTGAAAAATGGCTTCCTTCGCTTCTTGAGTGAATTCATCTTTATCCAAGAATGAACCACCCATCAAACCAAGAGTGGCATCCAATTCCTGCTTCTCCTCGTAAGCTTTGGAGTCAGTCTCAGTCAAGGAAGCTAATTCTTCTAAAGACGAGGCCGCTTGACTTCTTGGTTTTTTTCTCTGTTGCTTGGGGCCAAAAGCATGAGCGTAAGACTCAGTTTCCACAATCTTCGCAGTAGGTGACTCCGTCTGGTCTTTTTCATCTAAAAGGGACATGGGTAATTTATTCCTTCTCAACAAGACAGAGTAAGTGTCGTGTTTCTTATCCCCCATCGCTTCCCTGAAATGCGTCAAGGAATCCTGAGCGATCACTCTAGTGTTTCCAAACCATTTCTTGTTGGGATCAACACGAGCAACTGGTGCGTCGGTGCCTTGCAATACAGCAGCTCTGACAATTTCTCCCTTTGCGTTTCTCACAGCACGGCCAGTTTTGTACATTTGCAAACGTCTAACCTTCTTTGCATCTTTATAGAAATTCTCACCCTTGACACGGAGATTACCATCTCTTGTATCGCCCTCTCGGACTCTTCTTTGTTTTTCCTTCTTTTGGGTTCCCATTGCTCAAAGAAAGTAACAAGAAAAAAAAATTGGGAAAATCTTGAGAGATGATGCGATGCGAAGCCAAATTGGTCACGTGCGTCTCGTTGCCCCAGACACTGTTTCACAAGCTTAGCTCTGCAGATAATCTCTAGCAAGTACAATTGTGTAGAATACTCCCGTCTTAAGTCACTTACTTTGTCTTTGTTGATGACTTCTTTAACCACAGATCTTCTGTTCATCAACTCATTATCAATTAACCAGGAGCACTTCCTCAAGAAGTTTTTGATCGAAGAACAGCTTAAAAATGAACTTCATTTCTTATCAAAACCTCGATGTCTTGAGTACATGGGTCCACCCTTCCGTACTTCTGAGGAAAAGAAGGAGGTAAGATTACCACTTCTCCGATACTTTTTTTCTGAATTTGTCCAATCTTTTCCCTTAATCACCAGTAATCCTGTTGATGAGCAGTTAAGTTTCTGGAGGGATACTGTTCAACCATTTGTCGAAAGCTTCAACTCCAAGCACATTTCCGAAGGTATCGAGAGGAAAGAGCAAATCACCAAACGCAATCAAGTTAATCGTAGATTGCTCTCAGGTCTTTTACTTTTTTATAGTTCCATGATCATTAGTCCCCGGGACCCCAAGTATCTCGCCTCAGAACACCTAAAGCTGTCTGACCAAGGCAAGCTCGATAAGATTAGCAAAGGCCCCCTGAAGGGAACTTTCAGTATTCAAGATTACCAGAAACTCAGATCTCTAGAAGATTACCTGCGAATGTCTTTTGTGAATGATGTACACTTGAATATAATTGCTGTGGTCTCTCAAAATGAGGTGACGCAAGAAATTACCCAATCATGGGGAACTAGTGCTATAAAGTTATTCTCAATGACAAAGTCTAAACCAGAGAGACTGCACTACAAGTTTATCCTTCATGTTGTTCAGCGGAAATGGGTGGAAGGTACTGTTGAATATGATTCGTATTTCTTGCGCAAGTCATACCTGGACTTCAAGAAATTGGAACATGGCCTCAG